CTCAAAGCAGAGGAGCCATAGTTCTTCTGGACGTACTTTTGGAGAAGTACTCGCGCAATTGTGTGAAGAAGCAGAAGGTGGGATCTGGATGGTTTATACACAGTGCTCTGCTCAGGTTAACTTACGCCTTGCGCCCGGGAAGCGACACATATTAAGTAAAATCCAATATCTCGGAACCAGGGCCAGCGCATAAGAGGCATCGTTCGAATCTTCGGGTGCTTTTCGCCAGAAAGTCACAGGAAGAGACAGCCGCCATCACGGTGAAGCCAGGCCAGTTGTCTTTCATGAGGGCGAGATCCTGCGCATCCAGACATAATACCGCTTGATGTTTGATATTGATGGAGTGAGAGCGGAGAACATTTAGACGTATTGTACCCAACTTTTGGTCCAGAACCCGCACAGGGAAGACATGACAAAGCTTCGGAAACCATTTTCGAGCATCATTCTCAAATTCGTGTGAATAAGAAGGCAAGCTTATGAAGGAACCGAAGTGGGCGATGCAGAGGTTCAAATGCGTTCTTAGCGCGGTCAACCAGTCACTTTGCGTACCACGTTTCCAACCTAGGCAGCAAAACTCAAAAACCCACCCAACAAGAACACCAGCAAGTCGCACCAAAGGTATCTCCACCAGGTTTACCTAACAGCACGTCATGAAAATGCCGAAAGAGACCCCACAAAGCCAAAACACATGAGGTTGCCAAGGCTGAATTTAGCATAGCATCCAGAAGAGAGGGGACATGCGTCGGGAAATTCGCGTCTTTTGGTGCACTTAACACAGGGAAGACATCTACTCTTGGCTCGCGGGTTTTCTGAAGCAAGCGCTTAGCAAGCGTGGAGAAAAAAGTGAGGCTGGGCCTGGGCGTGCTTATATACCGTTATTCATTCAGATTGAACGGTGTCTGGCTTTGCATGACAGTTCTTTTCAAAGTCTTCTGCTACTTTTGGAACGGACGTCCGCGCGGAGACATCAGAAATTCGTTCGGATTTTTGAGAGTGCCTCTTGGGAAAAGGACGCTTCCAACCATGGCGACCTGATACCGATAGTTTTAGAAGGGGCGAGGATGAACGCAGCGAGCACATCTTTTGGCCCCAATGCAGATTCTGAACAGACCCAGCACGGAGAAGACATCAGAGGATATCAACTAGTTTTTAGCAGCGCCCGCTCAGGAGAGACATGATCGCGCATGTCCATGGATTTGGCATAGAACGTGGAGGAAGAGTGTGGAGAGAGAAGTAAGGCTGGGTGTAAAGAGGTATTTATACTGTCTCGTGTCCGAGCTGGAATGAAAGGCGACAGGCAACACATTGGGGTCATGGTTTTGTGTGTGCGACGAGACCCAGCGCCGAAGACTATGTCAATGAGCCCACCTTTTTTTGGACTATAGCACAAAGACAGAAGAAACCAGAATCATAGGCTGGTATGCTGAGATTTCGATTTCAACAGAGCGAGACCAGACACAGCCTCACATGCAGTTGGAAGTGTTCGTTTTGTGGAACAAGACCCAGCAGCGGAGACATGGCAGGATACATTTTTCTTTTTTCCACCGATCCAGCACAAAGACATGCCAGTTCTTCCAACGCCATTTTAGTCTGAATCCTGGGAAATGTGAAGAGCAGAAGGTGGTCCAGAGGGAGGTATTTATACTGCTGTCTGTCTAGCGATTGTAGAAAGGTCTTGCGTTTGCCTGGAGATCATGTGCTCTATGCCGTTGGCCTTGGTGATGAGCCAGCACGGAAGTGACATGTGACGCATCTTTTTGGTTTCGTCAGAGTTGCTTTCCCATGGCAACGGGTGCTTCGACATTTTGAAAAGGCTCTTTCGGAGCAGCCACATATTCCAGCGGTCGAGAGCCGGGCAGAGGAGACATAGATGCCATCACCGAAGACCTTTCATGGGCCTAGCACGGAGACATCAAGTTGTCGATCGGTTGTTCAGAATATTGAGTTCGGGTGTGGTGTGAGGAGGGACAGCTGGCTAAGCAGATTTTATACTGCTGTCTGCCAGCCTTCATCGAATCATGTCTGTTCTCAAACCGACGCATATCGCCTTCTTAACGGATTTTAGAACAGGAACCAGCACCGAAGAGACATCCGAGCTTCTTGACAATGTTTTGCAAGAGTAACTCCAGGGTAAGGAGCCCCAGTCTCATAACTGGAGCTTGAGCACTATTTTAGAGGGAGAATATCAGCCAGCCGGACATTAAGCCCTAAGGAACTGCCTAGTGGACCGACACGTGGCAAAGGAGACATGTGTCCTTCTCTTCATGGTCTTTTTAACCCCAGCGCAGAAGAGACATCATGCGCTCCTCCATCTTTTTGAGAAAAAAGCTCACGAAGTTGTGTGAAGAACATGGGAGGGCTCGACCTGCGACAGCATATATACGGTTGCCTGTCTGGAATTAAACGCGCCCGCGCTTCAACAAAGAGCACCCTTAGCCAGGTTCCTCAGGTGCTTTTGGAACAAAGTCTTGCACTCCGCAGACATATGCATCCTTCTTCTTCGGTCTGATGCAAAACAGGGAACGGGAGCAGCCATCATGTTGCATACTGAGGTTTTGAGTTTGGTCAACAGCGGCCGAGACAGCATAAACCAGATATCGGCGATATGGTGGTCCCAGGGAGCGCAGAGCAGACATTGAACTATGCTTGGATCTTTTTAAAGAAAGGCTCTCAGACGTGGTGTGAGGAAGGTAAGGTACGTCCAATGATGCGATTTATATAGTCGCAAACAAGTCCATGCGCTTGCGCTATGCGTCCTTCGTGAAGCACAGAAACACATAAAAACACTGAAGTCTCGTTTTCAGAACCAGGGCCAGCCCCGAGAAAACATAGTACGGACCGATGCTTCTTTTGGAAAGAGGTGCTCAGACATTGTCTGATCGACGGAGAGCTGTTTTTACGGAGGTATTTACACAGTATCGGCCGAGGAGCACATTATTGGGTTTTGAACCGCTTTCATAGTCCGATATCGTGGAAAAAGACATGGTACGTTCTTTCGTGTGTTTAAAAGAACAAGCGCTTAGGCATGAAGTGACAGACACCGCCTTTTTCGACCTGTTTTGTGTCTGGTAACGAGCGCATGAAGTCCAGACACTGTTCTTTTCAGAAAGCAAAAAACAGCGCAAACATAATGAGGTCCATCGTGCTTTTCGAGCTCTATGCTCGGGTATTGTGAAGGCTTGAAGCGTGGTACACAGAGAGCTTTGATGCTTTCGAGCTTGAACAGTGCTTGCGCTTGGCGAGGAACACATCACAAGGTTCGCATTCAGTTTTCGCAACGCCGAACGACGGACACAGAGACATAGAACTCTTCCATCTTTTTCTCGAGAACGAAGTTCAGGAGTCGTATGGGTAAGGGTGATACCATTCCAAACACTGCTTTTATCCAGGCCCAGGAGCAAACGGCGAGCTTTCATCATGTGCTTCGGTCTGACCTTGCACAGAGAAGGCATTGGAACACTTGGAATTGTCTTTTTGAAGAGCTCCACCCTGGCATCGCACGGGCAACACAGACGTTTTGATTTGAACGGAATTCTGCACCCACGCGGAGCATGCTGTCAAGAGTTCCATGTCTGTTTCGAGGCGCAGCACCGGAGACATGCGAATGTTGTATGCTGGTTTAGAGAGCGGTTCGAAGTGTCGCGCAAGGAAGGCCTGACGAGACCCAGGGACTTATTGTACTGTGTTGGACTAGATGCACATTAAGACCTGCAAGTCGTATTTGTAGTCCGAAGTCCAGCACGGAGAAGACATGAGGTAGGTTGGTATCCTTTTAGAGAGTGAGTCTCGATTGCAGGGTGTGGAGAGTGACAATGGATCTGGAGAGGATATATACCACTCAGACCGCATTGACCAAGAGAACATTTTGCGCTGAGTGGCTGCTTTCTGGGATCATAAGGGGCACAAAACACATCGCATGGCTTGCAAAGGTCTTTGGAAAGTGAAGTATTCGCGGATCTGCGCTTGAGCAAGCCGCATGTATGTGTTCACGCTGGTTTTGGAATCATCAGCAGCACAGAGATATGACAGACACGCATTTAGGCTTTTCGAGGGTGGTGAGAAGCAAAGTGTTTTAGACGCCCAGTCTTGTTTTAGACGCCCAGTCTTTCGTTTGTGATAGCAGTGCCTGCGCTTCAGGGGAGCATATGCGACGCTGCGACAGGGTTTTGAGCCGAGGCCCAGCAAAAGGAGACATGATGCGTTTCTTGTCACTTTTGTTGAGCAATGCTCAGGTGTTGTGTGGAGCGAGGAAGCAGGATTTGTAGAGGTGAATATACTGTCCGCCCCGGAAAGTGCTTGGCGTCGAGACTTAGGCTCTCTATTCCAAACCGATAACAGCGCAGAAAACCCATTGGAGATATCTGTGAGACTTTCTCAAGAGCAGCGCTCAGCCCAGACAGCAATAGGCTGTTTTGGTAGTGCTCCTGCGCCCACGAGGACCATGTATGAGACCGCGTCTAGGTTTTGAAACAATGTTTCATACTCCGGGACAGGAAACATCGATACTCTCATTCTTCTTTTTTGGAGAGTTGTATGTAAGTGCTGTAAGGAGAGCGTAAGGCTAGGTCTGGACAGGGCTTTATACTGTTGTGGATGGTAGTTGCGCTCAGCGAAGAGCACGTGATTGTGCTCTAGATTCCTTGTAGAGCGGCATCGAGCGTGTAGAGGCATGCTTGCTCGGAGACTTCTCGAAGCGCACCGCCGTTCGCTAGATAATAGACATATGCTTTTAGTTGGTATGTGTCAGCGCTGTCGGCTCTCCACGAGGAGAACATAGTGCTACCTTGACCGGCCCTTGGAACAATGCGGTATCCAATGTACGGTGAGGCAGATTAGGAGGAGTGGTGCGCATTTAGTACGGGCTGGTTGTGTCGCCCTTTCCGTCGATGGGTAATGAAATGGAGCACGTTTGAGCTTGCATATTGGAATAACTGTTTTTACATGCATTTGTTATGCTTCGTAACTGTCTGCGACCGCAATACAGTGGACAATGAGCATCCCTAGCTACCACCAATATCCGTCTTGCCCAGTCCGAGATGGTCTGCTCCACCGCCACCTCCTCCTGACGATTGACCACTCGCCCCTGTATGGCGATTAGCATGGCCTCATGTCTGAGTATGCAAGATATTCTTACCCTTTGCGGTATCGCCGGCACCCTTGGTAGTATCACCAGCCGTCTTGCCAGCGCCCTTGACTGCATCACCAGCTGTATCTGTAGCGCCCTGAGCGGTCTTGCCGACAGTGTCGGTGACTTTGTTGACTGCGTCCGCCATATTGCGTTGAAGGTGAAGTAATTTGGTTTGGTGTAGAGGTGACTGAATGCGGATGCTACTCTGTACAAAAGATGCGAATTGTACAGCTATATACTCGTACCTGATCGTCGTGCGTCACTAGTACTGCCGTGTTACCCTTTAAACTTGGTTATGCAGCTGAACTACATCATTGCGGGGATGGGGCGACTTCCTAGCCATACAGCCCTAGCACAATGCATCATCGGGGTACCGCAGTGCATCATACTAGTCACGCGATCGATCTTGCAGTTCCACAGATTGCGCCATTCGCTTGCGGGAAGAGACTCAACGGACAAGTGGTTACATGACGTAGCCAAGCATGGAGCCTTTCACGCTTGATCTCCCCGCATTTTATTAACCCAATATGGCTAATCAACACGCTAACAACGCTTCATTGGTCAATAAGCCTAACGCCGTCATAACAGTCGAGACCCGAGGCTGTGGGTGCATGTATGCCTGCTTTTACATGCTCTACTTCTTTACTTCTCTTAACATGTATAGTGCGGTTACAGACCCAGTGTACATATCGAAAGTGTTTATAATGGGGCCACAAACACGTCCCTCTTCCAACCCGATTGCCATCCCAAAGCATAGGAACAAGCACCCCATTGCTGCGATGCACCATCGGTGAACTCCACAGTGAATTTTGAATCCCTCCTTCAAATTCAATCCCAGCTCCACACCCAACCCGAGGAGCTTTCCGAGCAGCAGCTATGACAGCTCTTCCGACTCCGCTGACATAGAAAGTACACCAGGTAGGTTTGAGCGGACATCGCCCAGGCTTCAAGCTCTTTGGAACAAAAAGTATCACGAGCGCCGTGAAGTCAGAAGCCAACATACCAAGCAGCCTGTGAAATTTAAGACAATGCTTCCGCTCAGCCAGCAGCATACATTCGTGCTACTTGCCTTTTGGAAACAGGGTCCAGCACGCAGGAGACATTGTCGCTCTTGCGTATCTTTTTTTGAAAGATCTACGTCCAGGTGTGGTGTGACGAGTGCATGATAGGGAGAGATAAGATTTTATATGGCCTGTTTGGATAGTTGTCCACATGTGACGAACAGGTCATGAAAAGACTTGTTCTGCCTTTGCGACAAGCCCGGAAGGACGAAGACATGAACTCCTTTTGAGGTTTCTTTGACATAGAGTTAAGGCGTCCTCCACATGTCACCTTCACTAGCAATTTTGAGAGTGACCCTGGATCAAACCAGGAAAACATGGATATTGCCCACCGTGTTTTGGCGACAGACCCAGCACAAAACAGACATGAGGGTTTAGCAAGCTTCTTTTGAAAGCGAAACCTAGGTGAGACGTGCTAATAAGAACACGAGGCAGCTTCATGGGAGATAATGTCGGTGTCTATTGGCACATGTGTGCCTCAAGTTGACACAGCGCACATGAAGTCTTCCTGTACCATTTTGAGAACGGAGCCCAGCACAGACACGGGACATTCGGTAAAGCAACCATGATTTTGAGAACCATATGAGATGCCGTCAGAACAGAAAGCACGACACCATGTACAGCCTTCATTCGATATTTTGCAGTTCTCACGCTCGACGAGAAAACAAACCGCACATACAATGGTAAGCTTCAGCTTTTTGCTTATCAAAAACCGGAGCAGGGAGAGACATGGAAGCATGCATCGTTCGTTTTTGGTTAGAGGGTCAAAGAAGTCTTGTGTGAAGAGTCCAATTGCTACCAGCGGAGGTATTTATACCGTCCTGGCTAGGTCTGTGCTCGACAAAGCGCACGGACGGACATGAGATTCAATAGTGATCATTTAGTGGGCAGCCATGTCCTGGTTTCCAGATGCATTGAGACTGACGTATACGGCAAATGGTAGGAAGCGGACCACATCCATCCTGAAGACCCGATTTTGGAAGGCGGCGAAGGAGTGCTGGTTCTCAGCTCATGGGTGGGAAATCCGTGTCATTGAATCGTGTTTTGCCGGACCCGGTTCCATGCAATTTGACGTCGAAGGTTTGGATGACAAGAGGTACCGCGGAACCATGTTCGTGGTAGCAAGGCTTTCGAAAGTACTCTCCACATGGTTCAGAGCCTTCTCTTATTTTGAGACGTTCCGCGGCGAAAGCATAGGAAGCGAGAACAATTCACAGAACACTGCTCCATAACAAGTCAATAGTATTGTTTCTGGTCGACAAGAGACAGACATACACTAACTCTGCGACGGATTTCTCGAGCTTTAGTCCATAAAAGCAGTGTGCGCAGGCTTCTCGATCGACCGCTTCACATGTCAAGTATCATTGACCTTTAGGGACAGCTCCCAGCAAGCACATGGATCAGTGTCATGAACTTTTAGTGACAAGTTCAGATCGTGGTGTTGTGAAACAGAAAGCAAATCTGTTGGTGAGACTATACACACTGCAAGCGACACTAGACCGTCGTATCAAGACTTCGGTCCATGAAATCCGTCAATACAGCTTTCGTGATCGACCGCGGCACATGTTTGCCATCATTGACCTTTAGAGACAGCTCGCAGCAAGCACATAAATCAATTGCCATCAGCTTTTAGTGACAGATCCAAATCGTAGTATTGTGAAGCAAAAAGCAAGTCTGAAAGTGCGACTTTATACCACAGGCGACATTATACCATGGTATCAAGACGTTCGATCCATGCTACCTATAAGGTGAGCTTTGTCGAAGGCAAGAGGCACATGCGGGATGGCGGCGAACCATTTGAGGCAGACTCATTTGCGGCGATAGCAAAGCTTTCGAGCCGGACAAGGACATCAAGCTCTTGGATGATCGCTTTCGAGAAGGGAGGCATGCTGCGTACTCTTCCCTTTTAAGGAAGCAAAGAGAGAGGCACATGACAGTTGGCAAGTTGCTTGTCGAGCCGAGCCATGGGGGTGCGGGTGCGAGCTTTCGAAACGAGCAAGCACATAGGCCCCAAGCTACTCGCTTTCGACCAAGAGCCGCAAGGGCAGCATGGCGCTCACGTTTGGCGGATTCCAAAGAGCTGAAAGTCAGGGATTGTGTGTTCGTGACCATCGTGAGGAAGAGCGTAATACGCTGGACATGGGATTCCGCTGCCGATTTTGGCATCTGCCAGACAGAGAAAGACATGTCATCGCGAATTCTTGGTTTTAGTGGCGAGGAGATGCCCCTGCACTCGTGGGAGAAAGGAAGAACAGCGCGGGAAAACTGTCTTTATGCTCTCTGACCATCCGAGAACATACTTTTTCGAAGTCTGCATCAATTGGAGCCATAGCGACGTAGGGCAGTGTATTGTGACGCAACCGTGCGGCTTTCCATTTGCATGATCATCGAGCCAGACAGCAACATGTTTGACCATGACCTGTGTTTTGGTCCACCAGCAAGCAGCAAGCCATTCTCCTCTTCACTCAAACTTTTAGAGATTCCAACACCAGAGGAGAAGACATCTTTTTCTCCTCGCAGATTTTTTATCAATGGGCACTGCCCTGAGACGTGTGGAAAAGAAGAAGAAAGACACAGAAGAGCTGTATTTATAGACATAGGCCATCCCAACCGCCGCTGTTACGAGATCTCCGTCCATTCGTCCCACCATGAACGATTAGGGCATGTGTCTTTGGCGCTTCTGACACTTTTGCGGTGGACCAGACATGCGCGCTTTGTCCATGTCTTTTTGTATCCCCGCAGAAGCACAGCTGGAAGCAAGACATAGCGGGGTCTCAACTCGCTTTTTAGAGCCGCAACAACAGAGAGAAGCAGAACATGGCCGCAGAGGTCTATGACTTTGGCTGATCGAAAAGCAGGGCGGGAAGCAGCACATCATATGCAGCCTCCTGATTTTGAAGTCCCAACGACAGAAACAGTCCAAGCATGATGGATTAAGATTGGTGTTTCGGACCTAATTGGGAACAAGGGCAGGACAAAGACATGGCAGGGTTTTCACTGGGCTTTGAAAGGGCCAACAGCACAGGAAGGACATTCTGCCTTCAGCCTGTCGATTCTTGAATGGCCCTAGCCATGCGAGCTGACGAGAACAGGAGGAGGAACATCGCCTGGTTTGCATCTTGTTTCTGGATCCAAAAGGGAGAGTCCGGCAGGACATAGCATAGGTGATCCAGGAATTGGAGCTGTCCGAACGCAAGGGGCGAAACAAGACATCTTCTCGGCGAACGTCACTTTTGAGAGCCAGCCAGCAAAAGAAAGACATAAGCTCTGCGTTGATGGCTTTTATAGAAGGCCGAAGCCAAGCAGTTGTGTGAAGAAGAGAAGCACAAGAAGCGTTGCCCCAAGGGCTATTTATGCTTTCCCGACAGCCCAAGCCGGGAAGTGCATTAATGGTATCCATCACCTGCAGCCAACGATGAACCTCACCATCCATCCCAACACCTAGTCATTCTCTGTTCCATTTCCCATTCCTCCCTCACCCCAGCTTAAACAAATCAAGCAGCCTCCCCAGCTTCGTCCTCCTTCCACTATAATTCGTTATCCCAACATCCAATTGCACATTCCCTTTCGCCTCCGCAGCCCCCTCCCCTTCGCCAAGCACATACTCCTGACTCGTGATCCCCGCTCTCCTCCGCTCGTTCATCTCCGTATTACTCACGCGCGGCCACCAACTAAGTCCATACTGCCTTTTCGCCTCCTCTTCAGTGCGATAGCGTAAGACATCGTAGTCACTATCTCTCGTCATAGCCGCGTCTCTATCTCGCGTTGTGATACCCCCCTCAACACGATGCACATTTACGGAAAGGTCTGTGAAAGAGGAGAGCCACGTGGGAGAGTCATGCTCGAAGGGGGCCATGCTTCACCTTCTGTTAGCTTTACTTTTTCTTGAGGCGGTATACCGGCAGTGCGCTTGCGCCGTCTGAGTATGGAAGGTATCTGTGAAGACGATGGTCGAAAGGAAGGGGAAACGTACTACACCGTCACCCTCCCCGGCGCAACGCCGCTATGCAACAAATACTTCAGCGCGCGCGCATCAATACCACGCACAGGTCCAATAATGAAATTATGCCCTTCGGCAATAGCTTGATCGATCCTGGGCTTGTAGTGCGTATCAAAGTACTCCTCCGTTGAATCCAACGGCCCGGATATAAACGCGGTGAGAGGCTTGGTATCAGTCATAATGCGGTGTCATATAAGGAGAATAGTAAGTAAGTTTGATCATGCATGAAGGTTGGAGTGTTGATGGCGCATAGTGTAGGTTATGTAGGAGCCTGTTGTGAATCTAGTAAGACAACTTCGCTAGTCCTAAGATGGCCAAGGGTGATTCACTGACTACGAGCTCATTCGTAGGCTGCCACTGTGACGCAGGGGCGCTAAGATGATTCTCTGAAACGCCCGGCCAGAAAACGCCAACACCAAGTAAAGTCATGAACAAATTGCATTTGCTACTTTGGACCAACGCCAGAATCATGATTATCGTGTTCCAGTCGTGACCCACCATCCGAACTCCAATTATGGTACACTTTCACCAATTTGTTCAGCCATTACCGGACGCCTTGAAAAGAAACAAAAGAAATGACTAGAGACAGGTGAGGAGTTTCAGAAAATGAGCAAAGAAACTCGTTATTTATGATGCTCCCAACGCCAGTTCCGCGGACTTGCCTGAACGGAGAATGCATGCAACACACGGGGCATTTCAAAGAGCAGGGCCGGAGAACCGGAGGGACAATAGCAGATTCACACCGCCTAGTTCAGCACAAATTGGTGCCATAGAAGGCGTCACCACGACGACTCGGGAAGATTTAAGCCTTGCCGCGCTTTGGCGTGGCCAAGAAGGCAAGCCTGGACTTGCTGATTGAGTTTCCCTGCGGCGTGCGGCGGGGCAGCTTCGATGCAGATTTCGAGGGCGTCTGCGGGACTGCTACCGGAGCAGTCTTGATCTTCTTTGCGGAGCGCCCAGTATCAGGGGATTGCTCGCTGTTCTCCTTGTCCGAGCCCTCAGAGACCGTCTCGAGCTTGCGCTTCTTGCCCTCCACGATCGACGAGGCATCACTCTTTCGAACCATGCGGATAGTACCTGTCGAAGGAGGACCAAAGTTGATGGGCTTGTCAGATTTGAACGAGAATGCGGCTGATGCGGCTGGCGTGCTCTCGGTAGCACCGCCGAAAGTGAGACATCGCGATGGCGAAGCGGAAGCCGACTCTGCACCTTCAGGAATGGTGGGGTACTCCACCGAGCTGCCCAAGCTGGGATAGATGACTGCTCCAGAGGGGACCTCGGACCCAGCACGCAGCTTCATCGGCGAAGGAGACTTGCCAAGCTCATCAACTCCCGCTCGCTCCAGCGTGCTATTGGTGAAGTTGACGTGCTTCTTCACCGGCGCTGTTTTGGGCATCGCAGGAAGCACGTTGCTGGTGTTCCATCCGGATGGGGGAGACATATGGGTGCCGGCAGCGATCTTTGTAGGATCTTCGGAGAACTTGCGGCCCGGTGTGCGGAGGATGGATCGAACGCGCTGGAGTGAGCTGCTTGTCTTGCGGATACCGTCACGAACGCCCTCCTTAAAGGCGTTGCTAATGTTGGTCGGCAAGAACATGTTCTTCGTGGGTGAGGGTGAGCCATTGTTGGTGGGCGAGAGGAGGTTCCTCGTCGACGGCGAATGCAGTAGAGACGGACCTGTGAAGGAAGAAATCAGCTTTTGTACACTACGCTATAGCCTACAGTGTCCGCGGTAGGTGTGCGGCTACTTTGACGATAGATTCGAACTCACCAGGAATCATCGATTGAGACTTGAGTGTCTTGACACTCTGAGTTCTCGCGATGGACGATTTCGTCGGTGTCATCAGCCTAGACGCCAGTCGCGGCAAGCCCGTGTTCTTCCGAGCCGGTGTCGAGGTAACAGCAGCGGACTTATCAGGCGCAGGGCCGTCGCGGGATGTCGGGCGCGCAGTAGCAGCGTCGTCTGTCTCGGTACGCTTGACACGCTTCGCGAACGGGTTGTCCTCCTGGGTCGGACGGGGACCATCTCGCGACGGAGGAAGAGCTCGGACAGTCGTTTGCGACCGCGGAAGGCTGCTGCCCGCCATGTCCATCTTAGACTGGGTCCGCTTGAGCGGCGTGGGAGCAATCTTTGTTGTGGTCTCTGCTACGTCCATCTTCGACTGGGTGCGCTTCAATGCGGAAGTAGGAGCCTTTGGCATGGACTCTAGCAAATCCATCTTAGACTGCGTCCGCTTCAGCGTGTTCGGGGTCTTCGTGCTCGATTCCGCCTTGCTGAGGTCGACCTTGGAGGACGACTTCTGAAGGGCACGGAATGCAGAGGGATGGTTGGCGATCGAGTCCATCTTCTTGAATTCTTTCTGTGAAGCATCAACGTTAACTACGTTACTGAACAAGAACTGCAAGATCTAGACACATACCATGTGAGCGTCGCTGAAGCGCGCCATCTTGCCCTTGGGGACGGCAGTCTTGCGTTTGGGTGTCATATCAACGGGAGCGGTAAACTCGTTCGCCTTGAACAGGCCCCGACCCGCTGCCTCTTGTGTGCCGTCCTTCAAGATCCTCTTCGAAGACGGGCTAAGAGCACTAAGAGGTGATTTGAACCGGAAGCGAAAGCGAGTGTCCGGCGACACAACATCCCCTTCCGGCACCTTGCCTGGAGTCGCCTTCGTCGGTGTGTCTTGTCCAGCGCTCAAACCCATGGGCTTCGGCGGAGCTGTGTGCGCGCCCAAAGCCTGGAATCCGAGCCAGCGCGCCTCGTCCAAGTACTTGGCAGTGCTGGCGTGATGGTGAGCCGGATGCATCTCGATGCCGGTTGGCTTGATCGGAGTGCGATTGTTGGGGGTGCGGCTGGGTGTTGCGGTCGGCTCTGGAAGCTGCGACGCCTTCGAGGCCTTCGTACCGTTGGTCGCGGGCTTCTGTGGCGTCTTCATCGCGAGCTCTTCGTCCTCTGCAACGGCGGGAAGCTCTTGCTGAGCTGGCGAGTTGGAGCGAGACGGAGCAGTCTCCCAGCTGTCGCGGGAATCGCTGGAGCGCGACTGCGTGGGCGCCGGCGAATGCTGTAGGCGGTGAGCACATGCGTGTAAACAAACATTGGACCCAACGCGACGGCAGCATACCTTCTGGAGCCTGGCTGAGCGGCGCGCCATGGTGTTGATGTGATCAATTTCTAAGTAAATAATTAGCAGGTGCACCAGGTCAAGGACTGCTGCACGGATATATGTGGTGGTCTGTGGGACGTGGGGAGATATGAGCCGGGCTAGAATAGTTCGTCATATGCCAAGGTAAACAAAAAGCTTGGGCCATATCACGTGTTCGGTCCCAAACGGCCCGCCGATGCAGACGCTGTGCCAACGGATAAGACCTCGTATCACCAATGCTCACTCCATCGTCTGATACGCTGTCGGCTGTGTGTACATTCGATCAGCCTGATTGAACTCTGTTTACCTTGCGACAAGCTCCATTGCGCCCGCACGAAGCGTGACTTCAGCAGCATTGATGACTCGCATGTAGATGACTGTATTCATGATCGCACAGGATAGTCTGAGAGATCTGAGCTATGCCGGACTTCGGCGATACAGTCGTACGAAAGATATTGGTCCAAAGGATACTCGAGCCAATGCAGCCAGCAGAGAGATCGGCCATACCTGCAAGAAACTTGTTAGAGCTACGTACCATCAAGAGATGCAGTACATCAGATTACATTGAAGTAGGGTGAACCATGTTGATAGGTCGAGCCTTGTTCTGCCATATCTATTTACGGACAGTGTGGAAGCTATGAGGTCTTATGGACCATCTCCAACGGATACCTTGAGATGAACAGATATCGTTTTAGAACCTTGTGTCAAATACGGTTTGATTCTTTTCATATCTCTACGTAAAATCTTTGACCTCCAGTGGTATAGCTTCAAACCGACTCAAGCATGCTGACACCCTGGTTAAGTCTCGCCGCTCCCTTCGATGCACTTAGAGAACGAGCTCAATGCTGAGGCTGAACTATACAGTCATCTTTAACGATGTATTCAGACCTACTGCACGCGCCCGGTTTCCCTTAAGCGAATAACCTACCAGCAGCGTCGACATCTCATGCAGTACCACTCACACCGTTGTATGATCGAACTACTCGATCGCTCTACTAAATCAAGAACGCAGCGAGGCAATTACTTGTACAGAGGTTCGAAGCAACTGGGTTCCTAAAGACGTGGAGTATTCCGTAACTACGATCGATCCGTAACACGCTTTTCGTTCACTCCCTCGGTATCAGAAGGCCAAATCTGCCAAAGGAGTGGCTTTGAGCACAGTAGCCTGATAGTTGTACTGAGTGGTGCACCGTAGGAAGTGCATCTCGAATGCCTACACCATACCCAGACCATAGCTACCCGACGCGATACTGATTGGTGCATAAGCATTATCAATTCCAAAACTTAGTATCGCCAGCAAATTCAACATAATCCCACAATCACTCCAAATCCACGATGCAAGGAAGAACCCCTCACCCCCTCAGGATGTCCTACAAACATTTACAGGTGCCTCACCCAACAAAACAGACGACAAATTGCGCCCTCTTGGCACCCAATCTCCGCTCTCGTCCCCCCAAAAGCCCAAGAAGCTCGGCACTCACATCCATTGCTCCGCCGCGATCCGTCTCGGCGCCCGAGCAAAAATACCAAAGCAATATTGTCAGTTCTTGGTATGCAACATGACCCAGAAGAGGCAGCCAAGCTGCTGAGATATGCCGGGGCAGCGAAGCATACGCGTACCTGTTGCTGAGCCTGTTGCTGAGCGGGTGGGCGGAGATGGTGGTGCTTGTTATGACTTCACTGTGCACCAGCGCCACAATGGGCGTGTTGAGTGGCGCGCGTCGATAGGGTGGAAGGAAGTGAGCACAAATAGCGCACCATAGACACATGTAGGCTTATGGACGCGTGTACTATCTACTGGTTTGAACAGATCAGTGACGGGCTGCGCTAGTTCTCAGGGCCAAATTGGGTGACAGCGAGCTCATCCGCGAGAACGACATTATGTGCTTAAAAGGGACATATGGACTTTGATACACTGTACTGCTGTCCAGGGGCATGGAGCAAAGATGCACGAAGTATTGTGCGTTAGTCCACCTCAACCACATCCCGTTTCGCTATCTTGTTCGATATTGAAACGGAAGGTGCGACTCAGCTGCAACATCTGGCCTAGCTGCTTACAATATCCTACAGATGGTGTGATTGCAGACCTGCTTTTTGGGTGCTAACTGCACAGCCTCGGGCCAAGCACTCTGATTTTCTTGGGTATTTCTTGGTGCCAAGGCACGGGGCTCGTCCCGCTCTTCTCATCCGCACAAAGCCAAGATGCTGTGGTGTACTGTAAGCACGGTAGTCTACACATTACCATCTGCTCGTTGAAAACAAAGAGCCGTGTGACAATGTTTAGTTGATGGAAGACTGGTAATGGTGTACGATACGGACAACCATGTTGTTTCGCTGTAAGCAAGTCGAGACTGCCCATGTGGACCCAGATGCGTTTCAATGATCTTTGCAGTGGGATTGAAACATGCCAACGGTTCGTGCAGTGATTTTTGAGACGACTTCATGATCGGTACACTGAGCCCCGATGTAAAGAAACATCCATATAGCGAACTGGGAGATCTAAAGGATGGAATCGGTTGCACAGCATGTAAAGTACTTCATTCGGCAAACTTATTCCCGTCGGCAATTACGGTACGCCTGCGTCTGGTTCACATTAGCTTGATGGCATCCGAGGAGTGTAAGAGAGTATTCCATTTAAACGCGCTTGAACTGACTCACTGTTTCCAGAGCTGCTTCAGGTTACTGAGCTGATTAGCAGGTGCGCATATCAGTGGAGGCCGTTGGATCATATGCAGTCATGACTAAGACTTGTACTCTCAGGGTCGAAAGACAAAGACCTGAGGGTCCCTGGAGACCAGGTGTTCTACCAGATGGCGGACCTCAAGTCGACTGCGGATGACATGTGCTTGGCTGAGGTCACGGTAAAAGCGAGGCCCATCACGGCCTCGCGAAGCGTGGCTATTCGAAGCACGAAACCAGAGCGGGGCGTGTTGGCGAGAACGAGCAGAAGACGTTGCCACGAGGCACACAGCGCTGAAGCTCTGGGCGACACTGCCCGGCCATGACGAGCGTTTCCGCTGAAGCCAAGTTTGGGCGGGCGAGTTCTTGGGTGTTGTCGGACTTGGCCCTAGGCGGGAGTTTCGGCTGGGTCTCATGCTGATCGCCCAGCCTGGCGGCATGCGGAATGCACGGCCGCCGAGGAAATCTTCTCTCCACGCCACCGCTCGTGCGCGTACCTTTGGATGCAGCAACAGACGGCGCTCAACGGGCGCCCGGATGTGCTCTCACGGGCAGCAGCTGAGACCTGCCTGGGTTTGGACGCGACGGGCAGAAGCCGGGATGGTCGGTCGACGCCATCAACGCTTCGCCTGCGCCAAGGCTTGGCAGTACGTAACAGGCGCAAGCGCAGCCTGATCGGGCTTGGCGCGTGCTTTGGCGTTCTCGCTGCGACTGGCCAAGGGTGACGGGGGCTGAGCGCTGGATGGGCTATTTCTTGGGTGCTTTCCGGGACAAATTGGCGCCCAGATGTTGCCCAGGTTTTCCTCCCCCGCTCATTTCATACTTCACGCGCTCCTGCCCCGTCCTCGCTTTCTTGAACTCTTTCTCCGCAATTCGAGGCTTTTGGCACGCGCATTCCTTTCAACTGAGTGCGCCTTCCCTTCCTGCGCGGCTGGTATTACCTAAGCACGCGCGAACCTCGGATTTTTACTTGTCTGGGACTTCTTGTCGCCAAGAACTCTCCACCTCACCCAAGTCTACCCCAGCAATGGCAGAACAGCAACCTCAAGCAACTGTGCCCCAGACGGCCGCTCCTCAGCAGCCCGCCATCGGCACCCCGACACAACAGCCTGCCCAGATCCCCCAAGCATCCAACGTCGGCGCCACTGATACACTCGTCTGCCAGTGGCAGAATTGCGGCGAGCGTTGCCCGACAGCTGAGCAACTCTATGTAAGTTGAGTCCAAAGCACAACAACATCATGCAAGACGCGTATTATGGTCTGCATGCCTCCATATACGCGTCCCTCACATCCGCGACCTTCGAAAACGCGTGGCTTCCCATCAAAACCCACGTGATCCATAACTGACAACACCGCAGGACCACGTCTGTGAGCGCCATGTTGGTCGCAAAAGCACCAACAACCTGAACCTCACCTGCCAGTGGGGCAACTGTCGTACCACGACCGTTAAGCGAGATCATATCACCTCGCACATTCGCGTCCACGTCCCCTTGAAGCCGCATAAGTGCGACTTCTGTGGCAAGGCGTTCAAGCGTCCTCAAGATCTCAAGAAGCACGTCAAAACCCACGCTGATGATTCTGTCCTTCTGCGCTCTCCTGAGCCGAACCGTGGTGGCCCTCACGGAGGACCCGGCTACCCAGGTCAAGGCGGCAAACGTAAGTGCTCTTCATCGCATCCTCTAAGCAACCCGATGATCCTTTGTACCCCACCGAAATCCCCTAATCATCGTTCACTAAATCTCTCATATCTCTTTTCAATTCTAACTCGCGCTCCATAGTGGTCGCTGACTTGCAGGCGCTTGCCGCTACAGCCAGCGGATACCAATATCCCGAAGGTGGTCTCGGTCCCAATGGAGGCTACGGCCAACAACACCCTGGCGGCGCCCCAGCTGGATTCTACGGTGGACCTCCCCAAAATTCCGCATATGGTCCCGTCTACTATGCACTCAACCCTGCCCAGCAAAACTTGAACGACTCTTACGAGATCCGAAAACGTGCTGCGTATGATGCATTGAACGAATTCTTTGGCGACGCCAAGCGCCGCGCTATCGATCCTGCCACGTACTACGATGTCGGTCAAAGGCTTATGGGTCTCCAAGGCGTTCAGCTGCCCGTCGTCGGTGGTGGCGGCTACCAGCAAGGAGGTATGTCCGAGTACGGCGGCCACGGAGGCACAATGATGGCTCAAGCTACTCACCCTCCTATGCATCCTTACTCGCTACCGCTCCCCAACCTGCGCACCAAGAGCGATCTTCTCAACATCGATCAGTTCTTGGAGCAGCTGCAGAGCACTGTGTATGAGAACCCCAACCACGCGGCCGCTGCTGGTGTTCAACAAGCTGGCGCCCACTACCTCCACACTGGCGCCGCATACCGTACTAGCCATTCGCCGCCTGGGCTTCCGACAACGCACCCTCAATCCTCGCATGCCACTGCTGCCGCTTCCGCGAACGCCGACACTCCGGCTTTGACTCCAGCATCAAGTGTCATGTCGTACGCTTCTCAGCACTCGCCCGGATCGCACCACTCTGGCAGCACCGTTTCCCCTACGACCAGGACCTCAATGGGTAGCATGTACCCAACTCTGCCTTCAGTCAGTGCCATGTCAGACATGTCAGCCGCTGCACCTTCATCCGGCTTGGCACCCGCCTTTGATGCCGATGGTCGCCGGCGCTACTCTGGTAACCTTTTGCAGAAGGCAGCTCCAGGTCGCGACGAACAGGATCAGATGGACACATCCGACGATGCGGAGGAAGGCAAGACTCCTCGTGATTCTGAGCAAGACAACCTGCATCACACAGTTAACCAGCTCGCGATCCACTCGCCCAAGGTTGACCCAGCTCTGTCAATGCGCTCTCCAAGTGCTGTCTCGTCAACATCTACCGAACAGCCTCATGAGACTTCTCAACAGACCTGGGTAGAAAACATCCGCACGATTGAGAGGTTACGAGCATACCTCAAAGAGAGGCTTGAGTCTCATGACTTCTCAGACGACGAGGAGGACATCAAACATGAGGACGAGAGTAGAGATCATATGAGCGACGATGCCCGGGATCTGTACCCTGTACTACGGGCTGTACAAGAAGGAAGGGAGTAAATTTTTCAATTCTTGTCCGCAGTCAGTGCAAGTAAATTCGTAGGGTTTTGGGTGCGGCGACATGAGGCGTTCAGGAGTTCTACCGAACTTACAAGGGTATGACCAGAGACTGGTGGTCTCACGCAGGATACGATGGTGTTTGTTGTTTATCCCAATATCCCATCTTCAAGGGTTTCACATAGTGGAACTCACAACAGTGCTTCAATTCAAGCTTTATTTCCTCTCTTCATCATTGAATTTGATCATACTGTGAATAACGATTCTCCTGTCGTGTGAGTTACGGAGTGATGCAAACGGCGTTGCGGGCGCTCCTTATCGGACGCTAGTTCCTGTGACTAATGCGGCTCCCCTGCCCATCACGCGTTCACCCCACAATCACCTCGACCCGCCAAGCGCATCCCCCGCGCCTCTTGCACGCGATCTCGGAACGATCCAAGGTACTGGCATGGATCGTCGTGCTTCTTTCCTCGAGGCCGACTGAGCCTCTTCTTCATTACCACCATACTTCCATAATTGATCTCTACTTGCAACCACGGACTCCATCGTACTGCCGTCGTGCGTACGACCATTCGATTACTGGAACTTGACACTACCGACTGAAAGCGCACAATATGTCTGGACGCGGCGGCGCAGGGAACATCATCCGCGCACAGGAGCAGAGCAAGAAGACCGTCGAGGTGCGTAGCGATTTTCCGTCGCAGCGACGCAGGCGCCCCCGTTGCGACCTGTCGCCAGTCCGACCTCGAAGCGTTTCCACGTCGCTAACACTAAATACAGGACGTAGAAGCTCAGCGCATTCCCTCCACAACCGCCGACGCTGCTCCTCCATCCACCACGGCAGCTCAATCCTACGCCCATACTGGCCGCGGCGGCGCAGGCAACTGGTACCAGCCCGAGCGGCTCGCGAAGGAAGGCACGTTCTCGACGCCCTCGGATTCCACCGCGCTGCCGACGACCGCAAAGCCGAACGTGTCTACGCCGTGGCATCCTGAGAATCAGCAGATGCCTGTTGGGCGGGCGGGACGCGGTGGGGCGGGGAACTTCGTGTGGAAGGACGAGGAGGAGGAGAAGAAGACGAAAGAAGACAAGGAGAAGCTGGGTGAGAAAGTGAGTGAGAGCGTGGAGAGAGATGTTGAAGCGGTGTTGGCGAAGCCACCTGGGGCGCTGTTGGGTGGTGTGAAGGCGGGGAGGGGTGGTAGGTAGGGTAGGGGCTGAGATGAGACGGCTTCACGTTCTTGCGGAACGCGGAGATGCGGATTATGATCATTGATTATGTACAGATGTGAGCATCTATCGGAGAGAGCTCAGTCATACGACCTGAGCAGATCCGAAATGGCGTAGTACGCTGGCTTCTTCGTGAAGTTTGCATCCCAGATATCGGCGTTTCCGTAGCCCGGGAAGGTATCCGGCACCCAGCTTACAGGGTCCTAGACTCAATCAGTAAATGCTCTTTATCTACGTCTCAATCACACCACGGATATCACGTACCCAGAAGTCCCACACAGTGACACCGACGCAGTCGTCCGCATCGAGGCACGCCTTAGTCGAGTCCGCGTAAACCTGCGCCTGGAGCGCCTGCGCCGTCGAATTGTCAGGAAGCTGAAGCCTCACATCTAGCTCCGTGAGCGCGGTCTCCACGCCAAGCCTGCTAAACAGCTTATGCGCAGCCATCTGAGCGTCGTAGCTCGGGGCGCGCCCAACGGTGTAATGCGCTTGCAGTCCCACCCCATCAATGGGTACACCGCGTTTCTTAAAGTCCTTGACTGCCTTCTATCAGCTCAGGCTTCCACAGCTTCCCTCCACATTACGTTCGAATAGGATGCACTTACCCATCGCAGCAACCTTACTACTCTTATTATTCACACTCTCAATCGCATAGTCGTTGTAATACAACTTCGTCCCCGGCCGGGTATACTTCCGCGCAAACTTAAACGCCAGCTCGATGTACTCCGCGCCAATAGTATCGAGCCAGATATCCTTCCTCAAACTCGCTGCCGCGTCATCGTCGAACGCCTCGTTGACTACATCCCACGCATAGCAGTCATTATAGTAATGCCTCGCCTCGTGCTTGATGTGGTTCTCCAAGACCTTCACTAACGCTGGCTTCGTCCAATTTGCAGAAGTCAGCCACTCAGGCAGCTGGTTGTGCCACACGAAGTTGTGGCAGCGCTTTAGCTGGCCGGCCCTAGTAGCCGGCACGGTGATCTGGTCGCCGAGCGTGTAGTTGAAGACGCCCTGCGTGGGCTCGATGTACATCCATTTCTGGCCGTTGGCGGGGGTGACCTGGCCGAATTCGGAGCGGTTGCGCGCGATGGAGATGTACTGCTTGTTGTCGAGGACGACGTTGTCGATTGCGGTGCCGAAGTAGAGCAGGCCGGCGCGTTTGGCGAGGACGTCGAGGCCGGGGTACTTGAGCGGCTTGCTGTGGGGTTTGGTCCAAGGCCAGGTGGGAAGCGCAGTAGAAGCAGCAGGCAGAGCCGCGACGAGGAGCGTGAGCTTCATCTTGTTCGCAAGATGTCAATTGGCATCGAAAACTCCTGGGGAGGATAGACTGCGACGAGCGAGGGCGCTGAGGAAGTCATCTTTGCGTGGTGTGTGGAGGGTATATATGACTTCCTGCGTGCAGCTACCCCTACCTCTGGCCTGGGGAGCAGGCCCAGCCACCCGTCATGAGCCCTTCTAGAATGCCGTATGCAATTAACCGTGCCGGGATGTTCATCGTGGATGCTGGGTTTCCTCGGCGCTGGGTGGGAGATCGACGCGGATAAATTCAGGTACGAGCAGGATATACAATGGACTAAGGACGACGCCTAGATACTAGGCCGGAACAGTGTTGACAGCGCGGTGGCAAGGGCGTAGTCGGAATGAGCGCAGCTTGGACAGGTCGATTGGTGTCGAAAGGCCGTATGATAAAATTGGAGTTGATGCTCAGTTCAATGTTGCATAGGGCGCCGGTCATGGGTAACAGTGTGCTAGCTTGGTTCCTACCAGATACAACTTCCATACCAGAGGTACGCCGGACTGGCCAAGAAGAACATCACATGTACCCCGCATGCCCGCGGAGGCAAACACGTTGCTCCGGCTGCCCGCAACGACTATGTTGCGACGAGGTTAGACTCTAAGAAACGAGCCGTACCGAGCGCGCTGAATAGGCTAAATAGAGACGTCGAGCAGCACTTCAGATCTTAGGGTCAACTTTGCTATTGTTATTGTCGTCCTTCAATCTGCCGTTCAGGCTTGTGGCGTATCTTGTAGTGCATTTTCTCTTTTGGAAGGTGCATAGCGTATGTGTGCCTTCGTGGTAGGAATCGTGGTGGCGACGTCGTGACGGTCCTCGACGCAGAATCACCCAACAACACGAAGTAGAATGTTACTCACGCATAACACATGTCGCCGCACTCTTATATTTGCTCTCCCAGATACACCTCTCCTTCTGACGATACCCGCGTATGTATGCTCATATGATTCTGAGGCCGGTCCTCTGACCAATCGCTGGGTTGGGATGGTTGGAGTCCCGTCGTGGACCTGGTACTGTCGGTATGGCTCCCAACCCTCTTTCTGTACCGGCGGTAGAGTTTTCGGGTCACGGTGAGGCAAAGGCATACTATGGAGACGCAGGCTTCGGTGTTGTTCCAGATTATCGCCTCTACAGATGCGGCTAACAATACTAAGCTTACAAGTAGATGTCTAGTAAAGGAGGTCTATACGTACAGATACGAGAATGGCTGCGCGTATATCTGAAGATTTCGATTGCGCGAAATATGCCACAGGCTCCTGCGCTGGAGGCTCGTCAGTGTTTGGGGAACGTATGATAATGACTGAGTTGGGATGATTTGCTTACAATACTCCCGTGCTGAGAGATATGCAGATTACAAGCTTCTCTTTCCGCCTCACTTGGAGGCCGCTGAAGAAGAACCATGGCAATAGTGCTAAGAAGAAGTCAAGAAAAGTGCCATAGCCTGTCCTCATGATCAGTTTTTACGAAGGATAGGTTTAAGTTGATGGAGTGGTCAGAGCATACCGGTAAGCAAATAGCCAACCAGGTTAACATCGAAATGACACTGCTTTGGTAAAAACATGTTCCAATTTGCGTTCACAGGAAAACATTGTACGAAGAGCCCAATGAACTCCAATGCCGATAAGAGACCGAGGGTTGCGAGGCTGACACAGAGAATGACTTTATGCCTACGAGATCGATACGATTAGAACGTAGAACTTAGGCTTGAGGACGCCGTTTATCTTACGTGATGTCGACAACTATCTCGAGCAGAAACGCAACGACCGCCGCCTTGCTCACGAACAGTGAGAACGTTACCAGGCTGGGAACTGCAAAAACGTACGGCTGAACAATTATCATATCTTCCCGGTCTAGATCAGCACGACCGAGGCCGTGGTATACGGCACCGATTGTGTTTCCAGTGAGTCCAAGCAGAAATACCTACTTGGAAAGTTAAGTGAGACTGTAATCATAGTAATGAGGACCGAAATGCATACCATTGTGGTCCACAGCAGATAGTCATCGGTCCGAAGTCCATGCATGAGTCGAATGCGAGCCCAGCTTCGGAGACAGACGAATATGAGAGCAACAATACACTGCGCTACTGTCACAATGACAAGCACACGGCCGCTAACTCTAGGCTGCATTGAGCTCATAGTCGTGAAGTCGTCGTTTGTTTTCAGAAAGTGGTAGTAGGCTCAGATAGGATCTTGGACATAGTGAAGGACGATTGTCGTAATCATACCATCTTTAATAGAGCGATCTGCCACTAACCTCAAGACGGCAGGATAAATCAGTCGGCATTACGTCGCTGAAAGCAACCTATAAAGACTTTGCAAACTCAGATATGAGCTACGTCACCTGAAATTCATGTAACTCTAGCAAGTAAGTCTTAGCTTCCATCTGCTTTCAATGCAATCAAGCGAGTGAGTAGGACGCACGATGGACCTCGAGGCACATACTAGCAAATAAGGCGTGCTGTCTCGTTCAGCCATGTGTATCACGTAACAGAAATTAAGCTGCTTACAAATCTGATCTAGAGCACACAATCAAAGTTGGTGTTTCTCGTGCTTAAATAAGGCTGATACTGACGGACGCGGCGTGAAATCTAAGACATGCTGGAATGCCTTCAGCTCTGCATCAACGGAATGTGAGTAATCCTGCGGCTGTCGCCTCGAGCATCCCCTTTAGATCGTAGGGACTCAGAGAGTCGGATAAGTGTGAATGCAGTGAATGCATATAATATCACGTGTCCAGCCCTAAAAGGTCGGCTGTATCTACCGATGCAAACGCTGTGTCAACGGATGAGACATCGTATCACCCCGTCACTCGAATCTGATGCGCTGCCGGTTGCTCGTACATATCACTCTCGTATACATTTTCGCACCTTTCAAGCACAGTGTTAGAGACCAGACTCAGAAAACATATTTCAAGAAATTCCCGACTAGCGAGATCCATGTCCACCAGATCAGTTACTTTCGGCTTGCAGATTGTTCTTACGCATACCTAGACGCTTAATCGAGCACACCATACGCTCCTGCTTCCTTGTCAAACATGATCCTTAGGTCACCAGCATTACGTTCAGGTTTCTCCCGAACTGCAATATTCTCATGCGTGTACACTACATCATTTCGAAAAACAGGTTGGACTCAACGATTTCTATCAGCACCATTCATTCTTACGCCGAGTCTAGTCCTGTACGACTTTGCAAAGCAGATAATTGGCATTTGAAATTCTGTAGACTCGTTCATGCGGAATTGCAAAGCACGAACCTAGGTCTGGTCTAAGATTTTGCACCGCGTTCCAGTCATGCGACCAAGTACTCGTGATGGGTAAGATATTCCATTTTGCTACGCTTAGGATTCCTCCTCCCCGCGGACAAAATTGATCCATTTCCGCACGCAGCGATCCTCTCCACTGCAGTGATGTGCGCGATCGGGGTTCCAATTGCAGCATTTATAGCACCACTTGGTATAACATCATAATCCGATATGAATACATCGAGCTGTACGTAAACCTCCCTACGCGACGCTCGGATCCATAATATGATTAGTATATTCTCGATGACTCGAATCTGGTTACTTCAGCTTCGAGCTTCCCGGTCGTAGCTCAGTGTTGTCCACTGTGCTGTATACATCCAGTAGTGTATATATACAGGGGTTACGCCGTGAGAAGCTCTATTATCTTTGGAGCTGGTGGACTCTTGATTGGGGCAGGCGAGCAGAAAGCCTTGTACAACATTGCGTTCGTTCCGTTATCATTGCATTGGAGTTTCGTAGAAAATGAAAAGCTCCGTGATAAAGATGTCGTGTCACTCAAATCTGCACAAAGCTTTCAGAGTCGTACAGTTTCAAGATTCACTCTAGGCCACTGATTACAAGCCAAGCAGAATTCAATCCACCTCAGACCTGATTTCCTCGATGTTAGTACGCGCTCTCAAGAGGCGCGCTAAAAGAGGCGAAGGGATCAGCGAGGCTGTGATTTCTTTTCCTCACATATTCAACAAGACGCAAAGTGCGTTGCTAGATCGCTTGCAACCCGAAACAAGTTTTCAACGATAAGAATAGGAAATCTGCACCGATTGTTAGACTCGGAGCCATACGGCTTGCACTCGGGAAGAGAGTGGTTTGTATAATACCAACAATTCTCTTTAATCAACATGAACGGGATGTACAAAGTTCCACATATTTGTCATTCCAGCGTTCTTGTTGTTCATAATCAACGTATTCAAACTCCTTGTTCCAGCAAACAGTGTGGGAAAGGTGAACTCGAACAAATTGGGCTTGTTCGCTCGTTGCGATCGTCCAGTTATGAACGACCACAACCATCGAATGATTTCATCCCGGTTTCTCGCATCTTGAGGTCGAATATTTCGATTACCTCAAGATCGCTAAACCCGTTGCGCACAAAATCTAGTGGCATCTCCTCATCGTTAGTAACGCTTCTAAGCCGTCGGAGTGTAAGGGACTATTAACCATTCGAAGAAACATTATTGGGCCTTCTTTAACGATTTTGGTGAAGGTCTGGTGCCTATTCTGCCGAACACCACGTCGTATCTGGGTCTATGTTCCGAAGAGACGAAGAATTCCGTCGACTGTACATGTCTACTATGTTCCTCGCACCACACCAAATTTGTGTATCCGCTAATATCCTTCGCTGTGGGGTATGAGTGTCGCCTCCCCTCGTCAATCGGATAGATTGGCTTTTTGAGAATTTCGGTAACCAAGTATCGCGAGACGACATTCTCGTCGGTTGTATCGTCGAAGGATACGGCTGCTGATCTCCATATATGTGCTCCATTGTCTGATTGAGCGTTGATCTCTATTGTGGGAGCTCTTTGGGTTGTATGTCTCCGATGCTTCAGCGATTGTCAGCCGCAGAACACCAAATGCACACTTCCGACCGTATGCTCAACTATAACGGACCTTTGATTTATTTCGTGACTTTAGTGGTAAACATGAGAACATTCTGCGCTTCAAACTCGAGCAGTAACGCGCAATCTCAATGGGGTGTAAGTGCGGTGTTCCGGTGAAGGACTCTTGCGAGTGTGCCTCGCCGACTGCAGGACGAGGAAGGCTGAGCAGTCAGCCAGCCTGCCAGCCAGCCTGGTTCACCGGGGTCAGGATTTCACCAGATAATTGCATTTCAGGCTGCAAGACCGGAGGGCCCGTGGCAGATGGTACACAGTGCAGATCTTGCAAAGATACCATTGGTCGTGATCCTCCTAACGGTCTGTGCACTGCAGGACGGTAACTCGCTTGGATGTCTGGGTGGCTCTGCGCATCATACTTTGATTGGCCGGGGTCATCATGAGGCATACGTCGATCCAAAGCTGCATCATCCGTTGGCTGAACGTTCACATGATTGGCGCAAGGCGCATGAAGATTGACATGATTGGTGTAAGGTGACGCCTGGCTACGCCTCTGGGTCAGACTTCCAAAGTCGCCTTATCAGAACCAATTAAATGCAGTGCCACCCCACCATCTGCGCTGTTGGGTAACAGGATCTCTCGGTGAACTGAATAGAGATCGAGCTTCTTCTCTGCCCACGGTTGTGCCCTCATTGTCATCGCAACATAGGTGGCTTCGAGCTCAACTCAGAATTTTGTCTTACTCTCGAAATGTCTGTCGTACTTGCACGATCTTAAGCAAGCGAGTTTTCCGAGCAATCACTGGATGCTCAGAAATACATTATGACAACGCATCGTTCGCAGCCTTGTGAAAAGGGCCCTGGAGATTCAGTAGATGCATGATGCACTCTCATATGCAAGACAGCCAGCTATCAAGGCGGTTGAGTGGTTGGAACAGCCGAAAAGGCTGTAGATGTATACTTTGCCTCGTTGCCTTGACTGAGAAATGCGTACGCATACCTTTCAAGTAGAGGAGATAGCCTCCCGAGAAGGTTGAAACGCATAATCGTGGCCCTACAAACACACCTCCCAAGCATCAAAATGTCGAACCCAGTAGTCACGAGTGCGAATAGTCCAACGTCACCAGTAGCACATGGCTATCCAATGACAGCAGTAGGTACAGTTTCGAGGAGCTCAAGCAACACATCATCCGAGAAAGCCCAAGGCTACCCCATGCTGGCAGCTCAGATAGAGCAACGACCCGAGATGGCTATATTTCGTCGGTTTGGAGGACTAAACGCTGAGAACCTTCTCTATCTCCAAGCCGAACTTGTCTTGCTTGAAGAAGAACTACAGAAACAACAGATGGAAGACAGCAACAGCAACATCGAACCTAAAACAAAGTATGCTCGAAACTGGTACCATCTACGCAGTTCCCAGAATAATGGCGACTCGAGGCAGCTGGACCTGGTACACACAATCAGGGAGACGCTATGGCAATACAGTACGCGTCATCAAGCAAACCTTAGGGGTAAGACGTCGCTGACATTGCACACAGATCAGGCGCTCATACAACAGTCTCGAGTGCTTTCATATCCGGAGCCAGATCGATACGATCTCAAGTACATGCAGAGGTTTCTGCATAGCAAGCATCACATGGATCTCTGTCTCCTCGGTCCTGACGCCACAATATGGGGTTCTCTGTCCGAACCACACGCGCACAGCCCCGATCTCGCAAGCCTACGTCCTCGGAAGAAAGAAGACCCCTTCTCCAACTGGGTGGTGGACAATGCAATCACGAAGCTGGTTCGTTGCGGCTGCGCTTGCTTTTTGAAATCATCGCGAGCGGATATGCGCGGAATCATCGGGTATGAAGATGAAAAGGTTATGCAGATCACTTATTGGATGACGAGCGTGATTGCATCTCTACTCCCAATAGGCTCGATCGTCATCTTGTATAAGGTCCAGTCTATGGCTGCCAGACTGGGTATCATCGCGGCTTTCAACGTCCTAGTGTCTCTTTGTTTAAGCGTTTTCACGAATGCCAAACGAGCGGAGGTCTTCGCAGTAACTGCAGCGTGAGTTGTAGAACGCTCTGTCCGGGCCGAGCTAACACAGAGACAGATTCGCCGCCGTTCAGGTCGTATTCGTCAGTGCTGACAAGACTGATTAGATGGCTACTGGGTAACAACATTTCGAAGTCCGAATCGAATCTAGTCGAGATATGCGTGACTGTGCTCTGTCAAGATCTGTATATCCTACAATGGCTACAGACTCTGAGCTCCAGTGATTCACACAACAGAAACTGGCCCGGCCACGCGCATCCTACTGAGGGGCAACAATAGCGCTTTGTGTACGTAATGAAATTACCACTGCTTTTTACACGGGTACGAAGTCCCGATTGGTCTGCATAAAGTGGCTTGCCGCTCCAGGCGCTGCATGTCATCACCCTTGCGTGTACATGAAAGAACCCCGGTCGCGAGAGCGGAGCGCGGCAATGATGCTTCTGACAAAGCGGCTCATAAGCCGCTCAATCCTAACATTGCAGTCATGCTTTTTCTTTCACCTGGATGCCACACCCGACTACTTTCTTGAAACGGAAGTGGAGTCCCAAAGGCCCAATGTAAGAGGAAGATAAGAAGAACTGCCACGGGAGTGGGACAAAGCTTGTCGCGGTGTCGCCTGAGTCGAATGTTGTTGGGATGTGCTGAGCGAAAAGTGTTCCCAAGGCAGTGTTACATCGTAGAAGTATGCACCCGGCGCCGTAAAGTATTCATATGGGAAGGGAAGCAAACTGATCATAACCCTTAGCCCTGGCGGAGCCATGCTTCTATGCACAGGCTCGACTCCGCTTGTACGGCCTGAGAGCGTTCCTGCCCATTCGATGTTGCGGTACACTGCTGCCGTCTGAATTCGACTGAAGCTTGCGCAATCGGCCAGTGTGCCCCTAGGATTCAAGGTGCACGAGTGATGCAGCATCTTCGGCACATTCCACGGATATGGAGCTGGTCTTCCGGGCGAAAGATACAGATATCGAGGTTGGAAAGATGAGGGATGACTTTCGAGCGTCTGCCCTCATCGGCCTTGGTGTAATTGATCGAATTCCGCCGTAGCTTGTTGATACCTGTCATTGTATATCTTTGCACACGCTATCTTTACGTATTCATGCGCTTGCTTGTGGGCATAGGCGTCGCGCTGTTGCTACGATGGGCTGTCAGCTAAGCAACAGATCAATTGGGTGCGACAAACCTGGTATGCGTACCCTTGCTCCATCAGACGGGCTTCATATTGACGTGCTTGTCTAGCGGCTTCCTCATTAGGGCGAATACTATGTCCTGTCCTATCGTTAGTTGCAGCTCATCGCCGTGAAGGGACGAGACATACGGTCAATTCGAATATGCGGTGTGCGCACTCCAAGTGGTACGGCCAGAGGCATCGAAGGTTCACCCTGGAACAGCTTATGCTTTATGATCGCTGGGCGACCGATGATGACATCGCAACGGAGATCATGGTCTGACACTCTGAATTCCGTGGGGTCATAACAAGGATCGAACGCATCGATGTCTGCGCAGAACCATCTTCCCTCGAAGCGCGCGGTCGAGTACGCACGTCCTGCCGGAGTGATAGCGTAGTGCTCACGGTCGATCGAGTCGTACTTGAGAGAAGGAAGCCCCTCAAGCATCCGTTGATCAACAAGATTGCACGGACAAAACCAGTCGAGCCACGCCCGTGCGACAATCAGCGGGCGGTCACCGTTTGCAAGGGGCACCTCGATCCTAATGTCGCGTTCAAAGAGCTGTCGCATAATGTGCTGAGCGCGTTCATCCTGTGTCTCTCCTGACGGCAGCCCACGCTCGACTGACCTTCCGTAAGTGATTTCGGCGCTCCTAGGTAATAGTGCGGGCTCGAATCCTCCGAGGCCGATCGGCGATGCTTGAAGACAATCTTCTGGACTGCGGGGTTTCTGTGACTTCTGCGTCAACGGCAGCTGCAAAAGTCTACGCAATCGAGATAGCGCGCTGCGACCGAAGCTTGATATGCTTCGTTCGGAGACCGTCGATGGAGGCAAAGTGCGCGTAGGACATAATGACGTGTTCGAGGGGGTGATGGTGGTAGAAAGAGAGGCGAGGTTGTGGCCGGCGGGTACCTGGAACAGGTCGTCCGACAAGGTGAAAAGACCATGAGCCTGATACGCTTCGACCGTCGGAACGGATTGCAAGCCATGTGAGGGTTGGGGGGAGTCTGTGGATGAAAACAGGTCAGCGGCAGCGGAGGCAAGAGCAGCTGGCGCGTTGTGCGACATGCTAGGACGGGGCCGTGGGTCGGACGAAGATGTAGGAGCAGGTGCTAGGAGCGGCGTGGCTGGAAAAGACAAATGCACTGTCGCGTGTAAAGATTCGGCCATTGTTGTAAACTCCTGAGCAGTGGACGCTGTGCTGCCTGTGTCATGGTTAAAGAGCGCTTCCAAAAGCGTCACGAGGAGAATCTGCCGCTTACCTTGGGTCTGACCTTGGTCGGTCGTTATGGCCTCTGCTTCAGGCGGGCCGTCCGTCGTCTGCATGGACGCTCCGTCCATAGTAGGCTTGTGCCGACTCAGCGTCGACCGACGAGAAGCAAATGCCAACAAAGCTTGTTGGGTAAGCTGAACAGGTGTGTCTCGATATAGTTCCGCTCTAAACGGGTTGCCGGCGTCTGAAAACTACGATGCGGCGAACGTGATAGAGCAGAGGCGGACGTTCAGATGAGTTGTACTGGTGGACGCAAGGAGCGCGGCGGGAGGGGCGAGGAAGTCTGAGCCGAGATGGGATGTAATGGGTGTCGGGGAGAAGGCGGCTGCGGAGGAGGTGAAAGGCCGTATACACGAGGGATGACCGAGTGAGAGGTGGAGTGCGGAAAGAGCTCGTTCGTCGGCACTGACGTGTATTCGTGTACTGAGATGACGGTCAGCGCGCTTGTAGAGCCCAAAGCACCCAAGTGTCAAGTCGCTTGGGTCTCGGCAAGGCAGTGCGTGCGGTGTGGTTATGGCGGTCTGTAGGGTTGCGGTCCGCAGTGTCCTGGACCAAGAATGAGCTCCGTGGGTCTGTAATGTCCCAAAGTGGCTGACGCAAACAAATCAGCGACTCATGGTGGCTATCTTGCACCCAACAACACTCACTCAGAGCGAGACCGTTTGATGCTCGGCCTTTGGGGAGAGTAGTGGAAGAAAATTATCGCCGGTGCAGGCCTGTACCAGACTTCTGCGGGGTTGCTGTCGTCCGTCGTGTAGTGGAATAATAGACAGCGCACGTGTAGGAGCCTGAATAAGTCAAGACGAACAAGCTTCTCAGGCTTCGTCAGAGCAGTGTGGCAGCAGCGCGGGATTCGCTCTGCTGAAATGTGTGGTGTGCTGTGCTGGTGGGTAGGAGAAGGAAGGCCGGAAGGCGCGAGGAGTGAGCAAAGACGCGAGCTCGGCCATGCCATGACCACCCAGTCAGGTCAGAGAGCGGTGTAAGGCGGCGCCGCGATCAGTTCGAGCTTTCCCAACGAATAGAAACGATTCCAAGATCCGAACGCGATTGCTCTTGAGTGTCTTGTCCGCGGATTGCAAATGCTGATGGCTCGCAATTCATCTACGCATCGAGGCTCCTGGTGTCTTCCTGGGTCTGTCAGCTCTGCATTGATGCACGCGGCGAGGTTTGGCCAGCCGATGGTACAGCGCGTGAAGCTCCGCCTCGGTCGATCGCCGTACAATCCGACCTCTGTAGGCTATAGATATGAATGAACTTGTCCTAAGACCGCGTCAATGCCGCTTTCCTGTCTCAGTCAAGCAGCAGCAAAGATGGGCAACGTCAAAATCCTCGCCAACCTTCTGTCCGTACGGATATAAGCTCGACTCAGTAAGCTGCTGCTCATTGCACGGCTCATGTGTCAGCTGTCAGGTCGTCTCTCTGCCCACTGTTCCTGATTCGCGCGCAAGAGGCCGGATAGTTGGAGCTCCTGTCACTGTTCGTGGCGCAGATAAAGGCTAGACCATCAAATCCGGCTAGATTGCAAACCACCACGCAGTTGACGCTTCCCCGGGTCGGATTCTCGACAATGGCGGTGCTGCCTGCGTATCTGCATGGCGGCTACTTCGCTATTGGCCATTGAGAAAGGTGATCAGCCATTGAAAATAGAGACCCGCTTCAACTGTGACGGGCAGCGGACCATCGATCCATCGGCAAGCGGGCTGGTTTCCACTTGATCGCATGCTCCATTTCGAAGACTAGTGCATCGCAAAGGCGTTGTCAATCGTCTGCTCATGTCGCGCTTGAGATGCGATGCATCAGCGCGGTCTCAGGGCGGACTGAGCGCGGCAAGCATCAACACCTGCTATCGCAGCTGCTAGCACTTGAACCCAGGCAGAGCTTCCGTCGCACAGTGTATGCCAGCTCCGCGCCGGCATGGTTGGGCAGCATCGTGGCGTGGTACGGTCGGCGTGGCGCACCTAAGATGCACAGCACCGACGCCAACGGCTGCTGAAGTCCATACGTCCAGTGGCGGCTCAAGGCTCACGGCAAGGCGTGCTCAAATAAGCGTTCATACTTTGTCCATGTGAGCCGAGGAGCAATATTCAACTGTGCGAATTGTCAGCCTGGGCAGGTAGTGCAGGAAGGATCTGATACCTGTTACCATGCGTAATGCACCCCGGAAGCGAGACGCGCCCTGCTCATCCGTGCGCAGCCTCGTATCGGACTCTCTCGCCGCAATGTCTTCGCTATCCACGATCGCTCCGCTTGATTGACTTGTGCATGTAACGTGCCGTCCGCTCGATGTTGACATTGAATTTAGGTTGGACCCTGCCGAGGACTAACCCCTTTCAACATGCAACAAGCCGCGAGACCCTTGCATCCAGGTCGATGGTCGCACATTCCCACTTGCGATCGTATAGGGGGAAGGCCCGGCTCAGGGAACTGTGCTGACTTCGTCTACTTTGCTGATGTTGCTAAGCAGTTGCCATGCTCAGTCCGACAACGGCACATGGCATGAACCAAAAGGCACGGCACGCGTACCGTCTACGATCGTCCTGCTTTTTTGTCGAAACTTTGTACCCACGGAACATCGGGATCGAACGAACGAACGGAGCCTACATCTCTCGAGACTGCATATAGTCCTATTTGGCTGCTGTGCAAGTAAGACTTGGGAATGACCATTTCCAGGAATGTCTCTTCGCTCGTTCGCAGGCAGTATAATGTTGGAAACATAATAGCGGCATCGAGCGTCCAATACTGCACTGTTTGGCCATAAAGGTTCCTGGTTTGCTCAACGGACGGTGGAAGAAGAATACGTTGAGTGTCTCGCGTGAGGACAAAGACTAGCCGTGGAGATGGATCTATCTCTGAAGGTAAGCGGCAGGACAGGCAGACGAGCGCTATCCACAATTACCTGGAAGGCCAACAAATCATGGAATCGGCCTTTGCAATCATTGGAGGTCTTGATGGGACGGCATACGTGGCGTGGTTGGTGAGGCCGCGAGCTGTCATCTTTTGACAGCAGTTGAACAAGGCATCACGCGACGAAACGGTAGTACCACGTCACTCTAAATTTGGATAAAGCCGAGGCGATGGACTTGGGACGTCTTTCTATTAGCGTTTCAAAAGCTTGGACAAAAATAGTTCCGGGGATTTTGGTGGCCTCGGCAATGACCTCTGCGGATCCATTACGCTGTCGCGGATTAGCCCAAATATTTATGGGTTCGCGCAACCTTCCCATGCATCCTATTCAAAGCAATCGCGAAAACAGCTGCGAGGCTCATTGGATGCGTCTCATAGAATCAATCAGAGCTTGAGTCATAATTCTTCATTCGCGAGAGTTGCCTACAGAGTTGCCTCGAGAACCGACCAATGGTCTTCCGAAGGAATTAGCTCCGCACAGCTGTCGGCCTCATTTTGGAAACCGAGACACAAGGGAAGGCTTGCTTTTGTCCAATACAGCCAAGGACTTTTAGTGATCTCTATGTTTTGACATACGCTAGAGTTAGACTTACACACTGAGCTTCACACAACTCAATGTATACGGTAAGCAATGTGTAACCTCAGCAAATTCCACCAGAGTAGCCACCCATTAAGGAAAAACGGATTCTGTCATATGCATAGCCCTGTATTCTAACAAGCATACTAACGAAGATTCCCACATCAAACTCTGCTATTCGCAGAATTCGAATGAACCATCGAGTCATCCCCGCAATCATCAAGCCATCGCCCTTATCCTGCAGGATTCACTCGGTTGCCGGATCATCTTCATGGGCACTGCTCTCTGTTACGCCACGAAAGATTATAAGTAAGTTTTTATATGCTCGTTATTGAGGATACGGCATGGACGCACCCAGTCCGAGCCCGAAGGGAACACCCCCCGTCATAACCAGACGCTGCAGACCATCATCGATAGTACAGTAGAACTTCTGCCCGATAAATCCAGGCCAGCATTCGAGAAACCCTGGCGCTCTCATTTGAAACTCCAGTGTTGAGACCGAGCGAATTTGACGTATCAAAAGCAAAACCGCAGGCGATCCTTTCGGCCTGCTTCCAGGGGAACTTCATGTTGAGATCCTTGCCCAACTATCATCCAAAGACATCGCCACAATTCTGTCGTTCTTAGACTTTTCTCTCAACGATACCTGGTCCCGCTGGCATATGGTGTTTAGGTAACTGCGAAAGGTATCCAGGCGGGTACGTCGTTGGGTCCCACTCCTGCACCTGTACCACCTTCTCCCTCGATACAGGAACAATCCTCGGCTTCCTCCTGTACTTTTCCACATATTCTTCCATCATTGCATCGTAAGGCTCGTCAAGCTGAAATACAATCGCATGCCTTCTTGGCGATACTTCGAGGTACAAGTAGCGCGTTAAATTCCTGATGAACCACGACGCATAGCGAGCTAGCTCTGGTTTGGATTCGGCGTAGTCGATCTGCTGAGAGTACATTGCTTGGATGAAGGCAGGTATACTGGGAATTTCTGTTCGCTGCTGCCTAAAGGCTTTCCGTGGGGAAGCATGGGGAAGATGCAATCGGTAGGTTGAGGGCGTATGTCTGGGCCAAACCACCACCCATCCTTGCGGCTTATCGCGGGATGGTATTCTTCTTCAATTAGGTACGTTCGCCACGCATACACATCTGGGACTTCTATTAATAGGCAGTTGTCTATGTTGATCCGATAAGTCTCCTCCGACCAAAACCGTATGTAATAGATCTGAAGCGTTTCGTGGTGAGTGCGCTCGAGGACGATGTCGGCTTCGCGTAATTGCCGGAGTTCAGAACAGATGGGAAGCTTTTGTAGTTCCTGGACATCGAGAACTTTCCAGTAGCCGGTGCGCACCATTTCAGAGGTGATGGAATGTAGTTGGCTGTTGCGAAGGAGTATGTCGATGATGGGGAAATCGGTGAAGCCTCGGGCACCCATCCAACGATGAGCGACTAATCCGACCAGAATCAAGGGGTGTATGTACGCTCGAAGCACTGGGCATATTTCGTCGAGAATGCCACAGCAGCCCATGTTCCGCTTGGCATAATGGATAGGCGGCTCCCAAGGGGAGTGAGCAGAGAAATGATCCTTGTTGTTCCCTCCACAACAGGCAGCTACCTCGGCGAGGTATTTTGGATCTTCAAGAATGTCTTGTAAAGTCATGAGGATGACTGTTTAGGGACGATAAGCTTTTAATGAGGTGGCAAAAGCTGCGATGGACTGCGGGGCCCTTCGAGGCTACTGCACTCAGTGCTGTCAAGCAGCTACATCGCGTACCATGGTTCCATCCTAGGCATCACCACTCAACAGAACACCAACAAGTCATACCAAAGCTGATTCCACGAACGTTGCCTAACAACACGTGATCAAAATGCCGAAAGAAGACCCTTCGAGGCTCTGCGCAATCAGGTTTATGAGGGGTTGGGGGTGAGAATATCATCGGGACGCAGGCACTTATAATCCTGATGAATTGAAATTCCGGTCCACTAAGCTGGTTCCAGTGTGCAATTTTGATATCTGCCATTGGCCCATCACCGTGAGCAGGATGAGGGAGGGAGTCATGAGAGTCCCGGGCACGCGGTCGACCAAAACGAGGAACCCCTCAAGCCACCAACACGACAATCGGATTTGAACACCCAATTCTAAACGAATTCTCCACCACAACCACCCTACGTGAGCCAGAACTTTTTATACACATCCTTCATCGCTTTGGGAAGCTAATTTTGACAGCTTGGTGTCCTATTTTAATGTCTACCGGGCCCGGATATACAGATTCAACAGATTCAACAGATTCTAGCGTATAATCAGCCTCCTATAGTACGCGCTCAGGGAGTGGCATGCAAACAGATTAATGCACATGTGGTTGATAGCGTAGTTTTGCCTGGGTTGGCAGGATATTATACTTGCTCAGCCATAACTCACTGCTAATTCATTACTCGCGTCCCAATCGAATCCGGCAAAAGTTTTGTATGAGAGTAAATTCCACTCAATTGTCAACCGCTCTCCTAATCCCACACAGTCTATCCACCCTACCACCCTTCTCCCCGTACCCCACCCTCCCTACCAGCCAAACCCCTCCTCATGCCAATAAACCTCAACCCCTGCTCCACCCACCGCCCCACCCCTCCCTCACCTTCCTCGTCAACCTCCCCGGCCCACATGTCACAACCGCCACCCTCGTCCCCTTGCTAAACACCTCATCCACAATCGCCGCTATCTTGGGCCGTCCCGTCTTGAGCACCATGCCTGCACGCGGCTTCTTCATCTCCTCCTCTAGCGAAAGCAGCGCATCGTTCTCCTGCAGCTCGATTTCCTCGGGGGAGGAGCCGGGAAGTGAGGAGGAGGATGCGCCGCGCGTGACGAAGACTTCGATGGCTGGGGAGGAAGAGGAAGAGGGAGTGAGGCCATCTGCAGCGTCATCCCCTCCAGTTTCAGAATCCGCGTCGTCGACGGCGGGTTCCGACGAAGCTGCGTTAGACGCGGAAGAGGAGGGGAACGCCCACTGCGTCTCGGCCAATCTCTGCACCGCCCATATAAACCGTACCTGCGGCACTCCTGCATGCTCCGGCTCGCGGAACTCGACGATACTTCTGTAGATGGGAAGGATGAACGTCGCGCCGACGCCGCCGGCGACGAGTAGTACTTTATCGTAGGAGGAGAGGTCTGGCAGGTGCGACGAAGCGCCGTAGGGTCCTTCGAGGGCGAGCGGGATGCTGGGTGCTTCGCCGCCTTGTTTGGCCAGGGAGGTAGCTAGCTCGGACATTTTCTTCGTGTTGCCTGTGAGCGTCTTGGCGACGAGGAGGAGCTCTTTGTCTTTGACGGGGATGGAGGCGACGGTAAAGGGGTTGGTTTTGCTGCGGAGGGTGAGTTGGTCGGAGAGGGAGGCTGAATAGTGTTTTCCTGTAGGCAAGGAGAGATACACGTGCTGGCCTGGGCGCCATGAGAGCGTTGATGAGAGGGTCGTGAGAGGAATGCGGATTTGAATCAGGGTTGTGCCGGGGAGGAGGGTGATGGTGCCTGTGTAGGTTTTGTGTGCGGTGAAGCGGAAGAGAAGATGGAGGGCGTTGACGATGACAACTTCCCAGACGTAAGGTCGGATGTGGTGTACGTGCAGGAATAGCGGCACGACTAGTATATTTGCGATGGAGACGTGGCTGATGTAGAACACGCGATAGTTCCAGTGTCGTATCTGCGCTAATGCGGTGGTGCTGATGGCGGCGAATAGAGTGATGCTGATGATGCCGAAGATTACGTCCTTTTCTTGTATGCGCTTGGCAAGCAGATTGCTGCGAATGAAGAAATTGAGATAGAGCACAGCGTGCAACGAGAATAGAAAGAAGACGATGCGGCCAAGGATTTGATGGGATGACTTCAGCTGCTCGTGGGAGAGGCGCGTAAGGAGTTGGAGCGGTGAGTATGGTGTGCGCATTGCGAGCAGGTAATGTAGAGGCAATTGAGAAGCACCAATTATGCCTAAGCGTTTCGTGAGGTGGAGATAATCTGTCGATTAATCAATCATCTGCAATTCCAACGAAGAGTGGAATAAAGGCTCACCATTTCCAGTCTGAACAACGGATAGGTAGAGAAGCCAAAGTGTCCAGAGACCACCTCCGATCCACTCCGCCCTCGTGCCCCATCCGCTGATGACATCCTTCTTAGCCCACCATACAATGCGATCCCAACCCTGCCTTGACTTTCGCAACCACGTCCATTGACCTTCCAACCTCTTGTTGAACGACGGTGATCGAGGCCGCTCATATTCCAGTCCCTTGTTTGCAAGCCAGGATAGCAAGAAGCCAAGCTGAAAGCCAGCGAACACCACCAAAACCGACCATTGCGCGACAAGAGGGTACCAGGTTAGTAACTCTCTCCGTGCATGCTTCCCCTCGTCATCTAGCGTGACGAATTCGTATCCGAATACCATAGTCGCGGTGCTCGCTTGGTGTGTTTAATTTATCGGACCTAATCTATCTCTTCTTCATCCGGGACTACCGATCCATGTAGGAGCCACAACAGTGGTGAACCTTGCAATACGTGCTTCGAGACTCAGCGCATCAATGGACTTTTTCCAGATAGTGAGTGTGACTGAGGAGGACAGGTATGAATAAGGCCGAAGGAGGATCGTTGGCACGCCGGCGTTGCGTCCCACGTGAAGCTGACTACACCTGTAGGGCGGTGCGCGGACGCAAATTCGATCCTCTTCGTCGTGGCTGGGTTTGGGGCCAAGCAACGATTGGTCAGCCGCTCGCGAAATATCAGCTCCTCATGGCGTCTTTGTTGTACGAGACCATAGCTGAATAGACGACGTGCAGCGCATGTTGGGGGCCTCTCAAAGAGCCAAAACTCCGGGACGCCTGGAGTCGCGGATCGGTGATCAGATAAGCGGTGGGGTGTTCCCAATGCAGTTTAGGCCAGGCACCCCGCGAGATGTCCCGCCTGGACCCTGCGTGGGGCCTCCGTCTAAGAGGCTTGACTCACAGTCATGGTTCCTGATCATCCTCCCTTGTCGCAGATCAGACCGTTCGCACAAAGATGGCTGCAGTAAAGGACAGCCAGCGGATACCGCTCTGGCTGGATTGTGTGTGTAAATATTCCGCTTCCGACATTGTAGCCAATACTGACCCACGTAGGACCCTGGACACGACGTACAAGCCCCACGCTGTGTAGCATGCATGCCAAACACTCACCTAAGTATCTTAGGACGCGTACGCCCTCCTCCTCGCCTGCCACGACCCTCGCGCTGAACTCCTCGGAGTCAGCACCGTACACGGCAATGCATCGCTCGACCAGACGACGCTGAATGCGCGGGCAACGTTGGAAGCGATAGGAAAGCGCGACATCAAGGTCTACATTGGTGCTCATAAGCCCATCAAACGCAATGCCGTGTCCGCCGTCGATATTCACGGTAACGATAGCATGAGGAAGGGAGCAACGACAGGGAACTGACACGCGCAGGCGAGTCCGGCTTGGATGGAGTCACGCTCCTCCCAGAACCCGTTGAGCCACCAGCCACCGACGTCGATACTCTGGAGGCCATGTACAAGGCTCTAATAGCTACACCACCGAACACAGCATGGCTCGTGGCTACCGGGACTCTGACCAACATCGGACTGTTGTTCCAGAAATACGATGATCTGGCCGGCCACATCAAGGGCCTGAGCATCATGGGCGGTGCCGTCGGCGGAGGCTTCACAGACGCTCCAATGGGCAAGACAAAGCTCGAAGGCGAACGCTTCGGCAATTGGACTCCCTATGCTGAGTTCAACATCTACGTCGACCCCGAGGCATCACACATCATCTTCTCGCACCCGATCCTCAGGTCAAAGACGACTCTTATTCCGCTGGATCTGACACACCAGGTCTTGGGCACAAAGGACGTCCAGCATACGCTCTTGTATGGGTCTGATGCACCATTAGACCCGAAGGCAGCAGATACTTCCCACACGCCTTCCCGCGTGCGCGCCCTGTATAAGCAGATCATGGTGTTCTTCGCTAGCACCTATGCTGAGGTGTTCGCCATCACTGAGGGCCCGCCGCTGCACGACCCACTTGCTGTATCCGCTGCGATTTACCCCGAGATCTTTGACGACAAGGATGGTGAGCGGTTCCGGGTAGATATCGTCACGGAGGGCATCCATTCGGAGATACCGGAAGAGGTGGGGGAGCTTGGTAGGACAAAGGTCGTCAAGTTGGCTCCTGGTGAAGATGGCTGCAGGATACCCCGGGGAGTTGATTTGTCCAAATTCTGGGGGAGCATAGAGAGTTGCCTGAAGAGGGCTGATGAAGCTAGTCCGATGCCAGCGATTAGTCGTGAAGAATTGGTGGAGCTTGGGGTGATATAGATCTGCAGGTGTTTCGCGGCTGTTTTTCTCTGAAACTCCCTTAGAATAGCCTACTAATATGATAATGTAACTATTAGGCACTATAGGTATTACCTGAGGTCTTTCACTAGTTGTTTAAGTGAATACTAAGAGGTCTATAAGTTAAGAAGTCAACGCTGATATAGTAGGGTATTCATATAAAGTTCTAATACTGAAAAGGTAGACATTCTCTATAGAACGACGCTATATGATATTAACCCTGTACGTACCCGCGTAGCTGAACACGTCTGTATATATACCAGAAGAAAATACGCCAACTCGCTCGAATATATCATCCCTTACCCTATTAAGGATGAGTCCTCCAGTCAACTGTCTATTATCGGTTTGCCAGTGGCGAGGCGGCCCCGTTCCTAGTGGCATGTACCAAATGTCGAGTCCTATCATGGTAGGCGCTTGCTCGTTTCCGTTCGGGAATTCATCCCAATAGAAGATCCAGGTCCTATACTTACTGGTCTCCCGATGTTGAAATCTCACTAATTGAGCATGTATCGTCAACACCCTGGATTGAATGTACCAGCCCGAACCAGAGCCAGGGACCGAGCGTACGACGTGAACGGGAATCAGATTTGCGAACCGAATCGCGCATGTCCGAGACGCCCACGACCAGGTTGGTGCAATATCCGATCTGGTACTATGAGTAGCACTCTGGCAAAACTCAGAGTTATGGACCCAGGCAATTTGGCTCACTAACCCATCATGCGAAATTCCGTACGTGCACCCGAAATTCCAAACCAATTTCAACTGGTTGATAATGCCAATGACACCATTCAAGCGGTCTTCGTAGTCGGTGAACGTTCGTTTCGTATAATCTGTTAGAGCGTGTTCCCAGATTTTGTGGGGCTGGTCCAAGAAGCTTGAGCCGGCAGGCCCCAGTAGTAACACCCCGGAATCATTCTTGAAGTCGTAAACTTCCTTTTTGCGATTGATTAAGTCGAATGGACTCCGCATGACCGTCTTGAAGTTTCCACCTTTGCAGTTCCAGACTATCTCCTTTTCTCCATAACACAGCCTTCGCGGAGAAAGTAGCCATTCTTGAAAAGTCCAGCCTCTATTGTTTAGTGGGGCCACCGGGTCGTGAAACTGGGGACGCATAAGGGATACATTTCCGAATCGGCCACTAGGGAGGAGTAGGGGGACATCACAGTATTCGGGCTCATCCCGCACTTGTAAAAAGCCTTCACAAGCCGCTCTGGCACTGGATGCGAAGATCGTCAATGTCGAGTTTTTGTAAATCATTCCCATATTCTGGATTTCCTTGTTCTTATCATCGGACGAATCCTGGATGATGCACAACGCGTCTACCCACAGGTATCGTATTCCGAGACGACGAGTAACTCTCACAGCATCTGCGATTGTTTGAGGAAGTTGCCCCTCCGGGATCTCTTGCATCAGTGTACGGAGGGTACTCATAGTCGCCTTGAGCGGTTGTGGGCCTCCCCAGCAATAACTCAGGGCAACATAATAATCGTGCTGTTGGATGCCACTGATGTGCAACTTGGAAGTCGTAACCCTGCGTGCATCTCCAACATCAATGACACGGGTTGGCAATTTTGGTAGCTCGCGCAGGGTTGAACAGGTTTCAGAGTGATCCCGACCACATTCCATTAGCCACGTCTTAGTCTTTTCAACCACTGCTTCGCAGTTTGGATCTCTAGTAGCTGGCCTCGTAGGAATGTGAAACGCAGCCGGATCATCTGTTGCCTCGTTAACATGAATTCGGTGCACAATCGCTATGTCCTAATCTGAAGAGGTAAACATGGAAAGTCCCACCAGTCTGTTACCCTGAAGGATTCCAGGGAAAGGATAGGCTTCGAGTCCATTAATATTTTCGAAGGGTTCATTCTCTTGGGCGAATATTTGATAGGGCAAGGCTGTCTTTGCCCGGAAGTAATAACCCAGGGAACCATCGTTATATTGAGCTTCAAGTCCCTCCGGATACAGGGCTTCAGCTTCCTTGAATATAAGTTGACACACAGGACAGCCACGGAGCGCGTTTTCGTGCAGTTCTTTCGCCGACTGATGCTTATAGCCCTTCGGAGTACAGAGTGCGTGTTGGCCTTCTGCAGAGCCAAGCATTAGGTAGCAGCGGTCGCAGACTCTCTGGCCTTGATCTCCAGCGTGGTTTATTGGAATTTGAGACCGCGCTTGTCCCATACTTGGTATAGTTGCGCTGTATAAGTTATGTATCGGATTGCAGTGAGACGCTTGCTCTATTAGATCCTAGAGCTACGTGTAGAAGATCTAAATGACCATAAGTATGGAAAGGCTGTAGGTAACAATTCGCAGATTCTGCACTAATCAAGGCCAGCCGGGCTATATACGAAGGAGCTCGTATTTTGGGCGTCGCTCTTGACCACCTGGACTCTAGCATGTTGGTGGCTTAAGACCTAACATATGCAGGGATAATGTGATGCATCAAGGGCGTCCATTCAGAGACGTTGCGATAGTTCGGAGGCATTTTGGATCTGTTGATAAGTAGCTCAGATGATGTTAAAGCGATGATAATAGGTTAGCGGAGCGTCGTTGTGCTCGCCTACTTGCAAAACTACGGGGGCGGGGGCTAACGCTAGGCATCCACGGCACCGTAGGCGACCTCGTATTCGTCATGAGATATGCGTTGATCCATAAGCCAGGCTCCGATACGCTTGATGCTAGATTGATTCGCTGCAACTCCATGCTCAGACGCGCGGGGTAGTTATAATAAAAGGCTAAAGATGATACGAATGGGAAGGTTTTATCGTGCTGTCAGCCTTGCTTACCGAAGTCGAGTGTAGGAGTGATGCGTTAGCAAAGCGGCTAATGCTGCCTATTCACACACTGACAGCTCCTTCCACGTACCGAAAGCACCTGCCTCAACAACCACGATGACATCATCGAAATCATTGCGCACTTGATGGACGGTTTGAGATTGATACTGCATATTGGGTGGAATCTTGACAAACAACAACCTCTGCAGGTATGCAGAAGAATCAAACGACGAAAAACAGGCTCTTCCCACAGGGAACTAAGCGTGTTGAAGGCAGTGTACAGGTTGAACGGGCTCATCGATCTGATCTCATCATAAGATCAATGTTATCCGATGAGTTGATTCCTCTATCCTTGCATTCAGACATCGAATGATATCCAAGTAGGAAACTGCGTGAAAGCGTGGAGCAATGGGTGAGGCCGGGGTAGAGGTCCATTGGCATGAGGCTTTTGGGCGTTAGAGAATGAGGGTAGCAAAAGGACTGACCATGAGACGGATGGTGACAGATGAGTTACAGTCAGTAGAATTTGCCCAAGGCATTTTAAGTGTCTTGCTTGCTGAAATCAGTGTCCAACGGATTGGCTTTGTAACGTACTGCTGATGTACGGCCGAAGGTTCCCACCCTGAATGATGTAGATGATGGCGACGATCATTCGGTAATCGCTTGAGGATTAAGTAAGAGCAGGAACCAGTTATTGCACTTGGGCATGCGAGTGTTTGCGTGATCCATCCATGTATTTTTTTTTGTACGAACGTGCGTGAAGCCGTTGTCTAAATCCATGCATCGTGAACATCCCATCCATAACTCAAACCCCCACATAGTGTCCCAGCCAAATACCGTCCGCCCTGCCGTACTCCGAGCCATGCTAGCCGCAGCGCAAACCGAGCCGAAGGAAATCGTCGAAGACGTGGAATGTCGAGTCAAGAGGAAGGAGACATTTACTGCTCGGTCTGGAAGTAGTTGAGGAGGATGCTGCGCTCCTGGGACTCCTCACCCCAGTCACGGACGACAACGCAGGAGCAGTTGACGACCTTGCGGGGGTTGCCTTCGCGGTCGATCTGGCCTATTTCATTATTAGCTTTTGCCTCCCTCACACATGCAGAATTTCCACGTACAGAGACCGGCCCACTCGCCGAGCTGCTTGCCATCAGGAACCTTGATGAGGGGAATCTTGTGTTCGGAGCAGAGCGCAACGACGAGCTTCTTGTATGCCTCCTCCTCGCAAGCCTCGTTCAGGACACACATGTGCGCCTGGCGACGGTCGAGCGCCTTGGAAGCCTCACGGAGACCGCGGGCAAGACCGTCGTGGATGAGAGCGAGCTTGAGAACGCCCTTGAGCGCCTCGAGGACGGACATCTGGCCCTTTCCGGCGGAGGCATCGGCGGAAACCTCTACCTCCTCGGCGGCGACGACGGACTGGTTGTCTTCTCCGTCCGACTGTGTGGTGGGTTAGCGGGCGTTGTTGGGATTGCAATGCGACAATTGCGCATGCGAGAGGCGTACCATGATGATGGCTGAATCTGTCGGCTTTCCTCGAAGATTGCGTGTAGTGTTTGGTGATTAGGAAGTTGGAAAGTTCGACGCAAATTTGACAAGTCACGGTGCGCGGAGATTGCCGCTAAGCGAAGAGGGGCTCAAAAGGCTTGGCGTAAACATCACGTGTCGGCTTGGCGCCCAACCACTTTCACTCCCTTACAAGGACCAAACATTATGCATGTACCCCTTTACATGTATCCAGGAAGTATCTTCGGTGCTTTGCAGATTCTGCGCCGAAGTGACAAATTCTGCTATCCCAGCAAATGGGATCGACTTGATGTTAGGCTTTCATGCACCACGCCCGGTGCGCAAAGAGACCTCCGAATACAACCTTTGGCCGAAGATCGTCCATGAGCATTCCAGGGCGAGGCGAAATCTTCCACCCCTTTTGCTATGGAAAACAGTCAGTTCCTGGTCCCAGCTAGATACTCCACGATATCTTTTTTGCCGATCTCGCCCACTTGGTATGCGACGCGTGTCGTTCCCCCACCAGGACATACGTTGTCAACACCCTATGATGGGCATCGCGCTCTGACAGACGCAAGCACCACTGCAGGTACCCGATAGTATGGTACAAGTCCCCGAGCGAAGCCTCGCCCAGGAAACAACGCCGAGCACGATCACGGCCAGGTCGCATCTCCACATGGCCTCGATCATCACGCGCAAGCTCCAGAAACCGGCCAATACATCACTAAAGGCACTGATTCGTCGAGATTTAAGTTTTACTAACGAGCGTGTGCGGGTTGCGGCATCTGATAGTCATCGATGCGCAAGCTCCGCCTAAGACAATCCGATTGAACTGAGACTTGACAGACTAGAAACTATGTACACGAAGAGAAGCCATTGGCGTCCTGGAAGCACCTTCCCGTGTCTACTCCTCAGTAGAAATTCCCGGCACACTACCTGGGTTGGAAGGAGCTATGTTCCTCAGGATGACCGGCACCTGCCCGAGGCTGGTGTCGTTCCAGTACAGCGCATGGACACGCTCACTGACTTGAAGAGCATACCACGGGCTCTCCAACTGGCCATCTTCGATCACAAAGGCAGTGTGACCGTAGAAGTAAAAGCCCGTGGTGGTCATATCGGAGTCGGTGTCATTGCTAGTGAGGAACTGAATGCGTTTATCCGAAGCTGAGTTCGAAGGGACAGCGAAGGTCACATCAGACCACGAGACGGTGTAGTTCGTGAGCGTCGTGTTAGGGTTTCCGATCCAGCTCTGCGAGGTGCCAGAGCCACTGGGCGAAACTGGCGAGAAGTCAGCTTCCCACCAAAATGTTCGTTACAGGCACTACTTACATGTTACGACGGCAGGATCCGAGCTGTTTGAAGACGCGGGTTCACCCAAGTACGCATACCCTGTGGACTGTGAGACTTGCTGGCTTCGATTGACAAAGGAGCTTACCATCAGCGTAAAACAATGGGAAACCTCCGAATCCATCACCGTATCCGTAAAGACCAAACTCATCGGGCGTTGCGCGCTTGATATTTGCGCCGAGAGCAAGCAATGGCAAGGTGCAGAGCAGAGAAAGCTTGTTGAAAGACATGATGGAAGAAAGAAGTAGGGAGCGATTGAACGATCGTGATGTCGACTAAGGAGTGAAGCGAAGGACTTATATCTAGTGAGTTGTACGGTCAATGAGCAAGGCTGCATGTAGTCTTATCCTGCTGCACAACACTCTTCGAGCAGGCATACCCTGCCCATACGCAAGCTGTTCGTCAGCGATGGACGACTCCTTTCACCGCTGTCGCCAATGGGAGGTACTCTCACCGTAAGACGCCGACGTTTACCCATGTTCTGATCAGCCCTGTCTGCATGAAGTGGCGTAACGCTCTATCTGACCGATGGAAAGGGCCGATGCGCGCAGCCACAGTCGCAACCGTTTCACGATGGCATACCCCTGCATGTTACGGTGGTGAGCCCCACTTCAACCACTTCCGGTCACTGCTCGTATGCATCCGGTACTACACGAACTTTTTCGGTCTGGTAGACACGCGCTCGAGCTTGCGTCGGCTTTACTATGAACCCATGTTCTTCAGTAGTTTCGAAACAATCCCATGCCGCGCGTCGGCCCTTCCACGTACGCCAAGTGCGCAGCAAAATTGTGGGAAAGCTGAATATAGGATCTTTTGTACGAAGCTAGTGATGAAAGGGGAATCCGACTATGAGGCTGATCAGATAGGAGAGGTTGTTGAGGGAAACATAAAAGACTGAGGCATAGTCACCAGTTGCCACTCATCCACACAGTGCATCAGCATCTCTCATTACAGTCACATTCACTTTTCATTCATTGATCAACATGCGTTCTGGCTTTTTCTTCGGCGCGGCCGCCGTCTTCTGTGCCGCGTCCGCTCACCCACATGTATCAAAGAATGCTCCTCGTTCGCCCTTCATTTCCAATCTGCACCCAAGAGACGCCTGCTCTGGAAATACAGCATCCACTCGTTCAGAATGGTGCGATTACTCAATCGACACCGACTACTATACGGGTACGTGAAATCACTGCAAGACTTGCACGATAGTCTAGACACACTGCAATCTGGGCTACCCCGTGATGGATACTCCACGCAAAGAGGCTCCACTTTGGGCGTCATGAGACTGCATCGCCTCTGAAATGATTATTTTGCTGACATCATTCAGAGGTTCCTGACACTGGAGTAACGCGAGAGTACTACTTTGAACTCACCGACGTCACGGTCGCTCCCGATGGCTACTCCCGCTCGGCAATGGCCGTCAACGGTAGTATTCCGGGGCCGACTATCATTGCCGACTGGGGTGACACCGTTGTGATCCACGTCACCAACTCCTTGACCGATTCGCAGAACGGTACCAGCATACACTGGCACGGTATCCGCCAGAACTACACCAACGACCAGGACGGCGTTGTGTCTATCACCCAATGCCCAACTGCGCCTGGTGAGCAGCTCACGTATACCTGGAAAGCCACCCAGTACGGGAGCTCATGGTATCACTCGCACTTTGCTCTGCAAGCATGGGAAGGTATCTTTGGAGGTATCATCATCAACGGCCCTGCGACCGCCGACTACGATGAGGACCTCGGGATGGTGTTCCTGAATGATTGGAGCCATCAGGTAGGCGCGCCTTTGCACCAATCTCAAAATTTACTGACAATTTCCACAGACTGTGGACGAACTCTACATTACCGCTGAAACCTCCGGTCCTCCAACCCTCGATAACGGCTTGATCAATGGTACCAACACCTATGATGACGGCGGCTATCGCTTCAATGCCTCTTTCACCAGCGGCACTTCCTACCGCATGCGCCTTGTCAATGCTGCTGTAGACACACACTTCAAGTTCAGCATCGACAACCACACACTTCAAGTCATTGCATCTGACCTCGTCCCCATCGAGCCATACAACACCACCGTATTGGACATCGGCATGGGCCAACGCTACGACATCATCATCACCGCCGACCAAGCCTCCGTCGCCGACAACTTCTGGCTCCGCGCCATCCCCCAGAGCGCCTGTTCCGAAAACGACAACACCAACGACATCAAAGGCATCATCTACTACGGCGACAGCGCCGACACCCCCACCACCTCCGCCTACGACTACGACGACAGCTGCGATGACGAAACCGCCAATATCGTACCCTACCTCTCCAAGACCGTCGGCGACTCCTCCAGCACCAGCACCGAAGACGCGACCGTCGCCTTCAACGACGACTCCCTCTTCAGATGGTACCTCAACAGCACAACCATGGTCGTCGAATGGTCGGACCCCACCCTCTCGCAGATCCTGGCCGGAAACACCAGCTACGAGACGTCTGACGCTGTGATCGAGCTCCCCACCGCAGACGAGTGGGTCTACATGGTCATCGAAACTACCTTCGCCGTGCCGCACCCAATCCATCTCCACGGGCACGACTTCTTCGTCCTTGCGCAGGGCTCGGGCACGTACTCTAGCGACTCTGTTACGCTGACGACGGATAACCCTCCGCGTCGCGATACGGCCATGCTGCCTGCGAGTGGGTACCTTGTCATTGCGTTTGAGACGGATAACCCCGGTGCGTGGCTGATGCACTGCCATATCGGGTGGCACACGAGCGAGGGCTTTGCGCTGCAGTTTGTAGAGCGGTACGATGAGATTGCGGGGATTACGGATAGCGACCGTCTCGAAGACAATTGCGCTGCTTGGACGACGTACGAAGAGGAGTACAGCATTGAGCAGGATGATTCTGGTGTATAGAGAGTGGATGCTGTTGGGTTGAGGTTGCTGATGCTGGTGGATTTCTTATCGTCACGGCCTGTCGCTCGTTCATTTCTCGGCGTTTCTTTTCCGTTCATTTCTTCGAATGATGTATATATTATACCGCACTGTCCGTCTGTACATATCAGATTCTCCTAACTACTGAGGCTTGGCCTTCTATACACATCGAATACTTTCTATTTTAAGCACGTTCTTTATACATACAATCTGCAACACGTATTCGAACAATCATCCTTCATTAGTATGGCGCCGGTTTACTCACTGCAGTTTGCACCACATTCGAAAATAACATCAAATATACATCGGCCTAGTAGGTCGCTTGGGCCGACATCGGAAGAGAGTATGTCAGGGCAATATTGTGTACGTGTATACATACTAAAGTAGTTACCTAGGCTATTCGCCTTTATAATGTACAAAAATATCTATTATATATTGTATATATTATAAGGCGTAAGTTCGCCACTAGTCATTTCAAGCAATGGATATTATCTTGAGACTGACGCTGCTTCTTCCCGCCCTTTCTTGCTATATGTTCCTCTAGATAACTGAGAACACGATAGGACTTTCCCATTCGTGTCAACTTAGTTATCTAAACAAACATATCACGCGTCCTCTGCCTTCAAGTTCCATTACTCATATGCACATATGTATATTTTGAACGAGTGACTACGTACATCTAATCTAAAGATCGAACACTACCTAAGTAGACGGCCTCCACACATCCAGCACCAAGCTTACCGAATCCAACGCTCACTACACAATACCAACACCCCCGCTCGAGCGAGAACCAAAGTTTCAGTTAATAGACTAGTTTCCAAAGCGACGAGGGACATTCTTGTCCAGATCAGACTGGAAACGATCCATCATGGACGCCGCGGGAAGAGCATTGAGACGTTGCTGAAACTGTTGGTTGCTATGCGTAGGGTCAGCAGCGCACCTCAAAGACAAGTATATAACGTTGTGTGGAGTGTAGCTCATCTGGAAGACAATGTGGCATTGGTGGTAGCATTCGTTGTATGGACATAGCGATTACCGTTCTGGTTGTCTAACATGGTCAGCACAGGCACCAAAATACACCAAGCTACGCACCGCTAGACTGAGTCTTTCCAGGCATGTTACGCGGTCGTTCGACGCGATTGAAGTCTTGTTTTGTAAAATGCTAATTGGAAGATTTTGTGGAATTCCGTGCTCTCATCCCGTCTGCCAGCTTCGTGTTTTAAGCATAGAATCGGCTTGAGACCTCTGTCTCCCGGTCTATCGCTCTCCCAACCATTCTCGCCGGCTGGGCGTAGATACAACGAGGTGCACCGGTCAACTTCCCTATCCCTAATCAAGCAGATGCGCTAAGCTATTTCAGGGTAAGGCGGCCTCTCGCAACCAATAGTGATCAGTACCTTGAAGGACTCATGCCTAACGGGGTCTAGTTAATCCATGCCTTAGAAATGGTCATGGTACCTCAGGCTCACGGAATAGATTGAGGACAAGTCATGAAAGAACGAAAGGGAATACGTAATGGCATTGTCCGTGACGTTGCCTGAGCTTGATGAACAGCGCGCACTCGTGCCAATCCGACCCTGAAGAGTTTACAAGCGAACATAGCAACGGGTGAGTTGGGATCCTTGGCCGTCAAATACAAAACATCCTCATACTCTATAAACGTCAAGTGTCATGGCTTCGCACTCGAGATGATCGATGACTGTGTGGCTCAGACAATCGCCCTCTTTCGTTGAGCATGGCAAGGCGCTGAACGATGGCAGAAAAAAGCACACGTGAGGCACAATGTAAAAGTCAGGATGGTTCTGTATTCTTCGACTTCGGGAACTACCAAGGAAATTGGCTATTGAGACCAAGTGACTCAATCCGTTTAGTGTTTTCGATGCTCTCCACAAGATCATGGGCCAAGGCCCAAGATTCAGACTGTGAGACATCTTACCATCAGTCTGATCATCTCATTGTCTATGAGGTCCTCTTAGTCGTATCAACGTGAGTTGATAGCTACCAGTACCACATATGTAAGAGTGACCAATCGCTTATATACCGAGGGTAAGATCTCTCTACTTTTCTTAGGATTGAACCTTGGTGCTATAGGCCATTTCTTTGTGAAAAATATGATGTCTAAGGCTGGCCCTTCACGGACTCATCCTCGTACACAGGTCTCTGTTCAAACGAGATGTCGATGGGCTCCGGATGAAGATCATGACCCTCAAGGACGACCAGTTCTTTCTCTACGAAGCCAAGGCTGTTGAAGACTTTGGATCCCATGGGCGACACGCTCACACATGTCGGGACCTTGTCCGTATCAGCCAGCTCAAGCAACCATCGTGTGAGCTCATGGCCATGACCACGTTTCCAATAGCCGGGATGCGCGCCAATAGACAATATCTCCATGTGGTTGGTGAGCCATCTGTTCCATGTAAGCACGACGATCGGCATTTACGGATTTACTTACTTCTCCCCGGGTCCCTTCAGCGCCTTATCAAGAATTTTGAACGCTTTTAGACAGATGTCTCTCTTCCTGTCGTCCGGGTCCTCGGGCGGCTTTGTAGCATCCGGTTCTGATAACGAGCGTCAGCGAAAACGTCCCAGGTCGAAAAGTGTAATCGGACCTTCGGGTTGGTACTGTCCATGCCGTTTGGGATCGAGCTCCAAGGTCATGCTGATTATACCAACTATAACTTTGCCATCTTCGTCTACATCTGGCTTGGTGCCAGTAGGTGGGTAAACCGTCTTTAACTCATCATACACTGAATCATTCTCCTTCTCGTCGTAATGGCTCAATGCGACGAGAACAAGCTTCTTAGAATCCAGATTACCATCTTAGTATTCAGCACGGTAACTTGCCGCAGTATCCGCAGGATAACCGGTAAAGAATGGTCTCACGTAGGAAAAGAAGGTATAATAATAGAACCTCGCAGCGGCAACATATCCAATGCGTTTCAAGTCAATCAGCCTTGCAACGCGCAAGCGACCAAAGGCAAGCCCAAGACTCATAACCATAAACAAAGCCAAGAGAAGATAAGCTGACTGACAGACCTGCATTCTAACAAATCGCGAACAAGCACGTACACAGCATCTCAAAGGGCTTTAGCTCTCTGCCGGTATGTACGTCGGTATTGCCTGTTCCCAGCCGCGTAAGATTGCTCACAAAGACCATTGCTTCACGAGGAATTTGTTTCCAATAAGAGGTATGCGCTCAGAACACCAACCACTACACAATGCTGCACAATCACTTTGGAAGTCTCTATTATACGTATCCCTAGAAATATAGCATGGTCCTACTATTTTTCACTTTCCTCTTTAGGAAAATTATATGTTATAGTGCGCCATTCCTCAGTGACATCGAAGTCTTCGTTCCCTGCCTGTGAACGTGAGAGAGAACATCCACCACCCATCCGCTTCCCCCTTCTACTACAACCCCCAAAGCATCCACAGACACAGCACCCTCCTCCTACACTCCATCCCTAAACCAACGTCAAAACACCCCCAAGCTATCCTTCCCATCCCCTCATACCTCACCCACTCCAACCCCACCCCCACTCCTCAAAAATCTCCCCCTCATAACCCCATGCAAATAACACGGCCCCACAACCTGCACCGCCCACTCCACAACCTCACCCCCACACCTCACCCTCCTCACACTCCTCGCCACAAACGGCATATCACACCCGTTTATAACAACGAGCAAATCGCCCAGCGCCGCCATGCTAGGCGCCAGCCCGATCCGTCCGCCGTATGTGGCGAACAGGCGGTTCGGAACGAGTATATTAGCGAGGTAATTCGTGAAGGCGTATGCGATTTTAGCGTCGGGGGAGGAAAAGGTGTGCGGATCGATATGTGTGTCTTTGTCTGTGTTTAGCTTAGGGCTGCTGAGCGCCTTGAGGAGAACAGCTTTGTACATTTCGCCGGTGGGCTCGAGGCAGTGCGTTGTGAAAGCGGTCCAGATGGTCGTCAGCCAGGGGAGAGAGCCGGGAACGAGGTGCGTAAGGTCGCGGATGAAGTGGTAGTTTTTGAGGATGGATTCCGCGCCTTTGCAGTCTGCGACGCCGGAGGTGAGCGTTTTGGCTAGTTGGATGGGCGGAGGTTCTGAGACGGTGGGGCCCCATTGGGGTGGGGAGGTGAGGAGGGTGGTTAGGAGGTCGACGAGGGGAAGAAGAAGGCTGGGGAGTGGAAGCAGTGGGGGGCTTTCATGGTGGAGGTCCAGCTTGTGTGTGTTATTGCGTCGAGGACGGTGCCTGTGGCGAGCATGATCTTGGGGGTTCCGGGATGCGAGAGGAAGTAGATTGGGGCAAGGCGGGCCGTGGTGTAATGTCCTGTGCAGGGCGATACCCATGCGAGATTCCTGTCTGGACGGAATTCTGGGACCCATGAAGGAAGGTAGTTACGATCTGTTATGTCGAGTGTAGGTCCTTCGCTGCCTTCAGTCGCGGGGTGCGTGTGTCTAGGATCATCACTAGTTCCCTGGTAAGTCGTAGGCTGCCTTCGAGCTAGACCGGCAAAGTGGAGTTGTGTGTTGGGCGAGTATCTTCTCGTGAATTCTGTATATGCTTCGGCCACCGTTTTCGTGTAATCCGGCTCCATCCCCACGTGGGGCGATTTCGTCATGGCGAGCATCGCGTATACTCTGTCGCGGTCATCAGTACACGCCTTGTTCCTCATTTGATCCCCCACCATATTCGTCGAGAAATGGTGGTCTCGGTCAAGGTGTTGATCCACCATCCTCCATTCGTCTCTGTGCTTCGCAAGTGCCCAGGCGGGTTTGAGTCCTTCCATGCGTGATCGATCAGTTCCTGTTCGTATTTTCCTGTACGCACCTCGCAGTACTTCCAAAGCGCGCGCCAGATCGGTCCAGGCCAGAGTAGTATGTCCACATGAGACAACGAGGTCCTTCGCCAAAGCAACTTCTTGGACGACCCATACTCTGTTGAACCAAGGGCGCCAAAGTAGAAAGTCGACGTGGTGTTTGTTAGCGTCATGTATAAGTTTTTCAGATTCGCTACTCGTAATGTCGACAGTTGGCCAGCCTCCAACGACTCTTGGCTGGCCGACGTCTTTGCTGATGCCAAATTTGTCCGCCTTTGCAGAGAGGTCTTTTATATACTTCATTGCATCCATTGTCCACTCGGATGGTAATGTGAGCCAGACCTGTACGAGCTTTGCCATGCTGTAAATCTCAGCCATGAGCGCAACCTGTTGAGCTTTCTCGGCGGTGTCTGCTTGATTTATACATATAGCGTCCGCCCAGAGCACTCTATCCCGGTGGGAGCGACAATACGCCATGAGTGCGGCATACAGATTGTCCGTTATCTTCAAGACTTTGCCGTTTAACAGGATGACTTGGTTGAAGCTCGAGAACTCGCCCCAGGCATAGGAAATGGCTTCATAGACACAGTGCTCGTTCAGTCTGTGAAGCACGAGGGAGCCTCGCAACTCGCCGGGGTGAGCACATACGGGCTTCAGGTGAAGCAGCCGGATGTAGCCTTGACCTGGTATGGGTCGATATTGAAAAGGCTGGTATTTTGACATATACGACTCATCGTTTGCTGGTCCACCCACGCGAAGGTTTGCGAGCTCGTCGGAGGAGTCAGTGGAGCGCTGTCGCTGAGACGGCCGTAACAGCATGGGCCTATGTCTTTCGACAAAGGGTTGGATCCCTCTCTCTTCTGGAGATGTCATCCTGTAGCTTCGAGCGCTTCAAGAACACCAGTCAAGCGTACTTGTTTGCCATAGGGCTGTTGTTGAACCAAGGTCGACTGAGCGAGGTGCACACGGAAGGCAGGCCGCTAAGAGCATGCATTTCCTTCCCTGGAATGTCGATGTGTCGTGTTCCATGTTATGTCGGGGAGAAATCAATGGAAGCTCCTGAAGTCGAGTGAACGATGAGTGTGGCGCAATACGAGGTTGGCGTCAAAGCGTGAACCGTGATTGGCTTCAGTACGTCACCAAACATCCTGTGAGGCTCAGAAATATTTCAAGGCATATTTCTTGGTTTCTCTGAGGAAACTGGAAACAGCCAGATAGAAACTGTATGAGATGAGTGTGGCAGTGTTATTGTATGACTGAGGAAAGAAACAGCCGGACGGTGAATACCTGAGGTATCTAGCTTGGCTTCCACGATCAACTGCGTTGCAGCATTTGGACGCACCTGCAGTACGCCACCGCAGCGTGAAACCTGGCTGTAGTCCGATCAAATACGAGTATGCTTGAAATACCCCGCCTTCTCTCCCGTCGAACACATCTGCACGCTTTTTGCTCAAGCTACACAATCGCCTTTCTCACCTCCCGTCGTTGCCTAAGGGTAGACATGGATCTACAAACTCCCTACATATACTCCCCCATTCAGCCCAATCAACTACGATTACTGAGCTTTCTCCCCTCGGAGTACCACACAGCTATTGTCCTTGAGACCTTCTCTGTCGAAGACCCGCTTCCACATTACCGTGCTCTATCCTACACATGGTCCACCCCCTTCAACAGGTCTGCAAAAGTCCCGTTCTATCCAAATAGGCACAGCCCACCTCCCCGTCCTAGATTCACTGCAGCCTTTCATCCAGGCGTTGAGGGCAAAAAACATACTATGCGACGGCAGATGGTGGATAGACTCTATATGCATTGATCAAGCCAACCTAGAAGAAAGAGCGCAGCAGGTGAGACTGATGCAGCGTATTTATCGCGGGGCTGAACATGTGGTTGTGTGGTTGGGAGAGGTGTCAAGGGATAGCGACCTTGCTGTTGAATTTATCAGACTTCACGATAAGGCTAACAGGGAACAATGGAGTATCAAGCGGATGCGCAGGATGCTGCAGACGGACGAGTATTCCGCACATTGGGCAGCGCTGACCAATTTCCTGTCTCGGAAATGGTGGATGAGGATCTGGACGATTCAGGAGTTTGTCATACCACGGAGTGTCTCCTTCTGGTGCGGCATGCAGGAAGTCAGCCGGGATGCTGTGTGCCATAGTATATCAGTCGCGGACAAGTGTACCTCTGTTGGTATCAAAGAGACGCTCGCCTTCCGCTCTGGGCTCAACCGGGGAAGAGCGCGGGACTTGTACAAGATGCAGGTAGCAGACGGTGTCAGTTTGAAGCGCACGCTGCTCTCACTAACTGCTTACTTCTGTTTCATGGACGCAACCGATGATAGAGATCGTCTATATGGGCTTATGGCGCTGTCAACCGACGGATCGTCGCTTCTGGACGTCAACTACTCCCTGAGTAGCGAAGAAGTGTACTTGCGTTTTGCACAGGCTTTCATCGCACGGCACAAGTCCCTGGACATCATATGTTTCGCGACGATATACAGCGCGCCGTCCGGTTCTTCATTGCCATCTTGGGTGCCTGACTGGCATTGGAGGAATGCGGGCCAAGTGACTCCTTTAATGGTCTGCCAGGCTCACAACGACCAGATTGGAAATCTACGGCCTTCCAAACACTTCGGAGATGGCCCCTATATCTTCTACTCAGCGTCAAAAAACACACCAGCTGTTTATGAGTTCCAAGGGTCGAAGTTGTCTGTTCGAGGGGTTATCGTGGATGCCGTTGATGGAATAGCCGGCTCCAGAAATGCTGCATTCGTCCAAAGCTCCGAACATTCTATACGATCGTCAAGCAGCCCCGTAAGGTCACTCTCATCGACGGATATATTGAAGACTGTATGCAAGTCTTTGGTGTGGGACCGCAAAGATCGATACTTACGGCAAGGGATGCCTGCTGCAGAGTTTTACTATGACTTCGTCCGCCTATGTGTGCCGCTCGTAGACGCGGAATCGCAACCCTCTGCTCTTACAGAATTGAAGGACTGGTTCCAGTGGACAAAGTCTCTCATAATCCACGGGCGCACCTTTGAGAGCCTCCTACGCGACAGCTACCAGACTGGCATAGACTTTTCTGGTCCGGCTCCGAACGATGACGAATACATTATGGACACGTTCATGGGTAGATTCTTCGATACGATTATGAGATTCTCCCAGCGTCTCATGGTGAGCCGCTCTGGCCGTCTTGGCATGGTGGGAGAGAAAGCGATGAAGGGAGATCTGGTCTGTGTGCTACATGGCTGTAGCGTTCCTGTTCTACTACGAAAACTGAACGACAGTGCTGACTTCGTCTTTGTGGGGGAATGCTTCCTCGATGGGTGTATGGAAGGTTCGGCTTTGGAGCAAGAAGAGCTTGCTGAAAGGGCATTTTGCATCCAGTAACGGGGTTATTGTATCGCACTTCAACTTCGCAGCAACGTACCGTGACTATGCTTTAGCCTTCCAAACCGCTTTGTCAAAAGGCAGAATGACAGGAAGATCTCTCATGCAGGTCTTCAGGCGGAACAATCCATGTCTGGGTCTCACACAGTGTGACCAAACATGCATTGACGTTGACCTCAGGTATGTGCTGTCCAGGTCACGAGGGCATATTCCTGATGGACAACTGCCGTTGCTCAAGGATGTGCGAACTGCATGGATTTCAAGGAAGTGACCCTCGGGCACAACAATATTTCACCTGACGGGCCGAATGGGGTGGCGGGTAAAGCGAACCGCATATGTGCTCGAGAGGCGACGGACTTCAAGGAGTCGTGACATGTCAATGTGAGCCGAATAGATTAAACGCGGAGTGAGGTGATAAGAAATGCAAATACATGGCGGTTCCGTGCAGCGGAAGGCAGTGTAGCGACGGGTTGGGGATTCTGCAGATGCAATGGAGCATATGGGGAAAGAATCACCAGCGACCACGACGTTCGCAAATTAGGAGATAACGCTAGACCTGTCTTGGAGGAAAAACCCACCTCCACAGATGCAACGGCGCAATGGACAAGGTCGCAATGCCAACGACTGACCTTGTTCATCATTTTTTTGACAGTTCTGAATGACCAACGAAGGCGGCGGGCTGGCTTGTAGACGTGTGCGCTCAAGCCGGAATTGTCAGACGGAATATGCTCCAGAAGCGTGGGCACGGCTGCAACGGAGATGGAAGTCGTACGCCGTGGCAAATATGCGGTTTCTGGAGGTGTTCGGTGCCTGATTGGCGTTGTGGCAAATATCGTCGGAAATTCCGTGCCTGGCTAAAAGGTGGTGGAGGTCAGCGTGTAATGGGTCTTACACAACGCGGGATGCGGTTACGTTGCGCAACGGAGACGAGGGGCAACCCTTAAGAACAAGACATCGGCGGTGGTCGCATGCGGAAGGCTCTCCTTGTGGCGTGTACAGCTCGCCTCAAGATTGGGTTGAGGTTGTAATTTGAAGAAGTTTTGGCAGGCACGTTGACGACTGACGCGATTTGAAAGGTTCCTGCAGGACAGGATGCTGGGCGTTTCATCTGCCTTGTGCGGGCAGCGCTTCGACAGTCGGCACCAATGCGGTTCAATGTGGGTGCATGGAAGCTTGCAGCGATTGCCAGAAGAAGCACCGTCTATAACCGGGAAGGCGACGGCATATAGAGGTTTGCGGTGCTACGTCGCTTTTCGTGACCGCTCCCTGGCCGTCGGCCACTGTGGGCGACGGCGACGAGCTACGGGCGGACGTTCCGAACTGCCCTCGAACGTCGTCGCCAGCGGCACGGGGAGACGGTCGGAAACAGCTCGGACGCTCCAGGATGTGTCTTGGTACGGGCGGTTGCAAGCAAGGTACCGTAAACAGTCTTGGATGACTGTGTGCGGCGCTGTGGTGGTGTTTGGGAAGGGGAGCAGACGCCAATGGGGCTGCGCGGGCGTGTGGGGGCGCACAGGCGCATTTATCATATGAAAGCGATAAGAGACGCGACCTGGGCAGGCGCTCGCACCCAGTGGCTTGGGTGCAGATAAGCAGCGGCGGTGAACAGGGAGCTCTGTCAGCCCGTGACGGCGTCTCAGCACGTGGAGCTGTGAATGTCTGCCGCGCGCAGCAGTCGGTGGGACCTGGGCTAGGCTGGGCAGCGCCCACGATGCTTCGCCATGACAGCGAAGATGGTGTCGAGAGAAACGCAGACGCGTCGGGCAAGCGCGCGGGTGGGGTCGCCTGGCCGTCCAAGTTGGAGGACCCTGTTGGCGGCGGAAAGCGTGCGCTGTGGCGCCGTGTGCGAGGTCCTCACGCGGCCGGATTGTCTATCAGATTCCAAAGGCGACAGCAATGTGACGGCCCCAGTGTCGAGCAGCAGCCGGCGTCGTGCAGACTGCAGACAGGTGCGGCTGCGCTGCAATCCTCCCCTGTGCCCCCAGTGCCAGTGCCGGTCGCGCCTTCCCTGCGCCGGCACCGTGGCGCTTGCCAAATCAGCAGCGGCGCCTTCCTCCCCACGCTCTTATCGTCCTTGGCAGCTCACCGACGATCCGTGGCTTGTCTGTTCAGCACATCAAACCGCCTCATCCACGGCTGCCCTCGACTCTCCCCGTTCCCACCCCAGCGCGGGCGCCGGGGGCTAGCCTGCACTAGAAAGTGTCCACCGCACACCTGGCGCCGCCGCTCCGCACCGCACCTCGCCCATTTACTCCCAAAGCCCTCGCGGCCCACGGTCGTACACCATCCACGCTCTCCTTTTGGCTGTGCGACGGCCGCGCTGCCCTGCCGCCCTCGGATGCTCCCGCGCGCACCGACGCCGTGGTTGTGAAGCGCTCCTCTTATCTCGTACGCCAGCCTCAAGACCCCTACGGCTACTTATCCGCCCATATAAATCGCTCACGGAACCCCCGCTGACAACAGTTGGTAGCTTCTTGGCCGTCCTGCGTCCCCTGGCTCAGCCCTTCTTTTTGATTCCCTTTCGACCCCCATCTTGAGGGCCTTCCATGAACTGTCCGTTTGCCCTACAGGAAGCACACCACGGCCGTGTGACCAGGCCCTCCCCTGATGTTCAATAACAACCACCACAACTACCTCGTGCCTGTGAAGCCAGCAACGAGGGACGACCCGCGGATTCCTCGTGCGCAGGACACGCAGCTCCCTCGTGGAGAATGCAGCTTCGTTGTGCCCGCTGCGACGCTAGGCGGTGCGCGAGAGCGATGCTCGTGCCGCAGCTTCTTCCCGGACTCGCTGGTACGCTCGCAATGCGGCTGCGGCCATCAGGCCTGGCATCACGAACCGGAACCAATCTCTACCGCCATGGCAGATCAACATGATCTTGTCGTGGCGGAACTGAGGCGCCTGAGGGAGGAAGTGAAGAAGCATGAGCACCTGGAGCACAAGCTGAAGCAGGAACTCTTCAAAGAGCGCATGGCTAGGGAGGAGCACTTCCGCACCTTCAAGGCTATCGAGGCGCGCATGTACGCCAACATGCAACATATGAAAGTGCACATGGACGACAAGGTCGAAGCAGTGGTGGACAAGACGCAGGAGTTCAATGACCAGATGAAGGCCATGCAAGAGCGGTTGACCTTGGTTGACGATGTCACTATGGAACTCGAGAACAGGATGGACCGCATAGAAATAGCCAGTGGGTCCTCAAGAGAGCCGACACCGGGAGCAGCGACACCGAAGCCTCTGCTTTCTCCGCCCAAATCGGTGCCCCCTGTGCCTTCATTGCCATTGCTCATGCACTCACAGCCCTTACTGGGTCAACTGCCTATTCGCAACGACAAGAAGTATCCATTGTCGTGGAGCGCACGAGTCATCTTCGTGCCGCGCAAAAGTCAAAAGTTCGCCTACGATCCAGACAGCAACGGCTACAAGCGGTGTGCCACACGCAAGTTGCAGCAGACCATGAACTTTCCCAGCCAGGACAGCTCGTGCTTTGCGAATTGCATCGAGACCACGTTCAAGGGTATCCTCCGCGGTCGACCATGGATGCCCCTGACAGCCCATCGTCCTGCCGACGAGCCGTTTGGGCGTATGGCGCTTGCACTCCTTCCTTCAGACCTCACCCACCGCAGTGTATGGGATTACCCATTCCTCGAGGATCATTGCATCGCGCACGACAAGATGCAAGGTGACATTCTGTACATTGCCCTACAATTCGAAGACGTGACATGGAACGAGATTCGCTTCTTACCGGCCATTCTTGGCGCAGATGACTCTTGCTGGAAGCACGACGAAGAGTTGGACGGGAACGCAAAGTACAAGAGCCTGGATTCCGAAATAATGTACGATTACCAGGACCCTCCACCTACCTATTCATCTCGAACTCACTCGATGGCGGATAGGGCGCCCTCGAAACTGGATGTCCTTGCCGATTCCGCCTCGATGCTGAGCCCCATTGAGCGCCTACAGACGCGATCGAGCCACTACTCCTCAGAGCGCAGTAGCCTGCGTAGCTTCTCGACAGAAGAGACGGCTAGTTACGAAGGCACCGAAGATGACGAGCATCGCGACAAGAAGCCCAAGCTCAGATCGAAGCAGTCGATGCCTGGCGTCAACAGTGCAGGCCATGCGCCGTCGCCGCTTTACGTTTCCGGCCGCTCCAAGCGAAAGATGCCCGTCCGCGAGAAGGGCCCCAAAGAACCATTGCACTTTAGCGTGTCCAACGTCACGAAGTGGCGACCCAACCTCCTCCACACTTCGTCGAAGGGCAAGGAAGCGATACAGGAATAATGTCACCGTGCTATGTATCACCACCACTCATCACCTGTTTCATTTGTGCAAATTCAAGATTTCGTTTTATTCCGAGGCAAGGCGTTCACACAAAAAGCCTGGCAAGGACGGGATACCCAGATGGCGTTTGCTCAGTTCTGCAAGTTAGATTTCGACGCTTCGGCACTCTTTAGAATAGGCTTTCCTTTTGGTATTGATCAGGACAGTGGCGACTGCTTTGCAGGCTGGACAATACCTCATAGCATGCGCTACGACGCTCTCGTGAGATAAGGCGCGCAATAATCGAATATATGGTAAAGCTCGACCAACGTTGCTGTGTTTGGCATTTGATAGCGCGACATGATGGGCCTCGTGCCCAGGTCTGGCAGATAACGGTCAGGCAGGGACTACCTTGCATAGCTCGGTACCTGAGACCCTATCTGTGGAGCCGTTGCACCAGCATGCAGGTTACCTTGGATAGCCTACACAAGGCAGAGATAAAGATACGATGTCGGAGCACGAGAGATAAGCCAGATACCTATTTGTATGTATTCTACTTGGCGACTTGGCTCGCTAGATGGTGTTGCAGTATCGAAGATTAGGCGCCGTGCCGCATGCCGTTCGCTACACCCATTACCGAACAACGTAGGTATGGCCAGGCGTCTATCAGGCGAAAGACTGTCTGCAGTAAATGTGGTAGTCGAACACCTGGCGCGACGCAGCCGTCTTGTTATCAGATAGCATAGGCAGGAATCAGCTGATTATAAAACAATCGCTTACGCCCAGGAAAGGCGGGTTGTGCGCGAGCGTTGCATCGAGTTGTTCGAGAAGCGTTCGGCTGGTCTAAATACGAAAGGGGGCGTAAGCAGCCTCCTTCAGCTACGCCGCGCGCGTGCTGTCTGCTACTTCCCTATTATATACCTATACGAGGATTCCGGAAGCGCCTCGTCTGGGCGTTGGCATTGTTTGACGGCCCTGGCAGGAGTGGGGAGGAGTGGCGGTAGGGGTTACGTGCGAGAAGTGCCTGGTGTAGGTGGGCGTTCTGAGGTCTACCTGCCTTTCTTCAGAGTCGAAATGATCTAGAGATGTATCGCTGGGACCCTCATGAATTATTGGAGGCTCGTCTTGCTTCTGGTAAACAGCCTTTGAAGTGTAAGACAGTCCCATCTTTGGCGGAGCTTGGCACTCTCCCATTTGCGGTGGAAACGCGGGGATGCGGGGGAAACGGAATCGTGGGTAACCTCACCATCGGTTCGGGAAGGCGCGAACAAGGCAATACAACGCTTCTGCTACGCCTGCGAGTGAGACATGCGAAAGTTCCGTGAGCGCATGCCTTCACGGCCGCCGTCACGCATCGTCCGGGCTACTCGATTGAGCGTGCCGGACCTTTATGGCTTCCTCATCCTTATCATACTGGGCTATCGTCGATCATGGCTCCGCACCCCCCGCCGGACCACTCACAGCCGCCAGACGTAATTCACCGCTCGCCAGCCTGTCACGCGGATTGGACGGCGCCCTATCACGGTGCCGAAGAGCAGGATTGCACATCGGTTGTGCCCGGTCAACGGGTGTCTTATCCCGTTGGTTTTAGGCCTGCAACGCCAGCACGCCTACGTTGTTCTTGGAAGTGGCCTGCCATCGAGCCGTCTCGGTGGCTAGAAGCTTGATAGAACGTTACATTGTAACCTGGGCCTAACTCCGACTATACATAGGCCCGCCCCCATGCTGCCCTTTGTTTCGCGACCGCGACCGCGACTTCTTCTCACGCTTTCTGACGAGATCAACCGGACGACTTTGCTGTCGAACGGGCTTCAGCACGCCTTGGCTCAGAGTTGCTTTTAGGCATCTTCACCGCGCACACAGCCGGTGTTGACTCTTTGCCCTGCGCCATCGCGCATCTCCATAGCGCCTCATCCGCTAGCTCGACGCCTGCTCTGCGCAACCGCCCCCCATGGCCGACGACACCAAAGGCACTGGGACCTTCGAGCCCGATGCGAAACACGGCCTCGAAGTGACGGCATCCAAATCCTCCTCCGATGGCAACAACCCCGTCGCTATTGAAGGCCAAACAGAGCACCTCCCGACGTTCGAGCATGAAAAGAGACTCGCACTCAAGTTCGACATCCGCATCCTGCCCATGCTAGCCGTCATGTATCTCTTCAATGCACTCGACAAGGGCAATTTGGGCAATGCGAAGACAGACGGCATGGACAAGGATTTGCATTTCAAGTCGGGCCAGTACAATACCATGTTGAGCATCTTCTTCGTCCCGTACGTGCTGTTTGCGCCGCCGATTGCGATGGCGGGAAAGAAGATTGGGCCGAACCGGATGTTGCCGATTCTGATGTTTTGCTTTGGAAGCATGACGCTGTTAGCCGCGTCTGTGAAGAATTTCGGCGGCATGATGGCTTTGCGGTGGTTCTTGGGTGAGTGCTATTTCATATTCTTGCATGTGCTTGCTAGTCATGCCACGACATTCGTATCCGTCGCACGATGAAAGCAAAAGCTGACCTATGCTAGGTATGTCGGAAGCCGCATTCTTCCCACTGGTCATCTACTACCTCACCACCTTCTACCGTCGCGGTGAACTTGCCCGTCGCCTCGCCCTCTTCTATGCCGCCTCCAACATCGCGAATGCCTTTTCCGGCCTCCTCGCATTCGGCGTCTTCCACATCAAAGATTCGAAGCTCGATGCGTGGCGCTACCTCTTCATCATCGAGGGTACCGCCACCATCCTCGTCGCCTTCTTCGCCTACTGGTGGCTCCCCAAGTCCGCCTACGAAGCAAAGTTCCTCACCGAAGAAGAAAAGAAGCTCGCCTTCACCCGCATCCAAATCGACTCCTCCGCCATCGTAGGCGAGAAATTCGTCCTCAAAGACGCCCTCCAAATCTTCAAGCTCCCCTCAACATACGGCTTCCTCGCCATCGAAATCTGCCTGGGCGTCCCCCTCCAATCCGTCGGCCTCTTCATGCCACAGATCATCAACGCCCTCGAAAAAGACGTCGTACAAGTCAACCTCAAAACCGTCGCCCCAAACTGCGTAGGCGCCGTCTTCCTCCTCATCCTCGCCTTCGCCTCCGACTACTCGCGCATCCGCTTCCCCTTCATCGCCCTAGGCTTCGCCCTCACCTTCTGCGGCTTCATCATCTTCGCCGCCATCGACGTCCCGTCGCACCTTTCCACCGCCTACTTCGCAGCCTTCATGATGGTCTGGGGGACCTCCGCGCCGTCCGTCCTGCTCTCCACCTGGTACAATAATAACATCGCGCACGAGGGGCGTCGCGTAACGCTCACCTCGGTGGGCATACCGCTTGCCAACCTAATGGGCGTGGTATCCTCTAATATCTTCCGCGACGAGGACAAGCCTAAGTATGTGCCTGCACTGGCGACGACGGCTGCGTTCGGCGCGACGGGGTGCTGCATTGCGTTGCTGCTGGGGAGTTATATGATATTCGATAATCGGCGGAGGAACAGGAAGCAGGGGGTCAACCTGACTGCGCGGGACGTGAGCACTGCGATTTTGAGGGAGGGGCCGAATAGTGCGGATTTTAGGTGGTTTTTGTAAGGAAGCCTAACCGTAACCCAAAGAGAGAGGGAGGGCGTGATGGGTTTGTGTATAGCTTGCTGGTGGGAAGGTAGGTGTGTAGTGAAGTGAAATTGTGGGATAGATACCCTGAATGGATGTACGCTTTCACTCTTTGACCTCGGCTGGAATTGCTGCATGGATCGGTGTTTTGGACGAATGATCATACGCGAGAAATTAACAACGTGATAGATGACGGACTATCTGACTCCGAGCACGCTCTCGCACTCACTGGTGTAGCTAAACGCGAGTATGAGTATGCTAACCTACCCGTTTAAGCCTAGCGCCCCTCTATCTGCATGCATGCTCTCCACTTGACTCACCATCCCTCAGTCGCGCTACACGTCGGCATACTACGACTGTTCTTCAGGCCCATCGATACATCATCAGCAAGCTTCCAGCGCATTGTCCCCCCTCTAACTCCTAGTGTTCTGAGTGGTCCATGGCCTGTTAAGCTCAGCATCTATTACGCGCCTAGCAGCTGTTAACCACAACACCATCTGTATACAATCTCTCCATCGCTAGTAGCTGTTAAATAGCTGTTATTCTATAGCAGCTACCAATAGAAATAGCTTACTAAGAGCCTACTGCGATACTATCAAAGCGCTAGCAGATGTCATTTCAGTAATGAACAGCTGACAGTGCTTCTTAGAACTACCGATCTGCGTATGTGTATATCCTACGGTTCCAGACCTTACTACGAAATGTGATGATCGGTACTCGTCGATAAATTGAATTGTCCAGTCATACCTCGGATGCGCGGCAGGGTAATGTTCGCCGCCATCCTGCCTGTTAGAGCTTCGGCGTGCGGTGTGACATCGCGAGCGATGACTCCTCCTGTGACTGCAGTTGCGAAGTGATGATCGGGGAATGGCGAATTCTGCAGAACATCAGTCGATGGATTTCATCAGAAGCAATCTGAGAATAAATGGTTTATCGTGGATGGAGGTTAACGGTGCGAATTCAGGCAACGATGCTGGTGCTCAACAAGCACGACATGAACGAGCGAAAACCAACCACTAAGTCACGACTTCCGGTCAAAAGCCACCCTGAGGCCGCCTCGCAATCGGTTTGTCGCACAAGATGACTGCACCTGCACCAATGTGTGAGTCGTACTCGCCACACCCCCGCTCCGCATTCAGGCGTTCCGTCGCGCCCTGATTCGGCTAGGCAGCAGCTGCCTGGTGCATGTACAGCCTTACTACGCGCCATTGTGTATATAGCTCGATGAGGGAACTGTGCTTTTGGGAATTATCGAATAATTATGGCTCAGATACCTCTACCTTTTGACAGACTTCCTGCGTTTATGAATGAGAATGGGAATGGTGCTGATGGTGCCACCGCACCAAAGACTTGGAGGGAGAGGCAGGAGAGGGAGGAGATGAAGAAGACGGCTGTGATCGAGGCTACGCCCAAGGAGCCTGCTGGACCGCCGGGCAGTCTGGCGAGCATTCACAATGTGTATGCGGATCCGTGGATGTCGAATAAGGTATGTGCTTGGTCCGGTGTTTCTCACCTTCCCAATGAGTGCGCAAGAGACGGGATCCAGGAACAGCACGGGACACTCATAATGTCCAGTTCTACGGTGCTTCTCCGTCCATGAGAAAATACGCGCTAAGATACCTCAAGTGGTCAACCCAATACCCCACGCGAGCCGGTCCGCCAGCAGAAGATGCGTACTCTTTACAGCATGCTTTGGTCGCTCGGTACAAGCTCTCCGATGACCCTAGCAAGACTCTGGACCTGCATTCCATCGTAGTGCAAAGCCCGCTTTTGAAGAAGAGCCTGGGCAAAGTCCTGGACGGATACCCAGGTATCACGACCGAGCTCGAGCGCGTAGAGATCAACGCGCCGTTCGAATGTTTCGTGCATAGGTGGGACTGTCTCCAGGCAGAGCGCGTGGCTCTCACTCGGAAGAGGCAGAACCCGGCGCCGGGGGCAGCGCAGAGGAACAAGGATGCCGTGGCTCATCTGGAGGCTCTGTATAGGACGCTGGAAAGCGAACTTGCTTCCGTCATCCGCGAGAAGGAGGATCTCATTGCGCATGGCGTGATGAGATTCGATAAGCTGTGGACGCTGTTCGAGCCTGGGTGTCTTGTGTACCAGAAGCGTGACGGGCACGACCGCGTTTACAAGCTCAAGAGCGCGAAGATTGAACAGGTGACTGGGGGACGGGTGTATAAGCTTGAATGCCAGTATGTGGACTTTGACGGTACGAACTTTGGGTATAACAAGGAGAATATCAGCATCAAGGAGTTCAAGGGGACGAAGAAGATTGCGAAGTTCGAGGCGTATCCGTTGGAGTTTTATGAGGGGGTGGAGGAGCTGAAGGCGAGGTTGATGGAAAGAGGCGCCATGTTTGAGGCGTACAAGGAGTATCGCTTTGTTGCGTACGATGGCATTGCTACTGGGAAGGTAACCCGTGGCGAGCAGAAGATGAACGTGAAGAGCCGCATTATCATCGACGCGTATTCCGCCTCGAGGTACGGGAACAAGCCCAGCCTGGAGCTGTTCGAGACGCCGGAAGTCGCCCAGGAAGTCGCGAGTCCGGCCAACAACGAGGATACCGACGAAGACTGCGTCATGCTCGACGAGAACGTGGGCAAAAAGCAAGAACCAGCGCCAGTCGGCAAGGTGCCCGTTCCCACTGCGGACACCTTCATCCTCACGCCTGAACAGCGCCTCGTTGCCTCGGCCACCGTCCGCGGCTACAGCCTCCGCGACAAGAAGTGGTGCAGCTTCTTCATCTCCAGCGTCTGCGACATCACCTGGAACGAAGACGCCTTCGCCTCTCTCGTCGCCCCCCAAGAACAGAAAGACCTCATCCTCTCCTTTGCCGAGAGCCAGGTCAAGTCCCGCGACGACTTCGACGACTTCATCCAGGGCAAGGGCCAGGGCATCATCATGCTTCTCGCGGGCCCGCCGGGCGTGGGTAAAACCTTGACGGCGGAAAGCGTCGCCGAAGCGATGAAAGCCCCGCTGTACAGCATCGGCGCTGCAGATCTAGGAAGTGAGTGTTATGACTGGAAACCCCTTCCACCGCGTCCGTGCGGTATGCGCGCGCGTGAATATAAAGCCATGCTGAACGCAGACACAGGTAAGCCAGCGCAGCTCGAAAACAAGCTGCACGACATCCTCGAGATGTGCGCGAAGTGGAACGCCGGTAAGCCATGACCCCTTTCTTCTCCCCTCCCCTCTCCTTATCCATGCCGGCGAGACGAGACTAACGCAAATAAAAGTCCTCCTCATCGACGAAGCAGACGTCTTCATGGAAACCCGCTCCCCAACCGACCTCGACCGCAACAAGCTCGTCGCCATCTTCCTCCGCCTCCTGGAATACTTCTCCGGCATAATGTTCCTGACGACAAACCGCCTCGCGCACATGGACGCCGCGTTCGAGTCTCGGATCCACCTCACCCTCAACTACACCGAGCTGGACAAAGCCTCCCGCAAACATATCTGGGCTAGTTTCCTGACCTCCCCGTCCCGCATGAGTAATAAGAATAGGAATGGGAATGTAGGCGAGGGGAGTTTTGGGGAGGTGGAACTGGAGAAATTGAGTAGGGAGAGGCTGAATGGGAGGCAGATTAAGAATGTGGTTAAGACGGCGGGGTTGTTGGCTGGGAGGGGAGGAGGGGCTTGGGATGGGGCATTTGGAGACGGTGTTGAGGTTGAGGAGGGGGGGGGAGAAGAAGGTGGGGTTTTTTGGGGTGGGGAGTAGAACCCATTCTTGCGAAGTGATGGGACGATGTACCTAGGTATGGAAGCACACTGCAGGTAGCTGGACATGTAGTCTCGAGCAGCAACATGGAAATTGGACATACATTACCAGGTTGCGATTCTAGAGATGGAGCGGGGATTGAAGTATACTATGGCACTGTTGGCCAGAGTTTATCATTCAACTGTTGTTGAAAAAGGTTAACGGTTGTTCCAAAAGGTGTTTCGGTGCGCTTCAGGTTTACATGCAATTCTTTCTTGAGAACCGTGCGTGGAGATGGATTGATGTTGAGGTTGTATAGGTTTGAGGTAGGAACCGTGAAGACGAGTGGGTACGATCTATGCATTTCACGTCCTGGTAAGCGGTCCTAAATTAGGCCAAAGAAGGACCAGTTTTGTAGGTGAGGATTCTTGCAACCGTCCGGTCTTTCGCGTTCTAGGCAACGAGCAGCACGTGATATTCTTATGCCAAAAATGGCTAGCACAGCCCACGCTAACATAGCGCCACCCTCTCCACTTCTTCTGCAGCGCAACTTGCACACCCCTAACCTCAACCCCAAATCACCGCGCAACTCCATCACTATGTCGTGGCGCAACCAGGGCATCACCGGCTCTAACAACATTCCTCTAGGAAACCGTCGACGCATTGGTGGCGACAGCAACGGCGACGATGGAGCTTACAATCCTTCTGAGCCGTCTGCTGGCCTCGACCTGAAGCGTGGTCGCAGCCCGACACGAGGTAAGTCACAATTGTCACTTCTGCTACTGACATTCCGCTGACAATTGTCGCAGATGCCGACGGTCCTTCGCGCCGCAAGAAGCGCAACCGGTGGGGTGATGCGAGCGAGAACAAGGCCGCTGGTTTGATGGGCTTGCCCACTGCCATCTACTCGGCCATGACTACCGAACAGCTTGATGCCTACACGTTGCACTTGCGTATCGAGGAGATTACCCAGAAGCTGAAGATCAACGATGTTGTTCCAGCCGACGGGGACAGGTATGCTCATATTTTTGCCACGCCACCAGCTCAACACTAACGTGCCCAGGTCACCTTCTCCTCCGCCGCAGTACGACAACTACGGTCGTCGTGTGAATACGCGCGAGTTCCGCTACCGCAAGCGCCTCGAAGACGAGCGCCATAAACTTGTAGAGAAGGCGATGAAAACGCTTCCTAACTACCACCCACCGGCAGACTACAGGCGTCCTACTAAGACACAGGAGAAAGTCTATGTGCCAGTCAATGACTACCCGGAGATTAACTTCAGTATGATACTAACCCCTCTAACTTTCTTTACTCGTCTACTTCCTTTCCCTTGCCTTCGTCTTGACCGTTTTGCACAACCTGCCGACTGTGTAGCATCGCATCGGTGGCCTCTTTGCAAAACCAAGTCACTAACCCGAACCACCCCTTTGCTCAAAACCAATATTTGATCACATAACTAACTACAGATTCTTTCTGCACTAACAGTTGGATTACTTATCGGCCCGCGAGGCAACACGCTCAAAAAGATGGAGTCTGAGTCCGGCGCGAAGATTGCGATCCGTGGCAAGGGCTCCGTCAAGGAGGGCAAAGGTCGTTCTGACGCAGCTCACACCAGCAACCAGGAGGAGGACTTGCATTGTCTGATCATGGCCGATACCGAGGACAAGGTGAACAAGGCGAAGAAGCTGATTCACAACGTCATTGAGACGGTGCGTATTTCCCAGTTCTTGATTTGACATAAAGCTAATGCTGTGCAGGCTGCGTCCATTCCAGAAGGCCAGAACGAGCTCAAGCGCAACCAGCTTCGTGAGCTTGCCGCTCTCAACGGTACCCTCCGTGACGATGAGAACCAAGCTTGCCAGAACTGTGGTGAGATCGGCCATCGCAAGTACGACTGTCCTCAGAAGCAGAACTTCACGGCCAGCATCATCTGCCGTGTCTGTGGACAAGCTGGGCATATGGCTCGCGATTGCCCCCAGCGCAAGACTGGACAACCCTGGCGCAACGACAACCGTTTCGGCGATCGCCCCCAAGCCAGGATTGGCGGTGCCGAGAACGAGCTCGACAGCTTCCTCAACGAGATGGGTGGTGGCGACGGGCGATCCGCTGGAGCCATCGAATACAACGGCAATGGAGGCGGCTATGGTGGAGAGGAACAGCGCGCTGCGAAGCCTTGGGAACAGCGCCCAACTGGAGCGCCTGCTCCGTGGGCTCGTGGCAACGACCGCAGCGACGATCGTGGCCAGGGCTCTTCTGCCGCTCCGTGGGCTAGTGCCGGTCAAGATTCGTACAGCCAGGGAGGCTATGGAGGCGGTGCAAGTGCAGGTGCAGGTGCTGCTCCGTGGGCTGCTTCTGGCGCCAACGCTTCTGCTTCTTACGGCTACGGAAACTATGGATACGACCAACAGGCTGCTCCAGGTGCCGCTCCTCCTGGCATGAGCTCTTACGGCTATGGTGCTGCTCCTGGCGCGCAGGCCGGCCCGCCTCCTGGACTTGGACCTCTCTTCCAAAACTATGCTGGCAACGCTGGAAGCCCGCCTCCTCCACCTCCGCCTGGCTCTGCTCCCCGCCGCCTCCTCCAGGTGACGCTCCGCCCCGCCTCCTCCGTCCGACGCCCCTCCGCCACCTCCCCACCGCCGCAGTAGATGCGTTCTTCGTCGCTGGTCACTTGCGCGTTATTGCAGAAGGTATCTTCGCCTTTCTCCAAAGCGCCTGATTCAACGGCTATGAGAGGACAATGCGTTCTCTTCCTGGACTCCCGGCAGACTGAAGTGATTTGGACTGCTTTGACATGTCAGGAGAGTTTTGCACCCCGGATTAGAACTACACCCGAAAATGGATTCCTAACTTGTATACTTTCGGCGCAGGTCAGTAGGTAGCGTAAGTATACGAAAAGCCGTCTTGGAAATTTGTATTTGCCTTTGAAATGTCTCGCACATGCAGTAGCTGTCTTTGTTAATACATGAAATCTCTTGTTTCCAATACGTGCGTGCTTCACAAGCTTCGGTACATGTAAAGATCACAGCTGTGCTTAGCAGAGCTTCTACAACCTGACACGTAGAATTCGCTTCGGCAGGTTTGTCCTGGAGTCAGTCGCAGTTGGCAAAGTCGACGTGGTGCAGGTGCCCTGTTGCCAGTTTGGCGCCGTCGATCATGCCAAGGCGACAGGGTGTGGGCGCGGAAGCGACGATGACGAACCGCAGCGACAGCACCAAAAGCGCTCAGCAGCATCAACATTGCCAACACAACCCGCGCAGTCACTCGACCCGCTCGCTCAACTTATTATTCGACCCTCACCGCCGCTTCAATATATAATAGTAATCGCACACCTCCTTCGCTTGACGGCCAACCGAGCGGCCTTACCACGCGGAGCTGGTAGGCACACGCACGCTCGCTTTTAGCACTACCCCGCTGCTATCTTCTCCACGCAGCATGGAGAAGATAAAAGTTAGCAAGGTTGCTCCCCTGCACGCTTCGATGCAAGGGGAAGAGACTGAACGTCTAAAGGTCGAGAACGTCCAGGCATTCTCCCGCGGCTCCGGCTTCGACGGCACGTTGCACCTAACAACCCACCACATCATCTTCAGGTACCTGCCGCCATGCCCTCCAGGCGCCGACCCAACCGCGAACCCGCCGCGCGAGAAAACGATATGGATCACGTATCCACAGATCTTCTACTGCTGCCTGCGACCATGTCCGTCCGCCTCGCACTACAAGCCGTCGATCCGCTTGAGGTGTCGCGACTTTAAGATGTTCGCTTTCAACTTCCTCGACGAGAAGGACGCGCGCAACGTATACGATAGCATAAGGGCATTGTCCTGCAAGATTGGACGGCTCGATAGACTCCTCGCATTTGCTTATAACCCTAGACCGCCAGAGAGCGACGTAAATGGTTGGCAGATTTACGATGCGCGGAAAGAGTTTAAGCGACTAGGCATCAGTCCCAAGGACTCGGAGAAGGGCTGGCGGATATCGGAGATCAACACCGACTACAAGGTAGGTCTGGTAAACTTCAGGAAGAGCTATGAGTTCTGACATTCTTTTCAGTACTCGAAGACGTACCCTGCACTTATTGCGGTACCTACCAAGGTCTCCGACAGCGTCCTCCGATATGCGGGCGACTACCGCTCTCGTCAGCGTATCCCTGCGCTCGTATACCGCCATCCTCTGAACAACTGCTCAATAACCCGAAGCTCGCAACCCTTGCCTGGTCTCAGTGGCAAGCGCAATGCACAGGATGAGCGCCTCGTCGCTGCTATATTCGCAACTAATCGTGGGTGGAAAACAACGCAAACCCCTAATCCTACGACTCCGGCGAATACCTCCCCGGAGTCAAGTGTTGTCAATTTAAATGAGTCTGCTGCTGATAGTTCGTTTGTGGGTGTAGACGATGCGGAAGCAGTCAACTCTGGGAGAACAACAGTGGACGACTTGACTGATTCCGCCGAGACTGACCCAGACGCGCCGAAGATATACGGAGCACAGCAGCGGAATCTCATTGTCGATGCGAGACCTACCGTAAACGCGTTGGCTATGCAAGCTGTCGGCTTAGGTTCTGAAAAGATGGAGTACTACCCGGGGGCGGAGAAGGCTTACCTTGGGATTGACAACATCCACGTCATGCGGAAATCCCTCGATTGTGTTGTCGAAGCGTTGAAAGAGTCGGACTACCTCAATGTTGCACCCAACTACGACCTGCTGCGCAAGAGCGGTTGGATAGGACACATTGCCAATATCCTGGACGGTACTGCTTTGATCGCGCGAACTGTGGGCATCATGCACTCGCACGTTCTCATCCACTGTTCCGACGGGTGGGATCGGACCAGTCAACTCAGCGCCCTCAGCCAGATCATGCTCGATCCTTACTATCGGACTCTGGAGGGGTTCATCGTGCTTGTGGAGAAAGATTGGTTATCGTACGGTCATATGTTCCGTCACCGGTCTGGATTCTTGAGCAGCGACAAGTGGTTCACCATCGAGAACGAACGAATTGACCGGAACCGGGACGGGTCAGGCCCTGGCAACGCGTTTGAGAACGCTTTGCGTGGCGCTAAAGGCCTCTTCAACCGTCACAATAATGACTCCACCGAGTCGCTCACCCAGATGACCGATCCTAACGGGGCCGTCGCGGCTGAATTAAATACTTCGGACGTTGACCCTAGTAAAGAGACTCAGTCGAAGCCGTTCGCCAGCAAGATAGGGCCCGCTGAAGAGCACCGCATTACCAAGACTACCGAGTTGTCACCCGTCTTCCACCAATTCTTAGATGCCACATACCAACTACTGTATCAGCATCCCACGCGCTTTGAGTTCAACGAACGCTTCCTGCGCCGCTTGTTCTACCATCTACACTCATGCCAATACGGCACTTTCCTCTTCGACAATGAAAAGGAGCGTGTTGAAGCTCGGGCGTATGAACGAACGCGATCGGTATGGGACTACTTCCTCTGCCGGCGAGAAGAATTCATGAATCCCAAGTACGACTCCACCGTTGATGACTCGGTTCGCGGAAAGGAACGAATTATCTTCCCCAAGAAAGGCGAGGCGCGCTGGTGGGCCGAGCTGTTTGGCAGGACGGACGAGGAAATGAATAGATTTGGCCCGCAAGCCCCGCCGAATCACCTCACCCCACAGACGTCAAACATGAGCAGTCCGCCTAATGGGCGGAGTGGGACTAGCACACCAGTGCCGCAAGAGCCCATTGTTACGGGAACGGAGACAGCAGAGAACGCTACAGGAGCAGGAACTACGGCTGACCCGCCTGTGCAAGTAACATCAAACCCATCCCCAAGACCCAGCGTAGAGGCGGAACAGATGGCAGATCCGCTCGGCGCGGTCAAGGATCTCAGCCAGCAATTCACAGCGAGTCTATCCTCGCTCGGCAAGAACCTCCGCAGCTCCAGTCCTACCGCACGATCTGTCGAAGACCGCAGCCGCTCTCGCTCTCATAGTCGCGTTGAGGCCCGCAAAGAAGTGGAGGTCGAGATGCAGTAGGAACCTATCTCTACCCATGGGCATGATTGTTACCCCAACGGCTTCCCGTTTCACATATATATGGGACCCGAGTTTCTGGCCATGTGGATCCAGTCGTTATCTGAAGAAGAGCTATCGCGTATGAAACTTACGTTACACTCGTCCTCGTCCGACCAGAGTCCGGAGGAGAAAGAATGTTGGCCGTACTCGTCCTCCGAATTTGAGGTTTTTAGCGATGAGGATTCGTATATGGTTACAGATGGAGACCCTAGCGGGATACTTCCCTGTTATTCCAAGTACGTGGACGGAGACAGGTCACCACCGTATTGGACTCTTGATGATGGGCGTCCCGAGAATCGAGACAGCTCCAATGAGATTGCCGGCGATGGCGACGACGGCTACGATGGAGATGTCGATTACGATAGCGACGACGATCACGGCAGTGACAGCAGTGCCCCATACAGCGCATCCAGCCAGCCGAGCTCCCCGCGCTACTTGATCTCTTCACGCTCTTCACGCTCTCCAAGTTTCCCAAGCTCGATTGGATTTCTCTCCGATTACGATGCGGCGAGTGAGCGGTTCTCGAAATTTAGATGGGGCGTGTGGAGGCGCCCGGTGTGGCAGCAGGAACTGAGGTATCACAGGAGGGGAACGCAAAGTATAGGCGGAGTGTGGGAAGGAAAGGGGGTGTCTTGGTAGCGTTCGTTATGCATAGCTGGGCGTTGGTTTGTATATAGGTGCAGCATTGCTAGCGGTATCGGATGGATGTGGTTGGTGAGGATGACATGAAGTCGTCGAATGCAGTACTATTCCGCCAAGTTCCTCGAGAGAAATGCTCCTGTGCTTGCACGGGAATTCGTTTGCGATATCGCATTGGTCCCGAGTACAGGGGCCTTTGATACAAAGTTTTTAGCACATCGTTTTTGGCCTTGGCCTATGCTGTAGTTGGTAGAACGAATGGTAGTGGCTGTTAGCGCGTAGCGGTTGCCTGGCGTGCCTGGCTGGATCCGGTAGCATTTCGGACAGACTTGTCGTATATGAAGTGTCCTTGACTTCAAAATCATCATCATGCCTTCGAACGCTTCACCATTGCTACGATATGGACGTCGAATCTTGTACACCGGCAAAGCCTCCATGCTCGATCCAAGATCTATCGACTGAGCTTGTGCTCATGGTCTTGGAGTACCTCCCTTTTGAATCACACTTCGACTTTGCTTGCACCTGTAGGAGACTTGCCGTTGCCTCGCGAGGTGTGCTGGAACGACATCAAGATGCGTACAGTAAGTATAGGGTGGCTTCTGATCTCGATCCAGCGACTGTGCCTCTGTTGCTGCGGAGTGCTTTCGGACGCGGTGATCCTATACCAGCGTGGCACGTGCGGTCTTTCGAGATCTGGCGCGATCGAGCAAGTTGGGGGGAATGGCAGATGTATAGTCTGACGACACCATTGGTGTGTGGTTCAGAGTGCGGGCCTTCGCGGCTTCGAGTATCAAATGAGGAAGCTGGAAGGTATCTGAAATGGTTTGAGGGACAATTAAGTGAAGAACTTGACGAAGGGGTTGTTGAGGAACTTCTAGAGCAGGTTGGGAGTGGGCGGGATGGGATACTCAAGGCTCTGTTGTTTGCGAAGTGCGAACGCCTTGGGGATTTGAAGTTCGTTACTCGCTGTCAAGAGAAGGGCTCCGGTCTTGCTTCGATGAAGTTGCTCATCGCTAAGTGGCTTCAATACGGGAGTCACGAAACCACCGATAACGACAGCGGTGACGAAAGCGACGACGACAATGACTGTGGGTGCGATAGCTGCGGTGAAAACGACACCCACATGGACAGCGGCAACGACAGCGACTCAGACTGGGAGTCCCTCGACTCTGACGATACTGAACAGCCGCCTCAAAGTACTACCACCGCTTCCTGGCCCCCAGGCTTCGCCGCCATACGCACCCTAGCCGTAGGCGTCTCTTCCGCAACCTGGATGGACGACCCCCGCGAAGACCCCTCCTCCCTCCTCTTCGCACACCTCCTCCGCCTCCCCAACATCCACAGCATCTTCTTCTCCCACCTCCGCACCCACGAATGGAACGACCTCGCCTTCGACGAAGACGAAGACGAATACGGCTACGACGTCCTGCCAAAAGGCAGCTCCTCCATCCAGCACATCTTCCTCCACGGCTGCGACGAGCTCGACTCAGACGTAAGAGACGACCTGTGGGACGCCCCCCGCTCGCTCCTAACCATTTCGTTTCGGCACGACGGCGAGTCCGAGTTCTGGGGCGCAACAGGCACGGCGAACGGGCTTGCTCTTGCGCAGAAAAAGTGCCTGCGGGGGATAATGTGGTATGGGTATGCGTATGGGTGTTTACAAGGGGATCACTGCACTGTGCTCGACAACGAGGAGTTCGACCATTTTAAGCGGCTGCCGGGGGTGACGCAGGTTTCTGTTAGTATGCAGGACGTTGAGCTCGCGATGGAACATGCGGATACGTATGAAAAACTTCGATTCTATGATGAGGATGAGAGGGACGACGAGGACGGGGAAGGCTATGTATTCGATGATGTGGATGACGGAGACAAGTTCTTTGTGAGGAGGTTGGCGACGTTGTTCCCTAGGTCGATGGAGACGTTGGTGCTGTGGGATGAACCGCAGGGGACGGAGAGTGCGCTGCTTGATCGTGCGATGGTCAAGATTATCCAGGATGGACGCTATAAGAACCTGAAAGCTATCTTCTTGCAAGATGTAGAAAGGGCGAGGGAAGGGCCGCGGACGGAGGGATTGTGGTTCCAGGACGCGATTGCGGCGGGGAGGGCAGCTGGTGTTGACGTGCACACGCTCACGAATCGTGGGCCTATGCGGCACAAGCTTGATTTTGTGGAGGCGCCGGATGAATACGACTTGCGGTCTGGTATACATTCTGGCGTGAGGTCTGGTGATTGGGTCTTCGATGCGTATGCCGGACGCAGAGTACCTCTTGGCTGCGGCAAGTGTGGAAGCTGTGAGAACTGTTTGGCGCAGTATGACGCAAGGCTGTGGGCGACGATGAGGACCGATCAAAGCTGAGGGCGGTTGTGGAATGAGAGTCCAGCCCTTGGGTGAACGCACTGTAGTGAATATGATTGATGTACTCAACGTTCTTTCGTGGGATCGCTATCTCAGAATCACTGAGCCGTACTTCCTGGGCCGTTATCGATACGAATCTGTACACATTTGATGTCCAGCTGGATTGTAATGCTCGAACGATCAGAGGGAAGGTATCTTTACAAAGGATGTTAGTCATGAACGTTAGAAAGGCAAGATATGGGAACAATGTGTCAAGTAATGATAAACAAGCCCTGTTTATTCTTTTGCATTGGGGTGTTCCGAAAGTACAGCACATAAGACTCCGTAACCGCTCTTGATGATCAATGACATGACACAAGAAGTTTTGCCCACTCGCCCATCCGAATGCAAAGGAATTTGATATTTAAGCCTGGTTCCTACTCCGATCACTGACGCAAAGGTACGAACCGTTTCATGATACCATGGCCGTCATCGTCAGCCCACTTGCTCGCATGTATGCGAATAGAAAAACTCGTAATCCGTAAAGCAGTCCCTTGACACGCAACGACATGCAACCTTCTACTGCTCCTCTGAGTAGCCCTCTGCGGGTGCGGCCTCGCCCTCACCCTGCTCCGCCTGCCGCTGTGCCTCTGCGGCCTGTTGCGCGGCAAGCGCCTTTGCGCCGTAGTCTTGCGACATGGGCTGAACAACGGGCTGCTCCTCCTTGGGCTCGATGATGGTGACGCTGTCGGGCAGCGACTTGGCAGGGCCGGCCTTGCCCTCGGGATCCGCACCGCGCATGATCTTGACCTTGATACCAAGGACACCCTGGCGGAGGAGGACGTGGCGCGTTGCCTCGTCGATGAAGTCCTTGGCGGGTTGACCGGAGTGGATCATGAAGCCGTCCTATTTCCATGTTAGCTACTGCATTCTTCATTTTTGTGGTAGGGTTCGTTGGTACGTACAGTGAACTTCATGCTCTTCGCACGGGCAGCCCTGAGCTTTCCGGAGACAACAACCTCGCAGCCCTTAGCGCCGCTCTCCATGATGAACCTGAGGACACCATAGCACGCCCTTCGGACGGCAAGACCGTTGAGGAGCTTGTAACGGAGGGACTCGCACTGGGCGACGGCGGAGAGACCACGGTTCTGAACCTTTGCGGCGTAGAGGGAGACGGAGTTCTCGGGGAACTTGAAGCGCTTCTGGATGAGCGAGGTGAGCTCGCGGATGCGGCGACCCTGCTCGCCGAGGACCTCCTGTGTGTGGGTGGCGCGGATGATGATGTCGGTGACGGTGGGAGTCACACGGACCTCGACGCCGGAGTAGCCCTCCTCGGCGAGCTCGCGCTGGAAGAACTCGTTGAGCTCGGCGTAGAAAACACCGTCTGTGAATTCATGTTAGTGATATGCCCTCTGTGTGCCATTGTGCGCAATGCCAATATTCCCAATCGCTCCAGCCAATTGTGCGCTTCGACGACACATCGATTTCCACACACAAAAATATATTTCCTAATCCTCCGCAGTGATGGGGAAAGGGTATATCGTACCAGCAACGAACTTCCTGCGCTTGGAGCTATCATGCCGTCAGTATTCTGCCTTGCCGATCCGCGGTTGTGGGCGGGCACTCACATCTGACCCTGTGCGGTTGCCATGGTGTCGGACTGTGGATTAGTTTCTGAACGCCGGAGTGTTCAGATGTGTGAACCGAGTTGTCGTGTAGTCGTTGGTTGAGGTCGATGGGCTGGCGGGGACTGTTCAAAATACTGGCGTGCAGTCGTGAATTAAGCGAGTGCGCACCGCTAGGCCAATCTTGGCGCACTGCCGCTAGCATCGACGCGAACTCGATTATCCGCGACGGAACTTCACATTGCGATATCGTCTACACAAGTAGAAGGAGACCTCGTGTGGTCGATGAAATATCGATTGAGTTGCTAGTAACAATATCGCTCTATAGCTTGGAAGCCCTCCCTCTACAACCCAAACGCCGGGTGCGATGCTGCACTAGTATTTACACTTCAGAGTACGCCTCGACTATTTACATGTGCTCAATCGGCTCCTCTGGAAGCAGCGGTTCCGGCTTCCTCTCGACGCAGCTCTTCAGCGGCGGCCTGACCAGGTCGTTGAAAACGAAAGTGCCGTACACAAGTAGTGCGAAACCAAGCACCTGAAGCCATTTGAACGTCTCCCAGCCGAGTCCGAGAGAGACGACCCAGATGAACAGAGTGCGGCAGGTGTCGATCGTGGAACGAGAGGTCGCGGAGACGGTGCGCGTGACGCTAAGTCCGAAGAAATTGAAGCCACTGTTTTCGTCAGACCATGCGTTGAATTGGAAGGATGGCTTGACTTACCCGATGCTGATCATGATAAGAACAGAGCTGATCGCGATGGCAGGGAAGTGTGTCATCTGGTATAAACCCTCCCTAGCATTGAAGTACTTTTTTCCATTCGCGAAATGCATGATGATCATGATGAGCAGCGTGACGAGGAAGCCGAAAACGCCTTCCCAACCAACCACCTTGATAGGTTCCATCGAGTACTTCTCCATGATGCGTTCTTCCAGCACAAACTGGGTGGCCGTGAATATTTGCGCGCCAGCAATCAAGAGTACACCAATAATGGTCCAGACTGCCGGGCTTAGTTTGGTAATAGCGATTTCCTCCCGAGTGCTCATCGCAGTTTCCGCAAGCGCTGCGTGCGATGGAGTCGCCTTGTCGTCCTTTGTGATTGCGCCTGCTAGACCGACTATTGCGACACCAAAGACCACCACGAAGAGGGAGAACCACTTGTACAGCCCCAGATGTCTCTTCAAGAACCACACGCTGAACAATCCAACAAAGAGAACCAATGCGCCCCTGGTCATTTGGTAGATACTCGCGGCGGTGAGCAACAGACCTATATTCATGAGAGTTGTGCCTGCAATGTCGCAGCATGCGGGTAGGGCCAGAAGCAGCACGTTCGTTCCAGTAAGCGGCACCCGTCCCTCCTCATCTGGATGCGCAGGTAGCAATGGGTTCGCTACATCAGGTGTTTCGCTGCCATCCGACGCGGGTGTGGCAGCTCCGCCCTCGGGGATCGCTTCGTAACCGGCTCGGCGTGACTTGAAGCGCTGCCATGCGGAGAACAGGCCGATGACGAGCCAGCAGCCTGACTCGCCGATGAACATCTGGAGTGTCTGCAGAACGGGTTGTTCGAAGTGCTTCCGGTCCTCCTTCGAGGGCGCATCGCAGTTCTCGACGCATTGCATGTCCTAAAGTGAGGCGGTAAGCTGACAAGCTCCGTGAACCAAGTATGAATGTTGTTTGGACTCCCGTACCTGATACTTTGTCAATAGCGTATTGCAGACGCCTGTAAGCAGCATCATAGCCACAAGAAACGGAACGACGGCTTTGACCGCCATGGTGGTGACGGTGTCCTGTATCGGAGCTGTGTGCCTGTTGGTGTTACCGAAGAGGTGATTCTGCGGGCTGGAACAAAGCAGAACGCCTCCGAAAGAGGGTTACGGATTCTTGAAGGTGTAAAGATGAGATGGAAGGCAGAAGAGCGAAGAACAGGCAGCTCGCGCTGCGGTCGGGTGGTGGTTGACTCAGGCAAGGCGGCGCGTGGTGTTGGACATAGCTTCCGGATAACGATAGCGATGTGGGTACCGCGGCTGTGGGAGACGCGTGACGTATCACCTGCACCGCAGTCAGGCCGCTTCCGTCCTCCCTCTCCACAATTCGATCATCTGGGTACTCCGAGCGACCTGAGCTGGAAACCATAGTAATATGTGAACTTTTTCGGTTGCTGTCTTATTTTCCATAGCCTACATATAAACGCTGGGCCTACGGGTGCGAGTCATGTCAACAGCATACTAGGTATTTATATGCCCGCTTCCAGATCCTAAAATGAAGCCGATGTCTTCACAAGGACGACCATTGGGTTATGTATCTTCATCCCGTACTTTGTCCTCTCTCGGGTACAAATAAAATCTGCCATCAACGTGGTATCGTGAACATTTCTCAACTTTCACGGCGGACGATACTAAAACCTGACGAGAAACGGCAATGTAGTATCAGGTCGCAGCTTTCAACACGTACTATAATGCGAATTACCCTACGCTATAAGATAAAACACCTATAGCTAGCCTCTATCTCAACGCGAGGGACCTTCACCAATCCTTTCCGTCCACACGTCCTAGAAAACACAGCATTTGTAATTAGTACCTCCCGGGCACAAATCTGTCACCCTCGTATCAGCATCACAACAAGCCAACTCCCATTCCAAGCAGGAAAACTCTAACTCACTACTCTTAAAACTCCCAGCTCCCGGGTTCCCCCTCGGACACCCATGGTTCGTCCACGAGCAGTAGCTATAACCATTCGGATGGCTATGATCGCACGTATTCACATAGCAGCACTTTACATCTGCTGGGTCGTCCGGGCAATGTCCGGATATGGTACTGCCGCCGTAGGAAGCGCACGTCGATGTCTTGACGCAGATACCGTCGTAGTAAAAATCTTCGGAGCCTACACAGTGGCCGTTGAGGGCCGCGGAGGCGAGGAAGGGGAAGGCAAGAATGAGAATGTTCGGGAGCATGATGGCTGGTCAAATGCTATGAAAGGGCCGGACGCCATCTTGCTCGAGGAGCAAGGCTGCTTTTATAGGGCAGAGAAGAGGTAGCTCGTGTAACTCGTATAATGTGTAGGAATGCATGTACGTAAATGGGGTCATGGTTTTGGACGTGACCCAGTAGGAACAGACAAACATAAGAATAGAATCTCGCGATTGTACTAGAAGCCTGTTGCATGCAGGTCGGAACGAATATTGCTCGTATTGTAATTCCATCGGGATCGTGAGAAGCCACCTGCCGGATGTGTACAAAATATTCGTCTATTTTGTTTTCTAGAAGCATAGTGTATGCATGGAGCTCGTATTCATCTCTTGGGATTTTTAAGATAGGCGAAGGCCAGTAAAAGTACTGCATAACGATGACTTGCTAGTTGGTAAGACAACATGAGAGCGGGGTACGTTAAACACTGCTATGCTCCAAGTATACCTATGGTACGAGCGAATAGGAGAAAAGATACTTGTCTTAACAGTCGAGATCATTCTCACAGCCTCGCTTCCGCGCGAGTGTATCGGAGCTTTTAAGCGCATGCGCAGCATTGAGTCCGCGGACTTGGGGGGGCTGATTCACCAACCACTCGCACGCGCACTAGCGAGGATCGACCGACCGCGCCGACCTATCTCCACATCTCCACACATCGAATAACGCATCTCGAACTCTCCTATTCTACGAAGGAGACGCGTACGTGTTCCTTCCTCACTCACTCAAGTACACCCTTGGGCTCAACGCTGTGATAGTGTGCAGATTGTGCATAGCCTCGGTCGCCTTTCCAAATTCGGGAGTGATAGTCGGCGCCTAAGTGGTTTCAGTGTTTCGTGCCATAGGTACCTTGTACAACGCTGTCCAGTCAAGCGCTTCATGTGTTTCATCTCTTGCATTTCACAAAACGAGGCGATATCAACATTCTGCACACTTCTCGATGTAGCGCACTGGCCGTCCGTAGGTGCCCGCCTAAGGCATGGAGATCCGGGGCCGGACTTGCGTTTTGAAACAGAACCGTTCGCGACCATGTCCACCCCAATTTCTCCGGACTTCTTATCTTCCTCCCTGTCTCTTTCCTTGTGAACTTTCGACTTTCTTGCATTTACACTCTTTCTGTCGGTCGCTCTTTTCATTTTTGCCTGTGGCAGTCACTCATTCATTATGCATTCTATTCTTTACACCTCAGCCGCATGTCTACTAGCTGGCCGGGCGCTCGGCTTAGTAGCGCGCGCAAATCTACCTCCAAAGTTCACAGTCGAACCAATAGGCATACAATCTTCAAACTTCCCAGATGTATACAGAGATGGTGGTGGCGGAGGAACTGTCAACGGTCTGAACATCATGACCTTCAGCGACACGACAACAACCGCAGGAGGCATAAATGGCTCAATGAAGGGTTTCGCGGCCAACACCATCGCATACGTAGGCCAGAATGGTGCATCCCTAGACAAAACCACCGATTTCGGAATGAACGGCGTACCCACCATGCCCGTTCCATTCACACAAAATGAAACTCAGTATACCGCCGATCACTTCGACAAAGACGGTACCCGTTGCGTCCTTTGGCCGCAAAGCTCCATCGCCACGATACCCACTCTTGATGGTCACGAATTGGGTCTTGGCGTTTATCCCGTTGCTATCTACGGCGGCAACATCCAGGGCGACCTGTACAGCACCCTCGTCGAAATCACCGCAGATCCGATCGCAGGCCCGAAAGTAGAGCGCGTGGTACCCCAGCTCTTCTACGCGGATGAAAGTCCCCTGTATGGCGGCTTTAGCACTATCGTCTCCCACGGCTCATCCAACTCATCCAACTCATCCGACCTCTACCTCTTCAGCAAAGAATGGGATGCCGCCACCTTGACAGGAGGTATGCGGGTCGCAAAGGTTCCTGTCACGTCCTACAAAGACCGCACACAGTACACCTACTGGGACGGCGCAACGTGGACTTCCGACCTTGCTGCTGCGTCCAAAGCTCCTGCGGGCTTGCTTTTCGCAAGCAGTCTCTCCACTGGTGACGTATTCTGGAGTGAATACTACAACACGTATATGGTGGTTTATTTCAACTCTTTCGCGGATAGCACCTTTTACATGCGCTATGCGCTGGAGGGTACGGTGACGGGGAAGTGGAGTGATGAGATCAAGCTTGCGGCTACGCAGCCTGGTACTGGGCCGCAGCCGTATAATTATGCTGGACACGCGTATCCGTCGTTTGGGGAGAATGGAAAGGAATTGGTCTTGAGTTATACAATGGCGGGTGGCGCGTTGACGGATATGATCAAGGTTACGTTCGACTGAAGATGATTAGAAATATACCCTTCGTTTATAGGTAGAAGACTTGTGAATACGATGTTGATCGTCATGCTGAGTATATCCTTGAAACGAATCACTGAAGAGCGAGGAAGCTTTCACACATCGCATGCAATGGCTGCATCTGTTCTAGAGCCATTAGCTACACAACTTAGGCTTCTCGAACTAACATAGAAGTGTTCGATTTGCAAAGCAGCGACCTGCTCACCTCCTCTTAGCACGCCATGAGAATTCGTGGCGAGTACCTGTACACGAGCTCGCGTCAGCAACGCGGTATTATCCATGCTTAATAAGCTGACCCCAGCACAGCAACACATGCCTTGTATCCCTCATACACAGCTAACATGTTACTATTGTCGATGGCGTTTTATGATGTGCGAGTCGTAGATTTCAAATCATGCCCCTCTTTACGACCCCACTTAGCGCCGTTCACGACGTCGACGTAAGTAATCATCATCCTACAAAAGCTTCGACCCCAAGCAGACCCCAAGCTCTCGCCTCATAATACCGTAGAATTGCGATTCTACATCAAGACCAGTGAACTCGTAAACCCCCAAAGCAAAACAGACCTACCACGTAGCTTTCAGGAACAATGGCGGATAACTCGGACATCACGCTATACACCACCCAAACGCCCAACGGCATCAAGATCTCCATCACACTCGAGGAATTAGGGTACGTCGCCTTATCCCCTTGCATGACTTCCATGCCCGTCGTACACACGCTTCTCGCTAACCCATCCCACCAGCCTCCCCTACACCGTGCACAAAATCGAATTCTCAAAAAACACCCAGAAAGAGCCGTGGTTCCTCGAAATCAACCCCAATGGCCGCATCCCCGCCCTGACCGACACTTTCACGGACGGCAAGACCATCAATCTATTCGAAAGCGGAAGTATCATGCAGTACCTCGTCAAGCGGTACGATACCGAGCATAAGATTAGCTATCCTGAGGGGTCGAGAGAGTGGTTCGAAATGAATAACTGGCTTTTCTTTCAGAATGCGGGGGTGGGGCCGATGCAGGGACAGGCTAGTATGTCTCACTCACCCTTTTTGTTTACCTCTTGATCTTGTGTGCGGAGGGAGGGGGAGGAGTGGGTAGTGGATGTAGATTGGAGGAAGCTGACTGCCACGTGATAGATCACTTCACGCGGTACGCCCCGGAGCATATTGAGTACGGGGTGAACCGGTACCAGAATGAGACGAGACGGTTGTACGGTGTGTTGGATAAGCATTTGGCTGAGAAGAATATTCCGTATATTATGGGGGAGAAGTGCACTATTGCTGGTATGTTTTCTTCTCGTCCGTCTAAGAAAAGAAGACAGAAAGAAGAGGGTCTTGAGGACATCTCATCAACGATAGAATGCAAAATGTATACTAACATACCCAGATATCGCGCACTGGGGCTGGATCGCAGCCGCAGGCTGGTGCGGCGTAGACATCGACCAATTCCCCGCACTAAAGGCATGGGAAGAGCGCATGGTATTCCACCCTCATCTCTCTCGATCCTCATACCTTCGTTCTATCTCAAAATCTCCAACTCCTTCCCTTCCTCCCCACATGAACGCACGCTGACATTCCCCAGGCCGCCCGCCCGCCGTCGAAAAAGGCCGCCACGTCCCCTCTCCCCACACCATAAAAGCCCTCCTAAAAGACCCAGCAAAAATGGAAAAGCACGCCGCCGAGTCGCGCGCCTGGGTGCAAAAGGGAATGCAAGACGACGCTAAGAAGTTGCAGAAGTAAGTCTGCACGCATTCTCCTGTATGAAAACATGCGGACGTTGTGGTACGTGCTTGTCGTTTCCAATCGCCCTGATACTCTTACCATGCTTTTGTCTTGCCTTTTCCTGTAAACGGCGCGGAGCACAACATCTCGATGCTTAACAGATGTGTTATTGTTGGAAACCGCATGCTATGCTACCTTCCGCCTACACGGGAAATAGCACAGCACTGGCTTCCGCTTCCAAGCGACGTACCTTAGTACACCGGCCCTACACTATACGTGGGTCAACTAAGCCCCCATCTTCCAGACTGCACACCCCCAGCTCAACCCAAACTTTCTTTTGCGGGGAAGCCCCGTTGTGTCTTCGCTCGTTCTGGCCCGTTTGCGCTGCGTAAGCTCTAGTATATATGTTGACGTTTTATGGTATGGACAGGCTGTGAGGTTTGCGGTGCGCGCGGAAAGCTTAGACGGCTTAAGAGGAGTCAAGATGGGTTAAGGTTGGGGCGCTGGGAGATGGGGCGAGGGATGGTCGCACAAACCGAGATGCGGCTTGCATGATTGCCGGTTCCCGTGACGGAAGCGGTACGGGTGATGTGGGTCTTTTCGTAACGAGGGTACCGCACCCTGTGATTTTGGACTTCGTGATACCTCCAGTCGTCGGACTCCGCCCTGGAGAATGAAGTGGCGGACATGTTAATGAGCAATGCAAATTTTTCCCTGGTTAGTGTTCTGCAGTGCATACGGGGCTTGCTTGAAAAATGCATTGCGAGTCCGGAAAGAGGTGATCAATCTACAGTTCCCCAGAAGCAGAAGCAGTCATGATGCTCGCCTCCAGGTTAGAGCATGTTCGCGCGTACACAACCGGGCCTGCGCATAGAACCTCAATATCAGTACTGACACCGTCACTGCATGTCGTCGTCATACGAGCAACAAATCAACGCCTCCACACATTCGCCTCCCACATCTTGTTGAGTCCCTCCTACGTACTTCATCAATGCAAGACCACGCCAGTCTATAATGCCCTCACATAATCCAATTACTTTCGCTCCCCACCCGCACGCGATCCGGCCCCTGCGCATTTCCCCACAATCAAAAGCACACACTCCGTAGCACTACAATGGAGCTCTAGAACGACAGCAACAACCTGCATCTCGACACCTAGCTGCAGTACCATAGAATCTTCCAAACAGCTTCTGTACCCGATCTGCGAGGCCCCGCCAATCTACCCGAAGCGGCTATTAGAACTAGGGGAATTCCTTACAGCATTTTTCTCTTCTGAGCGAATCGTGCGTGGAAGCCTTACTGCAAGCGTGGATAAAACATCGGATTAAGGATTGTCGCTAGGAGTAATGTTAACGGCGTCTGCACGTCAATACGCCTACGACCGATCGCGAGATGGGTTATTGTCCGTAAACGGGCTATAGTCCGCGGGAGGGCCGCTATAGTAAGGAAGTTGTATACGAGGTGCGGATTTGGTCGAGTGAATATGAGGGTTCGAGCGTCTACCAGGCGAGAGCCGCAGTGCTCGTGCGACTTCGGTTCCGGTAGCTTCCCGTCCCGAGAGCAACGTGGCCGACGGGCGCAAGTACCTTCATCAAAAGCAGGCCCAGATATCGGGACTTGAAATGGCATTGGCCAACGAGACGAGCATTGAGTGGCAGTACAACCTAATTACAAGGTCAGCTGGTCCCATCGGATTCGTCCTACTCATATTAAGACGAATCGAAGGAGGCATGGATAGGCACCGCGAAGATCGAAGTGGCAGTGAGCGCATGCAACCTGCTGCACTCCACAAACGGTTGTGCGCCCATGCTGCCCTGGCGCAGGAGCAAAGACGTGCATGCTGTAGAGGTTTTCTAGAAGCCTGCAGGCTCTTTTCAACCCTAGCCACTAGCATCCGGTTCTTTTGACGCCAAAAGAAAACGAAGGAAGACGAGGAAGCATGCACATGAGCCGGCGAAGCCATACCCTGGTGGTTGCGGGGGATGTGTGGCTGATCGGCACCGGGGTGGTCCATTCAGGCAAAAGCGAATAAACTCTCCACGCGCGTAGTCGAGCGACCATTCCCGGCATTGCACCTACAGCAAGACCCTGCTTCTACCTCAAAATAGTACGCACTTTCGTGGAGCCGTAAGTTACCCAGAAAAGTGAACGTAATACGGTCCAAATGAGTAGTGTGGAGTGCATGCGAACTGGACCAATGCATGGGTCTTGGGTCCTGGGTTTAGGCCAGGAAAAGCATAGTTGGGATGTGGGGATTTTGCCGATATGCTTTCCTAGCCTCCTGCGCAAGCGTGTGTCGTCTGTCTGAAAGGGTTCAGATGCGGACGTGAGCGCGGTGGACTGCCACAACGTCTACCGGTAGGGCGGGCGAATCAGAGGTGGGCATATCGCATATACGGGCCGGTGACGCTGCGGCCATGGTGTTTGATTGCGACCATGCGATCAGGAGAGTATTGTCGGAAAGATGGAAGGTTTTCTGCAGTCATAAGGGTGGCGTTCCTAGACCCGACCAGTGCAGTTTCATGTCAAGTTGGAGGCGAGTCTCTTCAAGCACGTGGTTCGTGCAGGTGTGCGGATATTGTTCTGGCGACAAGGCTGGTAAAGATGAAAGGCACACCCAGTGCAACCTTCCAGGCCATCTGGAGAGCAGCTAAATTACGCAGAGTTTAAGAGATGCTTACCTTAACGGGCCATGTATAGGTTGGGTTCGGGATATGAGGCACGCCATATTGCAGATGCTCTTTGTGGAAAGTAGCATCGTCAGCAACTGCAAGGTCCGCATCCAAGCTCGTAACACGAGTGACCTCAACGGCTTGAGACGAAATGATGCTGCGGCCACAGTTCTGAGGCTGGCTACGCGAGCAGCAGCCGTCCTTGTTTTGCGCCGTTCGCTGAGTGGACGATGGCAGCGAAAATCATTCCCTCCTGCATGACAACTCAGGAGGACAGCGTCGCTACCGGATTCCTGGATCGCGTCGCGTTGGTTGCTGACGCCTCGGCCAGCTAGTTGAACTGCACTTGGGGTACATCAAGGGCATGTGAGCTCGACGACAGTTGTATGCGCTGTGCCTTTCACGAGTCATTCACCGTAGGCGTTGAATCGCGTCGCAGGCCGACGGGATCGCCAACGGCGTTTCGCGCTTCGTAGTCAGCGTCATGGCATGCAGCTTCAGCATCGCCTTGAGACGAGAGATTTCGAGGAGCGTCAGGGTGAGCGCATAGGTAAAGCAATACTTGGATAGACTTCTGTCGTCGTCCGGAGCAAAGGAAGGGCTGCTATAGCTGGGGCCTGTTAAGAAACGCGTTAAGAAATGTCCGGCCGTGCTGTAACGGAGGGCTTGCTCGGAGGGTCCACCGCTGGTCGATTAGGTGCGGGAGGGGATCCGATCAGTGCTGGTGTGGTCAGGCGACGGCAGCCATGGCCAGGGTGAGCGACGACGACTGGCCGCAGGTACGCCCAGTGCACCGATGGGGACGGCGCGGCCGCGGTGCGTGAATGATGGGAGCGGGTGTTGACGTGAGGTCGGCGGGCAGCCCTAACGGAAGCTGGAGCAGGCATGATGCGGGGCGCCCGCCTTCGCAATTTACCCGGGCAGCACTAGGCCGAATCAGCGAGGGCCGGCTAAATGGATGAATTCACTCCTCCCCCGCAACCCTGCAACGACTTGCCTTCCAGAGACCAGGTGCCGTGTGCTAGCTGCCCCAGATCGTCGAGCCAATCCCCCAGGCTTCAATTAACGGTGCGGCTTTGTGATATTGTCTACGACGTGATCTCGCTTCTCGAAGCCTCGTGGACGCATGGAAGATTCAAGCCACAGATGCATCCCTGGTTTCGGCCCATCTTGTCCAGGATTCGTAACTCGGACCTTGTTCCTCGGCACTCTATAGTCTTCGCAGAGGCCCACCTTTGACTCCCCAAGTATCCCATGACCGCTCAAGCATTTCCGCCGTGACCACAACCTTCGTCCCTGCTGCCACCGTCTCAATTCTTCGCCGGACGCACCCACAATGGAGAACCCTACCGCAGAAACTACCAAGCTAGAGCGCAGAGGATCCGCTCCCGTCAAACGCAGAGTCAGTCGGGCGTGCGACCATTGCCACCGGATGCGAACCAGATGTAACGGCCAGTCACCGTGCTCGCGATGTGTTGGTACGATAGGGATACTCACGGTAGCGCAATTGTCACTAACATGTTCACAGAGCTCGAGTACGTTTGCCAGTACAACCGAGAGAAAAAGCGGAGAGGAAAGGTCAGGAGACAAGCCTCGCGTAGCTCATTGTGGGGTTGACTGATGACTCTAGGTACCACGACACATCCAAAAACAGCGAGAAGAGGCTGCTGCACTGAATGGCCAACCCAATGCGCACCAAGAAAATGGCCTGTCTATACAGACGCAATTTGAAAGCTCGGAAATGGACGAGGAATTATGGTCGCCCTCAGAACCAACGCCAATTGCACATCATTTTCCAGGCAAAGACGAGATGCATCATGTAACATCACCGACTATGCACGCCCATATGATGCCACCACCAGATTACCCTCAAGATCAGAATCACATCAAATCGCCAACCCATTGGCATGAATTGGCTTCTTGTAAGTTTGTCGATACTAATAATATCAGACTTGTACTCACCAGAAGGTCAGCTGTGAGCTTCAATCCACCAGTAACGCATATCATGATCGACCCGCTGCTGCTAGGACCAGGAGAAGGCCTTGCGCAACCCCAAATGCATGCTCACATGGGAAGAAATGAAGAGCTCATGTATGCCATGAACGAAATGCATCTAATTCCGGACACCCGCACGCCGATATCGGTTCCGCCTGAATTTGGAAATATGGGGTATCCAATGCACTTTGCGCCCGTACGACAATCATCACCACGCAGTTACGGGTCTGTCGACACTGGATCGCCTCAATCCGGCATCAGCGCGGCGTCGTCACATCCAGGAATACTGCCATGCAAGTATCCAGTGCTGAAGCCGTTACTACCTCATTTAGCCAACATCATGACGGTTCCGATGGCGTGCGATCTTCTTGAATATTACTTCCAAAGCTCGTCTTCAGTGTTTATGGAACCCATATCACCGTACATCCTGGGAACCGTCTTCCGAAAACGCTCTTTCCTGCGACAACACAAACCGCGGAAATGCAGTCCTGCATTGCTTGCGAGCATGCTCTGGATCGCAGCCCAGACCTCGGAAGCAACCTATCTGACCTCATCTCCGTCGGCAAGAGTGATCTTCTGCCAGAAATTGTGGAAAGTCTCCATCGACCTCCTGAAACCGTTGGTCCATTCGCCAGCGTCCCATGGATTCGCTCAGAGCCACGCAAACATCGTAAATCCTGCAGTACATGACGCGTTCGGTGTAGAACGCGCAATGGGACAACTTGAAAACAGGACCGATTCGGCAATGCCACCGACCAGCACCATTGACGACGTGGCAACGTACATGAACCTCGGCGTGGTGACTTCAGCAAGCGAGTACAAGGCCGCTAGCCTGCGATGGTGGAACGCAGCCTGGAGCCTAGCAAGAGAACTGAAACTGGGAAGAGAGGTACCACAGGAGTCAACAAAGGATCGGGATACGGGCGACGATGCTGAAATTGGAATGTCGGACTGCAGCAACTCGGGCGTGCATATCCCTGCAGGTACCCCCCGCAGCTGCTCTGGTTGAGGAAGCAAAAAGAAGAGAGACGCAGGCTGTGGTGGCTGCTGTACATGATTGAGTAAGTACCTGTCGCGCATATATCCGAATTCGCATGCTGATCATACCCCAGCCGCCACTTAGGGCTATGCTACAACCGTCCGCTAGCGATGCTAGACAACGAATGTGAGGATCTCTACCAACCAGTCCCAGACACACTCTGGCAAGCCGGAGAATTTTACACCGGTAACTCAGGCCCCAAGAGGAGAGGCCTCTCCTTCCAATGCACTTCACACGATGTCTTCGGGTTCTTCCTCCCGCTCATGACCATCCTCGGCGACATCGTCGACATGAACGCACAAAAGAACCACCCGCGCTTCGGCCAGCGCACATCCTGGGAGTCATTCGAGTCGGAAATCACGCACCAACTCGAGCGGTATGCATACAGCCTCCAGGAATTCAAGACGCAGCACGGCTGCGGTGCACCCGGCGACGACGCCGCGGATCCCATTCGTGGAGAATGTGCCCACCAAACAAGGAAGGTCGTCGCGTATGCAACGCACATCATGCATGTGCTGCACATCTTGCTGCACGGAAAATGGGACCCCGTCGCGCTGTTGGAGGACGACAACATGTGGATCTGCTCGCAGTCGTTCCTGTCCGCGACGTCGAGCGCCATCTCCGCGGCGCATGCCGTGGAGGAGATCCTCGAGCTGGACCCGGATCTGTCCTTCATGCCGTACTTCTTCGGCATGGTGAGTACTGCCCCCACCGTACATACTGTCGGTCCGACACTCGCTAATCGTGTTCCAGTACCTGTTGCAGGGGAGTTTGATTCTCCTTCTGCTTGCAGACAAGCTGTCGACCGAGACAAACGATGGCGTCATTCGAGCATGCGAAACGATTGTGCGCGCCCACGAGGCAGCTGTCGTCACACTCAACACAGAATACCAGGTATGCTTCTACATCCCACTTGTTCCCGAAGCTCAGCGCTGACCCCCTCCCAGCGAAATTTCCGCAAAGTCATGATTTCAACACTAGCCCAAATAAAAGGCCACAGCCACTCGCGGGAAATGTCCCCCGCAAAACGCCGCGAAGTCCTCTCCTTATACCGCTGGACGAGTCTGGGTAACGGTCTCGCGATATAAAAAACGATGGAACGGCGTCCTCAACGCCACTGTATTATTATGTATCACGGTTCATCGCCACATCAGCATAGTCGGTTTTCCTTTCACCACTTCCAAGATACCAGGGACAAAAGTCGCAACTTGCATAGTTATAGTTACCAGCCTTATCTTCGCATTGAATTATTTGCTCATCACTCTTCATTCGATGCTCGGGCATTTCCGCGTGCTAATCCATCCTGTTAATGCAGTGTCTGCCATGTCCACGCGTCTTCCCACCCTGTTCCCCCATCGCATCTTGCTCCTTCTCATATAAGCATATTCTCCGACACGTACCTGCGTCACGCACCCCGTCCCCCACGCTCCCAACAACCTGTGCACCTCACACCCCCACTCGGCACGCCTCCACCACGGGCTTCAGACTAGCTCCGCGTTCACACGGCCATCGCTTCATTCGAATCGTGCTCCGAGCTTCCGCTCAAAGCCTGATCCGAACGCTCAGCTCCGACTCTAGACTGCGCGGAGCTCTCATCACCAGCCCTTACTTTCATGGTTTTTGTTCTTCCTCGTGTCAGCTTTGGTGGTGCTTCTGTTGAGCCCCGCGGCCTAGCGACCACCACCCAATGGAACTGCACCAGTGTGAGGCGGGGGTCTAAGTGCGTTTCGGACCGCGCTGTTTGGAAAGAACAGGACAGCGACGCGCGGTGTGGAGGCTGAGGAGGTGCGGGTGCACACTGGGGACGGGAAGGACAGAAAGGAGGAATGAGGAGATTTATATCTAGGATGGGGAAGGTTGTTGGAAGACGTGAGATCGTGGACCATGGTATGGTATGGTGTGGTGTTATGGTGTGGTGGTATGATGGCGGGCCAATTGCAGGTTAAGTTTGAATACGAGGAGGGCACGATGGAGTCCCCGCAACACGATGTTCTACCATACCTAGCGGTCTCGTAAGCCATGCAAATAACCCCAAGAGTACCTCCAGTACATCTCCGTGAGGTCAAAGCAAGCCTGGCATTATCTCCGTCACATGACCGCGCATCAGCGCCACGCCCACCAGCGACATCCACGCCCTACGCCCTACAAACGACATCCCAACCCGCACTCCAGAAGTCACCTCACCTCATCTTCATGTTAATCTCAACATCGCCAACTTCCCAGCTAAATACGACTCCTACCCATCCACCAACCACATCCACCCCAATAACCTCACCTCGAACCTCCCTCTCCAAAACAAAAGAGATGCAGATCCACCCCCGACCTCCATCCCCACCACCCTCTCCACCATCCACACCCCTACACCCCGCACCTCATCGCCGCCCTAAACGACCACCACGTCAAACTCGCCAAGCTCGACGGCCCCTTCATATGGCACGCGCACGCCACCAGCGACGAGCTCTTCTACGTGCTCTCCGGCACGCTACGCATGGAGCTCGAAGGGCGGGAGCCAGTGGTGCTGGGCGCGGGCGATGTTTTCGTTGTGCCGAGGGGCGTGAGGCATAGACCTGTGGGAGAGGGGCGAGCGTGGTGATGGTGGAGAAAGAAGGGACGGTGAATACGGGGGAGGAGGTGGGCGAGAGGACGGTGGAGGTGAGGGATGTGAGAGGGGGCACTATGTGAGCTGAGATGCTCTGGGGATGAATCATGATGTTAAGATATTAAGAGCATCAGATGGTGATGTTAGATACAGACGTAGATCCGAGCCGGACGCGACCCGGAGCCGGGCCCGGGGGAAGGGAGTGCACGTGACCCGCGTATCTACCATAAAAGGGCACAGATGTACTCAATGTAGATCTTTGGGCGTCTGCAAGTCCCGATGCCCGTTTATGCACGCCTGCTGTATATTTAAACCGCCTTGCAGGTGTCACCTCCGCATCTGCACCTGCACCTGCACCTGGGCATGCACACGATCACGAGGTACGGTACCGCGCAACGCGACAGTGACGTAAAAACAATTCTCTATGACATGGCCCTGACTGCTTTTCTATCTAGCTACGGGAAAGATCCTACTGGATGCAATGCGCGAAGGGGAAACGTGCGAATGGATATTGAACGTGAACGTGAACATTGTGAAGCTGAAAAAGGACACCGCACCGTTGAAAGGATCGTAAATGCATGCATCAGATGAAGGAAAGAGTTTTAGATGACTCATAAGCTCTTCTCCACCTTCATGACCTCTGCGATGCCGTCTGCGACGGCCTTGACCTTCTCCTCTGGAAGCCTCTTCAGCGGCTTGCGAGGGTACCCGCCGTAGCCGTAGTATGACTGGATTGCCGATTTGGTTCCGGGAATGGCTGCCTTGGTGAGGACCCAGTCGCCCTTGCTGAGGACCTTCTGTAGCTCGAAGGCTTCGGTGTATTTGCCTTCTGCCCACAGGTTCCATACCTTGACGCACGTCTTGGGGATGACGTTGGCGCCACCAGCAATGATTCCGGAGCCGCCGCTGGCTGCGGTCTGGGCTGTGAAGTCTGCCATACCACCGAAAGCCATGTAGCCGCTGCCATTGCTCTTAGTCGTTACAGAGTCGGTGGCCAGAGCTACACGTGTGAGCTTGCCGGTGTTACCGCATGTGAACTTGGTTCCAACGATGTTGGGGTGCTCCGCCAACTTGATGATAAGATCGCTGTCCATGTCGATTCCTGACACTGCGCCGGGGTAGTTGTAGAGAATGACAGGAAGCGGTGAGCTGTCAGCAACCTTGGTGTAGTATTCCGTGATGGCTTCCTCATCGATAGCATAGCGGTAGTAGCTCGGGGGAACTATAAGGACGTATTCGGCACCGGCTTCAGCAGCTTCTTTGATTGACTCAATAGTGAGCTTGATGCCGTGCTCAGAAGCACCGGCAATCACGGGCACATTTTGATATCCTGCCTCGTCCAGAGCCTCGCGCGTTGCTCGCGTGATCGCTGCCTTCTCTGCGCGGTTCAAGTGTACGGCCTCTCCATTGGAACCCATGGTGACGAGCCCAACCAGACCGGCCTCGGCCAGCCGTACTGCATGCTTCTTGACGGTGGGAATGTCGACTTCTTCCGTTTCGGGGACGAAAAAAGTCATGGTTGGCGAGTAGATGCCGGGTCGGAGCGGCGTGCGCTCTTTGGATTGGCCATTCGCGCCATTGGCGTGGCCGTTTGAAGACATTTTGAAAATGGAGGTGTGAACAGAAGACTGAAAGAAGCTGCAACGCAATGACAGAAATTGGGGATCCGGATGAGAGGGAACGACTGATCAATAGCAGCTCAGGCGTTGCGCAGGTCGGGTCAGCGATTAATATAACAGCGAGAACGGGGCATCGGTGTAAAGTAGGGCATCTGGACTCGGCCGCAGCCCAAAGTCATCCCACCCTTCGTTCGCTCATCCATCGTCACTTTGGTCGGAAACTTGTTGCGCTAGAGCCTTTCATTCGCCGCGAGAGCGTAGCTCGACGTCAAAGAAAGCTAGAGCCGCCTTAGAGAAGCGTCGCGTGCATGAGAAGTGGGCCGAGCGATTGTCGCAAGCGTCCTCGGGGCGTATTGCGCGAGAAGCGGGACGTGTTGCGGCCTTTTCTACAAGGTGGCTAAAATTATCGAGGTCTCATGGGACGAAATACCGACTGTGGCAGAGTGGATGTCGAACATGGCGCACCGCAGCAGCATCCCTGTCGCGTACCGGACGGCGGAATGATTTCGCACGAATCGGGCCGCAGAACGAGCCGTGGGGTGCATGTGTCGTAGTCTTGGCCTGGGGAAGACAGATTGCTGAAGTCGGCCGTGGAGCTGGACGACGGGATGCCGGCAAAACATGGACGTGTGCCCCTCCAAGGCTGCCCCTCCTTCGCGGAACTAAGATTCTCCGTCTGCGATAGGAGGGGCCATGGCGTACTGTAGCTCTGCAGAGGCCGATTCAAACGCCGACGGGCGTGGGCAGCAGCAGCTTCTCAAAGCGACTGCTCTCCCAACAGCTCGATCCCTTGTTCTTTGCATTGTGCCCCTCCCAACAGCTTCGAAGGCGATACCAACAACAACGGAACATGGCGCCCCTCGAAGTGCTTATGGTCAGTCACCCTCCCCAAGACGGCTAGAACCTCCATGGCTTTCGTCTCAGGATGAATGGCCGCAGGGCACCGGTTTTGCTTTTGTTGTCAGCGATTGATTGCAGGCATCACACCGCCTCTTCTTCAGACTCATCAACGAAGCGGCTATGCTAACAAGACGACCAGGTGGGAACGGGGGAGTACACCACCGGCTTCGTCGGCGGAGGTGCGTCGACTTCAGACAAGAAGGTGGGCGTCGTAGGATTGACGCTGTTCGATCTGCGCCGGCGCGGGAAGGTGGGAAACCTGAGCATGGTGGGCGTGTCAGGCGACAAGTTCCCGGCCATTCGTACGTCGCATGGAAGATGCATGAATGCAGGATCGAGCGCTGATCATTACCAGGTCAGCATCTTGAGAAGAACATCTCGCAAGCGTACAATGGCCTGGACGTGTCCTTCTCCGAGTTCCCCAAGGAAGGAAAGCGCGACCCCGACGCGTACAAGGAAGCCATCGACGCGCTACCCAAGGGCAGTGCCAGTGAGTACCCGCGTCCAGCCGATCGTGCCTTCCTGACACCTGCCAGTCACCATCTTCACGCCCGATACGACCCACTACCCAATAGCCCTGTATGCCATCGAGCGAGGACACCACGTCCTGGTCACAAAGCCCGCTGTGAAGCTGCTTGAGCACCACCAGAAACTGCTCGAGGCCGCCAAGAAGAACAATGTTTTCGTGTACGTGGAGCACCACAAGCGATTCGACCCCGCATACGCCGATGCACGTTTCCGAGCCACAAAGCTGGGCGACTTCAATTACTTTTACTCGTACATGTCTCAGCCGAAGAGCCAATTGGAGACCTTCAAGGCATGGGCCGGCAAGGACAGTGATATCTCATACTATCTCAACTCCCATCACATCGACGTCAATGAGTCCATGGTACCAGACTTCAAGCCCGTCAGGGTCATGGGCAGTGCCGCAAAGGGTATTGCAACCGACCTTGGCTGTGACCCTGCCACTGAAGATACTATTACGCTTCTGGTCGATTGGGTGAAGAAGGATGACCCCAGCAGGCGTGCAACTGGTGTCTACACTGCCGGCTGGGCAGCGCCACAAAAGGCCGGTGTCCACTCGAATCAGTATTTCCACTACATGGCCAGCAAAGGAGAGGTCCGGATCAACCAGGCAAAGCGCGGCTACGATGTTACTGACGACGACACTGGCCTTCTGTGGTACAACCCGTGAGTCCCATCAGACCCTAATCTTAGAGTTTCTGTTAATGGCGAACAGTTTTTACATGAAGTACGCCCCTGACGAGGAAGGCAACTTCGCCGGTCAGACTGGATACGGCTACATCTCATTCGAGAAGTTCGTGGATGCGGTCAATCAGCTAAACGAGGGCAAGGTCACGCTCGAGCAACTGGATGGCCGCCCAATTCCTACCCTAAAGAACACCATTGCGACGACCGCCATTCTGGAGGCTGGTCGAAGATCGCTGGACGAGAACAGGCCGATCGAAATCGTCGAGGAGAACGGCACGTGGTCACTGAAGTAGAACGGCTCTTACGAGTTGATGTCATGACCTTATGTGAATATTTTCAGCATTCTATCAATACTTCGAAAGTTTACTATCAAAACAATTCGCCAAAAGCGACTTTCTCGATATCCCAATGTCCCAAGACCATACCAACTGATAAGGCGACAGCATATATGCACACACGTCTTTGAATACGAAGCGCTAACATATGCCACAGACCTGCTTGCTCCGGGCTAACGTGTTTCTCTCGGCACAGGAGGGTTGGAAACGTGATTGCCATCGAATGTAAGACAAGAGCAAACAATTGACTTACCCTGAGCCTCACGGGGGCGTATAAAATCAGACAATGAGTTCAGTTTCTGATACTGTATAAGTCAACCTGAGTCGAGCCGAATATCGCACTTATGTCTACCTCCACGAGTGAAAATAGTATTGCGATATCGTTCGCGAACGCCAAATTGACACAAGCGGATCTCAACAACAACATCACGAGTCAGAGCTTCTTGTTCACCGACAATATTTTGACCGCTTCCTTTAACGTTCTGCAGCGTACACTTGATTGTCCAGCTCACCAGGTCGCACTGCTCAGCCCCAACGAAGCGCAATTCTGTTACGCTCTCCGGCAAGCTGATGTGCACAATAGTCCGGACTGGGACCAAGACTACGAGTCGCTCATCGAGACTCTTGCGGATAAGCACTTCGTCATACTTCCCATCAATGACGGTTCGTTTGGCGGCCACAATCCACCCAATCCTGATGGCGACGCCGACCAAAGGAACGTTGACGCAGATACAACCGATGACGGTATTAAAGGCAAACACTGGACTCTTGTTGTTGCTGATTGCAGAGGTGCAATCCTAAAGGCGCGCCACTTCGACTCTTTCTGTACCAATCCCAACGATGTCACGCTGAACAGGATCGTCGCAGAGGGCACAATGCACGGCTTACGGCATTTGCTCGAAGCCAGACATCGGCCGTATCAAATACAACACATTCCATTTCGTGAACCATATACTGGCTACGACTTCCTGCTTTACGTCAAAACCCCACACCAGGTCGGCGACAAAGGGCTTGATCTGGCTGCTTGTGGACCCTTCGTATGGGCTCTTGCCAGCTGGTTTGCCGGCCGATTCTGTGACGGCACGAATGAGGGACTTGGCATATCCGGTTTCGTACGGAGGAAGGGGAATTTCAAGAATGGTAACTTCAAATCTGAGGCTGTGAGGCAGCGCATAAGGGAGGCTCTTGAAAAGCATCGAGATCAGCTCATCGGCATTTGGAACACCGCCGAATTTGAATTCATAAGTGCGATGGAAGGCACGGGGAGTAATAGAGAGACAGAAGATACGATCCAGGCGACGCTTGGTTCGCTAGGCGCAGATAACTCATCGTCGATGGCCAACACTGCTAGTGGAGGGAACGATGCCAACAACAGACACGGCCATAACGACGAGGACAATTTATTCAACCGTCTGGCAGTAGACCAGAATGGATGGTGATCATCCTCCCCGGAACATCCGATTGCCCAGGTGGGATCTAGGTATGTGTGCAGTAAAGGAGCTTTCGGATCGCCTTGGTAACGTCAGGTTGCATAGTCGGACCGTGCAGCAGTGCGGCTGCGAAAGGGTCATTAATGATTGTGATATCCGATATCACAGGTATGTCTCTAAAGCCTTTTCCAATGTCTATGGTACATCAACTCATCTTGAGCCACGATCCACTCTTGTGAAGTTTCTGTTGGTGCACCTTGACTAGACTTACGCCGTTATACAAGATCAATACTAAAGTTGTTCGAGTGTACATGCGTCGCAACACCTCCATAGATAAAACAGGCTACAGTATGCCTACCTCTGAGTCTACAAATCAGCAAAGCGGTGGGTATCGTGGACTAGGATGGGGCAGGAAGCAATTGGATTTAGGTTCTCGGATACCCACTCTTCCGTCCTCTTCCGTAGCACATGGGTACAACTCAACAGAACATCGCCTGCTCTCCACACAAGAACTACTGTGGAGACAGCAAGCGAGTATGTCCTTCCACTCACTTCGATCGGCAGTGTATAGCGTCGGTATCGTGCCAACAAGGAGGCGCGAGGCGTGTGCGGGTACTGCCTTCCATGCATGCAGATGCTAACGGCCAGGTCCACAATAATTGATCGAGCATCCTGTGAAAGATTGGTGCCGATATCCAAACTCCCGTCTCTTGCTAATCTTATTTGGACGAAGCGGCGTGCAAAACGACAGGGTTCGATAGGAGGTTGTCAGTGCGCCCCACGGATTGGGCCAAGCTCGACTCCAGACCGGGCGACCGTTTTGCGAATGTGAAGCTGCTCTGCCCCAATACATCGCCCTCACTCGCCATTCTTTGCCGTACTCGTAGCACCGGTTCGGAGCGACTGGGAGGCGAGCTGGACGTCCACAGCCGGGTCTACCATTCATTTGTTCCTTTCTACCCTTGCCATTTAATTGACTTCTTCCGAGCTGCAGGGACGTCCCGAAGCGCATACAGCCCCCTCCCTACGCCGACTTCTTGCCGCCACAACAGCTACAGCTGCAGCTGCCGCTCCGTTCGCAGCAGACGCAGCAGAACAACATTGACTGCATCTTGGAGAGCATCTCGAATCGAGCCTCAGCCGTGCGCGACCTCCCGCCATACGCACAGGACCACGGTTGCGCCTGCCCGCAACGCCCCTTCCCTAGCCGTGAAACATTTCAGAACACCACAAACTTCCACTGCACCGCATTGCGACCTTGGAACAAGCGAAAACACTCCCGAGCTGTATTTGCCCTGCGTAAGCGCTGAAGTTTGCCTGCGTGTGGCCCGGGTTTTCGGCGTGCGGCACAGCATCTCATGGCTGTAGCATCTCGACAGCCACTTGCAGCGGTCCAGCAATTGACGCCGCCCAGCAGCTCTCACGGCGAGAGAGGCTCGTGGGACTTTGCAGTGCCTCTGGACTCCGCGGTACGTACTTTCTTTCCGTGACAAAATTCATGTCACACGGGCAGCGTCATGGGCGGGTCTAGGGGGCGCTATCTGCACTATGATCCGTTCCCGCAGGTAGCGCCAACTATGATCGCGCCTCGTTATTGAAGCCCAGCCCTGCGCTTTTAAACCTTGGAAGCAAACGTCTGAAGACGTTTTCAACGTCTCTGTACTGACTCGGTTCGACAGAAGACCGCGTTTCCGAACTACGAGCCTCCCATGTCCGACGACGTCGCGCCCGCGCATCCCTACTCTCCGCGCCAGCCACTCGCTTCGCAACCAAATGGCATGTCAAAATCCAGCCGTGCGAATACCATCGATTCGCAGAACCAATATCAAAGCGGGGACTATGTGTCTCACCCGTCACACCAGGGATTTGAGCGGGGCAGGACAGGCAGTGGCGGTGTTACCAGTGATGGCAACGAGGAAGATGGCATAAAGGAATACTACAAAGCGCACGAGAAGAATGGCAGTAAGTCTAGGGGCAGGAAGAAGAGCTCGAAGAAATTTCCACAGGGCTGGGTTGAGGCGGAGAAAGACCAGAACAACTGGATTCATCGCGACAAATTGAAAGAAATTGAGACCAAAGAGCTGGAAGAGTTTAGCATGCGAGTAGGCCGGGCAAGTCGGTCGAACAGCAGGTCGCAGAGCGCTGCCAGGACCCAGTCGAGAGGCCGCGCCGACTCCGAGCTCACCGACGCCATGTCGAATGGAGACGACCGCCACGACTATCCCCGTATGATCTCTCCCATACCTGCCGAGGACGAGGAGGAAGAGCTCCCGCATACAGGCTGGGATATACGGTCGCCTGCCGAGATTGAAGCCGAGAGGGAACAATTTGCAGCACGCGGCAACGTCATCAGGCCTAGCACGTCTCGAATACCTGTAGCGAAAACCAGTCCATTGCCCGTTCCCCACAATTTCGTCGACCGAGACCATCCTCTTCCAAGACCAAGAAACGGCAGTGGCAGTTGGGACTCTATCGCCGCGAACGGAGCTCGTGTAAGGAGCGGAAGTATGTCCAGCCAGATACTGCTGGACGAGCCCTACACTGTTGGGGATGCTGGACGGAGCCCTGTAAAGTCTAGCTTCAGTATGCCGACGTCACCTATAGACGGCCAAGCACCGAAGGCGAAGACACCGGGTAAAGCGGCGCCTGGCTCTCGAAAGACGAGCGGACCGAAGCCAGGTGCAAAGCCACGTAATGCATCAGCGGGCCCCCGGAACGCATCAGGAACGTCCCCAGTCAAGCGTCCTACCACGAGCGGCGGATCGATATCTCGGCCCACTACAGGTCATCGGCCAGAAGGCGAAGCTCCATGGATTGCTACTATGTACAAGCCTGATCCCAGACTCCCACCAGAACAACAAATTATCCCCACGCACGCCAAGCGCATGCAGCAAGAGCAGTGGGAGAACGAAGGTCGTGTTGGGTCCATGTACGACAAGGACTTCCGGTTGCTGAACACGGATGAAGGTCCCGATAAGAGAGCGTCCTCAATCCTTCCACCCATCGATCTCGAGAAAGCACAACAGGACCAGACCTGGCCGCTACCGAGCCCAGAGAAAACGAAATTCGATCCCATCGACACCACCACCTCCAAGTCTCCCACCAACGAGCAGGGCAAGTTCAAGCTTACCCCAACCATATCTCAAGGCCCCACGTTCCCTCCTCGCGCGCCTTCCCGCGGTGGCCAGGAACCGAAAGTCGCTCCTCCCATAGCCCCCGTCACACCCAAGGACACGATCCGTCTTCCCGAGCCGCCAGAAAACGAGAAGGAGAAGAAGGGCTGCTGCTGCATCGTCATGTAGCGTTTTTCATTTTCATATACCCAGACATTGCACCACCCAGCACATACCTACCAAGGGGCGTGGCGTTCTTTCTCATCTATTCTTTTCCCGGAGTTCCCGGCGCATAGCCCCATTGTTTTCACATCAGATGTTTGGCTGATAGCGTACCAGCGGCTTGCTGATATCCCTCATCTTTCCTTCTGTGTCATTTTATACCTTCCGGCCGCTTGCATCGGCTAGTCATTGCTGTCTTTTTCTTTCCGTATCTTGGATGGGTGTTTGGGTTTGCTAGTCAAACAAGGGGACTGGGCTGGAGGGTGAGGTGAAGTTGGGTTTGATAGTACTTACTTCCCCCTACGATATTATTGTTAGTGATGGGGGCTGTGCTGGGCATGGAGTGAGTGACGGCTAGTTTTCGTGCAGGTGTAGGGGAGAGGTACTGCATAGGTATGAACAGACTGTTAAACTGTTGAACTTGGTGTGCTGAAGCGTAATGAGTGAGTGGTTTGAATTCTAGCTGAGCGCCCTGATATCAAGACGCAGGTCTCTACTGTAGATGCGATGGGGTTCTACGCATCCTGGTATACCGCGAGCGGTAGTGCACCCCTGATTCTTGCCGGAGAACGCGTTGCTAGGCGGAAGACGGTTGGTGCTTGAGCGGAGGGTGTCTGCCGGGATGGCACATGCATGGAGCTCGATTTGATGTATCCTGGCGTACCTCGAGGTATAGTACAACGCTCATTTCTTTGTTGTTGGAGAACACGTCGCTGGTCTCGGGATAGGGATAACTGATGCGTGACTTGATGTGCTGGACTACTGCCTCTGCGGGTAAAGCTAACGCTAACGTCTAGACGACACACACACGTGCCGGATATCTTCATCCATTCCATCCATTTCATCCATTTCATCCATCTACCTACCCTTCGAGCTCATTTTAGCGGTCACACTATCACGCACACCTCGCTCAGGGGGTTTGGCGAGCAAGGGAGGCAGTATACACTGCGGAAGACCGAGGGGGAAGACGACGGCATGGCAGGGGGGGGATCCGAAAACGGATTCTGAATGAGTGTGTGGGGGAGGGAAGGAGAAGGAGAAGGAGAAGCGTGAGTAGGGAGGATGTCGACATACATATGGATATGGTATGTGTTGTGTCACTCATTATACAAGCTAGTGCCTCCCGCCCCAACATTTTAGTTCAAGCTTCACTTCAACCTTTGCAAACTCAACGGGGCATCTCAGAAGATATGTGTGTGTGGAAGCGCAGGACACTTCGCCAGAGTAGCCGTTATGAAATTAAACTTGGGGCGTGGGTCCTCGTAGGTTGGGTATAAATATAAGAGCTTGGACAGTCTGGCTGAGGTGAGGGTAACTCAAGCTATAATATGTCTGAGAGATAGTATTGTGATATTATGGAGCTGGTGGCTATGGGTGTAGTGAGATGGAAGGTATACGGGTATAAAGTTTGTTCTTTGGTGTCGGCCACTGTGCCCCTTGCTTATCTGCTCCATACTTGGTTATCTCCATTGTGGAATTCTCCTTCTTGACCTTCTTACCCGTTCGAGCAAGCTTTGCATAAACCAACATTACAAATGTCTCGAGTTATGCCACTCCTGCCAGATTGCGGGCGCTTGATCATGCCTTTCCAACATGTGCTATGCGCACCCCGCGGCCTCTTGGTAGCCTTATTTCAGCACTGTTATGATGATGATACTCGATAAGCTAACTGTCGAAGTTTGTGTTCCGTTCGCGCTGTAAAGCCGTGTGCAGTATACTTTCTTCATCCCAGGTAGCACGGTGGTAGAGGTATAATCGGACTCCCAGGTGGCGGCCTTGTCCAATCATTACTCGAGGTTAGATTCATTGCTGAGATGATCAGAAAGGAGATATGGAACGTTTTCAGGAAGAGTATTGCTCAGGAGCAAAGGCCATAGAGAAACCGGATCGGAAAGTACGGCACGGCGGAGTGTGATTCAGTCAAGTGTTTTATCAGTATGGAACTCGAAAGACTTGAACCCGAAGCAATAGACAAGATCTACAAGAGCATTCTCCTTTGATGGATGATGCAGCCAGTGATAAGGCTCCCCCATAACGACTATTCTAAGCCACCATGACGGCGTTCTCCGGCCGTGGTTCTACAAGGTCTTCTTTAGCATCACCACTCAACTAGCCAAATCAGTCTACAGCTGTTCCCACGGATTCTGCGTAACAGCACGTGATAAAAGAGCCGAACGAGGTCCTCTTCAAGCCATAGAAGTATCGGGGGCGGTTACAACTACCCCGCGAAAGGAAACCCTTGGCGACTCCGCAACCATGGCTAGGCTCAAGGCAGCAGCCTCGATGAAACCTAGGCGATGTAATTTGTCGCAGCAACTTTGTAATCTTCTCAACTCCTTCCTTCGGGCTCGCATCGACTACACTGCGCAAAATGCCTGTCACGTTCAAAGTTGCGGACCATCCGTCCAGACCTTTTCATAAGTACAGCACTTTGAGCACGAAAGCAACCTCGCGGGACGATCTATTCAAGCAGACGAGTCCCAATGATGCTCGCGATAGCAAGCGCATCATTCACAGCTCCATCCCCAACTCGACTTTCACGGAATCCCACGTCACGTCATCCAATAACGGCTTCGTCGTGATGGCCTGGGAAGCATACAGCTCCCACCATCATTTGAGCATCCGTCCTGATGATATTTGGTTCGCCATCCTCTCGCAGTTGAGCTTCTACATTAATAAAAACGCCGAAAACCTACGCCAGTACTTCGTCAACCACGAGGGCCAGAAGGAGCTCATGATTGAGGAGTTCGGGAACATCGACACTATTGATATGGGGCTCTTTGCGCGGCGCATGACGGGCAAGGTTCAGGAGAATGTCAAAGACCCTAACTTCCGAGACTGGATTATGCCAACGTTCAGCACAACAACAGTCGACGATCGCTCCACCGCCGCAGTCTTAATGATGGGCAGCCTACAAGCGTACTTCAGATACAAATTCAAGTGTATGTGCGGTATACCCTCCGTGACGCTCCTAGGTGAACAATCAGATTACGAAGACATCCTCCAACGCCTCGACAAGCTCAAAGAACTCGGTCCTGAAACAGCAGATTGGGCGAGCCTTTTGCGTCCCGTTCTGCGCAACTTCATCGCGTCTTTCGCCGAAGTCATGACTGCCGAGACCAAAAGTTTCTGGTCCAGGATTGCGCACCACGAAGGAGGATCGGGAGTTTCAAAGCTCTCAGGCTGGCTCACAGCGTTTTGCTTCTGGGGCCATGACGGCGTCTCGCTATACTACAAGCCGGTGTCGTACCGCCCTTTCACTATTGCTTCGCCTCCTTTCTCCCTCGATCCTACTACGTACACGCCAAATTTGGCAGCCAATGTGCGCTCCCCTGGCACTGTGCTGGATGGAGTTACTTACCACACTATTGATACGGACGACATCCCCAACGGGTTCGCATCGGTGCCGGTACTGGTCGATGACAACGGTACGCAGTACCGGACGAAAATGGTGGCCGGGAGTTTGGGCATCAAGGCACAGTACAGCGGAGATATGGATGAAGATGGGGGGAAGAAGCTCGATAGTTTGAGCAGTCTGACGGGCTGGATCATGTATGAGGTGAAAGATGATGTGGGCGATAAGTGAGAAAAGATACGCAACAGCGAGATTGATCAATTGAGCGTCTGACAGAACAGTGGTTGACACTAAAATTTGAGATGCCTCTTGTACACTCTTGTGTGAACTTGGATGATAAAGCGTAGACAATTTGCATCTTCGACCGTGTGCTCCAGGGCAACTCAAGTTCACGCAACGATATCCGAAGCTTGATTTGTCACAGGGCCTGGACGGCCCCCAATCGGCTCGTACCCAAAGCAGGCGAGCTAGCGGACCCTGTCGGTCCTGCGTCAACCATCCACACGTGCTCTCCATTGCACCTCAAGCTCTTCCAGAGCCCTCCACAATGACGACCGAACGAGCCTCCTTCCCTCCCTCAGTGACTGACCTCATAACACCTTGCCTCCTCGACTCCCTCTTCACTCTCGAAATCCCCTGGCCTAAGGAGACCCCACCAACAGCCACCCAATGGTCCACTGCACGCTCCAACACCGCCGCCTACAAGCCCCTCTGCTGGGACGTCCTCCTCGCCCTCAGTAGAATCCCCTCCCAGAAGCCCAAACCCTCGATTTCCTCCCCTCCTCCCTCCCCAGAAGACCCATCCTTCCCCACCCACGCAGTAGCCCTCCTCATCCTCCTCGACCAAGCCCCCCGCCACCTCTGCACAAACCAACACGAACGCTGGCGAAACGCCTTCTTCGACCCCCTCGCGCTGTCTTATTGCCTCGCCTTGCGCGCCCTCCCAACTCCTCACGCCATCCACACGTTTCCCCGCTGGGAAAAACAAGGCTGGAGCTACGCGCACTTCAACACGATAGCTAACTTCCTCACTGCGCCCTTCGCGCACTCTGAAGAACTATCTATTCATTTCACACACCTCCTTCCCGAAGTCGCTGCGCGGCGCCGTCTCACCGAGAAGCACTACGGTGTAAAAGATACGCAGCACGCCCAAGAACTATCCGAGGAATCACCGCTTCGTTCATCTCGCGACACGCTAGCTTTCTCTTCTCTAATCCGTGCGTGGATCCCGGCTGACGCGAACATGGCGCAATCGGTCTTCTGGTGGTGTCGCGTGAAGGAGGCGCACACGCCTATTATCCGAGTATTTGGGCGGTATCCGTATCGGAACCGGGCGATGGGGAGGATCCTGACGGCGGAAGAGGAGGCGTTTTTGGAAGAGACGGGGTGGTTTGGGGTTAGTGTTGAGGAAGAGGCTGCGGTCAGGATTAGACAGGATGTGGAGGGGGGAGTGTGGACGGCGTTGGGGGAGGATTGATTTGTTTGTTACTGACGGAACGGAACGATGAATAAGGTCTTGCGTACTGGATGATGCTACGCGGCGTATATCGATGATACTGTTGTACACCGCAATTTGGGACACTCATAAGCTGCAGTGATGGCAAAGCGATCTGACGATCGCACTTAAGAGCGGTTTTATATGGCTTCTTGATGCCTTTTGTAGTAAACTAAATGAGAGTTTGCTGGTTCGTAAGTATTTACCAAAGCTCTTTGAAGCAGCAAGCTACGCTTCTCATGAGAGGCTCTCACTCCGCATGGTAATTTCAGGACGCAGTCATCGATAAGTCGCGATATTCAGCTGGTTCGTTCAAAGAGAGAGTTTGCCTAGGAAGAGTTCGATTTGTTCCCTCGGCCTCTGTGGTACCGAGAACACTTCGCACGATACCGTATTGCGTCGCAACTCTAGACACTCGTGATAGAGTAAGATATCCTAGGGCTTTAGTCGTTTTACCAATTGCTAATTTTTCGCAGCAATATGCAGTGTACTCTGTGAAGTGTTTTCGTCAATATGCATTGCATTACTCTTCGTCAACTACAGAGGCCATGAATACATAGCAAAGTCACGAACCCGCTATTCTCGCTGCACCGCCGCCACCTCAAGTACCCAGATCCATATCATCGTCCTCCCTACCCTTCTCCTCCGTCATTCCATCTGTCTCCTTATGTGCAAGCCCTTGCACTCACTACCATCCTTGCATTTGCCTCGTCGGTAGAACTTGCAGAGAAACCTGTAAAGAGATGACATTAGCAAGATATAGTCATTATGTTGAACACAATGAAACAATATGTGAATGCTTACGTCTTCTTGGGCTCAATATGTAGAGCGGAAAGGGACGATGTAGTCGCGGTGATGTTGTCATTGGTACTGATGGCGGGGTGATCTGAGGAAGTTGCGGTCTGCTGAGCTCCCTCGAGCTCGTGGATGCGCTTCTCGAGCATACTGTTCTTGGCTTCGAGTTCATGTCTGTAATCCGCGTCCGCATCTGCTTCCTCGCGCAACTCCCTAATTGTATCTGATTGGTCGATACAGGTCTTAAGGTGGGTGTCGCGCTGCTTCTCCACAATTCTGAGCATCGCCATAAGCTCCTCGATAGTAGGTGTAGGGGCAGACATTGAGGAGATGTGTGTGCGAGTGAGTGTACGCGCGTGTGTGTGTATGTGTGCTTGATAGTTGGTGTTGCGACAGTGGATTTGTGAGACTGTGGGTGAGGAAATACAACAGCAAACGGAAAGCGAACGGACCTCACGAACGCTCTCTCACCTTCCCTTACGTCATTAGAAAATTCGAAGAATCTGTGTGGCTGGAAAGTTCTTTTCGAGGCGTCTTTCACCTGTCTCTTACCTCCCTCGCCCCGCCTGTTCTCAACGAGCATCGTCGGCCACTTTGCTCCTCAAACTTCAACCTCACCAACAAACCGCGCAGTCCAGTACTCAGGATGGCCTCAACCAAGAAGGATAGCGCAGATCAGCAGGTATATACCCTCGCGTTTGATTCAGTGCATCAGACTTACCTGGTTTCTAGCTCACAACCGAGGACTCCCTGCGCGCTCAGCTGCACGAAATGAAGGAGCGCCTTCAAGCTAGCGAGGCCAGATTTGACGAGCTTGCCCACCGTACTGTCCAGCGTGAAGGCAAGAAGGTCGTATCTCTTCCGGAGCTTCGAGACACAGTGCCCGCTCTTGTCAGCACTGAGGACTTCACCAAGGCCATGTAAGTCTCATGCACCTCCACGGCAGAAAATGAAACTAAATGACATTAGCCCCGCTCGCGCACCCAGGAACACTCGCCGGCCCATCGCGGTTTGTACTCTATGCTATAAACATCGGCGTCCTTGCGACATTGGCGAACCTTGCAGGCAGTGCTGGAACCGTGGCGCCCGTTGTGTGCGATCTAAGTGCGAGCACTGGAAGCGCGGCACTTGCAAACGTGTCAGGTGCACTCGCTGGCACGAGGGTGATGGAGAGTACACTAATCTCGAGCATGCCGACCGCATCTTGCGTGGAACAAGCCGTAAGACTCGCAGGCCACGTCGCGATGAGAATAACCCCCGCCACAATGCGTCAGCATGAGTGGATCTGATGGGCACTGTATACTCTTCCAAGGATATGATCGAGCTTTGGCAAATCGATGGCAATGAATTCCGATACATACATAGCAGTCTCTTAATCACACTTCATTTCCGTGCACTCTCAGAAATGGAGTTGATACTTTTGGTCTCTACCGCAGAAATGTCACTTAGCTCTTTATGTGAGATGACCTCTATCTGAACGGGTGTCTAAGCAAGAACTTACCCTGTAATTGCACCTCTCAACTTACGACGGCTTCACAGTAACAGCAAGGCAGCTTAAGCAACCAGCTATCCTTCTCGTGAGAGGCTTCAACTCTGTGTGGCAGCTCCGAGGAGGCAAGCACGCGGTTGAGCTTGTTCCTTCTATTCACCGCGATACACAAGTGCTCAGCTTTAGGGCAATCACCATCCACCGACTTGCTTGCTCAAATTCAACGCTTTCACCGTTCACCGCACCTTTCACCCAGCACTGACCACCGCAGGCGGTCACGTTCATGTGGCTGCCTAGCCCACTAGCGCGTCCCATAATCTATATAAACCCGCCGTCGCCCCTCTTTCCTGCTCTTCACTTCTTCTCACCTTTTCACAACTTTTACTTGTGATGTCGGCGGCTCTCATTCATTCACTTCTCCACCACCTTCCTTCGGGGTACACCGAGTACCATCTTTTCATGACGCCGCGCTGGTAGTCACGACGCCTTCGCTGGTAGTCAGTACTGAGGATCAACCACGGTCCCGGGGGTCCCGAATTATATCATGAAGCCTTGGGATTCTGGGGCCTTCAGTATTGATGGCGCGGGATCCTGCGGCCATGGTCGTCATGGCGGTGAGCCCGATAGCCAGTACCGAGTGCCTTGCACATAACGGAAGATTTGATGGCGCTCTTGCGGCCACACCATTAAGCCTCTGGCGACGCTGGTGGTTTGAGGGTGCTTACGATAGACATTTGTCTCAACTTTTTTTTCATTGACTGCTTTGGCATCGCCGAGCTTTCGAGGAAGAAGACCAAGTTGGCGTTTGTGGGCTGATAACTATGTGTTGCTAGGTGTTAAGTCTGCCTTTCAAGTGAAGGTGATTGCACACCTGAAGTGGTAGCACGGTGGTTTTCTGGATCCCTGCCGTGAAATACTATCACGTCATTTTCATTAGATTCCAATCGCGCCCATCTTGCATGACCGAAGCCTACACTGATTACATCCTGCGCGTTGCACCCTGCTGTCGCTTCTTACTCGGAACGATACAGCAAAGGGTAACTCACAATCTAACGTGACCAAAGGCTACTTCTCTGTTCTTCTACCTTGCGCGGGCATGTCGTTGACTCTGATTTAGATCACGAAAGGAAGTCCCACTTCAATGGGCATCTAATCTGCAAGTGTAAGGATAGCGACAGTCGCAAACTTTTGCATATTGGGGTGGAGGCGATAGACAGCACGACTGATAACTCAAAGAAGATTGAAATTCACACGGTGATCTGTATGCAAGTATCCAGGTTGCAGCGTACGCATCTTCGATGGGCCAGTGTGGACTCATCGCAGACACCTAACATCAAACATTGCTCACACCCGCTCCTGAAAATTGAGCCTGGCGCTAGACCCTACCTACGAGGTGAGTGTGGAGACTGGAACTACAGAACTCAGTTACAACGTTGAAAACGTACTGTAACATGAGTAATCCTCCGATAGACGCGAACCAAGCACCTTCCATTCAGCATGCCACAGAAACCCACCGAAGTTTGGAAACAAGTTCAGATGTTGGCGTCGACCCCGTGGTTCGCACCCAGACTGCTGCCCAGAGCCTGTGTAATACAATCAACGATATAATTTGACCTATTTCTCTCGATCTGTGATAGTGTACAATTATCATGGTTGCAGTAGGTCTGAACCGGTCGATAAAATCGGTATATCGTGCGAGACTTTTCAATATGGAGTGTAGAGCCGTCGACCTTGTATCACTGTGCGACATAGTGTTGGCCCCCTCCTGCTTACTTTTATGGTAAACGCGTAGATGAAGGAATATGCCAAGGTGACGCAGGCATCAGGCTACACAACAGCATACAAGCACTTTACTATCCCACATTATACTACCACTAGCACTAGAAAAGTATGGTCGAACAGTGCTGTAGGAACGTTAGTCTTGAATAGGTGTGAGCGACCAGCAATTACCTCGTCCGGTCGAGCGACTCGTGCAGCCGCTTGTGAGTAACCCCTCGAATAATGAGGTGCCCTAGGGTACATAAGCGATCTGTTCATTGCCAACCTTTCTGCATAGCAGACCTTTGCTATCAGCGGACAAGCGCAACGCACCATCCCACACAGGTAGCGAACAAGTAGTCTGAGCAAGCCATATAGTTGCGTGAGCTATACATCTTCTCTTCATCTACATCTACATCTACACACCCCCTTTATCCCCCCATCCATCCACTCAAGCTATTCCTCCATCTATGCACAGACACAGTATCGATAAATGCTACCAAAACGCGCTTCCTATACATCCTACAACATCGCCATCTACAACACTCTACACATCCCTGACATCCCTCCTCCCTGTCGGAATCTCCGTCTCCACCATCTCCAGCTTATTCAAGCTAGGATACCGCTTGCTAAAGCTATCCACATCCCACGCATCATCCGCAGGCCCGTCATGCTGCCCCCCAACACGAGGCAACGGCTTGTCTCTTACACTGCTCTTGGTAGGGCTCTGCCTCGACCCAGTGGAGAAGTCCCCAGTGTTGCCTGTCCTAAGCTTCGTCGGTTTCGACGGAGGCGGTGGACGAGGGCCGCCTGTTGGGACACGGGTTGCCGCCGGAGGAGCGGACGCTGAGGTCGGTACTTGAGCCACATGCGGTGGTTGGCGAGGCTTCGTGTATGCTAGATCTGAAGGCGCATTCTGCTGGACCTGCTGGGACACCGTGATGGGTTTCTTAGCAACGGCAGGTGGTTGTCTGGCGCCGCTCTGGTCTTGTGGCCTCTGCGGTAACGGCTTGCCTGTAGAGGTGTACTTCCCGTAGCCTTCCGCTGTGCGGCTAGCAGATACCGGCTTCTGGCTTTCGTCGAGGAGGTTCCTGACGCGGTTTTGGATGGTAGAAGCGCGTGTGGGGCCCGCCTTGCCTTTGCCTTCTTCTGCAAGGCGTTTGCGGTATTCCGCGGCTGCGGCTTCGACGCGGCGTTCTTCTTGCGAAAGGCGCCGCCTTTCAAGCTCGCGACGGACTTCTGGAGGGAGGTCTTCTGTCTCGTCGATGACGCGCTCGTCATCGGAGTGGCCGCCTGTGGCTTCGGAGCCGGCAATGGGGGTCAGTGCACTGTGGCGTGAGTCGATAGGGAGATCTGTGGGTGTGCGCGGGCCTGAGTCAGATCGCCCTCGGTCGGGGCCGGAGCCGGAGTTGCTCTCGAACATCTTGAAGGCATCGCCAAAGCGGCCCTTCACGATGTTTTTGGTGCCACTCGTCAATGAGTGTAAGCTAGACCGTTTCCCGCCGCCCTTGGTGTTCTGGCTGCTGCTTCGGCGATGCTTCTTCTGATGGCTATCCTCATTTTCTCTTGCTCTCAAATAATCGATATTCGAAGTGATGTTCTTCTCATCATCAGAATCAGAATCTAGCACGGCAGGAGACTGGCCACCTCGACCCAACGACGGTGCATCGAAATTTCTTCCGGGTGCTGCCTCTCGTTCTCGCAAGAAGTCCAAATTGGAAGCAACATGGATACTATTAGGTCGATTCGACTGAGCGGACTTCGCTCTATCAAGTGAGACCCCAAGATCCATTGCTGACGGACGATGTGTTTCGAGTGACGGTCTTGATGATGCAGGTGATCTTGGAAGTGCGAGCGCAGAGGTGTGGGACTTCGACCTGCTAGCCTCCAACGATGGGCGAATTGGTAGAGTGTGGTCTGGCCTCAATGAAGATGGGCTAGGCTGAACTTTCTCGAACGTGCGGGGCTGGCTCATTGTACGGCTATGGCTGCTTGTGTCAGGTACGCGCCATACGGGTCGTTTATTGACGTCAGGAAAATTCGATTGCGGCTGGCTGGGAGCAGGGGAAGGTGCAGGCGAAGTTTGCACACCAGTCGAAACCATGGCGGACCTTTGTGGTGTGGGTTCGTAGATTATCGGATTAGAGGTGCGGGGACTATCCTGAGGTCTATCAAATCTCTGAGGTTTCTGTGTGGAAACGGGTCGAGGTTTGCTTATTGAGGGGGCAGTCGAGGAAGGTTTGGGCGCTGGAGCTGATGGTGTTGCCTTCGCCGGACGCATTGAGAATGCATCGTCCGCAAGAGCTTCTGTAACCCTCTTGTTTAGGGGAGGATCCGCGCCTGCTGGCGACGGGCTGAATTCGAACTTTTGGCCACGATCATGCAATAGTGAAAACTCATCTAATGAGGGATATTTAGCAGCGAGCTCGTCTGCTGCAGCGATCCTGACTTCAACTTTATCAGAATCAAGAGCTGCGAAGGGGTCGGCCTTTGCGCCTCTGCCTGCTGGAGAAGGGCTAGGTCTTGGCACGGGTGATGCGTGTGAGGGACCTGTAGGCCGACCTCTTCTCATTCGCTCGACTTCTGGAATAGCCTGTACTTGTTTTACAGGGGCTATTTTTTGTATTCCAACGATGGGCGGCGAAGCCACCTGAGGCTCTGGAGATGGTAGTTGCTGGTTTCGACGATCTTCAGACTGCGTTCGATTGGAGTAGATCTGAATTCGTTAATGATAATTCTAGGATGAAGCGAAGCGACATACGTCTTTAATCGGTACAGCTCTATGCCTCATGGAGCACACCTCGACCACCACCTGGTAGATGTTCGGTCGACGTTGAGGGCTTTCTTGCAACATGGATGCTATTCGGCATTAGCACAACAGTCAGAACAACCCAGTCGCCCTCGACCTACAGATAAGCTTCTTTATCCGGTCCGAGAATTGGGGGTATGCCGGAAACTTGAAGCTCGCGTTCAAGATGGCCATCTGTCCAACTTCTTCGAACGGTGTGGTGTAGTAACACAGCTTATACAACAGCACACCCAGCGCCCAGATGTCGCTCTTCTCGTCAATGGGTTGCTTGCGGTAGACGTCGATCATTTCGGGGCTGCGGTACTGCAGCGTCGTGTGCCGCTGTACGTCGTCCTCAATCAGTCTCCCTTCTGCCGCCGTCTGCGCAGCCGGCCGTGGTGGAGCCGTCGAACCAAAATCGCAAAGCTTGTATATCCTGTTGGTACCAACAGTCGTGATTAAGACGTTTTCGACCTTGAGATCGCGGTGGAGTAGCGGGGGTCTTAGATAGTGCATCGTCGCTACGCCCTCTGCGACATCGGAGAAGATGTGCAGAATCTCAGGTTCGGTGAGTCGGTGTTGCAACCGCGTGTTCATGAAGTCAATCAGACCGCCGCCGGTGCAGTGTTCCATCAGCAAGAAGACCTCGTAGCCCCCGCCCTTGAGCTGCGACGCATGCGAGTCGATGTACGTGACAATGTGCCGGTGGCCCTTCAGCTTCTTCATTGTCTCCACTTCTGTCCTCATGTTCGCCAGTGCGTCCTTGTCCGGAACCGCAACCCGCTTCAGCACGCCGACGTCCGGGAGGCCTTCATTGCCCTTGGGTATGCGCACTACATAGACGTGCGCAAACCCGCCCTCGGACAGGTATCTCTCGATCGTCACGCGGTGGTTGCCGACTTGGACTTTTGTCCCCGGCGTGAAGGTGCCTGGCGGTGCATTGTTAGCGGGCGCCGGGGGGCGGTAGGCGTGTTGCTGCGGTACTGATGCGGAGGGTGCGTAGCGGGCGGAGGACATTGCGGGCGGTGTGAAGCCTGCTGCGGTGCAGGAGCGACAGTGAATCTAGCGAGTGTGCATGTAGTTTGCGGTATCGGGGTATACTCGATGGCTGAGTGGGGCGGGGCGGAACTGTCCTGTGTTGTATTGGGGGTCATAAGGTGTTGTGCTTGCGAGTTTCAATGTCGGCTGCTAGGCGGTCACAAGCAGAGCCACACCGCACGTCACGACCGTGTTAACACTGCCATGCTTGAACCGGAATAGGGGTGCACGATGAGGAACATCACAGGCGGGTACATGGTCTAATTTTGGAACTATGCATAACTATGTAGCATTCACTGTCGCGCCCCAAGTTTCCCCAGCTATCATGTACTCGAGCTGTCATCTGGAAAGGTGTGGCACAAAGTGTGGCGCCCCAGATTGCGCTAGGCCCTTTTCGTCACCTCATCTCTTTCGAGACAGATGCTCGCAGCAATGAGTAATCGGCTGCTCTTTCAGGTTTGTGAAACGTTTTATCCGTGACGGACTGCTTGTGAGAGTTTTGACTCTCAAGGATCTATCGGCTCATGACCCCGGCCTATGTATCCATGCACACAAGATCTTCTGAACGGTGCATGTATGCATCGAGAGACTTAGGTGTGCAACATGAGCGTGGCAGTTCGAATCAATCTCTTCTGGATATCGAGATGTGTTTGATTAGGTCTAGTTGAACGATGGATCGCCGGACGATGTACCAGTCTGTGAGCAAATGTGGTGGATGCGCTCCGAATCCATCGTACAGTCCACAATCGTGCATTCGCATGGTTCCTCTGCAGCAGTCAGAAACGTCATATAAGGGGCTGAGTTGAACCACAATTATCACCGCCAAGGGAAGCGTTCGTAGCCCTTCATCATTAATCGTCGGCAAATCTGAGGTCAAGGTACAGTATGACAGCATCGCACAGCTTGTACACGAACGCACGGGGGCGGCGGATAGCATCCGATGCTCATTTCTTCTTGTCGAGCGTGAGTTTCTCAGCAACCAGAGCGTAGACAGCCGTGTTTGCCTTTTCTACCGTAGCCTCGGAACCGAACAGCGTCTGTTCTAGGCGTTCACGTCCACTGCCGTCCCCCGCCACGCGGCCATCGACCCAAGTGACATCGTTGGCGTCGATATGAACCAGACTTCAATCGTTCTTGCCGCGGGAAGCAATTAACCGTTGTAAGATGACCCGCTGGAGGCCCTGCGGGTACTACCGCTGTGTTTAGTGGGCGAACTGGATGTTCTGTCGAGAGCTCAGAAGCCAGGTCTAGATCCTGCGGCTCTTGCTGTGGACGGCGATTGCAATATGCAGCAGACGCAGTGAAGAGTTCCAGGTAGAATGTACCAGAAGCAGATTGGGGAACCACACACAGCAGCCCAAGACATGATGCATCGTCGTCTTTGTGACCGCGGTCAGGTGAGCGTGTTGTAGCAGCGCCTGACGGCGTAGCGTGGATGTCGGCGGTGAACTGGCCGCGACGCCGACTAAGCATGGCCTGGCCTGACGACGCTTTGCGGCTCGCGGGAGAGTCGTTGTTTTGCTAACGACGCTTGACGCAGCGCGAGGGACTTTAGAGTGAACGGGCAGTCGCTGTGCGCGTCTCAGACTGCCATGGGCGATGGGATTGGCGAGGCCGGTGCCAAGGGGGCATGCACGGCGACGCCTGGAGCTGGCTGGCCTCGATCAACACTACACTTGCTCCTCGCTGTTGTTCTATGTACTGCGCATTTCCTCTGTCCTGCGTCGCTCCTGCCCCCGCCTTGCACGAAGGCACAGCTTACTTTACTTTGGAACCTGCTGCGCTGCACATCTATTTACCTTACAGTCGCATTCACTTTACTTGACCGTGCCCTATTCGTCATAGGCTTAGCGAGGGCTTAAACACGTTCACGCCCAGCCAGCTCAACCAAGTCCGCCTGCCAGCGCCGACGGACCCATCGTCATTCTCCACCCGCCGCCGATTCTGCGAGGCTCGGTATTCATTTGCACGCGACCTGCGAGGTTGTTTGTGAGGCGCAACAGTACACAGTAAGCAAACTGTTACTGCGTCGCTTAGTCGACCCGCCAACCGCCTGCTTCACCACCTCCGTGGGACAACACGCCCACCTCAGCCTTCTGAACCCAGACCCCCCGCACCGCCGAGACACCACGACCCTATCCGAATAAACAGACATCCAACCGCAACGACGTTTTCCAAACTGCACAACATGGCTTCTCGCTCCCGCTCTCGACGGGCCGAGCGCGACGTCAGTACCTCCCGCTCCGACACCTCCGCGTCTACCTCCCCCGAGCGCGGCGTCGAGGATGACGATAACGACTCCCTCATGTTCCAAACGAACGACTCTCAGTCCTCCCTCGCACCTTCCGTATCGCCAGACTCAGACGAAGACGCGCTTAGAAGGGCCATAGAGGAGCGATGTCGCGTGTCGCCCATCTCGCGCCTGCCCGCCGAGCTGATGATTGCCATCTTTGCCAAGCTATCCTCGCCTGGCGATCTGAAGCACTGTATGCTCGTCTCCCGAGAATGGGCAAGGAACAGTGTTGGTTTGTTGTGGCACAGACCTCAGACGGGAAAATGGCAATCGATCAAGAGCGTTGTTGCTACGGTTCGGAGAGGAGACAGCTTCTTCGACTACCCTAGCCTCATAAAACGACTGAATCTGTCAGCTCTGGTATGTGATAGAAGAGGCATTTCAGAATGCCCCCGCTAACCCCGCTCCAGGCCCCCGAGATCAGCGATGGGACACTACAGCCTTTGGCGAATTGCAACCGAGTCGAGCGCTTGACCCTGACTAACTGCACGAAACTCACCGATCTTAGCCTCACTGGTATGCTTCAGGGCAACCGCAGCCTCCTTGCCTTAGACGTGACCGGTTTGGACTCGATAACTGATCGCTCAATGTTCGCTCTCGCCGAGAATGCAGTGCGACTTCAGGGACTGAACATCACGAACTGCAAGAAGATCTCGGATGAATCTTTAGAGGCAGTAGCGAAGAGCTGTCGGCATTTGAAGAGGGTAAGCACCCCCTCGGGTTTATAATCGATTGAACAACGCTGACGGTAATAGCTCAAACTCAATGGCTGTCAGCAGCTGACCGATCGTTCTATCATCGCTTTCGCACGCAACTGCCGCTACATTTTGGAGATTGATCTGCACGACTGTAGGAACCTTGAAGACGAGTCGATCACGACGCTTATAACGGATGGACCGCATCTACGAGAGCTGAGGCTGGCTCATTGCTGGCGCATCACGGATCAAGCGTTCCTTCGCTCGCCACAAGGAATATCATACGATGCTCTCCGCATCCTCGACCTCACAGACTGCACTGAGTTGCAAGACGCCGGCGTTCAGAAGATTGTACAAGCCGCGCCTCGCCTGCGCAACCTCGTCCTGAACAAATGCCGCAATATCACTGACCGCGCTGTGCTCGCCATAACACGGCTTGGAAAGAATCTGCACTACATCCACCTGGGCCACTGCTCGCGTATCACCGATACGGGTGTAATCCAGCTTGTCAAGCTGTGCAATCGCATCCGCTATATTGACTTGGCATGTTGTACAAACCTCACGGATAACTCTGTCACACAGCTAGCTGCCCTGCCGAAATTGAAGAGGATAGGCTTGGTCAAGTGCGGGAACATTACGGACCGCAGCATTGTCGCGCTTGCCAAGCCGAAGCAGGTCGGCCACGGCGGCCCAGTAACGCCCAGTGTGCTCGAGCGTGTGCATCTGAGTTACTGCACGAACCTCACACTCAGCAGCATCCATTCCCTCCTCAACAGCTGCCCGCGTCTCACACATCTGAGCCTCACGGGCGTACAAGCATTCCTCCGAGAAGACCTAATTGTGTTCTGCCGCGAAGCGCCACAAGGTACGCCTCAACCGCCTCCCCTCCCTAAGACATGAGAACCTCAATCTAATCTAACATTCCACAGAGTTCAACGAACACCAACGCGACGTCTTCTGCGTCTTTAGCGGCGTCGGCGTTCAGCGTCTGCGCAACTACCTCAATACCGACACGGCTCACACTCGCCGCACGCTGTTCGAGGACGAGGGCACCATGTACGACGATGATGGCGACCAGCCGGAGCAGATGGACGACGTGACGGCGCAGGCTAACGGCTTGGGGATCGAGGACATGGACGAGGACTTTGGCGAGGAGAGCGAGATGATTGGGGAGAATTAACGAACGTCTGAAGAGGGGGTTTGAAAAGGTGGGAGGAGGGGTGTTGTAACGACGCGGTAGCATTGTGCTTTTCAACGCCATTGTCATGGAGCATTTTTGACGTATAAACGGCCTAGGATGAGGGATGAGAGGGAGGTCTTGCTTTTTTTCTTCACGGCGGGAGTGGATGTTTCGATCGATACCCTTTTAGCATGCATGGTTGTTTTGTATTCTTGGCCTATGGGGCTGTTGAATGGAAGGATAGATGGAAATATTCTCATGAATTGCATCGTTTGAATATCTTAGGGAGTGAATTTGAGACGTGCTGATTGTGTGAAGAAAAGTGCAGAGTTATGGGCCGTGTTGCAAAGTGTCGGGTGGTGGTCGGCTTGTGTGGAGATTTTCCTGTGTACATTTGCGTTCTCGCACTGTATGCATTCAGATTAATTCTACCTGTCGATGCTACGAGCCCATCTTCCCCTTCCTATCCACCTCCACCGGAAACTTCGACAGGCTCTCATACCACTGGATCACGCTCCCTATCAAGAACGCCCAACTTCCCCAAAAGGTAGACAGGCACGCCTGATACTGTGCCCAGCTGCTCGTATCGTATCCGAAGGCTGGGCAGATAGTGAAGCCTATACCGCCGATTAGGTTCCAGCAACCGATCCACCAGCCCAGCGTGCGGGGCGCGGGCTTCCACCATTTTGATTGCGTTTCTAGCATGAAGAGCGTGCCCGAGATGATGAAGCCGAGGCCGCCGAGCACCTGGGGCGTCCAGTAGAAGATGATAGTGATGGGCCGCGACATCTTATCGTAGATACCTGGGAGGGCGGTGAGGCCCGAAACCCAGAAGATTGACGCGCCGCAGAGTTGAGCGAAGGAGGCGATGAAGCCGAGGGAGTGGAGGTAGTGCGTGCGAAGATCGTGTGTAGACGGCCACCATACCCATGAGCGGGCTTGCAGGTCTACCTCCTCTTTAGAAACAGGATGTTTCCCTTCCCCAACAAGATTGCGCTTATTCTGATGGTGGTGCGTACAATGCGACTTCGCTGGCTTGAGCACCGCATCTTCAGCATCCTCTCCTCCATGATGAGAGACAACCCGCTTAACAGTCCACCCAAAGCACCCCGACCTCTCCTCATTCACAGCTTCAGCCATCAGCAACAGACTCCCAAACTCGAACACCGTAGCGCCAATGAAAGCAGTTACACCCCCGCCATACAGCTCCTCCCCATTGAACTCCGTCCCCGGCCTCACAAGCGGCAACCACACGAAAAAAGCATTAATAACCCATATCACGCTGCCAAGCGTAAACACGAAGGCGACGTCGAAGGATATGTCCCAGAAGGGGTAATACGTTAGCATGCGCCAGATGCCGCGGGCGATGCTGGTAGGAGAAGAGGTTGGACGCGGTACTTTTTCTCGCGCTGGCGGATGACTCTGGTTTATGACCACGGCGTGGCGCCCTTTGCGATTGTTCCGCGACGACCATTTGAAGCGTATGTCTGGGCGCGCGGCATGGCGGAAATGCGCTTTCGTGGGGTTGAGGAAGGGGACGGGGCCTTGGACACGACTTTTTTGCAATTCGAGCGCGGTTTCGTGGCGGAAGGGCTCGTGTGCGGGATGGAAGTTTGAGGCGCGCTGGAGGCCGGGGGATGGTGTGGTGGTGGTGGTGCTTTCTATGGTGTTGCCGTTTTCCATGGTGTTGGCTGTCATTGACTGCTGTGGTCAATTGTTGCGAAGGGTGGCAATCGCGCGGAGAAGGGCGCGTGTGGGATCACGGCAACATTGTGGTGCTGTTGTATTAGTGACGGGTAAGGAACGGGATGGTGGCAATCAATGGTTCATGTTGAGATGACGGGAACTATTCAAGAATTCAAGGTCAGCGACGCGACGGACGCGTGGAGAAACCGCTTGCGTCATTGGCTCACGGTAGAAGGTGGGGCTAATGCAGGGCAATGCTGAATCAGCACGGTTGCTACTTTCTACTTCCCATCCCTTGTCGCTTTCGCGACAACAAAATCTCCATGATTCTAGATGGTCGCTGCGTAGGCGACGTCTTCCCTGTTTGGCGCTGGTTTGGAGCCTGGAGAATCATGCTCCTTCAGCTCTACCTTCAGCGTCTTTTGAATACCCGCGTTGCCGCGCCCGCTTACAAGCGACATCCTTCTGATACTGTCCTCAACTCGCTCTGCAGGTGACAGGGCTGGGTGGTGAAAAGACGGCTGTCGCCCGGGTGGCCTCAGCTCCAACCTTGAACTCAGCGAAGATGGTTCTTTTATCTTGTGCGAAGTATTCTTAGAGCTCATGCCATCTCGCTCATAAGCGGTAATTAGAGGTCGAAGATACGGAATCACGCATGAGAATACGGTCCATGCAATGGTCATCTGCGTTGTGCATGCGACGCGGGATTTCCAGTAGGCGGAGTTCTCAGGCGTCAGGGTCATGTTGAGGAAGACCAGGCGCAGAATGGTGAGCGCGATGTTACTAGCGTTGGTAAGCTGGGTGCAATACAAGGGCAGGAGAGGTGAGACATACGGTAGCCGGCACGCGAAAGCGCTCAGGATGGCGAGCCTCGATGGAAGAGGAATGTGCCGGTTCCATATCAGATGGAACGAGGTCAGGATGAGCGCAAGCTCAATCACCATATCGAATACGCCAATGTACACCCACCGACCGAACTGTACGAATTAGCCGACTATTTTTCGCTTCATGACTATCTTGGGGACATACAAAGGCTGAGCATTGCTGCCAGTACAGCGGCCACTCATTCCCGAGAGGGCATCGGAACCCTTCTACGAATAGGCTTGTCACGACCCATATCGCGGATGCGCCGACCAAAAGCCATGCTATATTCTTGTGCCTTGCATCCGGTGCAAGCCACAGGAAGAAAAGGGCGCAACAAGCTTTGGAGAGGAAGAGGATGACGATGTAGAACACGTCCGCAGCTAAGCCAGCCTAGACGCTGTCAGAACACGATATAATATGTGTGCATGGTAGGTGGGAGTTACCTTTCGAATGGACAGCTTCTGGTCCCAGGTGAGATTCGACAAGATGACACCGAGGCCATTGTGGATCTGATAGAAGACGAGGGAGCTTTGTATAACGACGAAGGCCTGAGCAAGTCAGTTCTACCAAGCTACATCTGGACTTTGTTGTGGTGGACGCACGATTCCCAGAGCAAATGTGATATCATCGTGGCGAAAGTTGCGGAAATACTTGCGCGCATACAGCTTGATGCACGCAGCCAAGAGCACCAGACCCAGTGCAAATCCAGCGATAATCGCGATGACTCCTGATTGATCTTCGCTATTGATAACTTCTGGCGGCGGAGATACGCCCGAAGGGAGTGGTGTCGTAGTGGGTTCAGCTGTCGACATCGTGGAATTTCGTATTTTCAACTCGAGTATAAATGGGTATGGTCTGGTGGATAAGTTACGCTGTAGCTATGTTCTAGCGTGCACGTGGCTCTTCTGGCTGTGTCTGCATCCGGAACGTTGAGTTGGAAGACAATGACGCCCGAGTTCGTGGACTCGCGTGGTACAAAGAACGTGGACCAAACGTTGCACCATTCACGTGGAACCATTGACCACGACGAAAACATCGCCATAATTCTATTCGCTCAGCAGACTATACGTGGTGGTAGAAAAGCTTTTGACATGTGTGCGTTGAAGTCGAGCATGAATCCAGACCCGCTCTGCACGCACTGATGCCGCAACCGGATGACAATAGCAAGACGTCTCGGATCTCTCTTTCCGACCTCAAACGTGTGGATTTCTAGTGTTCCTCAACACTGCGACTTCCTCACGTTCTATCATTAAGATATGTCTAGCGCCGTGAACGACGCCGACAAGGAGCAAGGCGCACTGGAAGACGATGTATACAGCCAGGCAAACCCGCCCAGAGAGGGCTTCACGAAGGCAGACCAAAAGCATATGTACCGTTTGGGAAAGGCGCAAGAGCTCAAGGTGTGTGCAGCCCGTAGAACCAACTTCGAAGCGAAAATTAGCTAACCACCACAGCGAAACTACCGCCCTCTATCCGCACTAAGCTTTGCGGTTGTCCTCACGGCAATATGGGAGTATTTTATGCTTGCCAACACCCAGGGGCTTATCGATGGTGGACTTGCTGGTCTTTTCTGGAGCTTCATCTGGACGTTTCTCGCGTTCAGCTTCGTGGGTTTGAGCTTGGCTGAAATGGCGTCCATGTATGACTCTGTTTAAAAATCCACTTCTCCTATGCTAATATGACGGTCCATAGGGCACCGACATCAGGCGGCCAATACCACTGGGTGAGCGAATTTGCACCTCCCAGCATTCAACGATTCCTCTCCTATATAGTAGGCTGGATGTCAGTCCTCTCCTGGCAAGCTGGCAACGCCGCAGACTGCTTTATCACGGGGACACTAATCCAGGCGCTGCTCCAAGTCAATGACGAGAACTACGAACCAAAACGGTGGCACGGCACTTTGTTCACCTGGGTCATGGTCTTGGTCCTCTACATTGTCAACGTCTGGGGTCATGACTTCTGGCCTCGCATTCAGAATCTGTTGATGATCATTCACATACTGGCATTCTTCGCGGTGATTACAGTTCTCTGGACATTGGCTCCGCATAACAGCGCTGAGAGGGTGTTCACTGAATTCAGTAACGGTGGTGGGTGGAATAGCATGGGGCTCTCGCTCATGGTCGGCCAGATATCAGCCATTTACTCGATCTTGGGTACATCGTCTCTCCAATCATCTAATCGTACAAAGCTGACCAGTCTCCAGGCTCCGACGCAACCGCCCACATGGCCGAAGAAGTCCGCGACGCCGACCGCTACGTCCCCATCTCCCTCTTCTGGTCCTACATCGGCAACTCTCTCATGGCCATCGTCTTCCTCATAACCTACCTCTTCGCCATGCCCTCAGTCGAAGACGCCATCAACGATCCCTCCGGCTACCCCTTCCTCTACGTCTTCAAAGGCGCCATGGGCACCGCAGGCGTAAATACGCTCACCATCATCGTCCTCCTCATTGTCTCCGCCGCAAACGTAAACTTCGGCGCCTCGACCGCGCGCCAAACCTTTGCATTCGCGCGTGACAAAGGACTCCCTTTCTCAAGCTGGCTCGCAAGAGTGCACACAAGCAAAGGAATCCCCGCGAACGCCATACTATTGACATGCAGCGTAACCATCCTCCTCTCCCTCATCAACATCGGCTCCCTCGTCGCCTTCAACGCCATCATCTCCCTACAGATCGTCTCCCTGATGTTCACGTACTTCTGCTCTCTCTCCTGCGTTCTCTACCGGCGTGTCTACCACCCGGAGCTCCTGCCCGTCGCGCGCTGGAGTCTCGGGAAATGGGGGCCGATGGTGAACATTGTGGGATTGGCGTATGTGGTGTTTGCGTTCTTTTGGAGCTTCTGGCCGAATGAGACGCCGGTGGATGCGGAGACGTTTAACTGGAGTGTGGTTATGTTTTTGGGGGTGTTTCTGGTGGCGTTGGTGATGTATGCGGTGGAAGGGAGGAGGGTGTATAGTGGGCCGGTTAAGCAGTGTCGGATGGCGAGGTTGGAGATTTGAAGTGGAGCGGTGAGTATGGGGGATGGAGGCTGGTTGAAATTGGAGCGATGAGCATGGTGGGCGGAGGGTAGAGAGGTGTTCACGAAGAGTATAAATCGGGTATTCACGTAAAAGCAGTAGCGCAGGAATGGCAAATATGCGTTGTTCGATGTACAAGTGCCTCGTTCTGGTCATCACATATGTGTTCACGACGCCATGCAGACAGAAAATCTTTCATACCCCGCCTTATACTCCTCTGATTGGGCGTCTACATCCCATTACGACACCATGCGTTGTTTCAGCGTTCTCTCTTATAAGCCTATGAGCGCTCTGTAGCTTGTCAGCTACTCCCCCGCTATGCTGGCCATATGACGCAAATTCGCCCTTAGGATGTATACCTGCACGTTCACTCGCAGACAATCCGTTTGATTCGATCGACGTTGTTTAATGTCTGCAGACACTCAAGGTATGAAAGGTGGTAAGAAGGATAATGCCCGCTTTCGAGACCAGTTGACATTACGAGGCAACCTCCTGCGTGAGACTTGGTCGAGAGGCATGACATTGAACATATTGGGTCTACATAGAATCAAATGTTGCTGAAGAGATCAAAGCTGTAGTAGAATCTTGTAAAGCTCTCTCGGTAATGTCTGTCCAGGGCCCCCTCTTTAGGCTTAGTGCGTTCCACGTACTAACCTCATTCGGAATCGCTCTCGCAAGGCAGATGCGAAGAATCCGACCTCCTGCAGTGGGCCCCATGGCGGTGGCTGTGTCGTAACAGGCTGATTGCATGGCAATAGGCATAAAGAAGGCTGCAAATCTTCTGTATTGCTTGCTACACAACTTTGACCCTTTTCACGGCATGGCTGATCCCCTCAGCGTCGTCTCGGCCATCATCGGTATCATAGCCGCCGCGGGGAAGGTGGCCGAGATCCTAGGACCTCTAGTCTCAAGCATCAAAGACGGTAAGAACACTGCGCGCGAGATACGAGACCAGGTCGAAGAATCACGCGCCATCTTACAAGCACTACAAAAGTTGTTCGATGATCTGGAACAATCTCCACGGCGACGAAGGGAGCTTATTCAAATCGATCAATTGAGGGCGACGCTGTGTGATGGCACCGTCATTTTCAGCGACCTAGAGCCCCTTGTGGTGCAACTGAGCACTTCAAGCGAGAGTTTGCGCAGTCGTGTACAATGGGTTCGCAAAAGGGATCAGCTCGAAGCTTTTAGTAGGAGGCTGGAGCGCTTCAAGGCCTCGGTAAACACAATGCTCAACATCCTTCAATGGTAAGTTGTCCAAGCCTCAGCCTTGCCAGTTGCTTATTGAATAATAGTGAGTCTGATTTGGATGCCGCCGCAAATCGTCAAGAACTCTATAACCTCACCTCGCAGCTTCTACAGAGCAATCGCGACCTCAGGCGTCGACTTTCTCTACTTGAAAGTGGCCCGCGAGATGATGACAGCTCTGTTCATGTGCAAACAGGTCAAAGGACTTCATTGGTGTCGATCCAATCTCAGATCCGTGCGTTCGAATTTGAGCGCGATCTCAAAGAATCCTGGGTGTACCGCAAGGCAAGAAGATCCACCGGCGACGTCTCATTCAGAAGCTCAATCGCTTTGTCTCACGCATGGTCGGCGCTGTCCGATATTAGTCTCTCTGATATTCTCGGCCATCTCCATTGTGGCTCTCCCAATCTCCTCTAAAGATCTTTCCAATGGCCACTATTACCGACAAGGACAAGGGCAGCCGGGGGTTTCTGGCTCGCAGCCGCAAGGGAAAGAGCTTGTAATAGGACCACCGACCCTCGTTTCGAGTACTTCCCCGGCTGCTTTGTTTTCATCCGACAGACCAACTCTAAGGACAGGCGAGTCACAAAAGATTATTCTTCAATCCTTTGGCGAAAGCAAAACCGTGGAGGACTTCTGGGTACCGCGACGAAATCAAGACGGAACTTCTTTCTTCTTCAACACGCTCTCTGGATTTTTCTGCCTTTGGGACCCGAACACAACTCCTAAAACGATAGCATTCTCCTTTATTCCCCAAGTCAATATAGATGGCAAGTTGTTTTACTACAACCAGGCTACCAAAATCAGGACTGATAAACTACCATCCAATATGGCCACAAGTCAAAAGAAATCCCCTGAGTCAGACGCCCAACTGCTTTTGGACTTGTTTCCTACTCTTAGGGTCGCCATTATGACCCAGACGCAGGTCTCGCCAACTGAGCGAGCATCCGGAAATTCGTCTCCTACATCCTCGCCTCCGAAGACTGCAAAGCAATTGCAACGAAGTTCAGGTTGGAGCGACTACTTTTCTGCCAATCTTATAATCCCGCCTGATGATGTTGGTCTGGAAAATTCGATCTTATTATCGCCACACACACCCTCCGCCGATGAGCCATCACGCACGCCTTCTCTTCGAAACAGTCCCCAGGTATCACTAGAAGGAATTGATACTGCCCTGGGGAGTATAGGTGACGTGCGACGTGAGAGGGAAAAGGATGGCTCGGAGCCAGTAACTCCAACGGAACTGAGCAGCATGGAGGTTTCAGTTACCCCCTCTCCAGCAAAGACCCTTTCCCAAGGGTTCAAATCAACCTCGTTTACCCGCTTCCCAAGAGAGTATACGCTTGCTATCGTGGGAGGTGGAGATATTGGCAAATTTAACCTTGCCGTAGAGGTAATTATGCATCAACTTTATCTGATACTCTTTTTATTAACTTCGAGCTGATTTGTTCTTGTAGTTCACCCATTCTCATTTAGTCGATGAATATGATCCTACCAGCGAAGAGTCACATCGGAAACGTTGTTTCATCGATGATGAGCCTGTTCTGCTTAATGTCCTGGATACTGAAAGTTTGTATTCGGCCTTGAGAGAACAGTACATGAGGACAGTGCAAGGCTTCATGATCGTATACAGTATCACCAACCGCGCTTCCTTTGAGGAGACCATGTCTTTTCAGCAGCAAATCCTAAGGGTAAAAGACAAGGATTATTTCCCTATGATCCTCATTGGTATCCACAGCGATAGGGAATATGACAGAGTGGTCAGTGTCAAGGAAGGCCAGCAATTGGCACAGGACTTTGCCTGCCCCTTCATAGAGGTATCAGCCAGAACCGGAATCAACCTTGATAACGCTTTCTACGACCTAGTTCGCGACATACGAAGATGGATTGCTGAACCGATACCCAGGCAGGCAAAAGTAGGATTACCTAACAGAAAGGTTATAGCAGAGCAGAAACCTGTGAAGCGTAGACAACCACGCGACTGGCTAAAAAAGTCAAGGCTGAACCTATCGATGGAAGCTATAGAAGAAATTTCGGAAATCACGACGCCCACTACGCCACGAAGTCCTGGAGTCTCAATACCAGCAGGTCACCAGAGTCAACAAACCCGAGGAAGTAATATTGATGAAGGGTTCTTCCTCCCAACGATCTCATCACCTGTTCTAGCGGAGAATACTTTAGGGTGGCCTACATAAAGGAGAAGGCCTGCTCGATACGAGGGCCATTTTCTCAGCCATACTCCTTCTCAGAACTCTATCGTACACTAGGTGCAAGTGTTGGCCGTGGACTTTATGGCAACACAAGCCGGTCTCTTCGCTCCTGCGTATTCAGCATTCTGCGTATGCTGGAGCCCTCCAGAAACGCTCTCGCAACTACGAATGTTCCAGGGGCAGACCCATGACAAGTTATTGCATTCCTGAACTCAGCTGTGAGCCGTGCATGTGACGGACGTTTGGAGACCTGAGTTCTTCTTGGTAGAGAAGGATGATACTGGACCTATTGCACTTGCAAAGAAAGGACTTGGAGGAAATTTCCTCTTTACTCAAACAGATCAGTCCCTTTACTTGCAGCCTATTATCTAGTTTAATTCACATCACTCGTGGGATGTCGTTCAAGTTGTATTCCTGAAAGTACTAAAATACTTCAATCCATTCCGTTTCAGTCGAAAAGTCCAGCTAATGGTTGGTGAAGAAGTCAATTGAGTGACTGACATACTGAGTGACTGTCAAATTCTTGAGGTATCCATCCGTTTATGCCAAAGGATCATGCCTGTACATCGATGCTTATCGTCGCAGATTCAAGTTTCCCATCGACCACGACGGTTGATAGAAGGTGGTTGGTCAACTTGTCGGACTTCTATCTTTCTAAAGTAAATATACCCTTCGTACACCTTGCTGTAAGATCATTCCTTACTTTGTCCAACGTCGGGATAAGAACGGTAGATTCATTCCTTGTCTGATGTGAGTCGGAAAGATGATGCCGAGTTAATTCGGAGTCGAGTCCGTTGACGATGTTCTCGACTTTCCATGGCATATTCCTTGCTAGATGTCGCAGGAACGGTACAGAGTGTAAGCACGTGCGGTTCAGGTTATCAGTGACTAGATTTGAACAAGTGTACAAATTGACGTGCCTATGCCGTGTATGCCCTTCCATTTTAGTGCCATCAAAGTAGTAGCATGTAAATACTACAAGATGAAAGGCTTGAACCTCGTTCTTGACAGATTACACGTATCTACGAAGGTCAATGTTTAACAATGCGAGGATCTACCGATAGTGGAATCATCATAGAACTAGCTACAACTTCCTGTTTCGCTCCTAGCGCATAGCGCAACGTTAAGCAGGTAGAAGCATGTCTTACATATTGAAAAATATAGACGATTCTTTTCTGCATTAGTCGCTGTTCACGCAATAAGAACTTAAGCGAGCTCTCCTGAGCTGATGTGCCGCTGCTTACACGGAGTTGACTCCGACGAGACCTAATTCGCACCTCTAACCGATGTTTCATGGCTTGATCGCCGACCAGATATACCTATCTCATGGGGTTACGATTATAGGGTCCAAGTACATCGTCTCGAGGAGTTCATGTAGCCAAGGAAAGGGATGCATTGGTTCGGCGGCGCGCATGCCCAAAGTCATTAGTGGAGGACATGACTCTACACTGACATTCAATGAAGACTACTTTCTAGTATTATCGATATGCCAGTCGGGTTAAGGTTCTGTCAATGTGTCAATCCGTTGTAATGGCTTACCTTTTTCTGCAACAGGTGCGTAGCCCAACCGATTCCAAGTACAGAGTATACACCCCGAGCCTCGGAAACATGTAAGCGATATCTCATTAAAGTCAAAACAGGAACAGAAAGAATGCGTTTGAAAGTCAATGCCTCACAATTGTTTACAATGCCATCGCTCTAGATTGGGCTGGCATCAACAATGGTCCAAGTCCAGGCCTTTGGAAGTATAGCTTCGTCGCAGTATATTACTAGGAAAAAAGCTCAAGCTGTCCTTTAGTGATCCACATTCGGACATTACACTGCACGTTCTGATTCCTTACTGTATGTCTCGTATTCACCTTCCAGTTCCTTATTGATCGACAACATGCACATGCGGACCTCCACGCAACCAACGGAAGGGATATCGCACGATACGGCAACCCAATCCCAGCCGTGTCAGAGACGCAATTCCAACCGTGTCAGAAACGCAGTCAATATCAACGTCGTGTTAAACTCACTAGTACTGAAACGATCATGGTCTGAGCGGGCCGACAGCGACGGATCAAGGCGCGCGGACCGATTGAACGCCCGTCGGACATTAGCACCTCTGCTGCGGAGCCGCGAGACTATTGACCGTATTACGTATGGCAAGTGAAGCGCGTCAGTTTCTGCAGTCGAAGTGGAGAAAACTTGTAACAGCAACTGAGAAAGGCACGTGGCGGGAGTTTGACAGTGGTAAATGAGTCCGGTCAATGATCTCCACTGGAGGAGCAGGGTCCTCGGACATGGGATGCGTGGACAATGCGCGACCCTGTCGAGTTCCAAGACACGCGTTCCTGAATGCCACTGCTGGGTGACAATCATCGTATTGCCGCCGCCCCGGAGAATGACTTGCTTCTCGCGTACTTGTACGATATGAGGCCATGATTAGGTACATCATCACAGCAAGCCATGTGTACCATAGGTAGGAATTGAACGCATTGTGCACGTTTCACCTGTTGCAGGTGTCATAAACGGTGAGCCGTTAAATCACGGCACGCTCCGTCGGAGTAAGCACTTTAGCAGCGTTCGCAGGTAAGTGTAAGGTGAGCCTTGCTTCTCTAGCGTGAACTCTAGTTGATGAAGGAGGAGGGGAAGTTCGGCTTGTCTGAGCTAAGTATCGGCCCTGAGGTGGATCGATCCCTGACGACGATATGTCGGGGGATGGTACCGACGCATGGGGATAAGGCTGTAGTGGAGACAGTGACGAAGTTGGGCTTGATACCTTCCAAAGTCATCACGGCAAAAGTGGTGTGAGCGGGCCAGACTCACCGGAGACTGGGAGAGCGCTCCGCATGTGAATCTGTCGGCGGGGTAAGTGGCAATGTTAGTTGAATAAATCGAGATAATGCAAGTTTGCAGTAACGAACGACTATCGCATCCATGCCATCATTTGAAACAGGGATCGCCTTGTCACAGAATATTCCCCGATCCGACGTCACCGCGCGTGTCTTCAAGGACCCATTCGCCGCTATAAGGCATATCTTGGATTTAATGATGCCAAATGCAGTGCTGTCCCTGCAATTGTGCTCGACTAGTTGAGGAGCCCATCTTCCCCGCGGCCTAGTGCAAGACGATGCCTTAACTAACGGCTCACGACCGTTGCAGCCGTTGCCAAGATGCAAAGGGACCACAAGTTCTGAGACGGTTAATGAATGTCCCGCCATATTTGCAATAACCTCTTGCCCGCAGTCGACCTTGACCAAGGTCTAGGCCATTCGGCTAGCCTACGGACTTTCGTTACGCGCTCCAGAGCTGCAGGTAATACCATGATATCAACTGACGGTCCGAATCAATGCCGTTATACCCGTGAGGGTCACGTCGGATGTTGCTGTTCGCGTCCTTCTCTTACCACAAACATCTCAAGTGTTGGCAGCTTTCGCGGGGGCTACCTTGCCACCTGTCGCTTCGACAACCTTGGTGATATCGTCTCTGAGCTCAGGAACACCCTGAATAAAGTCGCGAGCAAGCGTCTCCTGCAATAGCCGATAGGCATCATGCCGACCCTTCAATAGCTGGTTCATACGCTGGACGGTCTCGACAAACTCTCGAGTGAAGATGTCCGGATTACGCGAGCTTTCCACATATTGGGTAACTTCGGGTGGAATTTCGATGCGGACGTCAGGCGCGGTTTGTGAGAGTTTGACCAACTGTTCAATGAGATGCTGTCTGCCGACATGTTAATGACCGAGATGACGCCAACGGCACTGGGTATGTCATACATATCACGCCTCATTGCGCCAACGGTGGGAGTGCCTTGATGATCATAGCCCTGCACGATGAGGTTGTAGAGACTCTGAACTATTTCCTTCATGTGCTCTTCAGCAACGGCAACTGGCCCTTCAAAACATCAGATGGGGAGAACAGGCGGTGCATGATCGCGGACTCACCCGCAGGGTTTGTGTGAGCCATTATTGCAGCTACGTTAGATGTTGTGCTTGTTCAAGTGAACAAAGGTGTGGACTGAGGTTGACGTTAAACCGCAAACGCAGCCGTGAGAACGCCAAGACTTTCGGGCGCACTGTTGTTCCGACGTCATCAACGAGCCGCTTGTTACTCCGCCCACTACTCCGCCTTGCCGTCGATTCTACCATCACGAAGCATCACAAGGGAATATTTTCCAGGCAACCTTCATTTCTCACCTCTGTCCCGTGGCATCGGCCTAGAGCATGGGCGACGTATTGCGATGACAGGCACGGCTTTTCCTGAGTTGAATCTCCCTCACCCATCTTCAACACCGCAAGCGACACTAGGCGCATCAAGCCAGCCTACTGCTCCAGCACCGCATGAAAAAGAGACACAAGACAAGTCCTCTGATACCACCTCTGACAAGGCGACCGCAGCTTTCATTCGTCGAGTTCTCTGCTCTCACGATATCCTCTTAGGGAATGGCGAGAGGGGTCGCAATACGCCGCGACCGATCGAAGAAGTGCTGCCACCTCTGACTAGCTCAAATGAGGTCGACCTGCAGCTCTACGCTATCATTGCAGTGATCATCAAAGAATTTGTACAGACGTGGTACTCTAAGATCACGCCTGATCATGTGTTCGTTAACGAAGTAATTCAAATCATTGCGCACTGCACAAGGGCCTTAGAGCAGCGTTTACGGAACGTTGATCTGGAAAGCCTTCTCCTTGATGAGATTCCCGGGCTTCTTGATGACCACCTCAGCGGTAGGCGCTCTTGATCTGGGGGCAGCGAAGGAGTGCGGTCTAACTTCTCGAAAGCCATCCGTCTCTCACAACAACAGGCTCGCTCGCCTCATTCGCTGGTCACCGATTCCCGTGTTGTCTACCACACTCTCCACCCGCACCCTGCACTGTCCCCTGTGCCAACTGATGCGGTACCTTCCAGTGTCGCCGAGCAGCGGGAGAGTGAGTCTGTGTGGCGCCAACTACTCATACAAGGTGTTCTGGCTGTGCTACTCCCGACCGAGGATCTAGAAAATGGTTGTTTGCGAGCCTTAGTGGCCGAGATATTTGCGGAAATGATCCTTGGAAATGGCATTAGTGGAAAGGCTTGCGAGGGCTGGTTGCTGTGGGAAGGTATCACGAGAATTGCTGAGGTTCTACAGCATCCTGTCGCCAAAGAAGAGGAATCCCAACCATACGATGACGACCCAGAGCAACCGCTGAGCCGTCTCGAACGATACGGATTGCTCGCTCCACCAGTTGCAGAGCAAGATGGTTCTTCTCACATGCTGTTGGGCAACACGAAACGTCATCAAAATGCTCCCATGACTGCTAACGGGTTGTTCTGGATGGTCATCCACTACATAATTTTGGCGGGTACAGCGTTGCGCGCGGCGATCCGTCTGATTGCGACATCATCATCTTTGCCGCTAAGGTCTGCCACCGTAAATGGCGGTCAACCCGTCAAAGCGGACCGCCAAACACCTTTGTCGGAGAGCGGTAGTCGAGCTGAGAGGCAACTGCTAACCTCTAAACGGCCCATGGTCAGCATGAAGTTGTGGAGCTGTGCATCGCAACTTGTTGAGCTCGAGACACGCATGCCTTGGCTTTCAGGTTTCATATCCTTGCTACATTGGGGAGTGTTGGCTGGCCCAGGACGATTGGGCGACATTAACGGAGTATTGGACAGGTGAGTCGCAACATTCTCTTACAGCCCATGGTTGGATGAACCCGGCATGGATGTGCGTCAGTGCGCTCGAGCCAGGCTCGGCTTGCAGAAAGCCCGCATGAACTTTCAGTCACTTGACTTAAGCGCCCGCGAATGCGACGGACCGCCTGCGCTCATGCGCCGTCGCCTCGTGCCGACTTGCATGAGACCCCCGACACCTCCGGGCGGCAACCCAAGGCGTTCTGAGCCCAACCCGATCCTTGGCAAGACACAGCCTGGCCGTGTCAACGACGACGAAATCATCACCATCGAAGAACTGGAACTCTCTTGCGCAACGCCTATGGTCGCCTCGACCTCACAGATCATGTCACCACCACGCCGCATCGATAAATAGATCGATTTTGCGCTATCCGTGTAGTCTCCGCGGGTAACGGCTCAGTTTACGCCCCGTTGCTCCGCGCACATACTGTAGTACTCGGGACTGGCCGCCCTCTATCGTAAGACGCAACACTTGCTCGCTGCCCTATCCATGCACACCGATTCCTTAGTACCTTGCGCTTCACCATTAGATCGCAAATCTGGTTGGCAAGCCAATCCACGACGTCGCTGCTGTCCTACCATTACATATCCGGAATGGAACGGTGTCCCTAGCGACGATTGCGCTTCGATGACACTACGGTTGACAGCTCTAAAAGGACCAGACCTTCAACGGTTCATTGCCCTTGGATGCCTGGATTGCGCAAACGAGCCGCCGAGGCAGTCTGGGTCGCTTCCTGGGTTATCATCTAAGATCCCCTCTCATCGTACGATCTTCTACCGAAACGGACCCTGCGAAGCCTCACTTCCATGGAGACTTTCGGATGGAGGTTTCCTCGTAAGGCATCGCGCTCAGTACCTGTATTGGCGCTTAGCCATGTTCCGACATTCTTCCCTTACCTGCATCTCTCATTCAACGATGCTAGATCCCTTGATACCTACATACATCCCGCGTCTGACTGCATGTCGCGGGTTGTCCATTCATCGGGACGCACTGCATATATTTGCATGGTCGCAGGCCAATAAAGACTGCAGTTTATGCTGATTTTTTCCGCGCTAACGAATTGCTAGATACCTATCACACACGGTGCAAACGCGTATCCTCAACCCCGCCTTCCTTCCCATGCTTCTCCGCACTCTTCGTGCCACTCTTTTCCCTCATAACGGACTAGCTCCAGCACGGCAGCCACCTTCGGAGGAAGAGGCGAAGGCAATTAAGCGGCGTTGCGCCGCGACACTGCTAGGCTTACTGCCAACAACGGTGGCGTCCGCATTCTTTGCGAACAAAATTCAAGCAGACCATCTCCGGCAGGTGGAAGAATTGCTGGACTGCCTTGACGACAGCTATCTCAACAAACATCTCATCTTTGCGATCGTGGAACTAATAGTGTTGCGATTGGTGCCTGAACTAGGAGATGGAGGGGTACAGGCTCTGCTTGAGGAGAGGCTGGGGTAGCCCCTGAACTTCGCATTTCTTTTTCACCCTGGGTGTGGTTCAAGGCACCCGTACGCTGTCGATAACGAGCTCTTGTATAAGTGTCGTCGCTTTTGTGGCATCCTATCTGGCGTGCAGGCGTTGAAGGCGCATACCACGGTTTACGACGTGGCCAGAGCGTCGCGCATCTCTATGCAGCGCCCGAACCCCTTCACCGCTAGAGTATCTGACAAGCGCGATTATCCTTCAGGGCAGAACAGCATCAAGCCACCGTCGCGCTTCGGTCGCGAGACTGGAGCTGAGCTGGTCACGCAACCACAAAACGCACGCTCTGTCTGGGTGCAACTAAAACGCAAGTAATCAACGTTTGATATACTGCACTCGTCATTGGAGCAGATGCGCGGCCTTGCGTCCCACTTACTCTGTATACATATTGCTGCGCATACAGCGTGTACCATCCAGCAGGTACATCCACCGGATCCCGAACTGAGGGGCTCTACCCAATAAAGATTATTCAAGCAACGCATTACGCATGTCCCATCCTGACTGCATCCCGTATCCAGCACCTGATGAGGATTTTCAAACAGCTGACTGCGTAACGATTAGTCTTGCGGCCTGAAACAGGAGCTGAAGTAACTGCTTTGTACACCGCAAGTCACTCGCTTGAGCCCCGCCGGCTTGCCTGATCCGATTGCGGATCATGAGTATGCAGTTTCGAATCAATCGTCCAATCGCCATGGACCGGCGATGCAGGCAGGATGATTGCTAGACTTGCGGTGTACATGAAGGTACTTTGGTCGCTCATCTGGTTCATGTGAGTAAGAGGAGCTATGACGCTGCGGGTCAAAGCAGGAATCTGCGAGGCTATGGCAGCAAGCGGCCTGTGTTCACTCGCCGCTTTTTGGTCTTGGACCAACGCTGACGGTGGATTCCCATCCAACGAAGCGCGGCTGCTAAATGCAGATGATGGAAGGTTTCTGGAAGGTCGCATTGCCTCAATGTCAGATACCCGAGTCTGAAAAGAGGAGGAATGCGCAGCTCCGTGTCGAACGACGATGACTTTTAAAATACAAACGCGATTCGTCCGGAGCCATTTGTCGCATCGCGCAATCCGGAATATGAGGAGCACCGTGGAGAGGTCGAATGAAATCTGTCGGCGCAATTAGCGTCGCAAACCTCGAGGTCTGGCAGTGCCGGCACGGTCAAACGGTCTGCAGCACGCCTCGTTTCGCCCCGCATCTGGCATTATGGATGTCGCACAACAATGAATTTTGCTGATGACCGTGCGCAGTACAGTATTCGCCTCTTGCCCGACATGTCATGCGCCTCTCTCGTTGTTTCAAGTACAAGAATAGTGTGGTCTTCGGTTTACGAGAAGGAGCCCACAATGCAGCCTACCCACCTTCGCGTGGAGAATAGAGTTTGAGATGAATTTATCAGTGAAGCGAGAACGAGGCCCAACCCCAAGGCTTATCGTCCTCAGCAAGCGCGGGCATCATCTGCTCTTTGCGGAGAAGTCAGATGAGTTACGAATCAATCGCGACGTATCGGCAGTCGCTTCGAGGATGCTGGTGTTTATGCAAGGACCAGATACGCGCTTTACTCGTTCCTGAAGATCAGGGCCGTTGGGCTGCAGGGATCATCGGCAGCAGTTGCCCTTCCACAACGTTAGACTTTCTCAGTATCTACTGACAAGATCTCTTCTCGAAACAGTCTCCGATACTAGAGTGGCGGCTGACGCATGAAATGCCGAAGCGTCCGTGATCGTGATCGGCTTCTCCGGCTGCGAACAACCACAAAAGGGTCCGGTTCGGCGTTGGCTTTTCACCAAACGGCAGCCGTCTAAACCTTCTGCTTCCTTCACCCATGGCAATGCCGGCACTCGTCACGAAACAGGACCACAACCCTGGTCATTAAGCGACAAATTACACGGCCCTTCCCGCGCGATGTCAATCCCTAAACGAAACGTTCGTTCCGGATCCTATGAAGAGGGTCTCTTGACGTCTATCTTGACCTAAAGTCAACATCCTGGCGAGCAACCGAACGTGGCTTCCTCATAGCGTAACAGCGCCGCGACATCTAGGCTATCAGCTCAGATAAGTGAACGTCTGCCGAGCCTACTGTGAGAGCTTGACTCGCAAGCGAAACGTTCTGGAGGCAGCACGTTTCTTGACCTCTCGAGTCAGAACGATGTGCGGATAGCGGGTACTCGCCACCCGTTTCACGCAATTGATCGCATGTGGAGATAACAGATGACTTGCGCCACTTCCGTCGAGAATTGTGGGTACGAAACGGGCTGAAAACCTCTTAAACAAACGTTGTCGGAGATGAAGCTCGATACATGCATGGACGTGAAGCTTGATGCTGCACAAGGGAGTCGAAGAAAGCTGTACTTTTCCATGCTATCGCGATGCGGTAAAAGGGGCCGAATCAGATGTTTCTCGACTAGACGATGGAGCATTCACACGCTGAGAGAGACGCTCGGGTAATGCGGCGATTGATCTACGCGACTTCACGTGCGCGGAGTATCTCGAGGTTCGCGAACAACTCAAGAAGCTTTATCGCGTCTGAACGTATTTCCCCACATACAGCATTCAGCACCAAAGATACAACACCTACTTTTCACACCATGATCTAACATTGTGCAACTGCACCGGGCCATTCTTTCACGGTTCAGCTTTGCATATATGCTGACTGCTTCGCTTCCCACGGGATCAGCGGGCCGTTCGTTTCGTGTATTCTCACGCTATTTGGTAGGTGATGCAAGGACCCGCGCAGCACGTCAGATACTGCCAGGTTTTTCAAACAATGTGTGGCTTGGCTGAGCATGTTTCTAGTCCAAAGATGCATAGCGTAAGCAAATATGCTGTCATGCGCGCAGCTGGGGCGCAACAGGGAAAGACGATCTGTCGATGAGCGGGCCGTGACGAAGGTCTTGTCAGACTGGGTGCGATGGTTCAGCAAGAGGACAAGGCGGTGTCGCAGCCGCGTTTGAAGCTTCTGGAGGTCAAGTGATGGGCAGTGGTGTGTTTGATTCGTGATATGCACCGCGCGGCTGATGCTGGAGCGTACCCAGAGTTGGGTTTCAGAGGGCGCACGATGGCCAAGCGAATTGCAGAAATATCGAGAAAAAGCGAAAGTCGCACTGTACAGGCGTAGCCATGCCTGGTACGACAGCTGGAAGCGAATCACGAGGGACAACGATATCGGCTGGCGAGCATATTTCTGTTGGCAGCGGGGTACAGCGACCTAGCCACCTGCTACAGTACCTCGTTCGCCATGTACCTGGCTGTCAATTTTCCTCGTGCAACATACATGCGCAACCACTTCGTCATGTATGCACGGTTTCCCCTCAAAAAGAAAAGAAAGTGTGGAGATACAGACCGGATTCGTCGTCCAGCACCCCTTTTCAGGCGGCGGGAGACAATGCTGCTACCCGCTCCGCCCACGTTACACGACTTCATGCACGCCTAAAATCCTGCTGAACGGACCAATCCATTGCATCCGCACATTCTACGTTGTACAGCATACACGTTCAGTCACGTGGCTCCTACCCACGCATTCGGGACCTTAACACAACCTCAGCACTAATCGTCCGTATGCTGGGTAACGTTTCGCTTTTCAATTTACTCTGCCAACCAGGAACCGTTCGCAGCACAAGTGACCTTCGGCAGCGCCCGCTCTGTACTATATCGATACATCCAGTTTTGGACTTGGTTCGCTGGTCTGGCAAGCAGGATCCAGCCGTCGCGCGTGAGAGGGCAGTGCGCTCTTGTGTTCTGTTGAGGGCCCAACGCCGGCATCTTCTGCCGTCGCTGGGTTGCTACACAGATCAAAAGATCTTGTGTTAGGTGATGTTGAATATCAGCCTTGCTGGGATTCGAAAGCACGAAGACAAAGCAAAGACTGGGGAACGAAAACCGCCAAGAGCAAGCAATGCATGGCCGCCAACAGAGTCAACGACGAGCTGTCGAGCCGTTCTTGCAACGCAGGGCTCCGGGCCGTACCGCATATCGTTCGTCGTTCTCAGGATCGTCATCATGCAATGCTGTTCACGTTGGCGCAAAAAGCAACTCTCCTCAGGAGGCATCTTACAAAAACAAATGCTCACAAGCGTGGTACAACATGTCGTGAGACGCATGCTTTCAGAAAATAGGCATTCCCTCGGCAACACTTCAATAAGCAGCAGCCATGCTTATGTCCTCTTTTTGCTGGGAACAGGCTACGTGACAAATTGAACACAAATCTGGGCATCCTAACTTGGGTTCGCGTACGAGCGATATTCCTTTTCGTGTTCCGCATCCGACCTGGATCTGCTGCACTGTCGAACCTGTCAGTCTTAGTGGCAACACCGTCCCACGGTCCCACAAGATCTGATATCAAGGTATCCCAGCCACATTCGACTACTCGACCCTTACACACGCCGACCCGCCCATGGACTTGACTAGACCCTCTTGCAATTCCATTTTGTAGCGTCGTCATAGTACGTTACAGACCGGTTGCTTCGGACCACTCGTCAGTCCGCGGAAGACTCGACCCAGCGAAATCGCGGACCAGGCTTTCCCCGCGCTCGCGACGCTATCTATTCATGATCATACTATGCTACGATGCTCTGCGCATCCGGCTTCAGCCATCCGCTCATAACACACGTGCCACCCAGTACACTACCCACTCCCCACTCCACTAGCCAGCCCCACAGGATCAGACGAGGCGAGACAAGACGCAACGATCTCCCTGCCCTGCTGCGCTACCAATCCCTCCCTCCCATCCATCCGCGACTCCACCCTCGACTGTCCGAACAAACTCCTAGACTGGAGACCGTTGCAAATTGACTCTCGGTGCCCCATACATATCATACGCACGTGAGAAGCCAAGACACCCACTTTCATCTCCGTCGCACGAGGCAATGTCCCGACTCGTACAGCTGATGCTCCCGATCGAGCAGGATCGTCGAGCAGCTGCGAGGATCAGGAAAGCGTATCGAGGGCTCGCCAAGCGAGAAATGTCCCGTAGCGGCTTGTCGTGATTCGCGCCCGCGGGGGCTGCGCTCTGCAAGCTATCTCCTAGCAACTCGATGGCTCTGCGCTGCCTTGTTGCCTGCTTACTCTTCCTTCCTTTCCGCTGTGCTAAGTGTAGGAAGCGGGGAGGCGGGACCGCAGAAGAGAAGCACCATCGGCCCCGGGGAGGCGTCGACTAGCCTAGCACGAATTACAAGTACATCTGTCATATCAAGATACTTTACCTAGTCTCTTGCGCAAGCCGACAAGCGACAACAAGCTCCCTTCCTCAGCCCTCAGGAACGAGGACCGCAGCTAAGCGCACGCGGGGTACCTGGAAGGTACTCTATCGCATCAATAGCTAGCACTGAACCTAGTCCCCCGCGAAACCCCAGCGCCCTCCGGAGAGCACCTCAGCCTCGGCGAGGTTCATTCAATATCGCAGCCTCGTTCTGCCTGCAGCGACCGCCTCGTCTGGGCGGAGGGAGTCGAGATTAGCGCACCCCCCTCGAGTACATACGTGGGTTGCAAAAGAGCATAGCCTTACTGTAAGCAAGCTCGCTCGCTGCACCCTCCCGCATCGCCTCTTCGCCTGCGCCTGTGCTTGTACGTGCTGTGCCTGCGTGCGCCCCTCCGTCCGTCTGTGTCTGTGCAATCGTTGCCGTACCGTCCCCCCCAAGCAAGACAAGCGAGTCACCAAGACGCACCGCTGCATTAGCCCTCCCGCGTGCAACGGGCGCTCGCACGCTTCAAAGTTCAAACCTGAAAGTACCATGTCATGTATGCCATGTAGACTAGCGAATCTAGTCTACCACTTCATTTTCACGTTCAAGTTCAAGCCTGGGAGGCTTCGCCAGCCTCGGCACGATCCGCTGCGCTGCCCACGCTGCGTTGCCCAACGGCGCGCGTCGCGTCCTCGCACACGTGTACTGCCTTCCAAGGTTTCTTCCCGCAGCGGCACGAGTGCGGAAATCCCCTCCGGTACAACGAGCACGCTGAATCAGAGCACACTTATTTGCTATCGAATATGGCATTGGTACATGCAAATCGAGATTTTGATCGTCAAACGTAGGGGCCGCCCCGACCGTTGCCTCGCCATCCAGTCCAGGCTATCCAGTCCAGCTCCATCCACTCGAGTCGCAGCTGCAACGCAAGCGACCCAGGATAACGCGGCTGACCTTAGCACACCATGACATAAGATCCAGGGATCGCGTCAGCCCTCCCTCCCTTTCCAAGTACCGTAGCCCCTTTGCGCCATCCGTCCGTCGTCAGAGCCTCTCCTCAGACGCATTCAATCTCAATCTAGGCGACGTCACCCCTTCCACTCCGGCTTGTAAACTGAAAATGTCCATTGGAAAGGAAGAAGCGCGAGCTCCAAACCTGTAGTTTGCACACCTAGTGTAATGATGTAACCGTAGTAAACGTATCAGTAGATAAAGGAGAAGACAATAATTGAAAAGGTAGTAACAACAGCAATGTCCCGCGCGAGCGGCTACAGTCTTTTCACTATTGTAAACGTAAATCGAACAAAACAATTATCGACACGAACGCAGGGGTATAGAGGCCGTCGCAATGGTAAAGTAAGAGAGTAAATCCGTATAGTAAAAACAAAGACAGTCGAGGGGAAAGCTCGACCGCGAACGAAACAATGATCATGCTAATGATGCTGATGCTGGAGCGCTTGACCGAGCGTGATGCAGGAAATACACAGATCCTGTGCCTGTGTCCACTCGATCACATGGGTAACTGAAATAATTTCCCCCGCCGCGTTGCGAGGGTGTCAACTTCCAAGGGAGCTCGTAACCTAGAGCCGAACCGACTTGGATCGATGGGTATACGTCGTCGTAACCGGATATTGGTGCACCATCGCCTGGTTCCGATTGTTCAAGAAGGCCAGACAGATATCACCACGCTTGCAATGGTACCACTAGTGTAACGAGTCGATACTCTCAACCTTGTCCACTGTGCCATAATTGGGTTCCGACGTTCGGCGCATTCCGGAAGGTAGGCTTTCCGAGCTGCGTTTGAGCTTGAGCTTTTCCATAAGCTTGCCGATGGTGACGTACTCCTGGGGTTCCACAACGAAATCTTCATGCTGTTGCTGAAAGAAAGTCCAAACAAGCTCTAGGGCGCGTGCAGCCTCCTCTTGGGAAGGCGAACCGGGGGATGTATCTTCTGACACGCTTTGTAATACACTTGACTGGTGCATGGTACTGACTGATGTCATTGTCGGTAAACCGTTGGGCAACGGGGGCGGTTGCATGGAGTTCGTAATCGTTGTCGGCGAAGCTTGCATGGCATCGTCTATCGCGGCCAGAGATGGGTGGAACTCGTCCATAGGGGAATCTAGCGCAGTCGTATTCAGAAATTTGGGAGTCAGCGCCTCTGATGATGGCGGGGGTGACATGTACTGCTCCACACCAACTAACATGGGAAACGTTTGGCTGCGCGGTCGTTGGAAGTTGCTACTGCCTGGTTGGCCTCTGGCTTGTTGATTCAGGGTGAAGGGGTTCGTTCCGCATGCTGAATCTGGTGTGAAGAATGGCGACGACAACGACGTAGGGCTGGTTGGGCCGGCTGAGAACGACGAGGGCGCGGTATCAGTGAATACGCTTGACAATGATGTATTACTTTGCGAGTGGAATGGGCGGCGAGCGGGAAACCCTTGTATATCCGGACTCTCTGTCTTGAGTTCTTCCTTGCTGGGTTTTGCCGAGACCGTTAGCGGTGAGGGTGATGCCCCGCTCGGTGAGGCAGGCGAAATGCCGCCAGGAGTGTGCACATTCGAAGGCGGATTCGAGGTGCCCTCCGACTCCTCTGCAATAGAACCTTTTCTGGACTTGGAGCCTAGTAGATTGTTCTTCTGCTTGAACTTCTCAAGCCAGCTGGTGCTGGTCGCCTTCAGATGGCTGTCGTTGTTGCCCACTGTTGTTGCAAAGAATTTTGCCTTGTCTCGGATGATGGTATCCGTAAGAGGGAGGCCTTGTCGCTGATGGTTTCGTGCCCAATTGGCGAGTGCTCGCTCGATATCTGGGAATTTGCCTTTCGACCTTTTTATGGGTGATCGGCTGCCATCGTCCTGGTAGAGGTATTTCTCCTTCTGGCGCAGCACTTTCGACACGGTACTGGAGATCATTAGTAAATGGATGGGTTTCGTAGGGGTCCAAAGTCTACCTTCGCTCTACGCCGAACATTGCTAGAGACAGGTCAGTCAATCTTCCACATACTGCTAGTGACGAAGCTTGGCTCACCTCCAATCTCGGTTTGCTTGACAGTAGGATGGTCCTCGTGATATTGGCACATCCTCCTGCGGTCCGCATCCGTGAGGGTTTTGCGCGGAGTGCTTGACGTGCGGCCAGAGTGCGTCGAGGTCGCCGACACGGGCGTAGCGGAAACCGGAGTGATGGGAACTGGCGCCGAAGGGAAAATGGGCGGTACGTAGGTCGACTGACTCGTCAACATGCTCGGCCATTGAGAGACTTGGGGCATGATCAGTGGATGAAGTTGCGAATGTGCGGTCCTATGCTGCGGCGGAGGCTGCATCGCATTCGTGTATATGGGCTCCATGGGAATCGGGCCATAGCTGAAATGGTTGAAATCTTGCACCGGCGACTGATGCTGAGGGTCATAGTGAGTTGCGTGTGCCCAAGACGCATTGTGGTCCTCATACGAGTCCTGGTGGTGGTGCTCGTGGTCCATGTGGAGTTGGGTCATGGAAGCTCTGGTGGCACGACGACGGAAGCTACGATCTCGCAAGAGCGGCAGCGTCCGTGTTAGATGTTGAATAGTCGGGGTCGGTCTGCAAGCATCTGCGCCTTGTCGTTGGGGGTGGTGTTCCTGGGGGCGGCGCGAGTGACCTCAGAGCGGCAGCGTGCATGCATGCATGGGCGAACGAACGACAATCTGATGCACTTGAGACGGTCGGGGTATAGGCAAGGCACTCAGGCAGACAGGACAGACAAAGAGACGCAATAGTGCGGCGCGGAGAGGCAACGGAGCACTGGGACTTGCTGGCGACTGCAGGGCAAAAAGCCTATGCGGCGGCTTGCAGCGCGTACTTGAGCGAAGTCTGGTCGGTGGTCAGGGCCCTTGTGCGTGCGCTGCGGGCGGCGGCGGGTTGCAGCAGCGGGAGAGGGGCCATGGTGCTGTTTGTTTCGAGCCCGAGCGACCCTGTCGACTTCAGCACGGCCTGTGCTCCAAATCCTGGCAAGCGACACCGCAACGCGAATGCTAGTGGCGTCGGGGATGTGCCCCTAGAGCAGCGACAGATGCGCCCAGCAAGTGGGCCCGCAAAGCGGTCGCAAGCCCTGCTGGCCCCGGCGCGCCCCCAAGCCCAAGCCCTCCACGCACGCGCAGCGGCGGCAAATGGGATGTCGAGGCGGTCTGCGAGCAGGATCCCCCTCCAAGAGAGACGGCCCTGAGCCTGGGAGCGCAGCCGCCATTACCACCGTCCGGCTAATCTGACGCTGCCGAATCCGGTGGAGGCCAGAGTGTGCCATATTGGCTGCTGCTCGTCCGGGGCCTTGTGCGCCAGCTTCCGTCATGCTGCCCGTTACCGTGCTCGGTGGCGTGCCACCATGCTTGACCAGGACGAACGCTGCTCAGGTACGCGAGGCGACCACTTCCCCATGCCCTGGTGACGACTGTCAATCATCGCCGCTGCATAAAGGAGATGCCGCTTCAAGCGTCGTCGGTCTCGATGCGCTCGAAGGGCTGAAACGCTTCCGGAAAGGCTGCCAGGCGACGAGAGCCACAGGAGACGTATTAGGTTTGACCCAATAGCCACTCACGCTCGCGAGCGACAATCATTAGCGCCCGATTCACAGCGCCGCCTCTGAGTCGCCAGTCTGCCCTGCATCCCTGCTGCTTTTCTCCGAATCGTCCTCTACCGCAGTCAGCCGACCAATGAAGCAAGCCAGGGCCAAAGAAAAAGGCGAGAAAACGATCGTCGTATTGCTGAATTTCCGAGATCACAATATACCGTAAGAAAACAAATGCTAACACTCCGGCAGCCGATGCTCACGTGCCTCCGCGGCATCAACGGCACTCGATGTATCGACTAGTGCCGGGTCGTAATGTACTTCACAATCCCCCAACGAATGATCGTGTTCATTCGCTGTGTAAGCTGCCTTGACCGAAATAGCGCCCTTGCGGATGCCGTATCATGCCTTTAGCACTGCGCCTCGACCCATTCAGCTCTTGAAGTCGGCCTCGCGCTCATCCTATAAGGACGTCATGCTGCGATGCGGCATTGAGACATCCAAGCCATACTCCACATCCGCTCGTACCGCTCGCACGATCTCGCGTGTAAGGGCAAATTGCATCTCGCCATGATTCAGGGTCCATATATGTCTATCGCTTGATGATCGTGACTGTGGCATGGTAAGCTTGAAGGATTCAGGCCAAGATAAGATTCGACCTACTGATGTCTTCATCGGCGAGCTCGTGAGACAAACCCACGCGTTGTGGCTGATGCTTCACCGACTTGCCGTAAACAATGGCTAGCTTGAACTGTTCCACGATGGTCTTGTGAATCGAGTTACACTGCATGGCCGGTTAGCGAACTTGTCCAACCATAGTGCCATGTAGCCACATACAAAGTCTTCAACCGTGCAGGCCGTTGAGCGGAGCACGACCGGGGCAGTATAGTCGGGCAATCTGCCCTTCGGCTTCGTATAGACGCGGACCAGATTAAGCTTGTCCCACATCTGCTCCAATAGCTCGTCGACGTTCCAGCCGTGCTCAGAGCTGATGGGGCAAGCATTTGGAATACGGTAAAGCAGATCCAGCTCCTCGATGGAGATGGCGTCGATCTTGTTGAGCGCGTAAATGACAGGGATGTAGCTTCGACTCTTTGCTTCAATGATATCGATCAGGTCATCTACGGTCGCATCGCATCGGATCGCAACATCGGCATTGGCCATGCGATACTCAGCCAATACAGCCTTGATTTCGTCATGGTCGATGTGCGTAAGCGGGACAGTCGCAGTGATGTTGATGCCACCCTTGTCCTTCTTCTTCAAGACGATGTTTGGTGGGCTCTTGTTGATACGGATGCCGAATCCTTCCAGTTCTTGCTCAATAACGCGTTTATCGGTGAGCGGCTTGTTCACGTCCAATACGATGAAGATCAAATGGCACGTCTTCGCAACAGCAATAACTTGTCGACCACGACCCTTGCCGTCTTTGGCACCCTGAATGATACCAGGGAGATCGAGAATCTGGATTTTGGCGCCATTGTAGATGACTTGCCCGGGCACGGTCGTAAGCGTAGTGAATTCGTATGCGGCGGCCTCGGAATGCTGGCCTGTCAATCTACTCATCAGAGTACTTTTGCCCACAGATGGGAAGCCGATGAAGCCGACACTGGCGACACCTGTTCTGGCAACATCGAAACCCACGCCAGCACCACCACCGCCGCCGGAGGATGGGGTGAGCAGCTCTCTTTTTAGCTTAGCGAGTTTTGCCTTCAATTGACCTGCGATATATGAGACCGGATGGCGAGCGAGCGGGGCTTGTGGGAATGGTACCGAGATGGAAAGACGTTGCTTTGTTTTTCTGAGTCTTGGCCATCTAAAAGACGATATGAGCTATCTATAACCGACGCGTATGAGGCATGTCTTACTTCGGCCTCGATGTCTTTGATCTGCCCCGCAAATTGTATTAGCCTTCCATTTGCCCAATCTCGCGTGTTGGGTGCTCACCTTGTCCACGGTGGTCGACATCTTGGCGGTGTTTTACTTAGCAGCCGTAAGTATAACAAACAAGAAGGGTGTACGTGTTGTTGCGGTCGAACAAAAATTGTGAGGTTGAGACTGCAGCCATGACGCGTGGGGCAATCGCACCGGATAAACGTACCGCCGCGCCGTCCCGGCCCTGCCAAAATCATCTGTCCGATACAAGCCGGAAAGTCGCGAATGCACCGTGCAACACGCCGAACGCGCCGTAGAGCCATTGCGGCTGGCCACTATCGTGTGGACACACGTCCAACTAAGTAGCCACTTCTTACATAATGCCGGCGATGGATATCGATTGTCGTGGACCCACCTGTTCAAACATCTTCCTTTCTACCTCCGCAATCACTAGCTACGTAGATGCGTATCGCAAACACTACAATCAATTAAATACCTCCTTCTTTTGTTAGCTCGTCCTTTCAACGTTCAAGCCAGCCATGACTACCCAAGAAGTTACCAATGAAAATACCCACGAGTCCCAAAGAAACGCTTTTGACACACTGGTCGACCAGCTCAGTGAAGAACTAGGACCCTGTTCAGGTATCAATTCAGAAGATGTTGACGAAAAGGAGCTGGAACGACTGATGATGGATTACGTCTCGGACGAAACACACTGGAGCAAATACTTTTTCCCCAGTTCACACCAGGCATATACACGGAACCTGGTCGACAAAGGCAACGGCAAGAGCAATTTACTCATCCTCGTCTGGTCGCCAGGCAAAGCAAGCCCGATCCATGACCATGCCAACGCCCATTGCATCATGAAAATATTGAAGGGCTCACTGGTCGAGACGCGCTACGCTTGGCCTACTGTGGATCTCAACCAGAAGGAGGACCATCCTTTGCGAACCATAGGTCAGAAGAGATACGAAAAGAATGAGGTCACCTATATGTCGGATAAGCTAGGGTTACACCGCATCTCTAATCCCGACCCGGAAGATTACGCCGTGTCGCTACACTGTAAGTGGTGAAGATACTGCACAGCCCCGTCAATGTATCAAGAGACCGTTGCGAATGGAATCCACTGTTTGTTTCGACGTGTTCAAGGTCAAGCAGATCAAGCCTACCAACCTCTCGTGGCTCACGTGGTTGCTTTATCATTCCACAGCTAACTTTTCCCAGTGTATACCCCACCGAACGCGGCGGTTTACGGTTGCAACGTCTTCGACGAGAAGACCGGCCAAGCAAAGCACATGGCGAAGTGTACTGTGTATTCGGAGTACGGAAAGAAGGAGCCGCGACTGTGAACAAATCCAAGAGACAGCATACATGCATGGACTTGTTTTTCTACTTGAGTTTCGACGTCGTCTTGCGTTTTCAGGGGTAGCACCGAACTTGGTTCATTTCGACACGGCATTGTACGAAGCATTATTATCTATAGCGATTCGCTGTCTTTGTTTTCTCACCGCTCATTTGGCCCATCTTCAATCTAAATTACTTTGAGCGTTTCTTGCTCACTGTTGACTCCACTCTAGTCTAATCAGCTCTCAATACTTACATTGGTCGACACAAGAAACCGAAATCGGCTCTTGAGCCAATACGAGATACGGCCTTGTATTATCAGGTTATGATTTCGAACACGCATTATAAAGCGATTCACCCGAGGCGACACTGTCATCTACCAAGCTTGCAGCTATCGGCTAACGTCCTAGCACAGGGTACAGAGAACCTGGCCCAAATGAAGGTAAGTTTATTGTCGGCCACTGTGATTTGAGAGCTCACGAGGTGTTTCAACTTACCAGTGCCTATTCTTTTCTTGCCGTCGCACTCGATTCACTGACCGCTTCAGGACGTTCAAATATCTCAACAGCAAGTGCCTTCGCAAGTAATCAACCGGAGGTCCAGTTTTCACTATTCCCAACGATGCGTGCGCGCAAGTGCCATTTTCAAAATGTGTGAATAGGCATGGGCAGCTTTGGCCTCCCCAAGCCTCCTCTTCTGGGTACGCTCAGGCCCTTCAACATTAATAGACCCGCGCACTTCCATAAGAAACGTGCCCCGAAGACCCATCACCCTACCACCCTCTACCCCCGCACCCTCGTCAACTACATTGATTCAACGAGGCTTGTCAAGGGTACCTGAGTATTCACCCCAACACAGCAACAGCATCTCAACCCCTGATCACGTCAACCCGCCTCATCAACCACCACCACAACATTCCGCTATGGCAGACACCACCACCCATTCAGCTGCTGCCCACAGCGGCAAAGGCATCGACTGCGGTCTTCCTCTCAGCATGACTCCTGAGGAAATCGCGGTCGGTAGGGACCACATCATGACGGTGTGGTGGCCGCAACTCTGCCGTAGCTCACTCACCGAGCACATGAAGGACACGGGCATGTTCGAAGAGGGCTGGTACGACGACGCCGGTCTGCTCGACATACACAATCCCGCCTTCTGGAAGATTGTCAACGCACTGGTAAGTTTCTCCTCGCGTTTTCTCCGTGAACATGGTCAGTGCTAATTAGATAGGGAGCCCTCTACGGCAAAATCCACTTGCGCTACCCCAACGACGCAATCAAGACCTTCCGCGTCCGCTGGCAGGTCGCCCCCAACGAGGACATGGTCTATCTGCGCGCCGAAGGCAAGAAGGATGGCAAGCCCAACGGTCCGGCGAAGGGCTGGCGCATCAGCAGCCGGCGCTCTGGATGGCTGGACTTCCAGATGGAGATCGATGTGTTGCGGGCGCAACGCGACGCTGCTGATGAGACGTAAGTTTGGTTTCTCTCCACCCACCACAAAACACGTGCTTGTACTAATCAGTAATCAGGATGGATCCCAAGGACGCCGCCATCGCCCCCAAGATGGTCATCGTCGGCGACGGAAAGATAGTGCATAGCGCGGCCTCCCGTCCAACAGGCGGTCCGGCGTTCTCGCGCGCACAGAAGAAGGACATCGCTGAGCAGATGGACGATGCTCTTGACGAGTCCTCTCACACGCACTCTCGTTCCGCAGAGCTGTCAGAGGACGAGCAGACTTCTGCTAAGGTGTCCATGTGGATGACCGACACTGAGCGCCAGGAACACTTCGTCGACCGCTCTGACGACCAGCAGCCAGACAACTCTACTACTGACGGTCCCTCCGCAGAAGAGCAGTTCCTGGCCAAGATGGATGCGAACATGGGCGTCGAACCTGAGGACTGGGATACATCCGCTGACGACCCCGCCGCTGTGCCTGACATGGATGACTCCTCCGACATCGAGGACACCGGAACGGGCGACTGGGTTTTGGTCGGCGAGGGCGATGAGGTTAACAAGTTCGTCGTTCCTGTGCCCTCTACGTACGAATACAAGAAGGCGGACGCGGCGCCGGCTCGTAAGGGCTGGTTTGGCTGGTTCTACTAGGTACTTGAAAAAGTAGGGAGGCTGCGGATGGGTGATTTGTTCAAATGACATGGCATGATATGAAGTGAGCAAGGCTAGACTTAGGGGAGCGTACATGGTTCGATGATATGGCGAACGGTTTATCTAGCCTTGACACCTGTCCAGGGTTGGTCATGCTACAACGAGACGACATGGTTATGATATGTATGAGCAAGGGTAGACTCACGGTAGCGTACATGGTTCGACAGTATGATGAACCGGTTTTCTAGCCGCAGTGGCCGACACGAAAAATTGAGCTTCTCCGCGTTGACTTCGCCCAAACTCAACTCCCCGTATGAAGACAGAGGCTAGCTCTACGTGTATAACCCTGTAGCGTAGAGTAACTTACACTATAGTACAAGCCGGAAACTGCGACTTGATACTGCATGACTGTCCCTCATGTTGGCATGAGAGCCGATTCAGTGTTCGTGGTTGTCCGCTGTGAGCGATGACGTTTGTACAGAGTCGGTCATGTTAAAATTAGACGGCATTGATGCTATGGAAATACGAAATCAAAGCTACCGCTGACAGACATATGTTCTGCAGTCCTGACTCAGCCGTTACGCCTCATCAAAACAAGCCTTTCCGTTTAGACATAGGCGGATTTCAAGTTCGCCTTGCTTGCTGCACTCATCATCCACCATTCACCGGACCTTCCAGATTCGACTTGCTTGTTTGACTCTTACAGGTATGCTTTCACTGTTCACCGCACCTTTCACCACGTCGAAAGCCAGCACTGACCACCGCAAGCGATCACGTTACCTGTGGCTGCCTAGCCCTCTAGCATGTCCCAGAATCTATATAAACCCGCCGTCGCCCTCTATCCTGTGCTTCACTTCTCTCACCTTTTCACAACTTCTAGTTGTTATGTTTTCCACCTCTCCACCACCTTCCTTCTGGGTACACCGAGTGCCTTATCTCATGGTGCCTCGCCGGCTGCCAGTACTGATGATCTTTCGCGATCACTTCTCACTTCATGAAGCCCTGGGGGCCTGGGGCGTTCATTTTTGATGGCGCGGGGGCCCGCGAGCCAACATTTCACTTCATGGCGGTGCGCCGAAAGCCAGCTCCGCAAAAGCGGATAACGTGATGGCGCTCTTGTGGCGGCCACACCATTGAGCCTCTAGCGATGCTGGTGGTTTGAGGGTGTTTACAACATTTGTTCTCTTTTTTTCATTGACTGCTTTGGTACTGCCGAGCTTTCGAGGAAGAAACCCTATTCAGCGTTTGTGAGCTCGTGGTGATGGGCGTCGCTAGGTACGATGTCCACCTTCTTTGTGAAGGTGAATGATGTCCACACGCCACGCAAGCATCGGGGGAGTCACTGGTACAAGTGTTAGAGTTGAGCAGTTAAGTTGGTAAATAGTGAATATATCCAAGTCGAGCACTTATGTACCGTAGTGAGAAGATGGAACTAGCTTAACATTGTGCTTGCCTCCTAAGATTTCCATAATGCTACCTCTTGAAAAAACCGTAGCTAGGTGCTTGAGTTACCTTAATGTTACTATGAAGCCATCGTAAGCTCAAAGGTACAACTATAGGGTAAGTTATTGCTCAGACACCCATTTAGATAGAGGCCATCTCACATAAAGAGCTAAGTGACATTTCTGCGGTAGAGACTAAAAGTATCAACCGCATCTGTGAGAGTGTATGTATTATCAGCACTACGCGAGCCCACGGTCGGCAAATTTCAGGCTCCGAGAACGCCATTCTACTACACAGAGTACCATCAAGTCCTTCTCTTCTGCATGCCCACCTTGCGCTTCCCCAGCACATCCCTACCCTCTTCAATCTGCAGCAACGCCTCCCTCTTCTTCTCAGTAACAGGCTTCAAAGCTTCCCTAACAACCCTACCCTCTATACTGACGCCCTCCTCCGCGTACTCCTCCAGCGTCTTGCCAACGCGTTCTTCAATGGCATGAATCAAATCGACATCTCGCTGCCCGACGAGCGTAACGCTGTGACCAACCCTACCCGCACGCGCAGTACGACCCACGCGGTGGATGTAGTCGTCCGGATCACGCGGGACATCGAAGTTGACGACAAGCGCGACTTCCGGAATATCGAGACCTCGGGCTGCGACGTCGGTGGCAACGAGGATTCTGGCAGCTTGGGCACGGAATCGGGCGAGGTTGCTGACTCGTTCTACTTGCTTGAGGCCGGAGTGGAGGGCTGTTACGCGGTGTTCTAGGAGTCGGAGCATGTATTCTAGGAGTGTGGCTGTTTTGGTTCGGTTGCAGAATATGATGACGGACTTTTTGAGGTTTTCTAACGGTAGTTAGTATACATAATTAGACATTTTCAGAGCGTACGCACCTGGGGTACTAAGGAGGACGTGCAGATAGCACTCTTTATGCGTGACTGGAGCCATGATGTACAGCTGCTGCAGCTTCGGTGGAACCGCCAGCGTCTCGGTGTCGACTTCACACACAAAGATCGGCGGTTTGCCAGGTGTCCGCGGTCGCTCCTTCAAAGCCAAGACCTCAGGCGTTACGGTAGCAGTGAAGAGTAAAGTTTGTCTCCGATCCGGTGTGGGCAGAACCGATAGACATGTCTCTAGATCTGGAAGCATGGATCCTTTGCCGGGCGCGAGAAGACGATCTGCTTCATCGAAGACGACAAAGCGAACTCGTCTCAGACCGCAGATAGTATCCTCTCCCGATGTCTTGATATGTTCTGCGAGGCGTCCAGGAGTCGCTATTACTACATGTGGGCGCGAGGCAAGCTGCAGTGCTTGCTCGCGCTGATCTGCACCACCTGTGATTAGGATGACCTTGACGGACTGTCGTGCTCCAATAGCTTTTACTTGTTCAAATATCTGAATAGCAAGCTCTCTGGTAGGGCTGCACATTTATCAGTATGCTGCATCTGACCTGATAGAAACAACAGAGTACGTACGTGATCATCAGGGCGTAGATGCCGCACGGATCTTCAGACCATTTCTGCAGGATAGGTACCGAAAAGGCAACTGTTTTACCTGTACCAGTACGTGAACCACCGATGCAGTCTCTTCCCTTCAATATTTCTGGGATACAGGCTTGCTGAATTCCGGTAGGCCTCCTGATTTCCATGGATGCTAGTGATGCAATTAACCATGGAGAGACATCAAGCGAAGCAAAGCTGACTTTCTCCGAAACGTTTGCTATCTCTGATGCCGCAGGTGCTCCGGATCCAGCTTGGACACGTGACGGTGCGGTGGTCTGTTTCGCTTTGATGCGCGAAGTGGTGGCAAGTGGTTGCTGCACGGGATTCTCGATGGGTGACAGCCTCCTCTTCTTCCTAGATCCGTTTTGTTCCAGCATATTCTCATCGCTGGAATATGAAGATACTGAAGCCATCTCTTTTTGCGTGTTACGACGCTGTATTCTCAGCGTGCGTCGTGGTGGTTTTGAAGGTTTCGCGCCATTTTTTTTCGTGCAGGGGTGCATTCACGCTAATACTATCGATAAGCGCACAGACCACTAGACCACAACTTTTGTCGTAACTGACTACAATGCATTCATGCATTTACTAAATGGTGCTAGATCCTCATCCTGTCTTGTACATGTGGTCAAAGCCTTCACATTATATCACTCAAGCTTCAAGAACTACAGTCACAACGTGTGAACGTGGATATGCAATACTTACGCCTGCGCCAAAGCCGGCATGAAGGTAGATGTACACATTACGGTGTACAAAGTTGAGAGATGTCAGCTTAAGCAGAAGCCGGGACCTGACACTGCGGGATTCGACAGTGAAAGATACGAAGACGTTCGTAATCTCCGCACTGTGGCTGTATCTGCCATCCGTCTAGGTCCTCGAGCTGCGCGGATTACAGCATACCTACACTAGAATGGAATATCGTACGAGTGAGTTGATGGGGCTAAGCGATCAACCCTATGTAGCATGTATGTTGCTTGTCCGACCCCAATGAGCGTTGGACGTTGAAAATTCCCCAACGTGGGACTCCGATGACCTGTTGTCGCTGAAGCTAACACATAGTCCCTAACCGCAACCGCCTGGACCCAAAGACAAGATATTCAGGTGCTTGATCGTCTTTCCATTCGTATAATTACGAAATACTGACGTCCTTACACCCGGGCTGGCCTTGATGCGCACTCCGCGTAGTGTTACCAATGTTGGTTCTGGGTCGCTTCCAACGCTCAACAGTTATATACCCCTCACCAAGTGTTCATACCCACGCGCACCCACAGGAAACATCCTCATCGAAAGTCAGAGAGCGACAGACATTATATATTGCTGATCGTGCGCTTCTCCGTCCTGTCCATCAGACTCCTGGTCCTTTCACTTCAGTCGATCAGCACCTGCGGCCAACCTGAGTACCTGGTGTAAGTGTAAAAGGTGCGAAGATTGACACCTTGGTCACCGTGAGTATAAGACCTGCTCCGCCGCCGCTCCTGATGGAAACGGCTAAACTCCAAGCTGCCGCGCAACTTCAACCACTTGAACTCAAAATGCTCACCATACCACCGAGCTCTTCCTTGGACTTCAACATGGACATCGATGACCTCTACCGACAGGTCCACGAACGAATCTCAGCCGCTGATCTGGGTTCACTCGCACAAGTATTGCGCAATTTTCCGGAAGAGTTGCGCCTTGCCATCCTCACCTACGTGTTCGCGCGCGACCATGCCATAGACCATGCAGAATACAACAAGATCCTGGATAGTTTCCATCACACGCTCCTACTGAAAGAGTGCCCCAGGGTCGCGACTGAGGCTTTATTCAGCAGCAACACTTTCGCGATCTCGCTTACCTCGAAGCGCTACCCTTCACTTGCGCACAACATATGGATACGTCGGATTACCATTGATATGGCGGTGGAGGAAGTTGTCCCGGGTTGGCCTTTCCTTGAAAAACTCTGTACTGGCGCTTTAGGCTTCGAAAAGCTCTGCGAGATAGACATCACGTTAGTCTCGACTCTTACCGAGGAGGACCTTCGAACTTCTAGGACGATTTCCATGGTTAACCATGGACTGTCGCCTGCGGACCTCACACGTATCCAGCCCAAAGTCAACAAACTATCGATCACGCGCAAGCTCGTTTTCTGGGAACCTTTACAGTGCATGATTGTTTCCGTGCCTCGATCTCGAGCTGGTAGTGCTAATCGGCTCTCGCTCTCTTTCTGGGATAGACTTCGTCTGAAGGAAACCACTCTTGAGGATTTCCCTATCCCAGTTGAATTTATCAATCAACACGGACAGCTACTTACTTACCGCCAATTGCCGTGGGAGGAGGTGACCGAGTCAGATGTTGGCTATCCCTACAAATTCGGCATTCTTAAGGGGTTGCAGGTCACTCGGATCCAAAAGCTTCAGCACACACCCTCCCCATCCTCTCCGCTCAGCGAGCAGTCCATGGAGCAGTCACAATGGCCTTTTAAGCGCAACCTTACGCTTCTGCAGCGACCTCGGAACAATTCTTCCTGACATCAGGCATTTGCTTAGCTCTCAAAAGGCCTGGTTGCCGTAGGACTAGATGGTTCGACAATCTACTTCGGGTAGGTTGACAAGCTTGTCAATTGCGGAGAGGAACAATCAGCGCTTACACCAGTATGTACTCAGCACGGTTGAGCACTGGCTCCCTACAATCAAAACTAGGTATTGTGGTTGTAGTGTTGCAGTGTTGCAGTGTTGAGTGGAGCTCATTTGGCTATTCCTCATTAAGATTGAGATTCTCGTACGGCGAAAGTACGGAGCTAGTGCTCAACCGTACTGAGTACGTACTGTTGCAAGCGCTGGGATTAATTGAGCTTATGAAATGCTAAGAAATTTCGAATGTCGGTATCGGTGGTTATTTCTACAGCTGCATTCAGTATTCTTTTACTTGTTGTTTGCATAGACAACAAGTTCCATCAGTTATTTGAGTTTATTTGAGCATTTTTGTTGATGTATTTGTCTTAAGACAAATGTGTAAGAAATTTCACAAGTAATCTTTGCTACTGTTCGAATTGATATAGGATTCCTATATCTAATGCAGTTGTCTCAAGACATATTTCAACTGGGTTGCAGAACACTGCATGCCCTGAGATACACATGCATGCAAGTGGAAATGGTACTCGGCTAGAAGGGCAAGTTTCCGTACGGACCTGAAGTATCATAGTACTGCATTTGTAACTATGTCCCAAAACGTTCTGCTGTAGAAAACCGGATGCCGCTCTACCACTCTGAACCCCTAGGACAAGATTGTATGGCTCTTAGGCCTTGGCTCGATGAGCGTTCCCAATTGGAATTTTCTGCTGCAAATTCGTACCATGGCCAGTCATTATGCCTCCTGATTATTGGTACAACCCTTCAGGATTCAAGTTCACGGCGCGCGTTGCCAAATAGCAGGGGGTGGAAATCCAGGCTCCTGAAATGCATAGCGCACGTTCTCCTCCACAGTCTTGTTGGAGTCCCATGCTGAGGGAAATTTCGGATACTGCCCGTAGCGTTTCTCAAGGTACCTCGACGCCGTGAAAGAGACGTAGTTGTCGTTGTTCACGCTCGCCGCGAGCGGGTCTATCCTTGCCAATAGCTTCGCCATGCCACTACCATAAGCCTTGTGGGACACATTCTTTAGAAGAATAGGATAGTCAAGGCAGCCTTTAAATTGTCCGAATGGATTGTAGCACTGTATTGGCCCTGTAGGGATATGAAGACCTTCGTGAAGGAAAGTCCACGCCCGAAGCTTCATAAGTTAACATTGTCCACTCGACTCCATGAAAATTCGGTGCAGCTACTTACGTTATACATGACGAAGGCGTTGGATTGTAAAGAGTGGTTCTTCTCCAAGATTGAATGCATCTCGACCAGCGAGTGGCGTCCAAAATGTCCCGGACAGAATGTTATCCTTGGGAAAGTGTCTTGTGTAGGAGAGAGAAACGCTACCACTCCGTCGGGGCAATGGTCGATGATGTTGGTCATCTGCTCATTGCCGCAACGAATCTGTACACGACGATCCGGGGGAAAAAGCGTACTAGACATCTCGGGGTAAGTTCCTGTCGCTCTCCACAGTGTTTCTGAAAAGCATATTAGCTCACGTTTAGTATGTGACATGCATTTGCAACTCACCTAATATTCTTGTCCGATGAGCTTCGGCGTCTGAATCCCAGCTTAGGCGACCCCAGTGCTCCTTGGCCGCATCGGTGGTCCAGTCAAGTGTGAATGTACCACCAGCTTCGACGTAGGATTCTGGATTGGGGAACTCTGCTGCGAGCGTGGAGTCAAATGGCTCAAGACTCGCCAAAGCGAGGGTTTGGGCGTCAATCACATCTCGCCTGATTGTTGCCTGCTCCCCAAGTGAACAACCGACGAAGTCTATTAATTCGATCTGCGAGAGAGTGAATTGACTTGTGATGTCGTAGAATATGAGAGTTATGATGTAGTAGAACGCAAAAGTTATCATCGAGGCCGACACAATGACGGCTAGGCCATAAAAGAATCTGAGGACCTTCGAATGATGCATCGTGATTATCGATTGTAGTTTGCTATGAACCTGCGTTGAGTTGAGCGTGAAGGTAGGGTATGTTTACTGCGTGTGTGAGGGGGTGGGTTGTGGCTAACTTTGGCTTTTTATATACGTTTAGCAAAGCTGACTGGGCACTTGTGGTGTATTTCAGTGAAAAATTAGGGGTCAATGCACTTGGGAGGACAATCGCTTCAAAGCGTGAAAAACCAATCCTGATTCGCAGATCATTTCGGTGAAAATGAAATGGTATCACCAACATCACCGTCAAAGCCGCCGTCAACCTCCGAAACGCTGGCGAACTTATCGAATAGCTCAGTTCATGCCACGCCTCTGTCAGTACCACAGATGGGAAGACGAGACTCCACCAGACCAGTGAGTACTTAGCCTGGCGCCAAACGATGTGTTCGACGACGCCGTATACGGCGATGCACGCGCAGAGGTAGCCGAAGCCGAGGAGCAGCAGTGCGAAGATAAGGCCTGCGGCATCGAGACCCCGATCTGTTTCTTATGTCCAGAACGTACCATACCTGGGTGGATGGACGGAAGAGGGCTTGTAAGTGGCTAACGCATGTATGATGATGCTGATTCGCCGAGAAGCTGGAAGGCTGTTGAGAGTTGGCCACAGGGACCGATCTGTGCAGAGCTTTAGTCCTCTGAAAAATGCAAGGAGAATCTGAACTTGCTAGAATGAATAATGCAGGGCGCTCTATAGGTCCGGTCTATCCCGCTGAGAACAGCCGATGGAAGTACATCGTGTACAAAATTATCGCCATGAATAGCGCGACGCCAATCGCGAAACAACCTATGGCCAGCATAGACACCGCTATCCTACTGCTCATACCTTTCGAAAATACTGTGATAGACCCAGCCTCTTCAGCTCCTCATGATGGAGTTCTTCGACAGCATCTAGCCATCGCCGACAAATCCACCTGCGACGGATGTCCATCGTGATTGTTATATTTTGAAGCTCGGAGATCTTAAGAGATGAAGATCAAGGTGAAGGAACGGGACGATGAGGTGTAGTAGAGAAAGAGAAGTCATGTGCTACCCAGACACGTGCCAGATAGCATTGAGCTAGCGTAACGGATGCATGCACCCGAGCAGTCACCTCAGGACCTCCGCAGCAGCACTCCTTCGGTACCATAGGTACAATCCACCATCTGAAGGCTTGCCCAGTTCACAACATCTCTATGACATGGTCCATCTTCGGCCTCGCGCATTCGGGCCCTCCATCATGACGCGCTGATAAATGCGGATCCCTCAGCCTTACGCCCTGATGCGCCACGGACAAACCGCCCTGAACATCAGTCTTCGCGTCCTCTGATTGGTTCCCATAAAGCCCCCGTACTTGCATTCCTCCGACTTTCTACACCAGCGCCCAAAGAGGAATCAAGCGGTCGCATCGGAGATCCACCAGCCTTGCAGCACCGATGCGATTGAGATGGAAGTTTACGACATCCCATCATTGCGCATGCTAGCCTGTGAAACAATGGTCGGATCGGACGAAAGTTCGAAGGAGGCCTGATAGATGTCAAGGACATAAATACGTGCGCGAGCGCTGGAAGAAACATGGCATTCCACTCAAGCACCCATCTACACTTCCATCTCGCCCATCTTCAACACCAAACCCCTGAACAAACCGACCACTCCATCCCTCACCAATCCAATCATGCCGCCACCCTCCCTCCGCCGCATCCTCGTCTCCGGCGCCACCGGGAAACAAGGCGGCGCCCTCATCGCCTCCCTCCTCTCCCACTCAACACCAACCTTCGAAATCTACGCCCTAACCCGCAACCCGAAGTCGCGCTCCGCACAGGCTCTTTCTTCAAAACCAAACGTCAAAGTCATCCAAGGCGACTTCTCCAACCCCTCCGCCATCTTCGCGCAGATCCCTAAACCATGGGGTTTCTTCAGCGTAACCAACCCCATAAACGTCGCGCGCGAAGAAGCACAGGGTAAAGCTATGACTGCCGCCGCTCTCGCCGCAGGCGTGCAGCACATTGTTTTCACCGCGACGGACCGCGGTATTAACTCCGACGAGGACGCGACTGTTATTCCACATTTTGCAAGCAAGTTCCGCATTGAGCGGGATATCATCGCGAAGAGCAGGGAGACTGGAGCGACGTATACGTTTCTCCGGCCGGTAGCGTTCTACGAGAACTTGACTGATGATTTCCTCGGCAAGGGGTTCGTGAGCGTGTGGCGTATTAACGGGGATGAGTCGAGGATTAAGTTTGTGAGCACGAAGGATATTGGGAAGGTTGCTGCGGAGGCGTTTCTCAAGGCGGGGGAAGAGCGGTACAAGAATAAGGCGGTTGCGCTTGCGGGAGATGATGTGAGCTTGAAGGAGTTTCAGCAGATCTTCGAAGAGGAGACGGGAAAGAAGCTACCGGAGACGTTTGGGGTTGTGGGGAAGGGGCTGAGGTGGGCGTTGCATGAGCAGTTGGGGATTATGTTTACTTGGTTTACGACTGATGGGTTTGGGGTGGATGTGAGGGAGAACAAGAAGCAGTATCCTTTTTTGAAGGATTTCAGGGAGTGGTTGAGGACGGAGAGTGCGTGGCGGAAGGAGTAGATTACGAGCGTGGATTTGCACTGAGGTAGTGTGATTTACTATCTGTATGTATTGTATAGACTTATTCTAGATCGTTGGCGTTGGTAATGACTTTCCGTGCGTCCACTGATATTTCACTATCATCTTGATTACTTGCGTATTTGGCTGTGGGTCGTAGGTGCGTAACATAAGATATCACGAAACGAAGATGGCGTGAAAGACAGGAAAGTTCTATATATTTCGTTCAGAAACCTAAGCTATCCTCATAGAGCATAAGTACACCCAAATGACCAAGCACGCCAATTGAAGCTGGACGCTTCTAAACGAACTGGTATTTAGTAGGAATAGGGGCAGCTCAATCTCATCATTTCCATATCCTCATATGCATTTGATGATTGTGTGGTAATACCGAAGGGCCGTCGGCGTGCAGTAGTGCATCAGGCGTTCGACGACTGAACAGGATCGGGAGAGTTTATGGTGCCCAACTCCGCTAGGCGAGAAGTAGACGCGACAGGGATCGCTCATATGTCTAAGTCAGTCTCTTGCTCCCATTCGACAGCCTCAATGTCCCAGTCGACATAGAGCCTCTTTCTCCTTAGCCGGATCAATGCAGGAAAAGTTTTCCAAGGTCCAGGGATCATATTCCACGACCGGAATGCCCACTGAGAATAGGCGTCGGGTTTATGGACCTACGAGGCGGTGTGAGTATTCAGCTGGTTCTGGTAGACAAGACTTCCTACCTGAGGTTGTTTCGCTTGACCGATGGGCTTATTGCAGATGATGAATACGGTGACTAGGTGACATTTGTTTTTCGTGACATTGTTGGTTGCCATGTTCCCGACGATATCGAAGACGCTGATGTCCTGGCCGTTAAGTTCTCGGGGCGTCTCCACCGTCAAGCCTGTTTGCTCAAGCACGTAATCTTGGGCTGCCCCCCTGAAGGACTTTCCGAATGGAAGAGGTCCGCCTGGAAAAGCCCACGTGCCTTAGCGTCAGAAGTCAGTGAGATGTTGCCGCAAGGGAAAAGTGCAAGAATAGGCAATTTACCTATATCAGGTGCAGCCGCACGCTTGCCGACTAAGAAGCCCCAGCCATCATCTTCTGTATCGCCGATAACCATGGCTTGGATGAAGACTGTGGGCTGTGGTTCGATATCGTCAGTCTTCAATAGCTTTGTGTTTCTTGGCTTATCAACGTCTTCCTCGGCCTCGCGCTTGTGAGACTCGTTACCCGCCGCGGGGATGGCTGGGGCCTCGTCCTGTTGTTGGTCTGCCATCGAGATAAGAATCGTTCGTGGGTATGGATTGGAGGTAGTCAAAGAGCGGCAGTATCAACTTTGAAGTGAATCAGATAAACAAGTGATCGTTCTAGCAAGTTGGTAAAAGACACGAGCCAGGACGCAAGTAAGTGAGCGAGTCAAAACGTGAACGGGCAGCAAGTGAGGGAATTGGACATGTAAAGCATCGAAGTAGTCAGTGAGTGAGCAAGTCACTAGGTGTTAAAGCAGCAATGCTTGGCGTGAGCAATCCCGAAGGGCCAGGCACGAATCTTGCACTCTGCAGGAACGATTGGACATATGAAAGGGATATATCAACACCTATACATACAACCCGGGCATGCGGGCATCTATGATATGCTATAATACAGTCTTCCTTGCTCTCAAAACTCATAATGTAGAAGAGTGGAAAGAGAGCTCGTACCCCGCCTATGCAAAACGAACAGACCATACACTACGGAATGAAAGACTTTTTCCGCTCTCACCGCCTCCACTCGTCTGTGATGCTCTTGAACGTTGCTGGGCTGGGTGGCACGACCGGACCCTTGACAGCACCCTCCCCGCCATGGGGCTCAATGAGTCCGGGAACCCTGCCGTGCTTACCGCCGAAGTACTTGTGGAAGTCCTGCGGGTCTTCGAATGGTCGTGGACCAAGCAATCGGATCATATCCTCGCGGCCCAACATCTCCTTCTTCAGCAGCTCCTCAGCGACAAGCCCGACCTCGTGTTTCTTCTCGGTCAGGAGATCCTTGCACTGCTTGTACGCCTCGTCGACGATGCGCTTGACCTCGATGTCGATGTTCTTGGCTGTCTCCTCGGAGAATGGTTTCTGAAGCTGGTTCTGCTGGTCATCTTCGTAGTAGATGTAACCGATCTTCTTGGTCATGCCCCACTTCGTGACCATCATGGTCGCCATCTGTGTGACCTTGCGGAAGTCGTCGCTGGCACCGGAGGTCACGGCGTCGAAGTGCAGCTCCTCTGACACACGTCCACCGAGGGTCATGGCCATGCGGTCCATTAGCTGATTTACGTTCATGAGGTACGTATCGCCATTGGGGAGGTACTGCGCGTATCCTAGCGCGCCCTGACCACGGGGTATGATGGAAACCTTGAGCAGCGGGTCTGCCCACTTGAAGTACCAGCCGCAGATGGCGTGGCCGGCTTCGTGGTAGGCGACGGTCTTCTTTTCTTCGGGCTTGAGGACGAGGGATTTCTTCTCGAGGCCGCCGATTACACGCTCAATGGCTTGTTCAAAGTGTACCATTGTTACGGACTCGGCAGAGTGGCGGGCAGCTATGATCAGTCAGTATAAGGGGCAATTGGTGAAGTTTGAATGTACTCACCAATCAAAGCAGCTTCGTTGACACAGTTGGCGATGTCGGCACCAGAGAAGCCAGGGGTGAATGCAGCCAGTCTGCCCTTCAAGAACTCAATGTCCTCCGTGGTGACAATCTTCTTCAGATGAACGGCGAAGATTTGAGCACGGCCCTCCATGGTCGGGCGATCGATGTTGATATGCCTGTCGAATCGACCAGGTCGCATAAGAGCCTTATCTAGGACATCAGGCCTGTTGGTACCTGCAAGCACGACAACTTGCTCTGTGGTGTTGAAACCGTCCATCTCCGTAAGGATCTGGTTGAGAGTAGCTTCACGCTCGTCGTTGCCACCGCCGAAATTCTGCTTAGCCCTAGATCGACCGATGGCATCGATCTCATCGATGAAGATGATGCAGGGCGTGCTCTTTCTAGCGTTCGCGAACAGGTCTCGTACACGGGACGCACCAACACCGACGAACATTTCGACGAACTCGGAACCGCTGACAGAGAAGAAGGGAACACCAGACTCTCCAGCAGTGGCCTTGGCAAGGAGTGTCTTACCGGTACCTGGAGGTCCGGACAAGATAGCCCCGCGGGGAATCTTGGCACCCAACTTCTGGAAACGTGCTGGCTCCTTCAAAAAGGAAACGAACTCAGTGATTTCTTGCTTAGCTTCGTCCATGCCCGCGACGTCCGCGAACTTGACCTTGACATCTGTCTCGTGGTTGAACTTCTTCGCGCGACTCTTGCCCATGCCGAAAACACCACCTCCGCTACTGCCGCCACCAGCGCGTCGGGTGAAGTAGAAGAGGGAACCGAGAAGAAGCAGCGTAGGACCAAATGACAGAAGAGTACCGAACCAGGAGATTTCATTGGCGTATGAGACGGGTATACGCTCCTGACTAGGGATTCCTAGCTCGTACTGCGCATCATCCATCTTCCTTTCAAACGATTCGACGGATCCGATGGTGAAGTAGTAGTAGAAGGTCTGGCTGGTAGCAGGCGAATCTGGGTACATGGACGCAACGGCCTCGCGGTGTAGATGTACCTTGGCCCTGTTGCCGTTTAGGATAACAATCTTCTCCACAAGACCTTTGTCCAAGAAAGTTGTTCTGAACTCTTGCCATGTGATCTCCTTTGTGTTTTCTCCAGGCACAATCATCCGGTATGTCAGCCATGCGAGGAACGCGGTGATGAGTGTGGTATTCCAGTCCATGGCCTGGGGAGCGCTAAACTGCGGGCCGCCTTTGCCCTTCTCCCCCTTCTTCTTCTCGCCCTGTGGCTGCCCTGGCCCCGGGTCGTGAGCTCCAGACTTTTGCTGTGGCTCCTCTGAGCTGGCCTTGAGCATATCCTCGGCCGATTTCCGCGCGAACTTCGTTGTTAACCGCGAGATCTTGGCCGCCGTGGCCAAGTCTAGCTTCTCACCCCGCTGCAATCTGTCCATCTCCTCGCGCAACTCCTTCGGTATTCCAGTCTTCTTGATCTCATTCACTGCATCCTGCATCGCCTGCTTCTGCGCCTTGGGTACGCCCATTGACACAAAAGACACAAGCTGATCTAATAGCTTCTCCTCCTCTTCCGACAGCTTCGACGTTTTTGGTCGCGCATCGTCCTGCTTCTCTGCATTGTCGGACGCAGGCTTCTCAGCCTGGTCCTGTTTGTCCTTCGCTATCTCATCCTGCTTTTTGTCCTTGGGTTCCTCCGGGGGTCCGGTGGCAAATAATCGTGAGTGTTGCTGCGCGTATATGCACTGAGGGACTGGTATCCGTCTGCGGACGGCGAATGGTGATCTTGATGTGGCGGCGCGGAGGTTAGGTCTAGACAGTCGCGCTATTTGACCGGAGCGGCGAAGAAGCGTGGACATTGCGGGATTGAGGGTGGAGGGGGAAAGGTAGGTTGGGATTCGCGCCTCTGCAGCCGACCATGCAAGGGGGACGACAGGTGATTGCAGAAGTGGCGCGTGGGTGATGGGGCGACAAGCGGCGTTAGGTATGGTGGTGATGTCGTCTTCGAAAATGCTCGTCCGAGTTTCGCCGCGGCAGATGACTAAGTCGATCTTTCCAGTCATAGCTCTAACACCGACATTGTGAACATCACCGCATTCATTCGTTTCCGGACCTTGCTCTGTGTGCAAGATCTCATATAAAGAGCCTCTTCTTGAATTGTGCAATCTTCGAATAGAGGTGGCATGATAGGCTTACGTTGCATTTCAATTGCTCCTACACTATATTCGTCCGAAAACAAGCCCCGCAGCACGCTCGGTATGTATTGAGGACTATCAGGCTTCGTATCAATCGACACGAACATATGATAACCGTACCGTCACGATCTCCGTGGAACATTAGAGTCACTGCATGGTTTATTTTTGATTCCATATACGAGCTTCCTTTCTATGAGCCATCATTAGTTTCAATGGCAACCTCATCACCTCATCAGTCGTTCGCGAACGCGTCCTACACTTGCCTTCTTACCCTACGATTCCATAAACATTTCACCGCAATTCAGAACTGGCATATATGCTGTCGCGCGTTGATCGCCAATCAAGATCTCGAACCACGCCAAGCTATCGTGTCATCATATCAGGCATGTGCGCACGCGCGTCACTCCACCCTCAGCTCTCCATCACAACTCACCGGAAGGCTGACTGCAGCACAAAGTCCTGTGCATTCATTACGCCCCGTACCAACGCATCAAACCTACACATCAGATATACAACGTTGCTCCTCGACTAATCCCACACTCATCTCTTAGAGCTTTGTAGCATCAATTACCTGCGTCATGGGTCGCTGGGCTGACCGTGAGAGCGTACGTTGAAGTCACCTGCACGATCATATGTCCCTGCTAACATTATTACAGGACTCCGAGCGTCTCCCCGAAGGCTTTCAGCGCACCGGCTACGATGCCGACACGCAAACCTACACTTTCCGCGCACCCGACGGGCAAATCTATGAGTCGGCATCCGGAAACCGCTACGGCGAGCTCTACCCACAAGGCCAACGGCCCCTTCTGTCTGAACCCGAGATTGAATACAACAATGCGCAGCTTAAGAAGAACAACCGCGAAAGCGTGAAGATGATGCTCCCGTTTGCACTCCTTGCCATTGTCTTCCTACTTCTCATCTTCAGGATTCTGTCTGGGGCTGGTGGTACAGAAGCTGATCCTGGGCGTCCGCAGGTTCACTGTGCTGAAGGCACTGCTGCAGTTCAAGTTGAGGAGGGGCAGACGTGTTACGAGATCGCAACGGCGAATGGTTTGGGTGTAGAAGACCTGTTGGGGTTAAAAGGAAATGAGAAGGTGGATTGTGATAACTTATGGATTGGGCAGGGGATCTGCATTCCTGCGTAAGGTGACGAATTCTATGATACCCTTTGGCTGGATCTCTATGGCCATTGATACGCTGCGCTGCATACTACGAGGGATGAGTGAGAGGTTATTTTGAGGTCGTCGTTTTGGAGTACAGGATTCCAATTTAGTCAATTTACTTGCTCATAGTCAAGCAAATATTATCACGAAAGCATATTGGATTGTAAAATGTCGCAGATTTCGAGACCATTAAGCTCGCTGTCGACGTTCTGTGCTGTCAAACGCCCCTTCTGTGAGTGGCCACTCCCGGCATCTGCCGACCCACTTTCCCCAATCGAGTCAGCTCTCGCCAAGCTTTTCCGTTCTCCAAGCTCGCCGCAAGACCTCACTCCAACCACGAACCCGCCTTACCACATCACACGATCTCGCGCACTCTCTCTCTCCGCTCAATTGCACGCAAAAACACCATGGCCGGCGGATCCACATCGAACGGCGCTCGCCACAAGGCCACGTACGTCGCCCTGCACCCTTCCGCTCACGCGAACTCTCCCGAAGACGCCATCAATTGGCATCGCCCCGCCATCATACACACTCAGAAACTATGAGAGGAAGGAAGTGCTAACCCGAGTGCGTAGATGGCACATTGGTGGCTGGGGCAACCCCTACGAGGGCGGAGGTCAGCCCGCCAAGGGCATCGTGTCGTACGGTCTTTCTTCGAACCGCCAGCGTCCGTTCGCCGGCTTCTTTACCAAGGGCGTCTGGAACTCCGTCAGGAGGGTGCGCAACCAGGTCCTCTACGTAGTGCCGCCCTTTATCCTGGCGTACAGCGCTATGGAGTGGGCTATTGAGAGGTGAGTACACCCGGAACACCTGTGAGAGAAGGACCAGGGATGCGAAGACGGCAAAAGAGAGGGGATTATCGGGCCCTTGAAAGAGACGATCCCGTTCAGATGGATTTTGGACACCGGAGATGAGGATGTCAGACCGGCGCTAATTCGGGGTATAGGAACGAGTACCTCAACTCGAAGCATGGTCGTGCTGAGTTCGCCGACTCAGAGGAGTAAGCGTACCTGGAGAGAAAGAGATGGAACGGTAGAGGTTCATTGACTGTATGAATATATTGTTCTATGAGGAGAAGGAGTGGCAGGTCGAGACAACCTTTTCGCGGGAGCCAGACGAGACTCTCATCAGCCCGAAACCGACCGAACATCTGCGACCGCAAGACTGAGCAACTGCATCCTGTGTATAGATTTCATACGATTGTTACCGAAGCTGTTTTGCGCCTTATGTCCCAGTGTACACGTGCGTCGGTTTTTGTCACTATTCTAATCTGTTAGGTGCTCCAACATGGCTGGCTACCTGTGCAAATCACCGTTCTGGACCATTACACACCTATTCGCTGACTAGCTCCGACCATGCGGCCAATCTACGACATGCATACCCCAAATGCGGGGTTGGGATAGCTCTCCTCATTGTACTACTACATCCCACTGCTTATCTTCAACTTGACTACGCGCCTTTTCGTTTTTCAGTCATTCCCCTCATATCTTTACCAGTACTTCAGCTTTGCAATCCTACTTATTCGACGATGCCATCGCCTCGCCTCGAAGGTAAAGTCGCTATCGTCACGGGCGGCGGTTCCGGCTTCGGTGCCGGTATCGTTAGGAAATTCGTCGAAGTCAGTATCAGCTTTTACAACCGACCCCCTCTGTGTCCAGATCCTTGACCCTCGTGCACTTCATTTTTTATTCATTGCTACACTACGGTTCTCTCCAAAAGCTTGTTCGATTCATCCTTACCAACTCACACCCCTCCTAGGAAGGCGCGCGCGTAGTCATCTGGGATCTCAACCTCCAACCCGCCCAGGCCCTCGCCTCCTCCCTGCCCCCGAGCCGTACTGCCGTCTTCACCGGCGACGTCTCCTCGCCCTCCGATTGGGATTACGCTCTCAATCTTTGCATCCAGATATTCGGTGGTCCGGACATCCTGGTGAACAACGCGGGCGTCGTGCACGTCGCTGGGCCAAGCCACGAGATCGACGAAGCGGAGGTGGATCGCATGTGGAGCGTTAATGTGAAGCCTTTGCTGCATAGTGCGCGGACGGTGGTAAAGTTCTGGATTGAGAATGTGAGTCCATCCTTGTTACCTTGTCAAATCAATATGCCTCTCTTCTCTGGTAGAAGACAAATGGACTTCGAGATTGGAGAACATCCTTGTTACCTTGTCAAATCAATATGCCTCTCTTCTCTGGTAGAAGACAAATGGACTTCGAGATTGGAGAAAGGTGCTTGAGGTTTAATTCCTACTGGATGGTTCAAGGGGGAAACGCTGACGAGCCGGACCACAGGGTAAGAAGGGCGTGGTTGTTAATCTGAGTAGTGTGAGTGCGATTAGGCCGCGGCCGAGGATGGTGTGGTATGCGGCTAGTAAGGGTGCTGTTACTACGGTATGTATATATCTGTTCTTGTGTGCTATTGCCGAGGTCCTCGTGGGAAGGCAACAGGATGGCATGAAATTAGTTGCCCTGGCTGACATGACGCTGTCTGGGAATTCGCTGATGACGATAGACCACGCGCGGACTGGCGGCAGAATACGCAAGCCACGGTATTAGATATAACTGCGTGCAACCTGTGTTGGGAGAGACTGCGATGTAAGCTTCACATTTTGACTCTGGGAGCTAAGGCTGATTAAAAAGGGTCGCCCCTGTTCTCGGTGGCGTAGACACACCCGAAGGCCGCGCTATCCCTCTAGCGGGCATTCCCCTCGCACGTCTGAGTACGCCGGAGGATATCGGGAATGCGGTGTGTTATCTGGCAAGTGAGGAGGCTAGTATGCTCACAGTGAGTATTGCATGAAGTCGGAGGTTGGCGCTGATGTTGAGCAGGGCGTTTGTCTGGACGTTGATGGGGGGAGGAGTTTGTTGTAAGCAGAGGTTCTTCCGTATAGTCAACGGGTCATGATAATTGGCTTGTCCTGTTGAGGCTTATATCGGCCAATGGCAACCTTCTGCTGTTATGGTAGGTGGCCTAGTGCATGGCGGATATTCTATTAGAGTAGCGATATAGGCAGTTCGAGGTGTTGCTCGGGCGTGTGCCCATGTGAATTATTTAGTGAAGCTTGGAATTATCACGGGGGATTTCTGAGTTCAGATAAGCTCTGTTGTATCATGCTTAACAAGTACCTCTTAGCATGGTGAGAGCGTGCAACAGGTGGCTAAGGCGAGGTGTAAGACTGCTCAAAGGAACAAGAAATTTGAGGGGCGTGCACGCACTCCAAAAAGTAGCTTTAAGCACAAGTGCTAAAAGGCATACATGTTGTTGTCTACTGGAGTGGTGAGGTGCGAGGCTAAGGGAGCTAGCTACAAGTCGGTTAGCGTACAATGCGCGTACAAAATGCGAGACGCGACCACGACTTCGCGGTGGTCTATGGACTATTTTTCATCAGCTACAACCTCCATTTATGACCACACATTATACCAAGTCTTTCCAAATATCTCCCGTCAGTAAGGAACCGCTCTATGCATTGACGTCGTGCCCAAAAAAGTATTTTCCGCCATTGGCAGGAAATCTGTTCATATGCCGCTATGCACTCTGTTGCGACGCAGATACGGGATAACATTCTAAGTCTATCGGAGCGGACATGGCGCATCAGGCTTTCCATATACGACACGTAGCTGTGTCTGCTCAGTCTGCTGCCAAAGTCCTACCCAGGAGATCCGCGCCGGTGCTCGTTAGAAGACGCTTTAAACCTCTGATTCGCAGCAAACGACAACGTGTTTACAAACTTCCAGAGGATGCGATTTCGGAACCGTACTTAAATCGCTCTCCCTACAGCGATCTATACCGATTCTTCCGGGAACCTGTGTTTCACTTCGATTACAATTTCGATTCTTCGAAACCCTTACAAGCTTTGAGCATGTACTACTTTGGTTATGCTAAAGATTGTTGCGATATTCGAAGGGCGAAATCTCTTTTACAACACACGAGGGAACGACTAGCTCGAGCGACAGCACCCGAGCTAAAAGTGGTATCCTTTCTGTGTGCTTATTACGAACGGGAGCTTGGGGCTCGAGAGAGACTCTTACCATTCCGACGTCTCGCAGCGATGCAGGCTGTCTTAGCTGAACCCATCGAAAACGTAACAAATATATTCCCGAACGATGCTGGATTGCGAGTATCACATCTTCGGAGACTTATTGCACACGAGTCTTTTAGTATGAAATACGATCTGAACCTCTTGTTACTTTACAGGCTTCGAGGCCCAATCGTGCCAGCTGGGAAACGCTATCTTGAGCATATGCAGAAGTTCTATCAGCTGTATGAATACAATAACATCGAGACGGGGAAGATGTCTGTGGATAGAAAGCACTTAAGGCAGCAGGAGAAGCACAAGAAAGGAATCGTGGGATTCAGGTACGTCGGATCTCGCATTGCTAGTCGGCTTCCGCCAAGATATGGCTTTGCCTCATTCATGTAATGCACGACCAACATTACTCTACTTCTGAAAACGGTCTGTACGCAGGGGGGGCCAGATTTTTCGTCAAGAAAAACATGGCAAGTCGGTGGCGTCCACTGCTCCTACATGAAAAGCTACATATGCTTTGGCAGTACTGACTCGACCTTAGAACTGAAGCAAAAGGTTACACTCAATATTCACGTCAACTCCAGCAAAAGCAATTGTTCAGAATCGAAAACTCCGTGCTTGAAAAATTGAGCATCCTAGCAGACGAAGAGCCTAAGATGTGGCCAACCCTCACCGTCTTTGCTCTTTCCGATCTTCCGGGTTTCGTCGATGTAATGCGAAGGCTTGTTGGCTTCATGGACGACAGTCGATTATACAGTCGCCAAAAATCTATCTCGAAACACGAACTTAGATTCAGGCGTTCATTGTGGACCAAATTACAAATCGTCCATGCAAAGCTCTCTGTTGTGTATTACGAAATAGGTCATTTGCGTTACGACATCTATCAGCTTTCGTTATTTCGTGTCATGAACACGGACATTGGAGGCCCCGCACACGTCATCGAAAAAAGCCAACAGATCCTACGCCGGAAAATAGATTCCGACAGAGAAACATCTATCGTTGAGTGGATGAGATTAGAACGCTTTACGAAGAGCAACGAGCATTATCGAATCATGCCCTGGATACAGGGACTCCGTTTCAGTGGCAGTCTGCAGCGATTTGAGGCGGAATTCTTTCAGCAAGCAAAGCTTGCCACCCGGCACCACAAGAAAATCTGGTACCGATAGGTCACGATCAAACAGAACCAAAATCTGAAGACCTTTGATCGGTAAGGCACATTCAAACAAGACCAATAATACGACCGGTGAAGCGCGTCCGAATAAGAAAGGCGAAAGACCCTGTACGGATCTCATTCCTGCTTTCATGAGCAGGTTGCTTTGGCAGTGCCGGAAGCTAGACCTACGGGTAGTTACAACTTGCGGCTCGCCTCGCCACCTAGTACCGATATTACCTTGCCGTCGACCTGTGGCCGCTGTGCAACGAGAGGAAGTCGAAGAGTCATCCAAAAGGTGTGATACACCGATACAACCTTGGTACATTCTGGTGCCCCTCGGGTTGTATCAGGCCTTCACGCCAACAAAATGAAAGTGCTTGTAAGAACTTGAGTGGGCTCCAGGGGGTTGCATAAACTGGCATGTCTGGGAAACTGTCGCTACTATGGTACATTAGGGCGGGCCTTGATCCAGATCAGCCACGTGTGAAGCTGTTTGCTCAGATGCATGAAGCAAGTGCATGGAATCGACAGGAGATGTGAAAACACCATTGTACATACTCTACCTATGGTAGCAATCGACAACGCTTGGATTACGATATATGCCATGAGCGTGGTCGCCAACGTCATATTGTCACAGACCCCATGCTTGGAAGTCTATCTTCCAAGATTCCAGTATGCAAGGCGCCTCGAATGCAAATGGAAGATCACTACTTGCATTGTCCTCTACGCGGGTTGGAGTTGCTTGAGAAGGACAGGCTAATCCTATTTCGACCATTGTGGCCAGTGCACGGCTAGATCTCGCGAGCAACCTCGCGTTCCCTGCGTCTTTTCCTCTTCGCATCGCTCTTACCATATCGCAATATGACGCCATGTGTTGTCCATCGGTCTTTTTAATGTTCACAAGCGCAATAAGTGCATCACTTTCCTTCTCATTATCTGCATTCTACCTTAGCATTCGCACTTAACCTCGGCACAACGCCATTCAATTGTCCTCCCGTGATCCACATCGGCTGCTGTTAAGAGTCATTTTCGCAAAGGCGCTCATTCAATTCTCGTTATCTCGACAAAGGGGCTTGTATCGACTATGACTTTTTCGCTTCTTGCGATTCCAAAGTCGTCCGAAAGCAGACACCTCGAAAGCTTTCTTAGGTTTTTTAAAAGCGCTACGACTATTCGGTTAGCTCTCAAAAGCAAGTCATTTTCACAAATCCATATGCGAAGAACGGCCCTGGTTCCGAAAGCAAAAGACGTTACCTGGCGGAAGATGCCAGAGGTCTTCGGAACACGTACCACTTCCCCCTGGTCAGCGGTGAAGGAGCCTCTACCAGCGGATATCTGGGAACCTTGGGTCCAGAAGTCGCCGTATAGAACACAAATTCCGTTTTTTAATGCTCCTTCACAATGGCTCCTGCTGGGATGGAAAACCTGGGACGGCTTCGATTTCGACGTAGAGGCGGTCTTACGAAATGCAAACCGTGATGCTTGTCGGATATACCATTACCAATTGCGAATACTTGAGAGCGAACTTCAGCTTGGCCCCGAAAAGGACAATATCCAATCGAAGTCGCTTCAGCGGATAATCCACCTCGACCGACTCCGTCTATCTGTTTTCGCTCGATTTCATTCCATCATGAAGGCTCTACACTCGCTTGCAGTTTACTTGCATATCATCAAAGGGTTCATCATCTCCCACCCCCGACATCGAGGTATTGAAGCCCTGAACGAAGCGTGGGCTCGATGCGACCAAGCCAAGTTCGAAGTATCCGAGCTTCTACAAAGTCTTCTAGCCATCCAAATTACACATTCAAATTTGTCTCTTGGGCTCGGGGTTTTCCAGCATTTCGCAAAGCTCCGTGACGCGAAAAAAATGCACGGAGCCAAGTATGTATCATGGGGACACATTGGCAAAGATGTGCGGCGGCGAAGCAAATTGGAGAGCGATCATAAAGGAATTACCAAGGAGGGAGCTACCTACATGGAGTTGCTTTTGGTACAAGAAGCAGATGCATTGACCCAGGTGAAGGATGATTATGGCCTCCGACTGCAAACCATCATCGACGAGACGCCATTTCTCTGGCCCTCATGGTCCATATATAATCGTGTTGACTTCCTCCTCAAGGGATTGACAACTCTCGTAAAAGCGTGTGTCGCGGCGATCAACAAGATATATCGAAGTCGATTTGGCGAATGGCAACTCAACGTTTTGAACCATCCCTCCCGTGGACCACTCAGAGCGGTGTGGTTAAGTATTCGAATATTGTTTGCGAAGACTTCAATATTGTCATCGGAAATACTAGACCTTAATCACCACGCCTACGACCTAGCAGTCCTCAGACTGGTGTCGTCCCCCAACCCTTGGGCTTCCACCAGCACGGACCTTGTCAACAGAAGTCGTGACTACATCATCAGGGCGAGCACACAAAACGTTGCAAGAAGAAAACAAAATATTCTCGATTTTCAAGATAGGATACGCAAACATCGTAAGAAATTAACGCGACTCGGCATGGTGGGTCAGCGATCAAGGCCACGATATACCGGCTCGAACTGAGTTGCTAGGCCACTGCTTCTGGCTTCTTACCTCTGCACTACCTTCACAGAGACGGAAGCAAGGGCTATAAACAACAGGCTCGCATTTGCTGACCCGTGTTGATCGATTTGCGTCAATGACACGATGCGCGACGGCCAAATTTACAGCACACAGTCTGGAAACTTTTACAATCAGTTCAGCCGCTAAATTTGCCATCTCGATCGCCTTCTAGCAACGCTGCAGCAGCACCGCCTGCTCCTCTACGTGGAATATCCCCCCCAGTGCCATCTTATACTGTCTCACTTGACTGCAGACAGTGTAGTTTTACGTGCGGCATTCGACGCCGAACCTCACTAAGATACGAGACATCCTAGCTGGATGAACAGACGCGCGGTTCGTCAACGCTCTCGGAGTGAAGAAGAACTCACACGACCAAGTATTGAATATAGGTTTCTAACATTTTATCAAAAACACCCCGCCGTGTCCTACTGTGTTTGAGGTCGCACTGCCTGTATCGAATGCTTGTATTGGAGATCGCCGCTCCTAAGAGATTAATTGCTGCCTCTCGAAATCGCCTGGCATGTTTACAGTTATCGGACAGTTTGTTGTACATCTGCTTGTCAGCTTCTCCGTGGGGCGTTGCATATCAGAGACGGTGTTGACAAGAGTGTAAATTACAGCCCGACAAAGAAATATTAGTGCAAGAGTGCTGAATGCTGAATTGGTATCGATTCATGACCTAACCGTGCTTTTTCCAAGACGCCTAACGCCCGATGCTGATCGCCTTCCTCGCATCTCAAAGATATGCATCGCTACACTTCTATCGCGAGTCGTCCCACTCGCACTTATCCATGCGTAATTTCGCTCCCATCCCGATCAGTCGTCAACTTCCATCGCCTCGACCCCACCACCAACCTTCATCTTCAACTTCCTCTTGCTCTTCATCTTCGGCACCGCGACCTCCTCCTCGCTCAGCTCATCCTCCTCAATCTCCTTCCTCCTCTTCGCAACCTTCTCCTTGACCGCATCAACATCGACCTCCATGACCTCCTCTTGTGCGACCGCCCACCTCTCACTCGGCGGCAACAGATGCTGGTTCTCCTCAACCAACTTCCTATCATCCGCCCTCTGCCTCTCCTTGTTACCCCGCATGCGCGCCTTGTAGAAAGCGCGTTCGCGCCTCGCACGAATCTCAGAGACACGGCCCATAGCCTTGAGTGTCGTCTGGACGAGGTCGCGGTTGTAGCGCGTGGGGATATTGCGGCGTGCGGCAAAGGCGAGTGTGCTGTCGACGGTCATTTCCTTGCCGTGTGCGCGGCGGAAAGACTTCGTCCATGCGAGCTTGCGGGGGTTTCGCTTCATTTTGAAATTCTTGTGGCATTTGGACTTGCAGAAGCGGAAGGCGCGGGCATCGTTGCGGACGAAGGTTATACCCTGTAATCTGATCAGTACACGGCGTTGCAAAAGTCAGAACAGCACATACCTTAGACGGGTAAACCGGCGAAGAGCAGAAGTAGCACGTCTCGATTCTCATGGTGGCAGTCCTTCAGGCGGGTGCCGTGATAGTATGCTGGAGTAGCGTCGCAGTTGGAGATTATTTTTCGACCCGCCGCCAAGATTTCGCCTCGCCCCACACGCGGCCTGCTCGCCTCCGATTGGCCGCGCGCTCGCCCTGCATCCTGAACTTTTCCAGCGGCGAGAGCTTCATCGCATCACTCATGTCGCTCCAGAACCAGCAGATTCCCACCTATCAATCGCCGTCTCCGCCCCAGCAGCAGCAACCGCAGGAAAAGAAATCCGGACCGCTAGGAATGTCGCTCTGGGTTTGGGGTATCGGGCTCGGCGCCGCGGCCTTCTTCGTAGGTGCCCTGGCATTGAGGGACGGCCAAGTGCTAATCAAGTTGTAGGGTCGCGCGGGTCTCGTCGCATTACGGAGATCAGGGTCAGCGGGTGCGCTAGGACGAGGATTCTACAAGGGCGGATTTGAACCCAAGATGACGAGGAAGGAGGCTGCGCTGATATTGGAAATGCCGTACGTTCGCCCCAGCATAGACGAAAAGAAAGAGGAGGAGGAATGCATTGGCACTAGCGGTGGCGTTGCATGAATTTGGAAAATGGAAGCTAACAAACGATTAGGGAACGCGGCGTAACGAAAGAACTCTTGCGCAAGAAGCACCGCCAGCTTATGCTGTTGAACCACCCCGATCGAGGAGGCAGTCCATACCTTGCGACTAAGGTCAACGAAGCGAAGGAGTTAATAGAGAAGGAGATCAAATAAAGAATGCCGTTGGATGGCAGTGGCGTGGCGATGGTCGCCGCGGGCATACGCACGGATGTGTATCACGACATGTACTATACTATATTTGCATAGCTGTGTTGTATAGCATTCAGCAAGGCGTTTATTTGGGTCAGGAATGGAGGAGAGGGCGTTTCTAGCTCTTGTTGTATCGATATCACCACTCGCGAATTCTGGGTCTGGAAGGCCTGAATGAAAACAGCATTTTCCCCCAATACGCTCAGAATCACATAATCATTCTCGATCAGCTACGACGGACAATCTCTCAAGAAAGCTCGACACGTACATGATCAAAATAGCAAATACCATGGGACTAAAGAACGGGCACGTCTTCACAGACCACCAATGCCTTATATACCGGACCTGAGCATATCATCTACAGCTTCCTAGCATTATTTCGTACTGGTAGGCAGTAATCGGCTACCGTTGCATACATTAAATGTCACGAAACAGCTCGAAGACCAGCTCGTCCGTTCGCATCAAGGGAGCCTCGGTTTCTCACGCGGGGTTGCTGACTTCGGTGCTGTGGGGTAAAGGCAAGCATACCAACCCAGACACAGCACTTGGGACGATGACTTGAGAGTCCTTGCGAATAGCGAACACTTGCGAACAGCGAACGATCATAAGGTTGACTCACAGGATATTCCCGCGAGACTGAATCCAGCACAATGCCACCAAGTACAAAGCTGCCTGTCCTCCTGTTCGGGTATCAGTGTACGACAACAATGCCCCAGTGCACGTAGAGAGGGGAGTGCTGACGCACTCACTACAGCAAGTGCCTTTACGAACAAAGTCCGTCTCGCACTGCGCCTCAAGCAAATACCATTTTGTACGACTCCTTGACCACTGTGGCACGTTAATTCATTGCTGTTTCACTTCTACGCGACTATCCAATGCACGCATTTTCGAGTCACATTAACCCATCACAGCATATATTACCGTCCCCTCCATGCTCCCCAGACCACTACTGACAAAAACATTCGGCCTCACCTACCGCAAGATCCCCGTCGTAGCCATCGGGAAAGACATCTACTGCGACACATCCCTCATCATCGAAGCCCTGGAGCACTTCTTCCCCACAAAAGAGGGCTATGGCAGCGTATACCCACCCATCCAAGGCTGGAACTACAAAGGTCTCGCACGAGGCTTCGCAAGCTTCTGGATAGACCGCCCCTTCTTCCGCACAACAACCGGCCTCATCCCCCCCTCCGTCTGGACCTCCCCTTTCGGCACCGACCGCGGCCAGCTAATCGGGCACCCTCTCGATCCCGCTAAACTCGCAGCTAAAATCCCGCAAAATCTTGGGGCGTTCGAAACGCACCTATCGCTGCTAGAGCCCACGCTCTGCTCTACTGACAAGTGGCTGTTCCCCACAGAGACACCGAGTCTCGCGGACGTAGCGTTCTACTACCAGCTAAAGTGGGGCACGGACATTGCGAAGGGGAAGGGCGTGTACGACCTCACGGGCGGGAGTGTGGGTGAGGACGGGCAGGACGTCGCTCAGGTTGTGTTTAACGAACATCGATATCCTGGCGTGTGGAGATGGTTTCACCGCTTCGAAGCACACGTCGCTTCGCTGCCCGATCTGCAAACGGAGATCGAGCCTGAGGACACTACTTGGAAATCCGCAATTCGCGAAATCCAAGGGAAGCGGGGGTTGGGACTTGTTCCTCCGGCTACGGCACCCAATGACGAGTTAGATGGGAAGAGGGGGATCGTGGAGGGGGCGCTTGTTAGTGTTGTGCCGGATGATACGGGGAGGGGGAATCCTACTCTGGGACGGCTGGTGGAAGTGGGTGTCGAGGAGGTGGTCATTCGACCAGAGGAGAAGGGGGAGGTGGATGTTGATGTGCATTTCCCGAGGGTTGGGTTTGTGGTTAAAAGGGTGGAGGGCAGTAAATTATGAGCGAGCAGTGGAGGGAGCGTTGCGTTCGGCGGAGAAGTAAATAGAATAGATGACGATGTTCAGAAGAAAGACCAAACGAAGTCGAATGTGTTTTGTTCTTTCCGAATCTATCGATGGTGTGAGGCAACTGCCGGCCCCCAAGACAAGGCAACACGGGGCTTAAGGCACACTGAAATTACGACAGGCTTGACGTGTCACTCCGAAAGCGTTGGTACGAACGAGGTAAGTATGCGAGCATATATTGAAAGGATGGACTAGGGAAAGAAAACCAAAAGGTTCCTAGTGTACCCCGAGTTCCAACGCTACGTAAGCATAGTAATGGAACATAGTGGTCGGTGTTTATCGCACGAATATTCAAAAGCAGCTACGATCGTCCCTCACAATGCTAAGATGATGCATAACGCATGAAGAAAACAATCTTGGAGCTCTAAGTCTGATACACCGGATTCATGAGCCGATATTGTGAGGTGGTACCGGGTGCTTTCCAGAAAAGTGACTTGTAGTAAGTACCTTAAGGGGTAACGATAGCACTGACAATGCTCTAGCAGCACCCTTCAGTGCGCTTCCTCTTCGTATTGCTCACCAATAATGTCCTACAGTGTACCGAAGATCATTAAGCCAAGAAAGGTAAGGCAAGAGAGATCAGCAAAGGATTTTGCGGGCCCGCGAGAAGTAGGGCTAGTGTACAACAGAAGCTGAGGGTCGTCCGATGTTCTTGGTAGTCACAAAAAGGTCGATTGTGATAGCATCAGAATTATTTGAAGGGGTCTTGTTATGATTCCGCAGAAGAGCTAGCAGCAGTCGAACTCACGCGCATCTTATGTAGCTGACCATACTTCATTGTAGATAGCAAGAAGAGTAGTTGCGTATTGCCCTTCGTTAACCAATTCCAGGAATAGAAGCATGAGCGAAGCTGAATCTGGTGATGTATTCGCCCGGCTTCTGTTCCTGCCTCCGACCGGTAGATCACTCGAGTCCGATCGTATGGAACGATACAGGGCCATGCTGGTCGAAAACAGAAAATATGGGGTCGGCGTTTGCCTTAAATGCTATCGGTACTGCAGATCTCGGTGTCTGTTTCGCGAATGATTCCGCATTCACTGCCACGTGCCCAATGAAGTATTTCGATCGACGTTTTGAGGCTCTGCTGTACCCCAGTCGTGCGAGTGTAAGCTGATCTAGTCGAAACAAGCTCATGGGGTGCCTGAACTAGGTGGCTTTACCCGCCTCGTGCGTACGCTGTTCCTGGGGCTAAGTCTGGGGCTTATGGGGCCGAAACAATCCCATTCCATAAACACCCCTGATCAGCCCTAAGATTTCGGTAGTCACGTAACAGTATCCTCCGCTCGCGCGAGAATACTCAGGTCTCGGTTATCAGCCTAGCGATCAGCGGCCCGACGGCTGTGGCGCGGGGGTGGCCTACACCGTGCATTGTTACAACTCCATGGACTTATGCTGGATGCTTGACGTCAGTCGATGGGTCTAAGTGGTATGATCGTGAAGTTTCGTCGGGTCCGTAGTCGACGGGGCTGAGAGGAGCGTGGCTGTTCACTGTGGTCGGCCAATGAGGTTGTTCACAGTGCGCATACCTCCTGGACAACCACCCAAGGCCGTGTACGCAGTAGACTATCGCAACAACAACCAGCATGAAGCTTGAAGATCGATCAATCCTGCGTTTGCCTTGTACTCCGTCGACAAGCTCCACTCAAGTGAAGGATCACTTCGTGCGAGACAAAGCATCCATCCGGCTAGCAGACATGATGATCGCAGTCTATTCACTACGAACATCGTCATTGTACTGAATCCTGACTGTGGACACAAGGCACACAGCTCCATGACTGATCCTCTCGAAAACCTATAAGTATCCCCTCGATTTCCACCTCAAGTCCATCATCACAACACCTCAATCACCACTTCCAACCAACACTCAACACTCAACTCATTCACACTTCAAGCTTCCAGCTTCAATTACCAAAACCTTCAACATGTTCTCCAAGACCATCATCGCCGTTACCATCACCGCCCTTTTCGCCTCCTCGGCCATCGGCGCAGCGGTTAACCCCGCTCCTGCAGCGCGCGCCGCTCTCATCGCCGCCGACCCAGGTTCGTGTCCTCATTAGAAGCCTTACATTAAAGAGCTGAACTGACAATCACCGCAACAGACGCAGCATGCAACTGCCCCAACAACTGCCAGCACAACAACGGCGACAGCTGCTCTTTCTACCGCGATGGCAACCAGCTTGACGGAGTTTGCGCACACACTGGCGAGGGTGGCCGTCTCTTGTGCAACGCTTAGATCGACGATGATCTTGATTTAGAGATCCGTCGTTGAAGCTTTGGAGGAATCAACAGCTAGGGGAGTGTATAGTTAGCTGGAGCATTTGTGCTCGTTACATTCGCTTAGCTTTTGCGCAATAGAAGAAGATTTGCAACTGAACCAGCTCTTGAGTTTTATTTTTGATGTGTGATAATGTCTTCCAATGGATCGATCCGACACATTGCAAGGGAGGGCTCGCCTCAGAAGTGAGGAGGATCTTGTGGCATCAGGCGCTGATACCATCGGATCTTTTTTGCGGATATCGTGGCTATCAAACTCAACTAGCAGAACAATCTTCAAAAAGTCTGCGGATGTACCGTTTCTATCGTTCCCGAAACACCGAGATGCCCTGTGGAGATTAACATGGTTGAGGATGATCGCTAAACCGTATCAAAGTCAAAAGTAGTGGTGCGCCATTGCTGTTTGGCTGCATACTGCCCCGCAATTTAATCCTCACAGTTAACAGCCCCGAGGTTCTCCATAACAGCTTCTATTCCTGCGAACCCCGCCTTTGTGTTGTGCTACCCCAATTGCATCGCCGCGTCATGGTGCCTTAGCGCTCAATGATCGTCGCCCACCGTTATGGAGCTCAGCTTGCTGAAGAAAGGAAAAATCTTTTAATTTCGCCTCGATCCGGTCATTTAGTATCATTCTTTGAAACCTTCCCGAGAATACGACAATAGGTTCGAGATGGTTAACCTGACAGCAAGCCTTTCTACGCTCATCGCGGCGAATCATGTCCTGGACTACCTCAACGTCCTTGACCCATTCGGTCACATCAGCGTGCGAAACCCTAATAATAACAATACCTTTTTCATTGCTCTTCAGATGGGGGCTGGAATCGTCTCAGGTATTCAAGATATCGGGGAGTACCTGGTCTCGGACGGCTCGGGCGTCAACGGTACGGAGGGTGGATATGCTGAGCGATACATTCACAGCGAAGTGTTGAAGAGGTATCCAGACGTCAATGCCGTCGTACATAGCCACAACGAAGATGTTCTACCATTTACGATAACTGGAAGCGTAAGCCTAGAACCAACGTATCACATGGCGGGCTTCCTAGGTAAGTCTCGACTGCGATGGTACTGTGACATTCAAAGCTTACACACTGCAGGCGATCGTGTTCCCAACTTCGATATCGGAACTGTTTACAACTCCACTGACCCACGCGACATGCTGGTGAACTCACCACGTCTCGGGGCAGCCCTTGCTGCTGTCCTGGGAACTAATTCATCCCAACCAACCTCACCACTCTACACTACGGCGTTACAGCGCGGGCATGGCTTCATCACGACAGGAACTTCGATTGAACATGTCACTGAGTTCGCTTATTACACCACGAGTAGTGCGCGAGTGCAGACGAAAGCGATAAGTCTTTCCGCGGGCTCAGGAATGGGATCTGAGGGCGTGCAGTATCTGTCAACTGACGAGCGGAGAGATTCGAAGAACATGAATATATGGATCAGTTTCAAGCCGTGGAAACAATGGGTGATTCAATCGGAGCGTAGCGGGATGTATTTGAATGAGCTGGGGACACCGCCGTTTGAGTCGTAAAATTATCGTTTCGGTGGAGTTCCACTGGTACGGTTACGAATCTAAATGGGAATTGATTGGAGTTCGCATTTGTATGACTCGTTGACTCATCTAAATGATTGTCTGTTCACTAATCCGCACTAGCGGACATCTCCTCCCACTTCGTGTGCTGGAGTGAATGTTTACTAATCGGTCCGATCACAAAAAAGAGCCTCCAGCTGCTGAGAGCGAATTGTACGTGGTTGATTGCTCTCGGCTTTATCCGTTCCTGTCCAGCTCTATTAGAGGGCGCCTTGTTCTATTGCGTGTCCCGCCACTGGATCACCGACATGCCCGTGGTTGCAGACCGCATCGCAATAAAGTTTGTCCGAGTGATATGGAATGTGTCCTTGACATTCAAGAATCAAGCCTTTTTGAAGTAATCCGGATCTTCCGCGGACGGTAAGCTAATCCCCTCTTGGCGCACGTGATGTTCTTCTTGTTGTCCGTCTTCGTGGTTTCTGATTACTATGAGCTAGCGATAGATCGCCACTTATTTGCCAAAATCTACGATGTAGCGCTCCGGCTCTACAAATCAGATCACGTCGAACCTGCCGTAATACAGATTCAGTTACATAGCGACACACTAGCTGGATATGTTGTTTGATAGCGGGCAGGCGAAGGGGTCATAATGTAATCAGAGGCTCTGTTGCAGGGTGAAGCTTTGTAATTTGCACAATCATAAAGGGGACACGTTTACGAAGCTCAAAACTTGAAATCAATATCCGATAAGACCAACATCATCATCTCTTCTGGTATCAAGAAGACCCTCAGCAGTGTTGTACAGACAATTATTTACCACAAGGTTTACGCGACTGCTTATCCAGCTCGAAATCGGAAGCCGGGATGGTAAACGCGCTCATTCGAGACGCGCCTTTCGGCCGGCTCGTTCGTGTTTTGACGAAGAACAGCGTCTTCCAATATCCAGAGGAAGCTGCCAACTTCCAGTGTCCCAACTCCTACGATGAAGGTCAGCTTGCTTCAAGACGCTCTAGTCGTGCGAGCAGGAACCCTACAAACCAATCCGCGGCCCCCGCGCAGGCCAACCCCGACGATATCGAAAAGCAGGGGCCCAGGAATGGTAGCACTTTCCAAGACCCCGAAGCCGGGATCGAAGAAACCATTGATGGCTCCTTCAGAGAAATCGAGAAAATCTCCACGAGTACATCAGACTCGAAGGAAGGGCTACGTCCGGCCTCTTCCAACATCACGAGGACAAAATCACTTCCGTATACCGCGGAACGGCTGCGTCAAGATGAACAAGCGGCGATAGAGAGAACAGAGTCGAGACCGATTGCACCGATAAAGACTGGCGATGGTCTGACACTCGTTGACTGGTATTCTACAGATGATCCAGATAACCCGCAGGTGAGAGGTAATGCCTCAAATATACAAGCAGAAATGCTGACATGTCCACGCAGAACTGGTCCCTGAAGAAGAAGATATGGACGGCGTTTGTGATCGACCTTTACACTTTCGTGGTATATTGCTCGAGCAGTATCTATGTATCCAGCGAGGTGTTGGTACAGATCGAGTTCGGTGTGGCGCCATTCAAGGCCTCCCTTGGCCTAGCTCTCTACGTCTTAGGTATGGAAGAGTTCGCATTGTGTCAATGGCTCGACGATTTCTCTCCGAGAAAGTTATGTTTGTGGAAGCTGACAGCGTCCAGGATACGGCATGGGTCCTTTGCTCTTCGCTCCGTTGTCAGAAGGTATGTTTTCAGTGTTAATGCAGGAGTGCATCGCTCACCTTGCCTATAGTTCCACAGTTCGGGAGAAACATCCCATACATCACCACATTCGCCGTATTCACTATCCTAGCTCTCCCCACTGCCTTAGTTGATAACCTAGGAGGCCTTCTCGTTTTGCGTTTCCTGCTCGGCTTTTTCGGTAGTCCGTGTCTGGCCAACGGAGGCGCAAGCATGGGAGTAAGTCATAGCAACAACACCAAGTCGTTGATTAACAAATGATAGGACATGTTTTCACTTCTATATAAACCATACGCGATGGCGTTCTGGGTTTCGGCCGCCTTCGCCGCACCGGCCCTCGGTCCCTTGCTTTCAGGTTTCGCTGTCTACGCCAAAAATTGGCGCTGGTCCCAATGGGAAGTTCTCTGGATGGCTGGTCCTATATTCCTTCTGATGTTCTTCTTTCTTCCCGAGACGTCGCCTTCGAATATCCTATTGAACCGCGCGGCACGTCTACGCAAGGCTTCCGGGAACGACAAGATCCGGTCGCAGACTGAGATTGAGAGAAAAGATACCCCACTTAGTGCCATAATCGTCGACGCCACCTGGAAACCAATTGAGATTGCAATTAAGGACCCGGCTGTACGTCTCCGTTCTCAGCAGGCGGAACATCACTGACGGCGTGTAACAGATTACCTTCGTAAACGTATACACTTCCCTAATTTACGGCATCTACTACTCTTTCTTCGAGGTTTTCGCGGAGGTATATCCCGTCATGTACGGTTTCAACGTCGGAGAGACGGGCCTTGTATTCGCCAGCATCATAGTCAGTCACCCCTCAGCCTGCAAACTAAATGTCTGTCCCGTTAGGGCCTGCACTAATCCTGTAAACAGGTCGGTTGTATCATCGCCATGGCCATGTACTTTTCCTACCTACACTTCTACGTCATCCCAGACGTCCTCAAAAACGGCTTCCGCGAGCAGGAATTCCGCCTTCGACCCGCACTCATCGCTTGTTTCGGACCCACAATCGGCCTGTTCATGTTTGCATGGCTCGCAGATCCAAGCATTCACTGGATGGGCACCGTCGTAGGCTGCACAATCTATGCAATCAGTGTGTACATTATCTTGCAGTGCATATTCGGTCAGTAGGACGGGCGAAGTGGCGCTGGTCGCGATGCTAACAGTGCTAGACTATGTTCCACGGTCGTACCCGCAGTATGAGGCGTCGCTGTTCGCAGGCAACGACTTCTCTCGTTCACTGTTCGCATTCGGTTCGGTGTTGTTTTCAAGGTCGATGTACGTTGACCTCAGTGTTGCAAAGGGGCTTAGTCTGCTGGGTGGATTGAGTGTCATGGGCATTGTAAGTCTGAGCTGAGTGACGGGTATGGCTGCCACTAACGGCGACAGATTGGAATGTGGGCGCTATACTTCTACGGGGCACGGCTGAGGGCGAGGTCGAAGTTCGCTGTATCTTAGCGCTCGTATCGATGGTGGAGGACGTCAAACTGCGTGCATATTGCACGGGTTTTCTGCTATAGAATACAGAGTCGGAACGGCGGTTGGAAGGATGTATGATAACATTTCTTTATATTTTGGAGGACATTATCTAATGGATAGGAAATGCCGTGCGAGTCAGAATTTTGGCCCAGATGCATAGAACAGGGTCAAAGATGGATTAGAGACAAGACAGATTGAAACATTATATGAAGCTTATTCTAGAAGGATTATAAAATACATGCTATCTTTGTGATTACAAAGCGAAATGCCTGCGAGACAAAGGGTGATGAGACGCAAGGCCGCGCTTCTGCAGTCCAGTAGCCAGCGGGAAAGCGTCGAACTCCGTCTCACAAGTCGTGTTCCTGGGTGGCAGTTCACCCGTTTTGAAGTACTTCTGCACATACGACGAAGTGCAGTTCGAGGATGTTACCACGAGGCCGTGCCCGACAGCATCCTGAAGCAGAATGGCTGAGCCCTCGAAGTAGCCGGACATCAACTCATATGAGCTTGTCACAGGATCGATAACGTTATCAGCAAACAGGATAGGCGTGCTCGTGTTGATCTTCTTGAACCCAGCGAAGAGCTGGCTCTTAGGTGGTGTAATATCCAAGAGTCGGCACTGCGGCACGACAGCCATGGGCCAAGTGTCTCCGAGATAGGTGCTGAGTTTCTTCTGCTCTGCGAAGAGCTGGAAAAGTGCCTCCTCACTACCGTTGAAGCTCTTGCTGTTGTCATTGCACGCAATGACCTCCTTGGGCAGCACGGTATCTGTGCCTCCTGGTGTATAATCGCATTTACTCGTCCCGGGTGCAATGCCTTTGCTCGCGTATAATGCAGCTAGAGACCCATTCCGGGTTTCAAGCCCGTCCGCAACGGCTGCCAGAATTGAAAACAAGGATGGCGGATTGTAGACGGCCGTCTGGAGGAGACCCCTGACGTCCATGTGGGTGACAGTCGTTGGAAATTCGACAAAAAGCGGGTCATTCACGGGCACCGGATCTTCTTCCAGATCTGCGAGGATGGCGTCAAACCGTTCCTTGATGTCGGAAGCGGTCGAACCATTGCGATAGAAGGCGCAGAGCGGGCCGGCCTCGGCGCAGGTCTTAAAGAATGCATCGACGGACGCATCGCCCTGGAGAATGTTCTGCGACCAGCTGCCGTGGTAGTAATCATCACCATCGACCACAGCGTCGATGAGGAATTTACCCACACGGTCTGGGAAGAGCGCAGCAAAAGTGGTGCCTAGAACTGTACCGTAAGAGGCACCGTAGAAGTCCACCTTTGCGTCTTCGCGCGGCTTGCCCTGAGTCTCCGCTAACAACTCGGCATATTGCAGCATGTCTCTCGCCGTCGCAGGCGTGTTAGCGTACTTGGCCGTCTTGTTCAGGTTCTGTGTGCACCAGGTGCCGAATGTGCCGGATGTCTCGTAGTAGTTGCTGATAGATACATTGCTGCGTGGATCAACACCGTCGTAGAGCTGACCATAGTAGTAGTCTCTCAGCCACGGTTTTCCGTCAAAGCAATCAAGTAGCGGACCACTGTTGTTGATGCCCCGAGGATCCATGCCAATAATGTTGTACGAGTCACCGAGAAGTTCGAGTAACTGGGGTAGCAGTTGCATTAGGCTAAGGGTGGCTGACTCTCCCGGGCCGCCAGGGTTGAAGATGATGTCGCCCAATGCGGGTTGCTGCGCAGCTTCATACCTTTGGAAGGCAATGTTCGTGTAGCCGGCGTCCAAGTCTTCGTAGTCGAGAGGTACGTCGAGTTGTGTACATGTGTAATTGTCGAAACAGGGGATGTATTGTATATCTTTTGTGACTGGGACGTCCTTGAAACTGTAAACCATGGACGTATTCGTTGTATTATATTCGCGTTGCAACAACGCGGGACTTGCAGCGACGGAAGCCGCAAGCCCAAGCAAATAAGACTGTCGAGTGAACATTGTTGTAAGCATGGAAGAGGCAATGGGATGCCGATGGCAAGTGAAGCTAAGCAGACCGTCTTGACATTATATACTGACTGAGGCTCTGCATAAGCTTGTATAGCTCTAATGGAGGCAGCCCATCCGCGCGCCTGCTTCTCCACCATGGGGTGAATCAGCCCTGCTCGCACCGCCAACAACGTCGTCATTCTCCACAACCTTTGCTCCCCTTCCGGTGTAGAAATCTTAACCGGGCCGTTTGTTAGGGCACTTTGGCGGTGGCTGAGATCGCTAGTCGGCTTAGACGACAAAGCCGACCGCCGGCTGCTGTAGCGCAGGATTCGGCCCCACCACGTGATGCGAGTTTATAACTATATCGGGAATCATCTGTGGAGATGATCCGTGGTGGTTGGAGGGCAGCTTGATGAGGCGCAGTCGGGGGCGGAAAAACCACTCACGTTTGTGCATCGTTGTTACCTCATTCGCACTAGCCTACCGCGTTTCCGAGATGCGAGGACCTAAGGATCTTCAGCTCCCTAGTAGAGATCATCGTCATTAGGCAACTTCGACCTCTCGAATACGAGTTGCCATGCTCATCGAACAGAGCTTCTCCCGGGCTCACAATCAAAGACTGTCTACAATTCTATCTGTACAGTTCCGCATACGACCTCGGGAGTTCTCACCAAGTTTCGCCGCCAACAGATACAGACATCCCAACTGTGTTGTCGAACCTTCCTGGAATTCTGTTTACTGCCACCATTTAGGTGCTCCGGTACTGAGCCATGCTGGTGGAGCGCACGAAGCTACACAGCCCACGCGGACTCAGTGTACTAGTCGAAGGCTGAACTTCTCGAACAGCACTCTTTACCTCATTGCTCACTACCGACTTGCTATCGCGATTCAGAATACTGCGGACTGCGACCGCGATCGAACGTTTTGGCCCCTCTTGCACAGACCCTCAGCTGAAAGATTCTCCATGTTTTGGGCGTGTTGGTAGTCAGATATTACACGTGCACACCCGAGTAGGCCCAGGCGTAGGCAACACGAGGATGGAACATACGGAGAAGGCTGAGCCCTCACAGTTAATGTAGAAAACTTGATTCCAATGCTTGCAAAGCGGTGCTCTCTATTACATGCATCGGTAACAAGGTTGAAGAACACGTAAGCCTGCGAAGAGGGCTCAGTTTGCACAGAAATCGCCCTATCCAGAACATTGATCAACAGTACGGCAGTAAGATTGTTCAAATTTGGTAACTGCTGCGAGAGTTTCGATTATCTGGCGAGCGTCCAAGTTAGGGAAAAGCTGGGCAAGAGCGAGTCGCACTATGTCAACGAAGCGCTTCCCTGAATTATGATCTGTTGTGCACAAACACAAATAATAATACGTCATTAGCCAGGGACCTATCGAGAAGACGATCTCTTATATCTTTTCAAAAAAACCCAGGAAAAGTGTGAAGGGCATGTACTGAAGCTTTGCTAAAACAGCCTGTAGGCATAGCACCGAGAATGCAAGCACAAGAGCGAGGCTCGGTCCCTGACAGGGTCGAATTACCTCCTCCATTTCCGTTCGCCGCACGTTGGCTTCATACCACACCTTTCGCACATCTTCACTAGAAGATCCAAAAAATCCATGCCCGACTCAGGCTCCCTCAACACGATGTGTATAGTGACAGGCCGTATTTGAAGTGCCATACCGATACTATCCGGAAGCTCAAGGTTGGTGCCTCCGAGACATGGTCACAGCATGAAACAGCGAGATTGTTGTTGGCCCGAGACTCCTCGAAGAGACGATCACTCCTAATAGGAGAGACGGGTATCTGGTCGCGAATAGTCAATCGTGTGAGGACGTCCAAATCGGAGGCAGTAGGAGATGTTCTCGCTGTGGCTGCCCGTTCTTTACGAAGGTCGAGCTGCATTGGGTCTTGGTCTTTTGGTATTATATTTATCCAGGCGGGAGCTGTTCTCAACCGTCATCAACAAGAGATAGCGTGGAGAACTCTGTCGCAATTCATGATTCGCTACGAAGAAGACATATCGAAAGGAACAATATTAATGTCGTCGAGGACCCTAGCGAAATGTATTCGATGGCTATCAAAGTATCCTCATTGAAGAGGCCGAGGGAGGAAGATAGAGTGGGGCTAGCGGCCGCCATTCAGACGCTGATTGGACGAGAGCTTATCTACACCGATTACGCCGCGGACGCCGCACACCGCGCCCGTTTTTGTTTTACTCCATCTCAAACCCACCACCATGCCTATCAAACTTCCTGCTTGCGAACCGTGCAGAACCTCAAAGCAGGCCTGCGATCACGCGAAGCCATGCTCCCGATGTCGGGAGCGTGGGTCGCCTTCGGCCTGCCTGTACAGGGCCAGACCGTTCAAGAAGCGACGAGTGGAGCAGACTGGCGAAGTCGCATCACCGTTCAGGAGCCCACCGTCCCCAGTAGCCTTGTCGAGTGCATTGACAGCGACAAGAAACGATTCTACAGACGGTCTGGCTGTCGCAGAAACCCCAGAACCATCCAGGGGCATGCCCAGTTATCCTAATCCCGGCTTCCTCGGATCCTCGAGTCATACAACCTTTTTCGAACACATACCACGCGATACAACCGACACAGGTCAATTGCCTATTTACTCCGTCGATGAGGAGGAAATCCGCAATGGAGCAAACCTTATTGACCATATTCATAGATATTGTCACATCACCTCATGTATCGCACTGGTCCACAGTTGGATCTCTTCAGGGGTGAATCTTGCATTGGCCGGCCCACTCACCACCACATGCACAGAGGTCACACAGCATGTGTTCAGTTCCTACGAGACTAGTACGCCTACAAAATTCACTCCTGCACGTACAATCTCGCAGACATTGTTCAGGAACTCAAGCCAGCCACTGAACGCGGGTGACTGTCAAGATATCGCTGGTTGGTGCACTGTGTTTGGTGTTCACAACCCGCGATGGGAAATGCTAGGTCTGTTCTTTGCGGCTCTTGCCGCTGCTACAATGCATACGCCCAAGTTCGATGCGCTGTATCGGTCACACCAAGCGCAACGCGACCTCCAGAAGCTGGCAGTACGGTTTTCAGACCGCTGCCTAGACATTTCCCTCTCACTCGACCGACTGAATGACCTCCAACTCTTGTTGCAATATGAAAACTGGATCGGTCACTCATGCCTCGATGGGGATCAAAGTAAGCAGTTTGCATACGTCTACGTGCCTTGCAATGACTGATTTCGCAGGCTACATTTCGTGGCGAAAGCTCGGTGACGTTATCAGCTCTCTGTATGCGCTTGGATACCACGAACGTGTCGACCCGACCTGCCCTCCACTAGAGTCGTTCAGAGAAGTTGCTTTTGCTCGAGCTTTTTCTGGTGATACCAATGTTTCACTGTTCCTTGGTCGACCTCCTCGAATTGATCGTAAACATTGTAGATGGCTTCCAAGGCAATTCCAGTGGAGCGTGGATGCAAAAGTCGACTATGCATCGGAAACGCAATGGTCGGCAATATGTGCTGTTCTTAAGGGAGAGGCTCTTGACTTGTTCCACGTTGACGACTACACTGAGAAGGTTAGGAGAGCGAAGTGAGTATGTCATGACTCTACAAAGGGCCTTTGCTAACTTTCTTAGTATCATTCGGGACGACGCCAATCTGCAGTGGTCGTCGCTTCCACCACAGTTCCGCCTTGAAACTACTCTGAAAGATTGCGCTCGACCACCGAAAGAGCGAGACTTCCTAGTCAGCACACTTCTCAACCATCTTCATGTACACTTTCTTCTACACCTTCAACTACAAGTCCGCGTCAACGACCCTGGACCGGAACTAATATCTATCGCAGCCAGGATGTTCTCTCTTGCAATTGAATCCATCTTGCTCAAAGACTTCCTGGCTTATTCGGGGACAACGCTCGACTGGAAGGTATAGGTTCCCCCTACTTCTTCTTGTTGACTATCAGTGACAGCGATTAGGTAGCCTACTACGGCCTATCAGCCGCTGGCATCATTTGTCTATCGCTACTGAAGAAGAGCCCAGTCGCTTTCGATAACGGAACGTCGAAAGCACAGATGATACAGGACCTGAATGTCCTCGTAGCCGTGGTAGAGACGGGCGTTTTTCTCCACCCCATCGATCCGAATTACGCGCTGCTATCTCGTGCCACTATGACCATCAAGAGCTTACTCCGGCGTCTTCTGACTCGAGATACTAGGCAACTCCCGACTGTAGCAGAAAGCGATCCCTTGGTTCAGGATCCCACAGCAATGACGCCTGCCAACTGGAATCTGTGGGACAATCAACACCTCCAGGATTTTGAGGTTGATTTCTGGCTCAATCTGGCCGAGCACCCGTTCCTTACCGAGACACCTACGGAGTCGCTTCCAACGAGCCAAGTCTGAAGTCGGCATCTATGACTCTACCGAATCATTCGATAGCCATTCCTAGATCTTTGTGAGCGGCCATAGCGAACCAGACATGGAAACACAGATCCTTCGTACAATCGGAGCTTGTGGCGAACCCGCTACCTTTGCTTGTGAGCACACCAAGCTCCCTAGCTCTTGGGTATAGCCGATCCTCTATTCCAGCCATCAGAGCTGAGTCTTTCCGATCTTTGGTTGTTGCAGTTTGGGACTGAGGATGTCTAGAGCATCAGATAGTCCCAAACGGGACATGCCTCAAGAAAGCGTCGTCCATTGCTAGACATTGGCCGGAAGGTGGCCGTTACGGTTTCTGATGAACAAGGCCCATAGTTTCCGGTGTGTAGCCCTATCATCGATTGTCCATCTGCAGAAGCAACTATGTCGTCGACCGTAGGCACGAAGTTGCCATGATATTCGCATGTGAGCCTTATCGTATGCTTGTAACAGAATAGCTTACCTGATGATTAAACCCACTATGAGTTCTAGTGTCGGCATAACCGAAGAACTCGCCAGTCGCACGATCTACCCGTAATCGCACGCAGGACGCGGCGCATCAGCCTGCAGATGATTTTCAGCTCTTATGGCAAGATCCGCTGCGATCTTGATGCCGTCCGGGGCCTGCGGGTATATCGACGCTAGTCCCGTTACGGTATCTAGTCTCTTTGTGGTACACCCCGCATTCCACCTTTGTTCACGTCGCAAGCTTGCGCTAGCTACCATCTGCCCCTCTGCCTTGAACCATACGTAATCTGGTGGTGCATCAGCAGTTACTCGATTTTGCTAGCTTTGAAATATTGGTCTGATATGTAGAGACTCATTCGCGGTCAACCCGCGTAATCCATAACGCCACGAGGATGTTGTCCCTCGACGGCGTGAAGGGGACGGGGAGTAACGATGGAAGTCAAGTAGGCTGAACCATATTCAGTGTTCAGTGGATGCTAATCTGCCAGGGTATATCACCATGGCCCGATCTTGCATGCTGTGGTGTGCATTCTGATCAGCTTCTTCATCCATCTATGCCCACAGAATGCCTTCAAACGAGCTACCTATTGCCTTCGTCTCAGCTGGAGACATCATCGCTGCCACCATCTCCCTCTCCATCTCGGGGATTGCCGTAGTGCTTCTGCGATTTTGGGTGCGAATATCTCACAGGATGGGCATCCAAGTCGACGACTGGCTGATACTTATGGCACTGGTAATCCAACAATACGCTTGGTACCTGGTAGTAAAACTAACGCTTCTGTTTAGGTATTCCTAATAAGCATCGCCTCTGTATCACTCTACGGCGTTTCACAAAAGACCGTGGGATACCCATCCGAGGAGTTCGCAACGACAGAAGAACAAATGACATCGCTGCCCCCCGAACAACAATTTGTAGAGCTGCTCTACTGGATTTCATGGCTGCTTATTCTCCCTGCAAATGGGCTCATAAAACTGAGCACATTGTTCCTGTATCGTCGAATCTTTCCAGTGGGGACAATGCCTACTTTGGACATTGTGTCGAAGGTTATGGTCGTGATATGCGCAGTGTGGACTATTGCCTTCTTTTTGACGACTGTCTTTGGATGTGGTTTACATATCGCCTGTGCATGGGGTTCCTATGCGGAGATCGCAAGCTGCTGCTCTGATAAACTTGCACAGCAGGATGCGCTCTTGACGTCGGACATCATTACAGATGTCATGGTCTGGCTTCTTCCTATCCCTGTGGTAAGCAGCGCGAACACAAATGAGTTCCGAGAATCTACAGCTCACCAATTTTATAGGTATGGGGCATGTCCATCAGCACAGGTCGCAAACTGGGCGTCATTGCGATCTTCTTGCTGGGCGCCTGCTCTCTTGCAGCGGCAGGTGTGCGGCTCATGATTCAAATCAAGATATACCACGGCGGATATGAGGCTCACACAAACGCAAGTCGTGAGTGTTAAGTGCCTTCGAGCTCAGCCGGTCAGCAACTAACGGTAAACAGTGACATTATCGACAAAACTGTACTGGTCGTTCATTGAGAGTGGCATCGCTCTGATCGCATCTTGCTTGCCTATGACGCGGCTGTTCTTTAGGTTGAACACTGTATCATCAGCTCTCAGCTCGGTGCGGACCAAGCTTGGCAGACCGATGCAAGTCCTTGATGGAGAGAGAATATGCAGTGTGGGTACGGAAGAGCAGGTGGAGAAAAATCGCCCCTGGGCCATCCACATTGAACACGCTTCTGGGCTTGCCAGTGCAACACGGCAGTCAAGCCGCTCTTGCTCGGGGGATTGCTTCGTGTGATTGGAGACAGCAACCCAGGTTCTAACGGCTTATTCGTATGTAGGAGTTAATGGAATTGTTCGAATTAGAAGGTTGTCTTGCACACCACTCCGAAGCCATTCATGCCGATGTGCCCCTAAGAATAGAGAAGGATCAGGACTATGGTGGAGAAGCCCTGGAGCACACCATTCCACGTGACACCAAATAGCTGAGGTACTTCACTGGCGCTGCATCGGTTGTTCCAGGCAGTCTTAGTGAAAGTGAAGGCGCGGGAGGGAAGCACGGAAAGTGCCGGCGTAATCGGCGTGTTTGCAGGCGGCCGGTTTGCCTCGGCAAGTGGCGGCGGCCTAAACTCCGACCCACCTTCCACCATCTGTATACAAACAGCAAACGCAGCATCGCCAGCGGTTTGACCACCGCTTTGGTACTTAGGCACTTCCATCCATACTTCTGCTTCTTTCTGTGGAGTCATCATGCCTACCACTGTCAAGCTCGCAGAATATTTGTTCCAGCGGTTGGTCCAGCTCGGAATTGGTTCCGTCCACGGCGTGCCAGGCGACTTCAACCTCACACTCTTGGACTATGTTGAGCCCGCAGGTCTGAACTGGGTTGGAAACGCAAACGAACTCAACGCCGGTTATGCAGCGGACGCCTATGCTCGCATAAAAGGCATCTCGGCTCTGATCACCACCTTTGGAGTCGGAGAGCTCTCAGCGATCAACGCCATCGCCGGAGCATATGCTGAGCGCGCAGCCCTTGTGCACATTGTTGGCACACCTCCTCGAGCTACGCAAGATGGAAGAGCTTTGGTTCATCACACGTTTGCCGACGGCAACTTCATTCGGTTTGCTCAGATGAGCACGCATGTCACCATTGCGCAGGCGAGCCTGAGAGATCCGAGGACTGCTCCCGAGCAAATCGATCAGGTGCTCATACAGTGTCTGTTACACTCAAGGCCGGTGTATATTGAGGTTCCGGTGGATCTTGTGGGTGTGCCTGTACTTTCCGAACGGCTGCAGAAAAAGCTGGAGTTACCAGAAGCGGTGTGGGATTCTGCACAAGACAAGGCAGTGGAAGCGGTGTTGGAGAAGGTTCATGCTGCAAAACAGCCTATTATCCTAGTCGATGGCGAGATCCGTGCTATGGGCGTTGTTTCCGATGTCCAAAATCTGACCAAGAAGACCGGATGGCCAACCTGGACTACTGGGTTTGCAAAAGGGCTGCTTGATGAGACAAATACGAACTTCCATGGGATCTACCAGGGAAAGTGGGAGGAGGAAACCACGCGGGATTTCTTCCAAAGCGCAGATGTAGTGCTGTGCTTCGGTGCGCATTTCAGCACAACGAACAGTTGGGGCGGTACCAGTTTACCGGACGTCCAGAATACGATCTTCTTTTCTGATACGGAAATTCGAATCGGCACTAAGACATTCAGAGATGTACCAAGCAGACAAGCACTTCCAGCCTTACTACAGAAACTTGACACTGGGAAGATCCAGCGGTACGAGCATTATCCAAAACTTCGAAAAGACCAGACTGTCTCAATTCAAGACACGGATAAGAATGGTCCAATCACACAAGATAAGGCTTGGAAAGTGCTTGCTACCTTCGTGCGCGAAGGCGATATCGTGATGGGGGAGACGGGAACACCTGGTTATGGCGCACGAGAGATGCGTCTTCCACCCAATACGCGGCTCTTCACGCCTGTCACCTGGCTGTCCATCGGTTACATGCTTCCCGCGGCTCAAGGAGCAGCTCTAGCACAACGTGAACGCTCCGCAGGCAAAAAAGCAGGCCGAACGATATTACTCATTGGCGACGGCTCCTTCCAAATGACTGTTCAAGAACTCGGCACAATCATCAAGGAAAATCTCAATGTTGTCATCTTTCTAATCAACAATGATGGATATACGATCGAGCGATGCATTCATGGCGTAGATGAAAAGTACAACGACGTAGCGAGGTGGCGGTACCTGGAGGCGCTGAGTTTCTTTGGGGCCGACAAAGGCGCGTACACCGCGAGCGCGAGGACCTTCGGTGAGCTCGGTGAGGTGTTGGCTGACGAGAAATTAAGTGATGGGGAAGGTGTGAGGATGGTGGAAGTGTTTATGGACAAGGAGGATGCGCCCCAAGGGCCGTTGAAGGACATGATAGAGGCCCAAAAAGCCAAGAAAGCGTAAGACTATTTCTGGAGATACCAATAGAAATACAACCAACCACCGACGCGCGCGAAGATGCAGTTATTCGGGCCGTATCGTCGCGGTGATGAAGACAGACACGTCTGAGCTTGACTCACAAAAGCATCCCTGCGAAGATCAAGCCCGTGTCCTCAAAATCAAGGCAAACCTGACAACACAACAATGCGGCGCAGCGTCGCCCTCCCTCTCTTCCTTTTATCCACCGTCTTCAGTTTCGCATTGATGGCACCTCAGTGGAGCAGTCCCTTCTCCCACAATTCCCCAGACCTCGATTAATCCAGGGTCCTCTCGCCTCGCCTTGCAAGCCACGAACATCCCTGCGGTACAACCTCGCCTATCGAAACAACAACAACACTGACGTCATACCCTCCATCGCGAGCACCATGTGCTTCGCAAACTTCACACAGCACTCCGGCTGCGGGCACATCGGGGAGTCCTCCACGCAGCCCCTCACCCTCTGCGACGATGCCATCCAGCGATTGTACTCCCTCCGCGGCCCAAACTCCCCCCCTATCTCCTCCCCCGTCCAGCAAACCAGCTTCTTCCCGCCGCCTAAGCGCTCGGCCTCGAAGCGTCGCTTCCTGTCGCTTTCGCAGACGCTCTCACGCACGTCTAGCATCGCGTCGCGCTCGTCGCGAGGGAGTGCGCCCGCGGAAGGAAATGGGAGGTACACGCCCAGATCCGCAGCCGCGAGCTTCACGCCTAGCACCACCGTAGCCGCAGCTATAGACTACGCTAGCCTCCCCGTGCACCAGCTCAACGCCGTGAAGTGCGCCGTCGCGATACGGAGAAGCCAGGTAGCGAGCGAGATGGACGTTTGTCCGGAGTGTAAGAAGGCGCTGGATACCATGCGGAGTATGCTTGAGCGGTAAGTACTTTCCCCCTTCCCCCTCCTATCCACCTTACTTCTATCAAAAGGCACAGCTAAGTGCGGTGTGCAGGTACGACAAGACAGGCTCCATCCGCGGGACCTCCGCCTTCGAAGCCTTCCTCCGCTTCGGCGACGACAGAAATTACACGGCCGACGGCGACGTAACCATTCCTATGCGCGACAGCGTAGCAGGCGAGCACGGCGCGATGCAGGCTATTGTGCTGGGGCACGCTGCCAACTCTGAGGCTCCCAGGTTAAGAGAGAGAGGAGGCACGTGGGGAAACGACGACGACGAGACGCTGAGCGATCACCATGTCAACGCCGCAAGTTCCGCGAAGGGGCCTCAGCGGGCGAAGATCGTTGGACGAGCTATCGATGGGCATCCGAGCGAGGCTGGCTTCCTTGTAGAAGGGGGAACAAATGGGTTGGGGTATTGGAGGGGGGATGATGTTAGTAGTTTGGCTACCAGTCGGGTGTTTGCTGGGATGATACGGTGAGTGGTTTAGTGCTTTTTCTGTGTAGAGCGTTGATGGGGGAGGGCAGGAGGTGTTGCTGAATTTGTATGTGTGGAGCGTTTGTGATGTGATAGCGTTTTGTAGATTTCTTTTGTTAGCTTGGAGTTTGAGGGTAGAGGGTAAGAGGGGTTTTGTAGAGCTTTGCGTTGGGCGTAGCGAGGAAGAATAGAAGAAAAGCAAAAAAAAAAAAAAAGATTCGCTTCTTTAAAGACTTTCTTTGTCGGTTGGGAGTTAAGGGGAGAGGGCCTGAGGGGTTTGGAAGACCTTTTTTGTGGAGTGTAGCGAGTTAGAACAGAAGAAAAGCTAGAAATACAAATTCGCTTCTCTAAAGATTTTCTTCGTCGGCTGGGAGTTTCGAGAGGAGAGGGCCTGAGGACTTCAAAGACCTTTTTTGTTAATCATGGCGAGCCGCAGAGCAGAAAAGGAAAGCCAGAAAGATTCGCTTCGCAAGCTTTTTCTCGAGGTTCGAACTGGGGGAAGTCTGAAGTCAAGAGCAGAAGAATGCAGTTTGGCCTTGTCGCTCGTATATCACGATGGTGCTATATGCAAGAGCGCGTAACGTGTGTGCAGTATACACGAGGGACGTTTCCATTCTCGGCTGCTCAAGCCTTTCGACTGTTTCCCAGCTCTAGCTGATTGGGTGCAAGGCGAGGCTGAACGAGCGATAACTGCGAGGCGCTCGTTTTCTATTGGGGATACACAGAGATGAATACACTTAGGTAGAGAATAAAACTCTACCTTTAGCTTCTACTGTTAAGATATACTTATATTGGATGTTGTGGTTGTGGTGCTTGTTCGGTTATTCCTTATGAATATGGAGCTCCTCGTATACCGGTATCGCTTCGGGTAATGGTGGGGGCTGAGCGTGAGGCTGAGCGTGGCTGCCTCCATGTGCCCCGCCACACGTGCAAAGCAATAATCCTATTGAAAGACGGATGTTTCATCCCTCATTTAAGGTCGCGTTTTTGCACAGTGTTTTGTGCTCTGTCCAATACCAGCGCAATGGCGAGCCACACTTCGGGAAGAAAGCCAGACAAAGTTACCTTCCACTGGAAATACAGCCTGGAAGAGGCCGGCATCCAACTGTAAGTGCTGGAAAACCCTCCACCATCAACTCACTGATTATCCACTTAGCGGATTGATGCTTTTCCACAGAGGATCTGTTATTGGCATGATATGTCTACTTCTGGACATGACAGCGGTCGTCAGGGCTCCTCAAAACTGGATCTATTGGATTTCAATGGATGGGGACGCATGTAGTCTATGTGGACGTGGCTCCTTTGGTCGAGAACGCTTATAACCCCCCTTGCCTTTCCCACCAGGAGAAAAGGGCTGCAGTGGGGGCCGATGCAGGAGACGTCTCTGGGTGGTATGGCCCGGGCGCTTACCTGGCGTGGCTATTCAAGGTTTACGTCTCGTCCATTTCGTCGATCTGGCACGCGAACTATGATGATTCCGATGATGATAAGAAACCAGATGATGACACGATTGATGGAGAGCTTCTTGCTGCGCTCACGTACCCCACGATCGCAATGCTAGACATGCTCTACAGATTCATTCGATGCAAGGTGGACCCGACTGTCGACGCCGCGATGCTCGTAATCTTCACCGGCGTCTTCAGCATTACCCCTAGCTAGGCGACTCACCTCACCGCCCGACTCTGACAAGTGGTGTAACGGCGATTTCCTCCCCTCTAGTCCTCGACAATGGATGCTATGTATCTTCCTGGTCTTGGGTCACTCCCTGATCTTTGAGACAATCTCTGAGCCATATAACAATTGGAAGATACTCGTCGCTGTCTATGCGCTCGCACTGGTCAATGTGCTACATTCCGCGGTCCAAGTGTCGAGATATATGGACCACTTCCCGTACTATGTCTCTAAGGAAAAACGTCCACGACGGGAAAGAATCGCGGTGTTTGTCATCCTGCAGATCATCTTCTGGATTGTTGTTGCGACAACACGAAAGTCGATCTTTCCGCGGACAGGATCGAGTCTTTCTGATCTGGATCAGTGTGCTACACTGGTCACTGTCGTTGTTGCGGCGATTTTCGCCAGGCGGAAAAAGATTTGGGACTGGGTGCAACAAGTGAGAATACAATTAGCGGGGTTCCATCAAATTCCATCGTCTGCAACTGAGGTGTGAATTGAGAAACCTTCTTTGTTCCTATATCATCCAGACCTAATCAGTCGTTTACACCTGTACACACACTGCCGATGTTATGTCTTAAAGCAACATGAAAACATCGGTACGTACCTAGGCTGTGTATGTCTTTCTTCATGCATGACCACCATATCTTCGCACTCACAATCATCGGGTAATGATATTAGGTTAGGACGTGTTCTAGATATTATCGTTTGCAAAAAGAATGTGTGCCACCTCCTATAGCGCTAGAATCAGAAGTTCAACTAATATAGTAACTATAAGGAGTAAAGCATTAGCTAGATCCTATTAACTTATCTTTTAGGCATGGTAGAGCCTAAAATAGAGTATTAAACTATTAAAATAAGCATACTATAGTAAATAAGCTAATAATTTACTCCTTATAGTAACTATATTAGCTAAAAACTTACAAATTTCTTATTCTAGCGCTATAGAAGGTGGCACATTCTTTTCGTAAAACACCGATAACGGGGCACGACATCTACTATTAATAGTAAGGCTGGTTAGCTGGACCCCCACGGCGCAGCTGAGCTTACAGCTATAAAGCTATCGCCTACCCCGCCGAGTAAGCCATTCACCCCGTCGTCATTCACATGAACCCGAGCGATATAGCTAGCGCACATCAATATTGTGACCTAACCTTTCTGTGCCTATTCTCCTTTTTGCATAGGCGCGATGGATCCGGACGGAACAGACCCTGGGATGCGCACTCCGGATACAGCCTGGTCACCCGACGAACAACTCTATCGATCTTTGGACGCTGACCCCCCTCAAATACGCCGACTATCGCTGGAACCAGGCGCATTCGACGATCCCATCATCGCCACTATCGACGTCGTATTTTTGGACGCATCACCTTCGTACACAGCTCTTTCGTACGTCTGGGGCCATGATGTAGCGCGGTCGCCCATGTCTGTAGGAACTTCATCTGTTTCAATCACCAAGAATTTAGACATCGCCCTCCGCCACCTGAGATCTCCAAGGGAGATCGAGACACCGAAGCAATCCACGCTCCCGCAATTGCTCCCAGAGGTCCCGGTGATTTCGACCATGGGACATCTTAAGCAACAAGCTCCAAACCGGTACTTCTGGATTGACGCCATATGTATCAATCAAGCCGATCTCAAAGAGAAGGCGGATCAGGTCAAACAGATGGGTCTGATCTACTCCAAAGCAGAAAAGGTCATTGCTTGGCTCGGGAACGGGCATTCGTCGTATGAAGCCGTTGCATCATTTTTTGGCTCTCTCGAATACTACCGGGAGTATCTTCGGCCGACGTCTTTCCAAAGAACCCAAGTGCATCACGATCCAAAGTTTGCAAACATCTTGAGGTCCCAACGTCGCCCCACCCATGCCTTGCGCGGATTGTCACAGCTTCTTACGCAGTCCTATTGGGAAAGAGTATGGATAATTCAAGAAATATCTAAAGCCAAAGATGTCGAGGTAAGATTTGGCCAATTCTCTGTACACCTGGACTTGCTGCTGCTGGCTTCGAAAAACATGAAAGATCTGTCCAAGCGTACACAAAGTCTCCTGAGCGCTGTCATCAAGTTCAGAGCGCAGGAGCAAGGCTATGGAGGGCTCTCACCTGACTCGCGCATGACTTTGCTTGATGCTATTGTTACGAGTCGCTACTCTCTCGCCACTGATCAGCGCGACAAGATATACGCAATTCTAGGAATGACTTGCGATGGCGCCGATCTTGTACCCATTCTCACATACGTCAACACGGTAGGAAAGGTGTTCGAAGGCCTGTCAAGCAATATGATCAGATCCCGATCGCCCAGCAACGTTCTGCTGATTGGAAAGTGGGCTCCAGCAAAGGAAACGTTCAGAGATGTCCCAAGCTGGTGTATTGATTGGGCGGGCCTTTGCTATCATCTTCCGCCATGGCTCACTAGTACTGGAAAATCGAGATTTGCTGCTATGGCCTCCCCTTTTCAACCTTCTTTCGAGGGGAACAAGTTGGTGACAAAGGGATGGTGTGTCGGTCAACTTGCAGAACCAGAGGGGAAGAAACCCTACGCATCTCCGCTGTCCCACGTGGCTCCTTCCCCTGGCTCATTTCATATGACGCACCGGGGTGCCATAAATCCAGTGGCGCCAGCATCTCCTCGCCGTTCAATCAAGCTGAATAACAACGAGGCAGAAAAAATCCTAACGCAGCTTACTTCCGATTTGCTGGATAGTTTTGCGCCGGGATACATGCTTCCAGCAACTCTTACGAGGGAAAATATCAGAGACGCCCTTGCGCGTATGATCAGAGATTCTCAAAAGGGTGAAGCTTCAGCAGATTACGATCTCAATTGCGTTGCAGACATACTCGTCGATCTCGGTGGCACCATACGCGCTGGCAATCCAATCTGGGACTGGGCAAGAACTTACAATGCCTACAAGGCTGAAGCTGTATTGCGAATTTCAATAAATCCGCAGCAGACATCCGTTCACGATTCTGAGAACGACTCAAACTCAAACTCAAACTCATCAAAATCAAACACTCGTTCAGCGTCGAAGAGGCATGCGATTCCAATCCCGCCAACTCCAGGGTATAGAAGATCAGCCAGAGACAAAGTTTCCCAGAGCCCTAGTCCATTAATAGACACTGTAGCCGGGGTCAAATCCGTCGCAACTCCCCATCATCACCCCGCCCACCCGCACCGTCACCGGAGGCTTTTAGATTTTGGGAAAAGATCGTCTCCGTATCAGATGCCACGCCAGAATACAAATTGAGATTCGCCTTCGCGAACTTTTCCTCCCACTCGAAAGAGGAGCATCTGGTTTTAGCCTCGGATGATGCCAAACCCGGGGATCTCATCTACCGCATTGAGCACTCGAACCTCCCTGTGCTTCTACGCAAAGACTTAGGCGTATTTGAATTCATTGGCGACATTTGCCTCGGTAGGAAAGCGGATGGTGCATGGACAACGCATCATTTGTGTGAGACCAAAGATTCAAAGGACCCCTTCGGGTCGAATTCATCAAAAAATGTCGAGACTATAAACATCAGCCTTGAGGACGAGGTTCGTCACAGGAGACCTCATTATGGTTTGTTATACGATCGATGAGAAGTTGGTACCCTCTTTACAGGAAGATATACGTGTCTTACACCAATAGCTTGCTGGCGCTTGGAAGCACCGCCTCTTGAAGTTCCAAGACTATCATGTTCGTTCTTGATGGGCGTATCCTTTGGGAAGAATCACATTCCATCGCTACGTCTCGTTGTTTGCAATTGTAACCTACCTGACTGCGGTTCAGAACTTTTGTTTGTCGACTATGTTAGACCAAACTTCTCCTCATCTCTGCCTTTGAAAACCCCAGCATCGTCGAATATGCCAAGAAAGCTTCTTAAAATAATACCCATAATGCCCGCAATGCCCACGATGCCCACACATTTCTTACTACCTCACTACATTTTGCCCACGGACACACGTGTGTACGAATCTATTGGGTCGCTCATTATGAGTGGCCTGACGGCTCCTGTTTTGCGCCAGCATCGTTTCATCGGCATTCTGGCGCTTGGCCATACCGGCGTGCCTAAGCTGGTCAAAGTACCTGGACGTGATTGTCGGTCGTACTGTTTCGGCGTTACGCTCATCTTCAACGTCCGCCGACATTCGTGCCACCATCAAGTTTACCGCCGCGACTCGGTTTAGTCAAATTGGTATAGCAGGGTCTCTGGAAGACGTTCGAGACTCATGTTCTTCCTCGACAACCTTAGGCGAGTCGAGGCTGAGGCTAGTCATAAGACACCAAGTGGAGAAGAGGGGATTATAAGATATGTGAAGTTCACGAATGCGGTTTGCAGAAGCGATGACGCCAAAGTTCAGGGTTTAGTAAAATTATTGACTGGAATGGTCCGCCTTTCAATGCGCCACATAATGAATGTAGCAATGCGATACGTTGTTAACACGAGGCTGAATCCAGTACCTGTCACTTTGGCACTTGCAGCGTCAGCAGCGAACAGAGGCATCAATTGGCTGATCTCAGTGGCGACCAGTAGACCAAAGCGTGTGGCTCACACAAACTGCCTATAAGCCACCAAATTACCACCCCAACTTCCTGGATTGTTCAACATCTTCGGATCACTCTTCCCATCCAGCACCATCGTCTTTCCCGCCTTAGTATTCATCCCATACCAGCTCAACGCACTCGTCGTCCCAGCCACACGATTCATATTCTCCTGGCAATCAGGCCCACACTGATTTGTACTATCATAATTCCCGTCCCACGGCCCGTCGAAGAACGCCCACGTCGAACTCGAGTACAGGAAGATGTTCTGTGAATTTTGCACGTTGATCCCAACAGAGGTGCGGCAGTACCCATCGCCTGCAGCACACCAAGAGAAGTCGGGATCGCCGGCGCGGGCGGTCCAAGGGGCAGGAGCAACCTGTACGGCGCCTCTCCCCTGCATGTAGGGCGACTCAACTTGCAAAAGGCCGGCGTACACATTTTGTGCGCCGTTGAAGTTGTAGCCGTAGAGCCAGTGGTGCTCTGATCCGCTGCCTACAAGCCAGGTTGCTTTGGTGGACTCGACGAGGATGCCGCGCCCGGTCGAGATGATTTGGAGTGGTGCTTGTCCATCTTCAGAGTGATCAGCGGTCCATACCCATACTGTAATCCTCAGTCAGTAACTGCATTGATCAAGGTGACGAGAGAAGACATGCAATTTTGCACATATACCGAGCTGCTCGCCGTCAAATGAACACCTGTGTGTGCTGCCTGGCACGCAGTCTGGAACCCGCACGAGCTAGTCACCGTGGAGTCACGCATTCCGCCGATGTTGACGATAGAGTTCCAGATGCCGACGTCTCCGGGAGATGGACCCGCCATGTTCCACTCCATGATCTTCGCTCCAGCCAGCGGCTCTGCGACCGTAAAGCGCATGTCCGAGATTTGAGCAACACCAGCGTCGTTCGGATTGCCGACCTTGACGACGGGAACGGGGTTGTTAGCGTCTTTGAATTTGGCACCCGCGCCGCTGATGACAGGCCAGGCCTCGCCGACGATACGCGTTCCAGGTGGGATAAAGAGGGTGGAGAGGACTACGTAGACGCCATAGGGGAAGTATCTATGATCTATAAGCTTTGCTGCGGAGATGTTCTGACAATGGTTCGAGACTTACGTTATCTTGCAATTCGCCGCATTCTGCAGTAAAATCTGGTTCAGCGCCGCAGAGTCATCCGTCTTACCATCGCCCTTAACATCGACACCCGCATCCTTGACATTGACAATCTGATCTTTAGCATACCCAGCGAACGTCGGCGCATCTTTCATGAAGAACTTTCCCGAGGAATCAAGAAGAGCCGGAGATCGTGTGTTCGGGTACGTAGCGCCTTTCTGGTACTGCCCCGGCACGGCGTTGCCCCAGACCCAAGTCGTTACTGCACTTTGAGCAGCCAGCACAACTTGGTTATTCGAGGTAACTGCTATGGGGTGGTTGGTGTCATGCTTCAAGTTCTGGATGACAATCTGATTGTTTCTGTCCCCCGAGTCGTTCGACGAGTCTCGGAATACAACCGTGTTTCCTGAGCTCTTGCTCTCGGAGTCAAGCAGAATGACATCGCCATGGCCGCCTGTGGCATCGATTCCCATGCCGCACGTGTCGAACGTGACGCCTTGCAAGAGTGAGTTGAACCCGCCCGGTGCGACGTATGCGGTTGTACAGAACTTGAAGTAGATGTTCTTAAAGACGACTTGCTGGTTGTTGTTCTGTATTCCGATGGCTCCACCGGTGATCTGAACGTCTGTGACTGCGATGGTAGAGCCGGCTTGTAGGAGAATGCCCGTGTGGCCGGTGGAGCTGGACGGCATGTTGATTTTAACATTCCCAAGGGCACAGCCTTGGGCTACACCCCAGCGCAGAGCGACGATCTTCTGGCTCGCTGGGAGAGAATTTGTACTGACATATTAACAAAATTCCATGTCAGATGTTCGAAAAGTACCTACTCAATGATAACATTCCGCAACTGGGTCATAAATGATGTCTCGGCTGCGCTAGCAGCATCATAGCCATCCACAAGTACATCTCCTGAGAAACCGGGCGCAGCCTTCAGCACCGGAGGATTGTTCGGATCACCCATGATGATAGTGCCCTTCCTCAGATCAAGTTTCGAACTCAATTGGTACGTCCCACTGGGGATGAATACGTGCGCCGGCTGCGCAGCAAGCGGGCCCTGGTACCTGTTTCCACCCCGACTGTCATCGTTGAGAGCATTCTGAATAGCTGCTGTCTGGTCCCCCGTGCCGTCACCCTTGGCACCGTAGCTCTGGACATTGCGGTATGTTTTATACGTGTAGAAATCGCCCTGTTCAATCAATTCCTGGCGCTCGCGCTGGGAAATATTAAACGTACCAAGAATGGAGCATAGCCGCGAGCATTTCCAGTGTGATCTTGTTGGTCCATCCAAAAACTAGTAGGATTGCTGGTTACTGGGCCGGAGCAGGCAGCGGCAGTCTCAAACTTCGCTTCAACCTTCAATGGCTTTGCCGACTTAATATTGCTAGGATTGTAGGACGCATTGCGGTTGAGCGCAGCAGGGCCTGTGGCAAGGACACTATGGTCAAACATTGTGAGAAGGGATTCCAAAAGATCCATCGCCGAAAACGTACGGTTTGGTCGGACCCTTCGGTACTGGTGGAACAGGCCAGTATGCCGACGCCGGTGCACCTTCGGCAAGTGGACCGGCTCGTCGTCCAATTGCTGCTTCTGCGAAAGCAGCAATCGCTGCTATGTGCAGCAAATGCTGGAGGACTCTCATGTTTGGGTTTGGTACAGGTCCTCAACTTGGTGGTGTGCAAGTTTGGCGGACAAAGAGACCGGTTCGTCTCCCGCTGTGTGGGACCAAGCTATCCCTTATGCATATTTAAAGTCAACCTCGCTCGTAGAATAGGCTGTGTGATTCACAGCTGAACTTTCTCTCGAGCATCCGTGTTGACTAAGGCCGAACATCAGCGGCTGGCCAAGGGAGTAGTGGTGTCACCGAAATGCCCTAGAGGCTTGGTCATCCGGACATCCATCCTCTGATCTGGGAGAAAACTGCAACTTCCTGACGAATTGAGAGACAGGTGGCTTAGACACAAATCGTGGTGGAGTGTGAGATTGGACTCTAAACTTAGCCTAACGTCGCTTCAATCTCCAGCCGAAGCTGTGGAGTTCTTAAGGCTGAGGTCTGGTAAGGAATGCAAGGGAGGTGGCGCCAGCCGCAGGGGTTAAGCGAAGTGTGTAAGCGGGTGTAATCAATCTAGCTGGTCAAAAGGATCACGATGTCCGATCTGTGATTGGGCGACTAAATTACGACTCTTAAGAAGGTGTGCTCACGCGCGAACTGCGAGTCAACATGTGGGGTCCGAAGATGAACTTATTACCCAACGTCTTCATCCAGCCAGAATGAACACCTTGGTTGATCTGAACTGCATGTAAAGTACATCAGATGTGCAAGCATTGCAGATAGTCGACTTGCTCACCGCATACACGGAGAAAAGTGGCTGTCACTAATGGACAAGAAGAGCAGGATCAAATGCGAGTAACCATGGTAGAGATCCCCGCAGAGTCACGGAAGCTAATAGCGCATTACGCGACAAGCAGCGAGATTCAACAACCAGATGCACTTTCTTCAAGTGCAGACATGGGGCAGAACAGAAGACACACGGCCATATTAAATTATTGCCCACCGCCTGTACCTCTACTTCCCCCAAATATGTTTATCGTCGCGTTTCTTGTCCACTCCCCTCTAGTTCCGCCGGTCTACCGCCCTCCAACTCGAGCAGCCCGCCGTTCCCAGGTGCCTCCACAACATGATGCGCGTGTTTCTCCACCGCTGGTACTTCAGCCACAGGAGGTTGCGACATCTGATATGCGTTGCTTCCGTACGGAGTGCTTGTCTCGGACGCCGCCGTGCTCGCAACGAGTGCATGCGCATGCGTTCCTGCTTTATGTCGTCGCCATAGAAGAAAACCAGCTATGCCTGCTAGAGCGAGCCCACCTAGCACACCGCCCACGATGCCGCCTATCGCGCCTCCTGATAGCCCAGCGGAGGACTCCGAATCGGGGTCTGAGCTCGGGCTAGATGTGGATGTTGCGCTTGACGTTGCGCTTGACGATGTAGTCGAACTCGCGAGCGAGCTGGTCGTCGAGGATGGCGAGATGTCCTCAACCTTTACGGAATATGCTGTTGCTGATGGACTGGCGGAACTTAAGGAGGAGAAGGTCTTGTTCATCGACTCGTTCGTTTCGTTGAAAACGGGATTCGAGGAGGTCGACCAGCAGACGTTGATCTGGGCATCTATTTCAGTGCACTGTTCCCTTCGAATCGTCAGCATGTTCTCGCTAACCGTTAACATAGGTGGGCGCCTTGCGATGAGGGACTGGGGCTGATTGATGGATCTGAGAACTCTGCCGGCAAACAGAATACTTACCGATTTTTCGCACAGCAAAAGTCGGAGTCGTCACTCTTTTGACACAGCTGCTGACTTGCGGAAGGCTTCCCGTCGTTTCCGCATGTCTGGGCAAACCCGGTACAAACCCCGTCGTTTGGATAACAACAGTAATACTTGTCGACAGTGAATTCGTAGGCACATATCGCTGGCGGTACGCAGGGAAAGACCATGTCGGGACAAGTGAAATTAGTTGCATCGCTAGAGAATGCAAGCTTCTCGAAAGCCGCGAGAACGAGAGATGGGGTGGCGAGCACAGCGCACAGTTGAAAGAGTGAAGACCGCATGCTGGGCGGCAGCTAACGACGCCGTGTCAAGTCGGATTAAGTGGGAGGTAGCGAAAAAAGTGATGGAGAAGAGAATCGCGAAGGGGACCACAAGACTAAGATCCCAGACAGCGTTCCGCGATCGGGTGCCTGAGGCTCGAGAAATGACATGATTGATGCTTATTATAACTCCCCTGAAGGTCGCCAAATAAGCCCCCATTCTTACGGAGGCCAAATGCCAACCAGTCGACTACGAAACGGACTACGTCGAAGAGTAGCCTTATGGCGGCTGAGAATTAAGCTGCACGCTAGCAACTTACACACTAGCGCCAGGAACATCGCACGATGGATTGCCTCATAAGGTTAGTCGATGACTTAGCCTATCTGTAATTTCACGGTATGATTGGCGAGGTCGTTCAAGCGGAGATCTCGGCAATGGGCTCGGTCGCTCCTATAGCTCTAATTGAAAACGCCCTAGTATTCGCTCGCTTTATATGTTGGACATTGTGAGAGAAAATATGGCGTCGAAGGGGTTTAAGCCCCGGAGGTGATACAATTGGAATTGATACCTGAATTTGCAGAATGGAGTGCCGCCATGAGGGTTAAAGTATAAATCAGTGCATATATTTGTACAGCGTAGGTTACGTTTTCTAACAAAATTGTTATGGCGCGCCGTTGCACGCCAGCCTCTTTGGCCTTCCAAGCAATCATATTGAAGAAACTAGGGATAGTGCATCGCGATATAGGGTTGATGCACGGACGTACATATCGGCAGGGTGGATGCGTTGTCTTGCTTCCTGAATTATACCTACATCGAGGTTCGGGGACCGATTCAGGCTCAGGCGCTGCAGTTTTCATGCCGCCGGAATCAGGACAAAGAAACCTTTGGAACACAACAGCCTCATACGAAGTGTTGTTGTGGTACGAAAGAAGATGGGAGCCTCAGTCAGTCTAAATCAACAAGCTTTGTTTTTTGAGATACTACTTTCGCCCTTTCTTCAAAATCCGGCCTATCGATCCTGACGAGTCTTGGAAGTTCGTGGAGGATCACGACCAAGATGTGGATCCGCTCGTGAAGAAACCATTGTTCCTGCCACAGTAGGCATATGCTGTATTGACGTAGGTACGATGTTCTCAGGGCATCTGTGCTCTTGGCCGAAGATCGCGGATCTAGTATCAGGCTCCAACTGTTCAGGATGAGAAAGTTGGTCGTTTACTGGTTGTCCATTGGCTGGCGCAGTAGTCTCATCTGCGGGAAATTCATCATGAGCAGAGTGTTCTCGCTGCCCTGTATCGTCTATGGCTGCCGGTTGAGCTCTGGATGAGATTCATTGCTGGTCATGAGCCACCATTGTAGACAATTCGATGATTTTCTTATCCATTCCATCTTGCGAGGGTAATGATGCATCCGGTGTCCACTGTGCAGACACGTTCATCCGTGAGTGCCATTCCTTCCCCAGACCGTGTGAGGCTTGAGAGATCGGTGCATGCTGTGGCTCGCAATTACGTGCCGATGCAGCTTGAGAGTATCGTGGTGCTGTCGAACTCGCATCATGAGCAGAAGATTGCATGTCCGTTCTATCACCTTTCGTAGCTTCGAGATCCGAAGATAGTTCTTTGAAGCGCAATCTCGGAACAAAGTTCGACGGGAAGATATTGTGCCATCGGAAGCGTGCTTCATAACCAAATCTCACATGGTCCAACAGTGACTGACCTTCTGCTCCACCATAAACTCCAACGAGGGGGAATTCTAGTTCAGCTAGCCCGGACCACGCACGGAGTCGCTGGTTGGGAAGATCCGGTTGCCTATCAGTTTTTGATCAATGTGTCTCTGCACGAGCAGCCAGCAAATGACGTGTGGGTGTGCTTTAGCCGAAGCTATGGCATGCACAAGTCTTCCCCGATAGTAAGACTGTAGCCGTGCACCACGACGGACAAGAAGCTTGACTGATTCCAGCGTTCCGGTCATACACGCTGCAATTAGCACAGTGCCATGATGACGGCTCGTAAAATCAATATCAACACCAGCTTCGATGAATGCCTGGAGGTTCTGCAAATCCCCTCTCATGGCGGCATGACAAAAGCGGAACGTCTCCAGTCGCGGTTCAATGGTCATCAGTGTTTGGCGGCACTCTTTGGACATCTTCTTCATCACTCTTTTGAAGTATCCGGCGCGGTTCGAGTACGCAACGGAATAGTTAGACGCTGTGGTGAGCATGAAACAATCCGGATCAAAGTGGTTGGTGAGGATATGAAAGAAAAGCTGCTGGTTTTGTAGCGCGTAGTAATGTACAGTACGTCCATAGCGCTCGCGCTCGTTGATGTCGATTCCAGACTCGACTAAGTAATTGAATAACATAAGGTCAGCAGTGTCAGCAGCTAAGTGGAGTGCATTTCTTCCGGCAATGCCGCGAAGCTTGAACACCGTGTCGTTCGAAAGAGACATTATGAAGAGTTGGTGTTGCCCGGTAGCGCACGCATAGAGAAACGGCGTCCAAAGGTAAGAGTCTTGTGTATTCAAGAATGCACCAACATCAATCAGCTTTTTAACAACGCGTATGTTATTTTTAGCCGATACAGCTCAGTGCAAGGGAGTCCGTCCCAGTGAGTCTCTTGATACCAGATCAACACCCAATTTGCGAAGTATGCCGATCGCAAAGACGTTGCCTTTAGCAGCTACCACGTGTAACGGACTGCTAACAGAAAATTCTGGTGAGCATAGGTATTTCAAACATGTCGAGCTCAGACTCAGAGTGTGTTGCTCACTCAAATGGACATTTCAACCGCGACATCGTCGGATGCGATGAAGCATAAGTACTCAAGCACTGTAAAGTGCGCCAACTCGATATACTCGCCAATTTTTCGGGCCAACTACTACAACAACGCAAGATGTCTTCAACAGCAGGTCGCTCCTCTATTTCGATGTCGCTATCCACACCGTTCAGCGAAATACGTCCAGGAGCTAAGATATCTTTAGTCGAGGTGACGATCATGTGACCGGCCCATCCCCTGACCTGCAGTTTCCCTAAGTCTCCACCACAATGGTATATTACCCAAAATAGCTAGTGAGATAGAAAGGGGGATCGACATAGAGAGGAACTTTAATAAGGATAATACCTTGCGTCGGGGCTACAGGGCTGCTTTTCATTAAAATCTTACTGGCTTAGGAAATAAAGCAACTGAAAATCAGACCGACATCTGAAGGTATAATATAACCTATATCATAACTAAGTGAATACTTGAAATGCAGTGTCTTCCGAGAAACGTACATCGTCATCAACTTCTTACCATTCCGAAGTTTTACCCTGAAGGGCATTGCATTTATGAACGACATACACTAGTGGACAAGTCAAACAAGTTGCCGGCCATGCGGTGAGGTCACATTCGAAGTCATCACGCACGGCAAGTGCACAAGTGAGGGTTACAATCAAGATTCGTCAATGGGTATCATGCGGCTACTATCACATTTCTCTAATCGCTCCAAGCCAACTTCACAGCTGATCCAATTCATGCGCAACACCCAGTCGGCCCCGCAGCGGCGACCGACGTCCTACGCTCGTCCTTCTCTTCCCTGTCCACGGCGTCGAACGGCAATCGGACGACCATCCAATCGCAGAGAAACTTGCCCAGAATGGCGCCCAAGATGATGGAGATGAAGATGAAGCCATTGAAGGACATGACAATCAACATGAGAATGTATGCGACGCCCAGCGTGATGCCGTGGATGACCGCCCGCACCAGCTGCTGGAGCGACGTCGCGCGAAATGTGGCATAGTGGGTGCCGAGCGTGGCGGCCGGGCCGTCGCAGCAGTTTGACGGAGCCGCACCGGCGAGAGCGCCCTGCTGGATGCGCAGCTGGCGCTGGAATTTCCGGAGGAGAAAGGCATCCCATTCGGAACTCAGGCGGCGGAGGAACTCGAGGGCAACGACCAGCAGGGCGGCGCCGACGCAGCTTGCGGCGAACATGGCGTTGTTCTTGATGTGCCAGGAGCCCGCGAGGATGCACGAGTCGACGATGCGCCAGTTCCAGAGCATCTGCTGTTCGTTAGCAAAGGTCGCTGGGGAAGAGGGAGTCGTCTTCTCACCTCCATCTGGCACTCGCCGGCGCCCATGACCATGGCGGTGGAGCTGTGGTCGTGCGACATTGTAGAGGTGTACCGTGGACGGGCGGTCTGAAGTCGAGATCTTGGTTCAGCAGCGGCCTAAGGGCTCACCCGTCCCAGGGACCACGACGATATACATATCCGCAGCGGGTGCGCACGATTGCGCGCGCTGTGGATATGGCCATAGGCAGAGCCGGGCGTCCAAGACTCTGAGTGTATAGAAACAGTGGGGGAACTTGCTCAAACGCACGCGCACTTGCCGGAAAGACGCTAACGCCCGCCGAGCACCCCACTGGCCACAGCTTGGCACCGCGCACTTTGTCAGTTGCGACGCTGAAACATGCGAGCAATTATTCGGCTGCCGGCACTCTGCCTACGTTATATACCACCATGGCGCGTCGCCGCCAATCTTCGCGCAGCCATTTGATCATCCACCAAACATGGCCGACCTGAAGATCCTGACTGCCCGCCAGCACATCCAGAACCAGTCCGCCGCCTCTGTTGTCGAACCTCACTGGGGATATGCCGACCGCGTCGTGCCCTGTGTCAACGATGCGGGATCCTGCAACTATCTCGACATTGTGTATGCGGCTCACGACATGGGCATGTACTACACCGGCATCATTTGGGCGACCATCGGCGGCATCCTCATTCTCTGGGCCATCGGACGACACTTCCTACGCGCACACCCATCAGGCGTCGCACTTCCGGAGAAATCCCCAGAAGACGTGAACAAGAGACGGAATGCGATCCAACGCTTCACCACGGCTGTTCCTACCTATGCGCGCCAGTACCTGCTTCCGGATGCCAGCCGGTTCATCTTCGGCCGCGTCACGCGCACCCAGGTTCTCACTCTGGTCACCCTTGTTGGCTACCTCACCATCTGGTCGTTTGTGGGCATTGGCTGGGGCACCTGGATCACGCCCGTCAAAAACAGCCCTGGCGTCTACAACACACGAAGCAGCATCGGCCCATTCGCGGATCGTGTAGGTGTTATTGCCTATGCCTTGACTCCGCTCTCCATCATGCTCTCAAGCCGCGAGTCCATCCTTTCACTCGTCACTGGCCTTCCTTACCAGAGCTTCAACTTCCTCCATCGCTGGCTCGGATACGTCATCTTTCTTCAGTCATCAATTCACACCATTGGCTGGTGCGTTGTAGAACTGCGACTGTACCAACCCCAGCCCAAAGTTGGCCTTGCCTGGATCAAACAGCTCTACATGATCTGGGGCGTAGTCGCCATGATCTTGCTCCTGTTCCTCGTCGTCCTGTCCACGCCCTGGGGAATCCGCGCGACCGGCTATGAGGCGTTCCGCAAACTGCACTATGTTCTAGCCATGGTATACATCGGCGCCTGCTGGGGACATTGGGAGCAGCTCAAGGTCTTCCTGATCCCTGGCCTGGTTGTCTGGCTCATCGACCGCGCTGTCCGCCTCGGCAGGACTGCTCTGCTACACTACAACTTCCTTCCCTCTGGCCACATGGGTTTCCGCGCGGCGCCCGCAGACATCACCTTCTTCAAGGACGAGATCAACGGCGACGTTGTTCGTCTGGACTTTGACCACCCACAAGATGCGTGGTCCGTGGGACAGCACTTCTACATCATGTTCCCCGAAGGCAGCATCTGGCAATCCCATCCTTTCACGCCGCTCAGCCTTCCCGTATTCGGCGCAGACACCCAGAAGCACTCCTACATCTTCCGCGCCAAAGGGGGCGAAACCCGCAAGATCGCCGAACTCTCTGCCAAACGCTCTGCTCGCGCCGCCGACCCGCAAGACTCCCACGAAGGCCTCATGGGTAATGCCAGGCTATCTGTAGTCCTCCAAGGCCCCTACGGCGAACAAACAATGCGCGACCTCGCCTCCGACTCCAACATCCTCTGCATCGCCGGCGGCACCGGCATAACCTACGTCCTCCCCGTCCTCCTGGACCTCGCCTCGAAGCCCCAGAATCGCGACCGCAAAATGTCCCTCGTGTGGGTCGTCCGCCACCGCGGCGACATCGACTGGGTCGCGCCTGAGCTCGCCATCCTCAAGCAGAAGTGCCGCAACCTGCGCGCTGCCATGCACATCTACGTCACGCGCGCCGCAGAAGACGCCCACCACGAGCCCGCGGTCCCTACCGTCGCCGAAAAAGCAGTCGACACGCCGTGCTCGCCAACTAAGGAAATCACGCCCGTCGCCATGGCCAAATCTTCAGCGTCGTCTGTCTCCGTTAGCTCTGCGCTCAGCGTGCACGGCGTGTCCAAATCCGAACTTAACCTCGACCACCTGCAGGCGCGGCCGGATCTCAGACTGCTGGTAGAGGAGTTCGTGTCGAGCACTGTGCGGGGCCGGACGGATGTGTTTGCTTCTGGGCCGGGGGGTCTGATCAGCGATTTGAGGAGTATCGTTGCGGGGGTTAATAGCGGGGCGGGGGTGTGGAGGGGGCGAGAGGGGGATGTTAGGCTGACGTGTGATGATCGGTTGGAGTGGTAGGGTGAGAAGTGGATGGTGTGTGCGATAGACGTTTTGATACCCCAATGCATATTTTCCAATTTTCCATTATGAAAGGGAGCTTGTGCGTGAGCTGTGTTGTGGCGGCGTGGCGAGGGTGTACGAGAGGGACGGGAGGAGAGGCGTGCGAGGGCGTTGGTCTTCGTGAAGAGCGTGGGTAGCTGTGCCAACGCAACACTGAACACTTAGCGCGAGCAGCGTGAACTCATCGCCTTAACGCGTAACGTCCCTCCATGCGCACCATAGGTTGTGAAAATCCACCCGTACCGAAAAGTAGAGGCGTGCTTTAACTTCACAGTGTACCTCGGCTTGCCATCAGCTCCAACGCAGGACTACGAATAGCTCATTGTGCAAAGCTCGTAGTTGTAGTGAAAGCCGCTTGGTGTACGTATTTGTACTTCCGCCGTATGGTTAATACACAATATATCAGAATGCGACGGTGTGCTGGAGGTGTATAACAGAGTGTATGTATCCAACGTAGTGCCAGGTTTTTCTGCGCGTGGGCGTTGCAAGCGCTGGATATGTCTCCAGGGCTGTACATGGAAAGCAGCGGAAGTTTGCGCCAGGTGCCGAGTTAGACCTTGACAAATGGTTTAGATGATTTCTTAGGGGGCGATATAGTTATGCTTGTTGCGCTGTTGGGCTTTTTGGCGGGTTCGAGGTGTAAAGGTGGGCGGGGTTATATACCATATGCTTTGATGGGCGCTAGGGTTTTGCGGTATGGCGACGACCCGGATCGCGATTTGACAGCAACGCCATGGCTGGGTTCTCGAGGGCACTGCGGTTCTGTTCTGCGCGGGACTGAGAGGTCGGCGGAGTTTTGCCAAGTATAGTCTCTCTTTTGCATTGGACGGATACTGAGATGCTGCACGTGAGCTCTTAGTGATGTTGCATCCGAGCCCGCCACTGCATGGGAAGGATGTGCGAGATGGGATTCCAGGGGGAAAATAACTCGGGGTGACGGACCAGGTCTTTGAGCCGACTCGTAGTACTAGCTTCTGGACTCTGCATGCTTGCCCGGAGTGCGTTCTCAAACTCACGCAGAATTTGAAATGCTCCTTTCGATGAGATCGACTTGTCCCCCAGCCAGATTATCGTCTTATTTTCCCGTGAGTAGGCCAATTTGGCTCGCTCAAGAATAATGTGAAGTTCTGAATAGGCTTGGGCCTCAGGATCTGAGTCGGCTATGCACAGGGCCTCCACCTCCGCCAACAGTGTACGGACCTCTAGCGGATGTCTCAAGTGTCGAAGAGCGGAATGCAGGGTAACTATGACGGGGTGAGGTTTTCCATCTAGTTCAATGACCGCAGATGCTAAAGAACCCCTGCCCTCCGGTGCCTATAACAGCGCCTCGTAATATACATTGCTGGCTTCCTGTAGAGCACCCAGCTAGAGGATGCAACTGACAGTTGAAGACTTATAATCCGATGGGTGTAAGTCAACGAGCTGAATTCCCTTCCGAATACGCGTCAAGAATTTGGGCTTGTGGCTCTCACCTGCAAGCGCTACGTTTTGCAATTCCTCCAGGACCTCTGGTCTTAAGTGATGTGGTATCTTCTGGGTGATGTAGTCCAGGAAAATGAGCCGAGTTATGATGACCAGCTCAGCGGGGTCCATTTTGGTACGATACTTTTCGCGGTGCATAACGCCTAGCAACTCAATAGTGTGCTTGACGATATCACCAAGCAGCAATTCTGCCGCTATCTAGCCTTCCGGGAAGATGGCTTGGAATTCCCCTGCTCTCCGGGCAAGTGGTCCTGAGCTCATGGGACCCGGATAGCTTATACGTGCAGTTGTCGCGGAGTACGTCGCTCTATGTTATAATACTCCTGTCAAAAATGCGGGGGAGATATCATCTGCAACTGCGCCACAGAATATGGTCGCGGCGGAGAGAAGACCAGATGAGCGAAATAAGGCTACGATTTGGAAGGCGGAGGCCTGGGGATTGTCCTTTCAGGACGAGGAACTCATGTAGCTAAAGTAGCACGAGACCAACATGAATGTTCTTCGAAACGAAGCGGAGTAGGTGTAGACAGTTCTTACGATAATCATGAGTAAAAGAGATGTGATGCGGCTGAGGCATTAGCACGGGAACTTGGCGGTGAATTCCATCCACGCTATGCTTGTTTTAGCCACGCTATACCGACTTCACGTTGTGCCTGCAGCTTACGTACACTGCCATATGCTGCGGTTGCAAGGACAAGCTAGCACAAAACGACCCCAGGCGTCGCCAGAAAGCCGTACGAGAGATTCATCTTATCTTATATTGTCCCTTTCCGCCGAAATTCACCCATCGAATTGTATTCTCCGCAAATACGGTCAGCGCACCTTTGTGGTACTCGACTGAATTCGAATAAACACCTGGGCATGACTAACCTCACCTCCATCCGATAACCCAAGCATTGCCTCCAGCAGAGACATCGTTCCTTGACCATGACCGCGCCAGCTAGACCTACCATCGTTCTTCTACAGGGTGCATTCCAGTTACCCGAGGTCTATCACGCTTTTGTCAAGCTCATCGAAGCCCACGGCTTCCCCGTGACACAAGCACCGTATCCTTCGCTCAATCAAGCAGACCTGGACTTCATCTCGAAAGACCTCAACGACGACGCCGCCTCTGCCGAAGCGTGCATCCGCACACTCGTCGAAGAAGAGGGCAAGACTGTCGTCGTAGTCATGCACTCCTACGGCGGTCTCGTCGGCGCGGAAGCCGTCTCTGAGGCGCTCACGCTGAAGCACCGCAAGGCGCGCGGCTTACCCGGTGGTGTGGCGCATTTCTTCTTCCTCGCAGCTTTTGTCATGGATAAAGGACAGTCTGTCGCGAAGACTGTGGGCCCGTCGCCTGATCACGACATCGTAGATGGGAGGTTCATAATGCGCGATCCGCTTGCAAAGATGTACAACGACGTGGCTAGGGTCGAAGCACAGTATTGGGCGGCCAGAGTCATTTCACAGAGCGCTGCGGTAATGGATACGCAGATGGAAATATGTGCGTGGAAGTATGTGCCTTCGACGTATGTGGTTTGCACGAAGGATGAGGCGGTGCGTCCAGCTGTGCAGGAGATGTTTGCGGGGCTGGCGGGGTCAGCTGTGATGAGGGTTGTGGGCGGGCACTCGGCTTTTCTGAGCAAGGCTGAGGAGGTGGTGGGGTTGGTTGGGGAGGTCGCTAGTCAGTCCTTTTAGGGAAAAGAGTTGGAAATCACACAGAGCGGTACGACTACTTAAAGGTGTCTATATAACCGAAAGCGAGGATATTTTATGTGCACGGTTTTCCTATGGTAGGATAGCATGAACGTAATTACTAGGATCTAACCGAAAGTAAGGCCGAATTGGGTTTGTATACTAATCAGTCGCATCGGATCGTGGAGGAGCCGAAAACCGAGACATGGTTCGTATGTTGCAAATTCCATAGGAATATGCAAGCTTCGGTATCACTACAATCGAGATAAACGTAGATATCGACGCCCATTTACTCATCTGTGAAAAGCTTGCGTAGGGCTCAACACTTCAGTCCCTTGCTGTCGTCTATTGCATCGCAACTTGTTTTCAATCCAACCTTTAATTGCAAAGTAGAGTGACCGCTTCCTGTAGCTACACAGCGTTAAGATCTGTCCGAATGACAGTGGCCACAAGAATCACGACGGGACTAGCGCTGTAGCGGGCTGCCATCCGTATATCACTTCTCGACCCATCACAGCCAAGTAAAGTGCGCGGCTAGCTCGCAACATACGTTTGTCTCCTATAGTTTAACACCCGGACTCGCATCGTACCTCTTCACATCCTCTCCAGGCACGCCTGGCCACCAACTCACCCGATCCTTAGCGAAAATCTCTCTCCTCGGTCTCAACTTCGTCTCCACAAGATTGAAATCATCGACGGTGCCCAGCCTCAAAATACTCAGCCCTGGAAACCTTTCAGCAACACGATACATCAACGTTCCACAGGTGCTGCAAAAATAGTTCGTCATAAGCGTATGACTGGCAATAGAAGCGCTTTGTGCAAAAGTCTTGAGGTTAGATTGACCGCGGAGATGCTTCAGGTACTTGTCGTCGACGATAAAGGCGGAGGTGAACATCGAGGCGGTAAGTTTGCGGCAGTCGGTGCAATTGCATACGAAAGAGTCTACAAGGCCGGGAGCGGTTGTTGACTGGGACGTGTTAGTGAGTCGCAGCAATAGTGGGCCACTTGAGGAAAGTATTTTGAGTAGCACTCACGAAAGCGAGTTGGACGGCGCCGCAGAAACATGTAGCTGTCGCCTCGTCTTCTTTGGACCAACCATCGGTGGCTACCCCGGCGAGCGGAATGTAAGGTTTCGATTTGTCGGAGTCTCGGACGGATGTCATCTTTTATAGATGTGTCAAACACTGAGAGGTGGATGGAGTAGACGTGTTACCGGACATGGATCAAGGGCTCGGGGGTTTTATGCTACCTTCGGCCGAAGGTATCTTGCTTACCCCTCCCGACACTAGAGGAGGCGCTAGAGCCGGCAACCTAATCTTGATGCTCGTTCGTGCTTATCCGAGGCTGTCCGTGTAACGGGCTCATGTCGGACCGCACATCTCTTCCACTTCGTGTCGATTACTCATCCACGGTTATGCCCAAGAACCATTCCGTAGTTAATGTTTCTTCCACTTCGGGTCAATCAATTATCAATGTTATGCCCACGAGTCATTCCGTCGCTATATATCATTTACTGATGCCCAGCGCTCACTCAGCGTCTAGTTTCCACTTGTACTAGGTTTTCACCCAGTTCACGCGCGCTCACAGCCAGGCCTCATAATAGCGGCCACCCACCAGCATGACTAAGCCTACTTTTGTTCTCATTCCAGGAGCATGGCACGATCCTGAGAGCATGGCCACTGTGACTTCCAAGCTGAAAGATGAAGGCTATACCATTTATGCCCGCCAGATGCCTTCTGTTGGTAATTCGACTCCGACCAAGGGTCTCTTCCGGGATATCGCAGCAGCCCATGACCTGGTGGAGGAAGCCATTGGTGAAGGAAATGATGTCGTTGTTGCTACGCACAGCTGGGGCGGCGTCGTTACAGGTAGCGCCATCGCCGGGCTAGGCAAGAAAGAGCGGATGGCCAAAGGGAAGAAAGGAGGTGTCGTCAGAACAGCTTATATGGCCGCATTCATTGTGGCTGAGGGTGTGAGCGTAATGGATGCTGTTCAGCATCGTGTTCGTCAGTGGCAAGACATGCATGTACGTTTTCTCCTTACCTATTGTTCCAATTGCTTTGGTGGTTCTTGTCTGCCGCATGTCATGGATCTTCCGCTTATTGTATCTATCAGGAGCTCTATGTTCCATTTCCAGATGCGAATATGCTGTACAACGATCTTCCAGAGGCCGAGCAGCGACACTGGAAGTCACAGCTACTGAGTCAGGACATGGTGAGCTTCCACGAAAAAACAACAGCAGCTAGCTGGAAAGGAATTCCCACGAGCTACCTACTCTGTGAGGATGACTTGGCCATACCAGCAACATTACAAGAGCACATGATTCGTGGTGTTGAGGAGACTGGTGCGGAGATTGAAGTTACACGACTCAAGTGTGGGCATAGCCCATTCCTCAGTAAGCCGGATGAGACGGTGAAATGGCTCAGAAAGGTTGCTGGAGAGGAATTGTAGGCGAGGCTATTAGTAAAGCTGTAAAACCGTACGTTAAAGCTTCAGTTAAGCTTGAACGTCGGAGGAATAATACGCGGCTATAACAAACCGTAACAAATCATGAAGAGTAGGGTCTCAATATAATATATGAATAAGCCCTTTATTATAGGAGTATTTAGAATTCTAGACAATGAGTCAATGTTGTTGATGGCATCCATAGTATTCCCTTCCTCTCCAAGCTTCTAGCTGCCGGCCTACCAGCATTTTACTCCTTCAAGCGCACTCCCCAGGTAGCACCTTGGATGCGGTGAGCATCACTAACCATACGCTGGTAATCGCGTCGTGGTGCAGCGTCTGAACGATGGCTTGGGGGCGACGAACCATTTGGCCAATGAAACCACCGGAAAGAGCTTCCAGTATCGGGCCCTGAGCACACCATTTACCCAAATAGTTCCGAAACAGGTAATACTTGCGAGCAGTGTGTAATCGCACGATTGGTTCGTTACACCATCCGCCGAGCATTCTAGGCAGCAGCAAACTCCAAACCCCATCTTTCCCACAAATGGTCTTCTTGGAATATACACATGAGACCTCGGGTAGTCAAAACATCCTAAGAGCTTCGCCACAATTCTTTCTTTTGCGTTAGCTCGAACCGAGGCTCTGCATCTATAGCTGTCGTTAGCCACAATTCAACCAGCAGCATAGCACACCCTTCAAAAAGGACATAAGGTCTGTTTCGGAACACCGTTTCGCAGTCAAGGATAATCAAAGTTTACCCTGTTCCAGAACCTTTGCACTCTTTGAAAATGTCGGCGAAACACGAATATGCCCAATCGAAAGAGCTAAATGTCTCCACGCCTATTGCTGCGCCGCAAGGCCACTACCAGGACATCTACGCTGGCAGCTCGCAAGATGATCCGCCCCTCTATACGGAGAAAAAAAGACGTCAGTCGAGATCGTATACAACAGCTTCTCGAAGAGGCACAAAAAAGATGGTAATACGATACCGATTACAGAATGCCCGCGGCTTCAGCTAGGCTTCTCCTTGACAACGCAACGAAGGCGAGACATAGTACATACATACTTTACTGCGATCAAGACGAAAGAAGACGAATTCGTTGCAGCTCTTATCGAAAATGGTTTGGTCACAGCCGAAACGACGGACCTTTACGGCCGAACGCCACTTCTGGCCGCCATAGAAGCCGGCAACGCTGGGACGGTACAGCGACTCATGGACTTCAATGCAGACGTAAACGCATATGGTATAGCATCCGGATTAATACCCGTACCGTACGAGTCGGTCATGCCGAAGAAGATCAAGATCTACCGCACACCACTGCACGTCGCCGCCGAAATGGGCAACCTGACCATCGTCAAGTTGCTAATAGAAACATACGGCGCGGACGATCGCTCATCGCACCGGATGGCGAGCTAGCGCTCCGTCTAGCATCGCGTAATGGCCATCGAGAAATCGTCGACTACCTCCCCTCACGACGAGGCGGCGGCTTCAGGAGATGGAAGACAAAGCACCAGAAAGCCGTGCGGCGCGTCAAAAAAGCGGCAGGGAAGATACGCTGGTTCTTCGAACTCGCACTATACAAGCTGCCGCTATGCTTCCTCTGGCATATCCCGAAGAACGTCATCGTCGAGCCGCTCATAAAGGAAGTGAAATGGCTTGTCAAGAATTATAAACGTCTTCCTCAGGCCATGCTCGCGTCGTTGAAGAAAATGTGGGTTAAACTGAAGAAGTTCGGCAAATATGTAGGACGAAAGCTCTGGGGGACCATCAAGGGCTTACCGAATGCCACGAAATTCGCACTTGTGTGGGTTTGGAACGGGATCAAGAGTGCCGGAGACGCGGTGCTCCATATCATTACGCGTTTCTTCGCCTTCATACATACAGCCATCACGGCCATTGCGGAGTTCTTCCGAACGATAACGCTCAAAGACATTTGGTATGGTTTTGTTGCGTTAGTAAGAGCCGTGTTCATTGAAGGCCCGAAAAAGATTTGGAAATGGTTGTGCAAATTCGGGGATATGATGGAAAAAGTGTTTGAAACGTTGTGGGGATGCACGGGGCAGGTTTTGTGGTGGATAATAGTGGGCCTGGCCACATTTGTCTGTATGGTGCCGAAGGGGATACTAGACATATTAGTAGCTATTGGAGGTTCTATCGCGAAGGGGTTTGAAGAGGTGATGATTTGGTTCAATCCGAAAAGGTAGTAAGCCGATAGCTATGGATCCCGACCCTGTTTCAAAATTTTGGTGTACCCCCACCCACCTTAGGCAGATCCTATCGGGCTGTTACATCTCATTGGGAAGTGTTATATGTATATCGAAAATGATTTTTCCCAGCCCTATGTCTTGCGTCCGCGAGCGACTCTCCTGACTCTGGCACAGGCTGAAGAAAATGTTTGCGGAACAATATCGCCAGAACAGCAGCACTTTTGACTTATGAAAGGCGCTTGCCCGGACATACTCGATCTCCATGCGACCAGGGATGTATTTCCCGTCAGTAAAGGTGCGACCCCGTTCTGACTCAAGTCTTCCGTTTGTCTGAGCACCCCTCGCAAATAGAGTAATATAGCCCTTAACATCAATGCGTCATCGATGGAACACCAGAGCGTTGCTTCATAGCGTACGTTCCAGTAAACACGCGAATCCTCTTTCCAAAGAAAAAGACAGCAATGCCCAACAAACCAAACAGCGCAGTGAGTCCTGCATACGTCCCAAACGACCCATCATACCCAGCATCATCAATAAACTTTGCGACACCATAACTAACCCCAAAGCTCACAAAACCACGGAAAGCTGTGATTACCACTAACACAGGTCCTGCGCGAGCTGGATACGAGTCAAGCAAGTACGTAATAGCCGCAATATTCGCCCCCACAAACGCAAAGTAGTACCCTGCATTGGCAAAGACGATGGCGAACCAGTGATACTTGTTTGGGTGCGCGCCTGCCTGTCCATAAATAACAGCTGCGATCACGCCAATCGTTATAGGTATCCAGAGAAGTAAAAGTCTGTTTTCAGGCTCGTGCAGGCCGCCATTGCGACGAGCGCGCCACTTGATCAGGAAGTCGGAGCCATTACCGAGCACTGGGAGCGCGACGAAAGCGACAATAATCTGACCAGCGTTCACGTAGGAGGCGGAGCTATCAGGCCAGTTGTAGGGTGGCTTGGTGACGATGTTGCCATATGTCGTACCGATAGCGATGTTTGTACCAATGGTAAGCCCGTTGAGACAAAATGCCCAGAAGACATTAGGAAAGAGTAGGATTTGAAACGTGTGGATGAAGCCATACCAGCCCTCCAGCCAATCTGCTTTATCAGCGAAGATACGCACATCAGACCAGAAAGTTCGCGGAGCATATTTTTCGAAGTCGAGCGCAGGCCTGTTCGCAAGCTTGACTGGCGGCGGTGCAGAAGCGCGGGAGCCATTGCTTTCACCTCCCTCGTCGGTAGAAAATTGGCCGTATGATTCCAACGTGCGATTGTACCTGCTTTCTGGGACCCATGGGAGCGAGAGCAGAAAGACCACGGCACAGATACCAGCGCCAACGTAGTACCAGTTTGCAGCTCCAATGGCACCTGCAATAGGCGAGGCACAAATCACGTACACAGCAGCAACGGTGGTCTGGATGGCGGATTGCCACATCAGCGATGTAGAGCGTTCGTGCATGAAGTGGATCTCCTGCACTTACTGTAAGCTAACATAAACATAGAACCTTCCAAGATACTTACCTGGATCATCATAGGAGCCAATGCCTCGCTCTGGCCGGCAGCGAGACCAAGTATCATCCTAGCACCAAGATGCCAATTGTAGTCCCGCGCACATGCAGCTAGTACAGCGCCTCCGACCAGCACAAGCAGTGATCCGAGATACACCGGGCGACGACCAATCGCTAATGCCAGTGGCATACAAACGAGATTTCCGATTCCCATGAAGACGGTCGGATATGTCATCAGAGCCGTGATATCAGTGTAATCGGCGCCGTTCGCAGCATATTCGGGAATGTAGAAGGTTAGGAGTCCACCGAAGCCCGACACAAGACCGAGACTGATGCTGGAAACTGCGAAACATCAGCGAGATGAGACTGGCTAGTTGAGACGAACTGAGCTTACAGATGGAAACAAGCGCAACGAATACAATTTTCCTCCGCTTTGACATGTTCAAGGGATCTTGCAATACCCGTCAGCATTGCGGCTGCATCTGTTGTTGAAAAGAAGCTAGCACCTCGAGGATCAGCGCTCGGCGCAGGGATTAAGAAGATGTCTTCCATATCCGTGATCATGACAGTACCCATAGCGGCGGGCTGCTGAACTGGTTTGGTCGTCATCTCTTCGTCAGAGACATGGACATGTTCAAATTTTTGAACAGTCGCCTCCAGCGGCTTGACGTCTTTGGTTATATCCATGGTGACGGTACTAGTAGCGTGTGGAAGAGGTAGGAAAGCGTATTTGAGATACAACCCGCTCGTCAACTACCCGAAGAGCAACAAGAGTTTTCACGGCCGTGTTTTGCAGAAAATGAGAGCCAGATCGCAAGGACTAATATATGGTGATAATGTGCTACTCAGCTGGTTCCATCTGCGACAATGCCGCTATATTCTACCTTGCTCCCACGAAAGCCGAGAGACGAGTGGTGCAACTCCTCAATCTCCACAACCCGCCCAGTGGGTCTTTCCCCAGATTATTGTGCGTGTGGGGAAGGCAGTGTCATTGGGCGCGATGGCGGGAAAGTGAGGGCACTTATTGACGACGTGGTAGATTGTGGGTTAGCGCGCGGGAAGTGGGCGGTACAAACTTGCGCCGATACTTCACATCCTCAAGTCTGATACCCGTGGCTTATACATGCCTACCGAGGTATTGCCGTATATAGTATTCTTAGTTCTGTTGCAATACGTCTTTCAGACCTTTTCGCATGCTGGAAAGCATGCTAGGTCATCGCACGTGCGATTGTGCGTTTAAGATACCTCAGTGGCGGATATTGAAAACTGAATTAAATTGTGCTAGATTCCGAGCTTCTTATGTCGAGATGTTAGACAATTCGCTGGAGGCTTAGTAGATCATAGTGTAGCCTAGGGCGATTCGCTGTGTAATGCGTGTTCGAAATCCTGATTTAATAGTGTATGGCCGTAGCTCATGTTGGTGCGAGAGCCGGTTCAGTACTTCCCCAGGTTTCCCCGCATCTCGGTTTCGGATCCTGCATGCATGTCCACACTTTCCGAAAACCCCTCCTCACCAGCTGCGCACTCCTTCTCCGAAATGCCAGCAGCCTCGACAGGGACGCGAAGGCGACGACGCACAAGCGGATCGTGCGCTTCGAGTGGGACTCCGTTTGAATGCCAGGTTTGCAATCGTCAGTACGATCGCGTGGACCACCTGGAACGGCATTTAGATTCACGTGAGTTCAGAATCTGATGCGTTCAGGACAGTATTCATCTCAGATAGACCGGAATGTAAGACCATTTCGATGCGAAAGCTGCCCCGCCGCTTTCAACCGCAAAGATCTACTCCTACGACATCAAATAACCCATGAAAAGAATGCTGCCCGAGGCCAAGTTGGTCCTAATCACGTTGCGGAAAGAGCCGTCAAAGCTTGCGATGCCTGCGTACTCTCCAAAGTGAAATGCGACAACTCGAGGCCTTGTCAAAGATGTATAAAGAGGGGCGTACTATGCACAACGAAGTCGGTCCAGTCGTCCATATTATCACCGGTGGCTACAAACCAAGGAGAACAGAGTTTATCTGGCTCTCACATCACACCAGAACCAGGCTCTGTAACATCAGACATTGTAGATGCCCAGGCATTACTTAGCATCTGTGACAATGCATACCAGCACAGGCAAGGAGTGCCGGCTTTTTTCGACCAGATAATGGTACCTGAGCACGCCTTCGTTGGAGCGGACCCGGCACAATTTCCCGATTTGACGATATGGCTACCGGAAACAGATTGGGCTGAAGAGATCGACCTATTCGATAATGATTTCGGACTCACAAATGGCCAGACATCTGAGGCCCAACAGATTTTGGACAACTTCTTCGCGCCTGACTCACCAAACCGTGCAGCTCCCGAACGCGAGGACGAGGCGAAGAGAAGATCTGCAATCTTTGAGCAATCACCTTGGTATGACTCAGTGTGAGATACGAGTCTAGTGCTGACGATTTTATAGGCTCTGGGTACCGACTCGCAACCAGCACGCGTTCAGTGAGCATGACGGCGTCACTATTGATGAGCAGCACGTTGACATTGCTACTTCGCCACATGAGCCATGCTCGTCCAATATCACCATCTCAGATACTCTATCTCAAGGGGCTCGTGATCGTATATTTCAGCTCGTGTCAAAGACAGCGGCCAGTCGCGTCATCATACCATCATTTCCGTCTGCGGACTGTCTCGACAAGCTGATCAAAGTTGGCATCGCAAAGAGGATGGAGACGGATGCTTGGATTCATCCGTACACGTTTGAAAGTGAAAGCACTCGATTAGAGTTCCTGGTTGGACTCATAGCTGCAGGATGCGTTTGCTTTGGTCTTCCTTCGGTCAACCGGACCGGTCTTGTACTCCAGGAAATTGTGAGCAATCCGTGAGGTGGTCTTCCACCCTGACTTGACTCATACTGACTTTACACTCGCGCGTTAGGTGAGGGTTGCGTTGCAAAATCTCGCAGAAAGAGACAACAGCGCCTTTCGCGATTTGCAGTATCTCCAAGCTTCTATGGTATGGCTAGATATAGGAGCCTTTTGTGGTTATCAACGAAAAATGGAAATTGCCGAGAGCAATCTGCTTCAGCTTGTGACGGCAATGCGACGCGCCGGAAAGTACGACAAAGTCGCGTATTCGTCCATAATACCCCTTCCAGAAGACAGTAAAGACGATAATGAGCGTAAATGGCGCCTGTGGGTCAAGCTCGAGTCTTACAAGCGGCTTGCTTGTCATCTCTTCGAGCATGACATTGATATGACCATGGTAAAGCATCGCAATCCACTGCATTCATATTCAGAGATGAGCTTTCCTCTGCCATTTTCCCGCTCATTGTGGCTCGCCCCCTCTGCAGAGGTATGGCGATCCCGGATGTTGAGCTCGGACAAGAACAACGGGCTGTCGTCGTTACGCGACTTGCTCAAAGACGAGGTTCCGCTTTCTTACCTCTCTCCGGCCGTCGACTACAATATTGCCCGGTCTGTTTATTTGCATGGGATTGCAGCGCAGATTTGGGGGCATTCACAGCAATGCGCACTCGTTGACGAAGACAGCGATCCCGCGTCGCAGCTGTGGCTGAGATCACGACACCAAAGGTTGTAAGCTATCACCATTTCCTCAGAAAATTCGTTCAACAGACTAATACCATGCAAGATATAGCCTCCTCAAGAAGCTTTCGCTTCCAGAAGACTCCCACCCGGCATATACTCGCGCCCTACATGCTTTCCTTCAGATGTACCTACACGCCTCCGTTGATACTATCACGCGCTTTGCAGGGAAATGCGGTGAAGAAGAGGCAAACCGGGCTTATACTCTCCTTCAACCTTGGAGCCAGACAAAGGACGCCCGTATTGCGATATACCATGCAGGTCAGGTGCTGCGTGCCGTGCGCCAAGTCCCCAACCATCAACTTCGCGGACAGGATGCTCTTGTAACTCATCACGCCATCATGGTGTTATGGACATACAGTATGATGATGAGCGATCGTGCGCGCAGAAGCGGTTTAAACACTCCTTTACGCGATGCTCAATCATCGATGCTCAATCATGGTTCTAAAGTCTTTCTAGATGCACTTACATCGTCCAAGTCGATCGATATTGATGCGTTTATTCAAAAAGAAGTCGGGAAGCCATGTATCACTTCTCGCGTCCACACCATGAGCAATGCCACGCGAGCGGTTGACGAAGAGATACAGTTCTGCGATCTCCAATCACCGTCGCAAATAATGAAGATCGGAGTGGAACTCCTGGATGCAAAGCATCCAGAAGTCGAGCGACGGGATAAACCACCTCTCTTGCGAGCGTTGTGTAACTTGATGGAAGGACTAGGACGTTTGCCCTGACAAAGATTCTTGAAACCTAGTATATATGTATACGCAGTCCATAGCTGCTACATTACCGCAGGCAGTATAATCCACGAAACAGTTAGAAATTGTAGTCGATTACACGACCATATATAGCTACACATCACCTATTGTGTTGACATGCGAGCGACCTCCGCCACATTCTGTCGATGCCATAATATGACCTTTTTTGCACGATATATTCCTTCTTCCACACGTTATACCTGATATTGGCCCAACTGATATGGAGCCGCCTCTTCACTAAATTGCGCATATTTTCAGGAGTATAGCCGTGATGATACGGTAATCAAAGGTAATTGATTACAAAGAGAGAGTTTCCATTTGATATCTACATCGGCACAAACGGTAAGATAATCTTGCTAGGCGTGTCAGGCCCAACATGGATGCGATGTATACCCTTGTTCTTCTCCTCTTCTGGCCGAGGTTTCGAGAACGCCGAGTACTCTGCAATACCGGGAAACGACCCACCGATTTGCACGCTGATAATCTCTCCCTCATCAAAGTCAACACCCATAGACCAGATCCCAATCTCCAACTTTACCACATGGCCCGGCTCTATCTTCTCCTCAACATCGTGCGGATGGAAGGGAAACTGCGGGTGAATGGACCTTTCCGGGTCAAACTTGCGGTGACTTGCTCGTAGCATACCGACACTTCCAGGGTGCAAGTTCAAGCTCTGTCGATCTTTCTCTGGGATCTCGTCGATGCTTTTGATGCCCGTGGGAACGGCGGAGAATGGGAAACATAAGTGCATCAAGAGTTTGCCATTCTTGTCCCGCTTTCGGAGGATGACATAGACGTTCATATCGTTATGTTCCTTGGATGACATGTATAGAACAGCTTTAGGGAGACCAATCAGGCGCGAGCGCTGTGGGAATGTGTAGGAAAATTCGGCAATCGAGGTTGTGGAAGTAGAATCGTAGGTGACGACTGCAGCCGCAGATATTGCTTTTTTCTCCAAGCCGCCCTGGGACAAGAAAAACTCGCGGTATTGAGTACCAGGGATAGGGAAGTCAGCAAACTCGATGTCGTCGATAGCTTCGCGATCGCCAAACTGCAGGGCCGTCCACCGCACTTTTGGCGTCTTATCCCAGTCGTTATCCTCGCCGCGTAAGAACCTGTCAAAATACCTGTGTAGCTCTTTGTCGGCAGATGGTACGCAGTAAAGCTCATACCACTCCTGATAGGAACTCCACCGTATCCATTTAGTGTGATGTGACAATTCCAACCATCCCCGGATAGATCCCATGGTGTGAATACTGCTGAAGTCACTACCGCTAATGAACACAGGGACCTCGATCTTGGAGATGTCCGCACGCTTGTCTTCCCAGTACACATTGGATACCGGTGATCTGCGATACATTTCCGCGAAGTCTTCAACACCCCCACCAGGATTGTTTGTCTTGATGATGTAGTGGGTTATCAAATCGAAATTCGACATGTTAAACACCCCGCCACGGACGAATTGCTCTCGATATATGTCAGCAGAGCCTTCCCAAGGAGCGATAGCTGCGAGGTGCGGTGGCCGAAGACTTGCCACATGCCATTGGATGATAGCTAGCGCCGAGTTACCTGCCATGCCAATCTTTCCATTTGACCATGGCATAGCAGCAATCGCCTCGATAACATCGTAACAGTCTTCCGCATCTTGAGATCCCATGATCGGTATTGACCCGTCCGAATTGCCCGTTCCTCGTGAATCTACCGAAACGATAGCGTAACCACGCGGACACCAAACCACGGGGTCGAGCCCCTCAAACTTCTCAAGTCCACTGAGCGCTTCCCTTGGTACGCAACAATTCCACACGCAGATGGGTAGCATATGCAATGCAGAGTACTTCTTGCCATAGCATGACCAGCTTATGACTGCTGGAAGCTTCTCGTCCTCAGGTACATCCGCGGGGCGGTAGATGTCGGCATATAAACGGCAGCCATCGCGAACCTTGATTTCGATATCGTGGTCTATGCAGATATCGGACTGAAGAGGGCGCGCATTGTACGGATTGGCGCCTTTTCGCAAAGTTTCGGTCTTGCCGGGTGTGAAGCCTTGGTAGTTATTGACGTCTTTCTCGGGCTTGGAGATAGGTTTGTAGGCGACCTGGAGGGGAATAGGCATTGCGTTATGCAGAGTGGTGTTCTTGAAGCTGCTGCGTCGGAATCCGAAACAGTATATGTTAGACGTACTAGAAAATACGACATTCACGAGATTCGAAATTTGGGTAGTACATCTTTTTAAGAAACCGAAGAAGTCCACCACTTGTTCCGAGATCAACTTCGACTCCGTTTGATCGAAGATCGTCCGGCTGTTGATTGATGTTCTTCCGGCTGTTCTGTTCTGCCCACATATTCCGATATCCGATACTCCACACGGGAAGTGGAGTGACACCATCGCCGAACCATGTGCTATAGAACATAAGAACAACGAGCACTTGTTCTTTCATTCACCTGCACCTCTTCCTTTTCACTGAAGTTCCTTACTGTCATTGTTAATTACGGTCCCCAGCCCTTCTAACAATATGACACCCCACGCAGAAGAACCTACTCCAGATACTGGTGTCGACCTTATCCAACACGACGGCACAAAGTTTGGCGACTGGCGCGACCAATTCCACCAAGAAGGATGCGCCATTGTAAAGGGCGTCATTACTCCTGAACGCGCGGAATATTACAAGCGCAAACAGATAGAATGGCTACAATCATTCAACCTAGGCTTTGATCCTGATGATGAGTCGACGTGGACAGCTGACCATCTCCCCGTCAGTTTCAAGGGTGGCATGTACTTCGCCTACGCATCTACACACGAGAAGTTCGTCTGGGAAGCCCGCACGGAGCCCAAGGTTATTGATGCATTTGCGAAGCTTTGGGGCACGGAAGAGCTGATCGTGAGCTTTGATGGCATGAACATCACTCTCCCGCGTCAGAAAGATCTGACTTGGAGTCCTTGGCCGCACACCGATCAGAGTCCACATAGGAAGGGCATGCAGTGTGTGCAGGGACTGCTGAACTACCAACCGAACGGGGAGAATGACGGTGGCCTCATCCTGATGAAGGGCAGCTCAAAGCGGTTCGACGAATTCTTCAGAGAAACGAGGGAACAGGATGACCACGAAGATAAACCGCCGGAGGGCTCAGACTTCAAAGACTTGTTCATCTTCAAGGAGTCGGATGTCAAATGGTTCGAAGAGCGCGGGTGCAAGCTAGAAAAAAATTAATCTTAAGCCTGGCGACATGGTAGGCCCCCCCCTAGGTTCTGTTCTTTCCGCAACTCTAACCTTGTTTAGGTACTTTGGGACTCTCGTACCATGCACTACGCATGCTTCCCGCAGGGCGAACGCATCCGACACGTGCAGTACGTGTGCATGACACCTCGCAAATTCGCCAAGCAAGAGGACTTAGACCTCAAAGCGGACTTGTTCAACAGCTGGCAAGGAACGACACATTGGCCGCATTGTAACATCCATAAGCAAGGCCCACCGCTGCGAGATGGAAAAGAGGATCCGCTCAACAGGCATGAGCCGCTCGAGAAGCCGGAAATTACGGACCGGTTACTGCAGTTGGCGGCAATGAAGGCTTATTAGGGTCCTATAATTTCCTTTTGGAATTGCCCTCAGAGCTTTCGGGGTAGCTGGTTGTAAAGGCTTATGGTTGGTTCTTAAGTGCGAGGATAGTTTAGTATATTATTTAGCTCGAAGCGCATGACCTGCACAAGAAAGAGCAGATAATTGTTTTGAGCCGTATTGCAAAGATTGACGGTTCAATTATTCCGTCTGTATGTGAGATATACTGCATATGCTATCCAGGAAATGCTCATTGCCATTCCCCATAGCATGAATCCACCCAAAAATGTGCTCGAGTCTCGTCCCCTTCTAATAATGTCCCAGGCTGTCACTTTATATCCATCGTATTCTTCCACTTCTGTCTCCTGCATGGCATCGATGTCTATGGAAAAAGCCGTATCCGCTGTCACCAGCTCGCCTGACTTGACGTTTATGATGCCAGTGGATCCAATAATCTCGTTGTTCTTATTGAGTGCTTCTGCTCGAAGGTAGGAAGCGTTCGAGTTGGGGAGAGAGATCTCTGTCTCAAATCCACTGCGCGGAACACGAGCTACTACATTGGCAGTGTCGTTCGAATTGTTTCCAGATCCAGTGGCGAGCTATGATTCGACATACGTCAGTCTCGGAAACGTATCCTCAGCATACCTGCACTTACCAGAACCCATTCCCTGACTTCAGTAGCCCCGTTCCAGCTAAGATAAACCAGTGGAGCAGCCTTCCAGTGTCTTACTGCGATCTCAGGCGGCCAATACGGCGAAGCTTTCCAGTCCTTTCTGAACGCTCGGTAGTTATCTAATGCGTGATCGTTGGTGGCTTTGGATAACCATGGCGAGAACTGGACATTCAAGACCGCTTTACCGTCTGGGGTATGCTCTGTGAATCCTGGCATTCGGCCCCAGCCAATGAAAACATTTCCGTCATCCAAAATCTGCATGCTTCCTTGACTCTGGCTGACCAGGCCAGCGGGATGCTTATACTCTTGTACGAGCTGGACTGTTTTAGGGCTTGCATGTGTATCCAATCTGACGTGTAAGCCCCTCGAGCAGCCCACTTTACATCCGTACTCGCAGTGGTCTTTTTGGTGATTATCGAAAAACGTCATGTCGGTCCCGTTCCCATCATTGCTATGGTAAAAACGCGTGTGATGCTGCCAAGCAAAGGTCAGAACAGGATCGCCTGTGTAATGGCCACCTTGTGGTGGTATCTCCACAAACTCGTTCTTCCGACCGCCTAGCGTCCAGATAATGTCGCCCGTATTGCCGTTGATGAGATATATCGAGTGCATATGGCGTCCTGACACGAGATAGTTCCCATCCTTGGTCTTTTCGATTGTGTTGATGTGGAAAAAGTCCCAAGGATCGTTGTGCCCCTCGTATGAATCGTAGATGTCGACATGATCAGAGGCTCTCCATGTAAACAAAACCTTATTTGTCCCTAGCTCTAGCTCTTGGAAATAACTCTCTCGGATTACTGTCGGTTTGTGCTTACCCTTTAGGCTGGCAGGGCTGCTCGAAAGTTCGGTCTTGTAAGCACTGACAATTACAGTACCACGGCCTGTGAACTCGCACTCGTGCAAATCAGCTCCCACTCCTAACTCTTGTGCAGAAATTTGGTACGCTTCTCGATACGAAGTGTCATAAGCATGACAGACTCCATCACCCAAGCCCTGACCTACAAGCTTGTCGCCGTAAAAGGTCAAATAAGTCTTGCCGAAATCTTCCTGCACATTGACGTTGAAAACAACGGGAAAAGTCCTATTGATATAGACAGCGCTCAAATCCCTCGTGTCTAAAATCAAAGGAGACGCCAGTTGATGACCCCATGTATCCTGGGCCCCGTTGTGGCGAATGAAGATATGCGATCCGGAGCTGGAGACGGCCTTCTTATCCCAAGTTGTGATTTGAAGTAGTGGTGATTTCTCGTGAGTGCCGTGGTAATAGTTGTTCGGGTAGACACCGTAGCGAGCATTGTTGTAGGCCTTGTAGTCGGTCTTGAACTCGTCGGCGGCTACGAGTGTATGGAAACCAACCATGCAGAGCAACACTCCAAGGCATCCCCAGGACATGTCGATCCGAAGATTAGGGACCTGAAGACCTCACCCAACGAGAGCCAACCGCATCAAGTAGAATTCATTCACGGCTTTTTGGTTTTTGGAAAGACTACCTCAATGTCACATAGATAATGGATTAGTACTGTAGGAGTAGAAGATGCCCATCCGCGGAAGTAATTGCCGATAACATGATATCCGAGTGCCCCTAGCTGCCGCGTAAGGCGTCGTCGCTCCACCCCTGGAACATTAGCGCCAGCCAACGAAGCGAAAATGGACTACGCGTCAGCCGCGCGTGGCTGCCCTCCCTGCATGTCCGACACAAAGATTCGCCATGAACGAGGCGGAGTTCAGCGAAGTCAATCGCAGTAAGTACCAGAATACAAGAAAATTCTTCGAATCGCATGGAGATGATGATGCGCTAACTCTAACGTTTTCACAGACGCTAGCTGCATCCCAATGCGGTTAGATACTAGGGCATGCGCCGATACCGGTATGTGATCGCACACGACTGTCAATTTTAAAGACACAGAAACAAGCCGATTGAACGTCAGATTTGCGCATTTTGAGGAATACTCCGAACAGATCTTCCTAATTCTAGTCTAGACTAACCTCGTGCCCACTTCCCTCATAGATGAACATGGCTGCAGCGCATCCCAACATAGACATGCCGGTGACTCCCCACCAACCCACCCCCACAGCTCCAACATCTAAACCGGCACCATACCAGCATGCGCCAACCACCGGTCCGACAGTCCGAAAGGCCGCCGATACACTCTGGCCCAGCCCATGTATCGTGCCCAACACGCTCGGGTGCGGACTGCAGTTGTTCAACAGTATGATACTGGCCGGCAGTGTCATAGTGCGGGCTACGACCTGAAAGAAGAGCACCATGATAATGCCAATCCAAACGAATGGACCGGAGCTCGCTTCGGGTGCCACAGAGGATGACGGCAGCACGACGAGAAAAGGTGCCAAAAAGTACGCGATGGGAAACAGAAAGAGAAACCATTGGAATGAACGTAGAGTCCCGAGGCGCGCATTGACAGGTGGATAGAGAAACACTTGTAAAATCATGCCCAGGACACCGAGAATAGACGTCGCGCCGCCAACCATGGTTGCGGGCATTCCTAACCCCCCGGTAAAGAACAAGGAAACGCGATTGAGCCGCTCGAGTGATCGTGGAGTAGAAAGGAACAGCGACCAGAGATTGGTAAACGCTCCGAGATGGAAATCAAAGAATGCGCCAGTCACGAGAGTCATGACGACGTTGCGTGTCCAGATACGACTGAATGGAAGAACCCGGGGAACGTCAGACTTTGAGTCTACAACATGCTTCTCGTCGAGATCAAAACTCTCCACGGAAGCTGCCTCGGCTTGGATTTGAGAATAGCCATGTTGGACTGGCATAGGTCGGCCACAGACGAACTGCTTCACACGAGCCGCAATCCATAGACCCATGTCAAATCGGTGTCTTTTCGCGGCTAGAGTTTCTTCAAGTGCAAAGTAAACAGTAGCGCATGTGACGGCAAGCAAGACTGCGTTGATGATGCTTGGTAAAGCAAATGGGTATTTTTGGATCATCTGCGATTCAAAGCAACCGCCCTCAGCGAATAGCAAAGGCATGGTCTGGACGGGGTCCGCGAGGTATCCGCCAAGCACTGTGAATGGTCAACAGTTGCATTATTAGCAGGATTAGGTACTGACAAGGCCCCAAAATACCCGCTATGTTAAAACTCATGGGTAATATCAAGAACGCGCGAGATTGATACTTCCTCTCAACAGTGATTTCGGCAATCATTGTACGACTAGTAGCTGATCAGTACCTACCGCCCACTATTCTCGGAACACTTACATGATACCGACCAAGCCATTGATCGCACCTCCAAATGCACGCCAGAAGATGGCCCATCCGAAGCTACCCGCAAAGCCATAACCCACGCAGGACACAGCAGTCCCAAAGAGGCCGATGATCAGAACATTTTTCCGGCCACACCATTTGGCATCCGCAGCCTTTCCCCATAGAATGGCTGTTAGAACCTGAGCGCCTGTAAATGCGCCTTGCAGAATACCGGCCTGGGTGGATATTTCGGAGTCCGATTTCGTCTCGTCGAAGCTTTTGAGCTGATAAAAGACATAGGCTTGTAGCGATGCCACCTGGAGAAAATCGACGAGTCGGCAAAGGAAAAGTATGGCTAGTTGATCCTTCCGAGGAAGTGACAACCATGAGACTGGTCCACACTCGTTGTTCGGAGTTGGTTTTGCCTCGACGTCGTCCAGCGAAGGACGCTCGTCCGTATCCGAGATTTTAGGGCGTTCGTCGAGGATGGAGCATTCGGAATTTATTTCCTTCTCATCCGACATCTATGCTCTAATTTAGGTGCGAATTCGGTTCGGGGCTAGAAATAAATTTGAAGAGGATTGAAAGAGCGACAAGGATGGGAGTTTTCAAAAGAACACACAACAAAGGATGGGAAAGGTTTCGAATGGAGTCAACCGTTGAGCCAGAATCTCAAGAGGGTTTTCTTACTATCTGCTATGCTCGAGTGCACTTACGTATGCACCATGTGGAAACGTCAGTCTCGAAGCTAGTCAGCCACTAAGGCCACACCGCCCCACCAGGCCACGCGAGCACTTGCGCTTTTTATCTATTCGGATCTGCACCGAGCTTTTGCGTCCGTGCAACAGGTCTCCACCTGATTCGTTGGCCTGGGACGCAGCAAGGCGAACGAGGACGATGTACGACCTCCTATCTCCCGAACGGCCAACACCTTCTCATAGCTCGAAAAGTAACCAAAAGCACTGGACCGAGTCTTGCCGGTTGATGGCCGGCATTCATGAAAGAAATTACAACATCGCTTATCGAGCCCTTGCTATAGAAGACAAGTACCCAGACGAAGATGATGGTATGGTCGTACCCTTCGAAACTCTCACAACCTTTTTTTGTGTGATAATCTTGGCACAAACACCATCGGACAAAAATGGTACGCTCACTTCGGCGATCTGTAGGATACTGCCACTGGCACACAGGATGGACAAGCATCCGTATCAGAAGAGGGCTAGCCGCAACTTGGTTTTAGCGGTACGAAAGCTCGAGGATAGTCGTATGAGAAAGACAAGATCTTCGGGAAGATTTGGGCCGCGTGTAGCATTACGCTTGGCAAATCATAGCTTTAGAAACATCCCAGAAGGCTGCGGAAGCGCCTATGCACTGGACCGGCTAGTCCCGACATCGGATGCTGCATGAGTAGTTATGGAGAAGGGAAGGTCCATATCCAACTGCCCGTATAACCATTTAAACCTTTTCCTTCATTCTAGAAGTCTCTCAATCCCTCGACAACCTCACGCTCTCCAGACCATGTCATACGCCGATAGATACTCCCGAAAGCCCATCACGGACGTCTTCACGGACGACACGGACATTGACCGTCGACAATGCACGCGCACCGTTCCTATGAAAGTCCTCATTCTAGGCGTAGGTCGCACAGGAACTGCCTGTAAGGTTCTCACAGTCACCCTCCTCGCGAGAGCTCGCACTGAACCCATCCAGCCTTACAAACCGCCATGAAGCTGCTCGGCTACGTAGACACCTACCACATGTACAATTGTTCGATTAGCAACCCCCCCGACGCTCTCCTCTGGATGGACGCACTGCGCGCAAAATATGATGGCATAGGCACCCCGTTCACTCGATCCGACTGGGACAAGCTTCTCGGTAACTGTCAAGCAGTGTGCGACTGGCCTGCTGTAGCCTTCGCCAAAGAACTCATCGAGGCATATCCCGAGGCAAAGGTCGTGCTGAATACTCGCGACGTCGACTCCTGGCACGCGTCAACATTGAAGACCGTCTGGTGGCGCGCCACAGATCCGGAGCTCAAGATGCTGTCGCATGTCAGCTGGGCCGCGGGCATGTATCAGCCGATGCTGGAAAAGTTCTTTGATACATTCTTTGAAGGGGACTTTCCGGGTCGGGGCAAGGATGTCTTTCGAAGACATTATGAGGAAGTTAAAGCCATGGTACCCAAGGACAGGTTGCTAGAATACAGGGTCAAAGAAGGTTGGGAACCGCTATGCGATTTTTTGGACCAACCGATACCACGAGTTCCTTTCCCGAATACCAATGACAACTCCAACTTTGTGTTGCGGTCAAGGAGGAGGAACAGGATGCAGATGTACAATGTTGCTCTGCGTTATGCTCTTATCTTGTTGTCTGTTATTTTTTTGGTGTTCTTTTTGAGGTCATACCCCGGACAGAGTCCAACTTTCAGCGTATCGTCGTAACAATTTCAGCCTGTGAAGCGTTTTCTAGATAGCAATGAGATATCCCCTTGGTCGAAGTCCGACACAGCACGTTAGCATGAACAGGTACATCGTTAATGGTGACAACACTCCAGTGTTGAGGATTTAATATGTCATCTATTTATTTGTTACGCTTGGAGAAGATATAAAGTGCGAATGGGTTGTACGTCTTGTTGATGGTCGCGAGAGCAGCGTTGACATCCGCCTTGATGACTGGAAGCACCGGGGATAAGCTTGAGCTATGATAACCGGATTATGACACAGGTCTTAGGGAAACCGTTTTTTGCAATTCGTTAACAACAATAATTAAATTGGACCAGTTATAGCCATATCCTAGGCACCAAGTGCCGTCCGGCGTTTTTAGACATTATGCCCTAACAGTCACCTTCGGCGTGGACTGATATTTCGCGCGTTATCATGGGAAATTCTAGCCAGCTATACAATGTCCGATTCAGGCATTTTGTATGGCTGCCTTGCAAGGCGAGCATGAGTTCGTTGCTCGAATGCATAAGCATAATTTAGTAGACGTTCCTCGCTAAAAGCAGGGCCCAGAAATGCAATGTTGAATGGGAACCCTGGACCGTCCTCGGCAAGGCCAGATGGCAAGATCTTGAGTGGTGTTTCTTCAGGCGCAAACCCAAGCGGAACAGAGACCACAGGCAAGCCTCCTGCACCCGCAGGGTGGTTGCCGTAATCGGTCAAGGTGATGAGAGCATCGACGTTGTAACGCTCGATAGCGCCAGTGATTGAACCACTAGTACCATGATATAAGTGCCTAGCTTGAGCTTGAGCAAACTCCGGAACGGCGTTGTCCTCGTAGGGAAGAGAAGCGGCGAATTCCCAGCTGCCGACATCATATTTTGGCCATTCCTCGGCAGGTGTATTCTTGGTAAACCTAATGAGATCGTCAAGATTATGAATATTGTTGGGATTGTGTTCCAGATGCTCCAAGTAACGTTTGAGGCCAGTTTTGAAGTCCAGTGCGTATATCAGTTTTGCGTCGTCCGTCCAAATGTTATCGACATAGTCCGAAAAGTTAGTATCCTCCACTATTTCTGCGCCTGCTGACCGTAGGACTTCTAAGGCAGCGTTAAATGCAGAAACCGCTGCAGGCTTTGTCGTGTTTACGAAACTTGCCCGCGGCACACCGAGGCGGATACCCTGGAGGCCATCGAGCTTGCAGCTAGATACGTAGTCTGGTATGGTTTCGAAAGGAATGAATTTGGTAAAAGTATCCTCTGAGTCCTTGCCTTGCCTTTATTAGCTCATCATACATAGTCATGCCTTTTGATACTCACCAGCCATGATGCCTAACAAAAGTGCGGCTTCCTTCACAGTTCGTGTCACTGTTTATGTTAGTACCGACTCGTGTCAGATCTTTTGACACATACTAGGACCAACTGAGTCCTCGTGCTCAGTGTAAGGGATCACGCGGCTTCGAGAAGTGAGTCCTGCCGTGGGTCTTACGCCCACAACTGCATTCGCCTGAGCAGGATTGCCTATGCTGCCCATTGACTGTAACATTCGTTGGTACAGGAACCCCAGTAAGATTCAAAGACGTACATCAGTTCCTATACAAGCTGCAGCCAAGCCAAGAGCCGTGGCTACACCACTACCGGACGACGACCCTCCGGGTGCTTGATTTGGAATGATCGCGCCTACGGTCTGTCCACCAGTTGCTGTCCATCCTCCTGATGAAGTTCCTGGCGAGCAACGATAGTTGGCCCATTGTGATAGATTAGCCTTCCCAAGAATGATTGCTCCGGCTTTTCGAAGCTTCGTCACGATCGTAGCTTCCTGGTCTAGTCTAGCTCCCTTTAGAGCCAATGAACCGCCTGTGTTCCGTTATGCGTGTTCCTTTGAAAGAAGTATCACGTACCAGTCGTCTCCAAGGACAATGTGCCAATGTTATCTTTCACCAACAGCGGAATTCCGTGAAGTGGCCTAGGTTTTGGTCAATTCAAACTATAGTCCAGAACTGTGCAATGCATACCCATAGGTTTTGCCGCCCTTGCGAAGATCGTCTAACTCCTTAGCCACCGCAGTTGAGTTGTCGTCGACGGCGATGACAGCGTGGAAGAAACCGTTAACCTCATCGATGCGCTTTAGATAGGTCTGCCATGCTATCGTTAACAGTAACAAGGTTAGGAGACCTGATTAGACCTCACTTCTACCAGCTGAACGCTCGTGACATCTTCTGCCGTGAGTGCATCTTGTAGTTGCTCAATCGTGGCGTTGTCTAGGCTTGGTAATGCACGTGCTGACTTAGCCTTGCCCATCTGGGACAGAGTGAGTACGTTACTTCAAGGCATGGGTCTTACTCAGCTGCAAAGGTTCTTTACATTGTATGGCTGAAGCAAGAGGATGATCAAGACAAAGACGGCGAGGCCAGACATGTAGATGGTGACTGAATGCTTCAATGTTGTGGAAGGGCATCTGGAGGTTATGGCCATGGTAATTGAGCATCCAAGGCTGCCAGGAACCTTCACTCTGCACCAACCTCGCAGTAATGTGGAGGAATGATAGCGAATTGTTTATCGGACGTGTTCGCGCTATGTGGTACAGAGCGGGGTCAGCGGCTAATCTATATACAGTTTAGCCCCGCGCTCGTGCTCTCCCTTCTCGGACGAACGTACGCCACAGGGCACCCGTACTCTCTGGGCCCAGACAGCCTGCTATCGCACTCGGTAGGTCACTCAGATATCAGCCTTTCACGTCTGTACACGTGTCCTTTGAGGCTGATTATTCGTTAAGGATTTGTAGCGTTGCGTTCTTCACCGGAAACTGCCTTGTCTCCGCCTTCCACACGGCAATATGCCTCAGACTGAAGTCGAGTTCGGTATTATACGATTACCTTCTCGATAGATATATGGAGCACGAGCTCGGTCCACTGGTCCCCGCTTTTCGGTGGCTTTGGAAAAGAGGCAACCTTGATGACCCCGTCAGCCCTGCAGTTACAGCCTTATATTTTCAAGACCAGTCAAGAGCTTCCACGCTGTAAGACATGGTATTCAGTCGTGTCAGTCGTAGAGATATATCTCGCAAACTGGCCAATGTTCCACACGGCTGTGAATTTTCGTTTTGTTCGAAGCGAGAGCCTTATGTACAATTGTAACTTCACGCATCGTTTTTACAGCAAGATCGGAACGCAGCACATTCACGACAATCAGAGCAGTTTGAGTGACGCGCATACGCGTATTTTCGGCTAGGAGACCGGTGCATTGACCGGTCCAGCTTGACGTCCATTGATTACCGTTCTGCACTACGCCGTGCCGGAACCGCGTCCAAAATGAGTTCACCGAACGGCTCCCAGCATACGTTGAGTACCTTCCAATGGTCGGAAGTATCCCTCGAGTAAGTTCCCTCCACTAAAGAACCAACCGGACAGATCTAAGCCGGATTGATTACTTCAGGAATCGCGTCGTCCTGCACAATCCATGGAATCTGGCCCTGAGCCGTGCCGAGTCAATGCTACGGAAAAGCGATTGTACGCTTGTCTATCAGGTAAAGACGTGTGAAGATCTAGTTAGCGCGCTGCAGACATATCAGCTTCAGAAGATCAGTACCGGCGTTACTGGACTTCTAATGAGGATGACGCCGTTCATCACACGAATGAAGACCTTTGCCGACGCAATCGATGTGTTTATCCAATCTAATCCTAAAATCGCCGCTCTTGTTTGGGGCGGCATAAGAGTTCTGATCACAGTAAGCTTATCACCGGCCATATATTAGCAGGTACAAAAGCTGACCTCGTGAGGTTGTTTCACGTTCGACAGATTTACTTAATAACGTTATTGGAACCCTAAATGACCTAGCTCCAAGTCTGCCTCGCTTTGAGATCTATACACAATTATTTAAAGGCAGCCAACACTTCGAGAACGCCCTTGCACAGGTGTACCTTGACGTCGTCGAATTTTGCATCGGGTCCATTACGTTTTTCCGCCACAATCCCGTTAGTGAGTAGATCCAACTTCGAAAGTGGCAGCGGCTTCGATTAATCTTTACATCAGTGAACGTTCTACGTAATGTTTGGACATCCTTTGAAAGCCGTTTTGGACCCGTGGTTGCGCGCATCAGAAAAGACAGCGACATTGTCGACCGTGAGGCTTTCGCAGCGTACGCGGTGAAGGGAGAGCATCGCCATAAAGAGCTTATGGATATGATGTCCGCATCGTCACAGCCTACTGAAACCACCACAACAAAGCTTCCATGTCATGTGGTACCTCACATTGAACCATCTTCGTTCGCCGGCCGTAATGATCTTCTCAGATCAATGCATGATTACTTCGACGGAACATACAACACTGATCAACAGCGGTGCTTTGTGCTCCACGGCCAAGCAGGAGTTGGTAAAACCCAGACAGCGCTTCGCTTCAGCTACGACGCGATGCACCGTTTTCCAGCATTGTTTTGGATATCTGCAGACACCGAGACGAAGTTGTTGCAGGAATTCCAGAACCTTGCAGTGACCTTACAATTGGACAAGTCAGCTGCTGCGATGAGACCGACTCAAGCGCGGGATCTGGTGTTGGAGTGGTTCAAAACCACTGAAACAGATTTCCTTATCGTCTTTGATAACGTTGAGGATCTCCCTACTCTAGAACCGTTCGTCCCAAAATGTAAGAAGGGGTGCATTCTGATCACAACTCGCTACCCTGGGATCAAATTGTCTTCGACCTCTACGCTTCGTCATGTAAAGCCATTCGGGGAGGACTTTGCGGCTCAGCTGCTTCTTAAACTGTCCCAACAGCCAGGCGAGAACTTCAGCGTAGCTCGAAGTGTCGTACAGAAGTTGGGTGGCCTAGCGCTAGGCATAGCTCATGCTGCAGGTGTCATTCGCGAGACGCCACTTAGCCTCTCAGAATTCGATGGACTATACGATTCTCGTGAAGGACAGATCGAGATTCATGCTATGGACAGTACGCAAACAGTCTTTCAGTACGAAAGATCACTCAGCACTGCTTGGGATGTGTCCTTTCGGTCGCTTTCGGTTGAAAGCCGTCTGCTTCTCGACCTGATGTTCTTCCTTGACCCCGATGGTATCCCAGAAAGGATCTTTCATTTGCCCAAGGCTCTACCACTGTATCCGGCTGCCAACTTCCTAACGAGCAAAGTCAAGTACATTTCGGCCATCTCACACCTCTCCCGGAGGTCTCTTATCGAACGGAACGTCTCTTCGCAATTTCTGAGTCTCCATAGACTACTGCAACTCGAGCTTACTCGGTCATGGACTGCTGATAGACGTCAATTTTGCTTCAACGTCGCCTCTGCCATCCTTAACTGTGCGTTTCCACTTCATCCGGATGGGCTTCCGATGAACGATCGATGGGATGAATGTGCCCAACTCTTGCCTCACATTCTTGCGCTAGTTTCCGCTTATGGCTGCGAGCAGTCTTTGGTCGCCGTTCAAGAATTTCCAGAGCTTCTGGTCAGAGTAGGATGGTATACTTATGAGCGCCAAAACCACGCCACGTCCATATCGCTCTACGAGGTTGCCGAGAAGATTTGTTTGGACAAATTTCCCGAGTCGCTTCTCCTGGCTGACGTTTATACCGGTCTTTGTTGCAACATGAAGAATCTGAATCGGAACGAGGAAGCGGTCGCATACGCTGAGAAGATCGTCCGGATCAGAGCGAAGCTTCTTCCTCCGGTGCATATACAGATTGCCAACAGCTACAACGACATCGGCATTTCGCTCAACTGCTTAGGCAAGATAAAAGAGGCGGCCGACTATCATCGTAAGGCGATTGCAATCAAAGAGCAGCTGGGCAACTGCCCCTTGATCTTAATGTGCCAATCCTATTTGAACCTCGCAAGATGTTTAACACGTCTTGGCTCGCTCGAGGATGCTAGAAGGAGTGCCGAGGATGCACTTCGATACGCTCAAGCCGATCCCATACCCTACAAGCCATACATTGCTATTAACCTCTACATTTGTGGAAATGCACGCCTCGCGCAGGGCGCTTTGGAGGACGCCATCTCACTACATGTGCAGTCGCTTCTGTTGAGGAAACAGCTTCTTGGGCGCGGCGCATACTACACGGGGTTATCATGTCACAAAGTCGCAACCTTGCGGCTCCAGCAGGGTAGCATTGAAGAAGCTATAGAGCTTATGAAGGAGGCATTGAGTATATTCGAAGACATACCAGAGGTCGAGGGGGACGTGGCGCGGTCTTGCGTCAAACTTGGTGTTATGTTAAAAAGGGCTGAACGGCATGAGCAGGCGAAGGTCTTCTTCAAACGAGCGGAGGACATATACCAAAAGATCACAGGTGAGAAGCTTGAAGAAGGTGCAGCACAGGATATGGAGGCTTATGAGAGTTTGACTGCGTACGATAATCGTTGATTCATCGAAATATCCTACTTCCACGAGGTTTCCTGGTTGCTAAAGAGACTTGTATAAACCCTTCCCGTGCCCTTAAGTGCACCCTTACTAGATACAATTTCCGAAGTAATTCACTAGTCCCTCCTTTGCGCTTATGGTATGTCAGCTCAACAAAAGGCTCTTTTGACTCTCTCTTACCGTGATTCAACCGGCAATTCCCACACCGCAGCGGTTGACGTTGGCAGCAGCATCCTTCCCACTGTCCATAGTGACATATGCGACCCTACGATCGATTCCCGGCTCTGTCTGATTGATAGCCTGGTTAGGCATAAATCTTTTCCAAGGCTGAGTGCGACTTTCGTTCTCGAAGGCGTCCTGGACGTCAACAGCCCATTTGGATTGCTGGTTGGAAGACATTTCAAGATCAAAACTATACAGAAAGACTTGATGATTTGTGTTCTGTTGACGAGGGTACAGTTCTTCGCCTCAAACCATTGCTCCTTTAATACATCGTGATTGCGAGGAGGCTCCGTCACGTCAGCTTGTGATCCGCCCATGCTCGACCACATCGCCGATCATCGTACGATTGCTTCCGCGGATGAAGGTGCGCCGTTTCTTGATACGACGAGATGAACCAATCTTGGGGTGCGAAGTTATCACACACCCTCGCCAGGCTGCCACATCCGGCCTCAGGATGTCGTGGTGGCGTACAACCTTCAGCCTTGCATCGAGCGGGCACCAATAAGGTTACACAGGCCTCTTCCTTTTGCCATAGGTAAGTATCCCGTGATGTTCGGCAATCTCATTCTGCAAAGCTAAGCATGGCACTTGGAATCAAAGTGGATCTAGATGCAGTGGGAGACATCTGCAGCCCATGTGGCCAAGAACTGCTCCTGGTCACCGACCCACCTGAAGTCTGCCCTCGCCCCACTAGTGATCGTGAGTAAAATTATGAGCTACCGCGGTTTCCGAGGATATATAATAGGGCTAGATGAGGCTCTAAGCGTGTACCTAAGTATAATATAGCTTTTTCAACACCCGATACGCCTACAACCTAACATAGTTGATCGACCCATTAGCTCGTCATGGCCGCAATCGTCGCATCACCTCACCACGAACAAGCAACATTCTCCTATATACAATGGAAGGATATTTACAATGATGAGAAACCCTACGAGATCCTTGCCGACCTTCCTGCAGAAGCCAGCGGCGCAGCCAAAACCAACATCACGTTAGAGAAGGGATCCGCTGTCGATGTCACAGATGTCCGGGGTCATGAAGAGGATTTCAATCTCGACAAGAACGGGTTCGCATTCATTAAGCACAAATCCGACTTCACGGAATTTGATAAGAGCAAGTTCGTGGAGGGTGAATTCTTGCCGCACGTCGTAGAGCCGTTCCTCAAAAAGCATGTCGAGGGTGCTGATCGCATTGTATTCTTTGATTGGCATGTACGTATGCTTGCTCAGCGGTCGGGACTGGGGACTCACAGCTTTCAGTTGAGAAGAAACGTCCGTGAAGAGGCGCCTGAAAAAATCGACATCAATGACGGATCACATGCCCTCTTGCCGGTCAACTACCCACACGTTGGTGCGCATGCTACCTAGGAGTCCAGCTATCTTCTCCACTTCCACTAAGTACAAGCAGATCAAAGCCCGGCATCGGCCATTTTGCGTGTGCGGCAACAATTCGGAGACGAAGCTGATGAACTCTTAAAAGGTAGAGTACGCATCGTAAAGTATGTAACCCGTGTCTCCACTTTTCGCTTACCACATGGCTAAAATAAAACACTACTTATAGCTTCTGGCGTCCCCTATGGCGACCGGTTGTCGATGCTCCGCTGGCCCTCTGTGATGGCAGCACTGTTACCGCCGACGATGTGATTCTCGTCGATCACGTGCGTGAGTTCCACGTAGGTGAAACGGTCTACTTGCGGCAGAAGCCGACAAATAGATGGTATTATTTGAGCCACCAGGCGCCGGATGAAGTGGCGCTTATCAAGATTTTCGACTCCCAGCCGAATTGCGCCGCAAAATGTAAGCACTAAAGCGACCAGGAGTAATACCGCGTTGCTTACACAAATTGTCAAGGGTGTCCACATGCGTCATTTAGCCATGCTGATGTCGGAATTGGCTACAACCCCCGCGAAAGTATCGAGGTTCGCGCATTGATCTTCTCCAAGCCATAAGTCGACAGCTACGGATGCGGAAGTTAAGAGGGGACAAATAGCTCGTCGAAGACTGTCGGGAGAAGAGTAACTTTAGTAAGAGCGTAGCTAATTTGTTCGCGAGAGGAAAGTTTACTAGTATGTCTGTATAGTAATAGGGATACTGCTTATCCTTTTTAAAATGGCTTGTTTCATGCCCTAATCGTCAAAACCTTAAACATTGGCGTGGGCCTTTTGAACGAAGCAACTAAGACGTGTTGCAGTCTCTTGCCGTGCTAGTTTGCCTCGTGTGAACTGCACACGTGCAACTGCGCCGCTAACTGCACCGCCAATTTGATGGAAATGTCGCTGCAGGTAGACCCTACTCCCAGTCTACGCGCACGAACTCTGAATTCAGTCGTAGAACAATGATAGCCTTCAATATGGCTCTGTGCCTGCTCCGCCTTCTTCCCGTGTCCTCGTCAAGCGTTACCCCCTGTTCTCTGTCGGTGTGCACATTTTCCTCGGCACCTAGACGTTCTCTTCCATCCGTGACTGCGCTGACATGTATCTTCCAGCCTATTTCCATCAGGCCGCCGAGATCGCCGGATCATCCTTCTATGTTATCCCGCCGATTGCGTCGTGGCATTGTTTAACCTTTTTTTAACCCGCAAAGAGTTGTATACCACTGGCTGAGCCAATTGGTACCTATGGTACTTCCTCGAATTCCTCTTTTGCTCTGGGGTCGTCGCCATATACGCCGAAAGGGTGCAAATAAGCCTTCAGGCACAGGTATCTCCAAAATAATCACTGTTTCCAATATTAAAGCTTAGACCGCACCCTGCCACCCAGTGCAAACCGCCGGCGGAACACCGACATGGTAGGGCAACCGAGCAGAGAAGAAGCCTTATTTCTCGTGTTCTATGGCTATGTGTGCTAGTTCTGAGGCGAGATTAACACTATATCGCATTTACATAGCTGTAAGAAACGGAGAAGGGGAATGAGGACTAGGCCAATAGGATTAACATTTAGTAGTTTGTCAAGGCGCTATGTGTGATGGGCGTAGAGGAGATAAACGGGTACCATTCTACCCTGGGCGACATGTGAGTGCGATTGCTGATACAGTTTTATGCTGGAACAATCGTAGTCTATACCTAACACGCCCTGACATTATCCCCAGAGATTATGTCTGCAGCTCTCTCGGCCAGAGCGTAGACAATGGCCTGGTAGTGGGCCGTGATCGGCAGAGGGAAAACGCTAGCATCAACAACCCGAAGACCGTCAACCCCATGAACCTTTAGTTTAGTGTCGACCACCTTGCCCATAGCTGCGGAGCCCGCTGCGTGAAAGAAAGTATTACCGACCCGAGTCACCCGCTCATCGATTTCTGCATCACTGGAGTCTTTTGTGAGCGGTACGAAGCCGTCAGGTGCCCGCTCCGACTCAACAAACTCCTGCATTTCCGGCGTGTTCTGTAGCACCTCCATAACACTTCTCATACCCTCACGCATAACGGCCCGATCCACGTTTGTGGCACTGTAGTTTGGGTCGATAAGGGGCGACGTTGCAGGATCAGGGCCGGCGATCGTGATACTACCCCGAGAAGTTGGACTCATGACTAGCACCGCTGATGCGATATGTGTACCATCCATAGGTACATCCACATTCGCTATTGCGGCGCCAGCGGGGGCGTAGACAACCAGGGTTTCCGTGTGTGCAACGTCAGATCCAAGCAAATGGTGGCTTTCGACTTCTTCCCCGTCAGCTTGGATAGGCATCTTCAACTGTTCGGCTGTATATTGCTGGGTTACTACCCAGTCTGCAGGCAGTCCCTTGAAGTATGCTGGGTCCGTCAACTCGGCAGACCCGAGAGCAAGCCCTGATTCGCGCAGCTTCCACCACTGACACACAGCAAGATGATCATGAAAGTTGCGTCCGACTTCAGGGGCGTCAAGCACTACAGGGATATTGTGCTTTTGCAATACAGCCGTTGGTCCGATACCAGAGAGCTGTAGGACCTGAGGCGTTCTATACGCTCCAGCCGAGATGACAACTTCCTTGGCTGCCTGGTATAGTGTCCCGTTTGCGGTTTCGATCCCGACAGCGGTCTTCTTCCCGTTTTGATCCTTGACAATGACGCGCTTGACCAGAGTATCGGTCAATATTTTCACATTTTTCAGAGCACCGAGACCATACGCCTCACTCGCGAGTTGACGTTTCCCGTCCTTGAAATCCTCGACCAACTCTGCCCTCCCAATTGGGTGCCCATTGTTTCCATCTGGAATCCCTTTGACGCCAACCCGGTTCCATGCCGCTACCAACGGCTCGCGCAGCGGATATTTGCGCTTGGGACTACTCGACGTGACCGACTCTTCAGTGATGGGGCCATCGAACCCGTGCTGTTGGACCCAGTCACTCCCGTTGCCCTCAAAATAGTTCTCAGTCTTCTTAAAGTACTTTAACCACCCATCATACCCCCAAGATTCGTCCCCAACAAGACTAGCCCACTTGTCGAAGTCCGCGTAGTTTCCTCTCGTCCACGTCCCATAGTTCGTCGCACTGCCTCCTGAGAGCGCTTTGCCCGCTGCGGCGTACGCAGTTCGGCCACCTAGGTGTGTTTGTGGCACAGTCGAGTACGCCCAGTCAAGCTCAGAAAAGTGCTCCGCAAAGGCATCGAGTGGTGCAGACGTGAGTGGATGATGCGAAACATTTGCACCGGCTTCGACGACGAGGATTTGGAGCTCTGGGTTGCGTTGGCCGAGACGCGTCGCGAGGACTGAACCGGCTATACCGCCGCCGGCGATGATGATGTCCCAGATCATGGATGCAATGCGGTCCTGAGGATCTGGACTGTTGATTCCTGCAGTGATGGTAGACATGATGGCGGATGGGAACGCGAATGTTGTGGGGAGATTAGCGTAAGTGCATTGCTAGGGCTAGAGGCGGATACCATTGAGAACTACGCCACGGATGGATCCAACTGTTACAAAGAGGATGGGGCGTGATGGGCCTGCATATGCAACGTGGACAGTGCTGAGAAGGGCTGATGTAGAAGGTAACACAACACCTGAATCCAGAAACCGGTACCTAATACGGTAGGCCAGGACATGGGGTCGTTCGTCGAAGACAAAGGGATCGAACTACGGCAGGATTGCCTGCGCCGAGCGGCGTTCTTCTTGGCGACACCTTGAGTTGTTTACGTTCCCCGTAAATGCTCGTTTGCGGGGACTCCGATAGCGTCGGTTGTTAGCTTCACCCCACGTCGGCAGGGTACAACCCTGCGCAACCTGTGCAGATGCTTCCAAAACGCCTCCTCGTGCGGTATGCAGTTACATCTCGGACTTCAAAGAAGTGAAAATCAATACACACGCCAATGCATGTGGCCGCTCCACGCTCCTGCATGAAAAAGAAAAGCAAGGAATAAATTTAATTTCGAACCCAGACCTCAGCATCATGCATAGTTATACGGAGGTCAAGACTAGAAAAGACCAATAGCATGAGACGACCAGACCACGACGCTGCCCCAAGCTCGTCCCGTCCACCCACTTTCTCTCATTCCCGAAATGCAGCAAGTCTGCTAGGCAGTCCAAACCGCCTCGATGAGGCTCATCGCACAGGTCGGGCTCCTAGTGATACCCTTGAACACGAACCTGGCGTCAGTTGCAATAAATAGTCGCTTCCAATCGGACTCCGTGCGAATGCAGCCATTCCAACAGCTCAGCATGACCATATCAAGGTAGCTGGAATATAATATCAGTACCACCAATGCAAAAGTCTAGACTAAATGCCTTTTGATTGGGTGCCACTTACTTTACGTCTCTCCTACTCATCCTAGTCTCTGGAGCATCTCCTCGTTCATCCTCATACAGCAGAACCCGGGCTCCGTGCTTCAGCGCTGGGATGAGATTGCGCAGAATGTCTTGACAGTATTTGTCGCTCCAATTGTGGAATATCCAACGGAAGAGGTAAACATCTCCAGTAGCCTTTTGTGGAGTGAAGAAGTCGTGGCCCATGAACTTGACTCTTCCTTTAAGCTCTGCCGGAAGTACATCGATTCCGTCCTTGATGGTTCCCTCTAGATCTTGAACGATGAAGTGCATGTGCTCAGTGACGGAAGCAAGCTTTTTACTGACGCCGCCTTGGCCACCTCCAACATCCACAACTGTGAAGTCTGATCTATCGAAATCATGCCATGGGAAAGCTGCAACGAGATGACGCAGGTCATAGTTATCGCGGTCGGTAAAATACCTCATTCCAGCGCCGAAACGTCGCGCACGTTCCGGTTGCTGAGCCAAGGCTCTGTAGAAAGGCAGGTCTGTACTGTGGGCGATATTGTAACCTGTCTCATTAGGCTCCGTCGCCTGTGGATACCGCTGCAGTGCCTCAATAGCCCTCTGTGAGGCTGGAGCCAGCTCCTCAATGCTCATTCCCAAAGCATCGAAAGCAGCAGGAACTTCGACAAGGTGTCGAGATGCAGCAGAATGTGCCACCTGGTTCGGCTCAGGCTCTGTGAAGAGACCGATAGTTATGGCATAACGGACAAAGCGACGGAGGATGAGTTCGTTGACCTTTACGGCTTCCGCGAGCTGTTCGTATGTAAAGGTTCCCTCCAGTGGCACGAGCTGAGGAAGTTTTAGGGTATAGATGGCTCTTAGGGCGAGTATATCGGTGAACTAGAGTTTAACATTGCTCAGTGGAATCCTCGTTATGGGCTTGGAGCTGGAACACATACTCCATACAATAGATAAAACAGCGCCGATTCAGGGCGCTGTACCTTCATTCTCAGCTCTTGTGACGCATCGAGAAGCTTCAGACGAGCTTTTGTGACTTCTGGCGGAATCTGTTGAGTTGATTCATGCTCGAAGCGGCACGAATTCAATGACTTGTCTGTGATGGCATACTCATCAACTCTTTTGGCATTCGCGAGTATCCTCTCAGCCAATTCGACGAGTGGCGACATGATGGATCGAACAGGAGCAAAGCACGCAGTTTGCGATTATCACCAAGCTTTCCCGCTTATGAGGATCGCGGCGTGGAGGCTGTGTCCTTCATCTTGAGGCTTTGTGTACGGGTATAGCGATCTGCGCCCTGGGGGTCAACACGGCCATCTCCTGCGATTAAGCCTGCACCTACCTGAAGGGGCCACTGGTTCCTCCACAGTAGGTAGTGTCATTCCACTTGAAGGGATGGTTCTAGCGGCCCGCCCGCCAATACAGCAGGTACTTGGCCAATGATTCATCTAACCCTAACGGATGATAGAGGAGTTTTCCGTCTTGGGCACTTATTGTAAATGTTCGACGATACTGAGCAAGCCTCAAAACAAATTAGTACGGCCAAGGGTGTTCTAGTACGAGAGACCCGGTTCTCCGGCTACAAGTCGCACATAATATTGGAAGTCCGCACATGTAACCTTTCTAAAGGCACTATTGGCCATATCCGCGCGTGCCAGGTGGCCGCACGCACGCTCACTACATGGAGGGCTTACGCCTGTCTTGGCGCAATTCACGCAGGGCACGAAGTTGTTATAGAGCCCGTGCACGTCGGAGTCTGAACATGCATGGCGAACGTAGGGTCGATCTGGGGTTAGAACTTGCCTAGTGTCCTACCGCTCGGGGGTTGGATTTAACGAACCTCGGTCCCTGATCGTGGGGGTAAAGTTTGCGGAGGGCGCCACCAACTAGAAGCCAAGAGTTCTCGTACGAGTACACCCCGAAATGCTTGGGTCGCTTTGTTTACGACTTGTCACAGTCTAGGCATTGGATCCTACTGAACGTCCTGCCCCACACGCGGTCGTGATGGTGCAATTAACTAGATGCACTATTGGCAAGGAGTCTTCTATGGATGATCTTCACTTTACCCAAATCTTGAGTTGCGACGCATTCATCTTCGGCAAATCTTGAGGTTTTGATCTTGAGAGAGAGAGTTGAATATTGTACCTTTTTGTATTGTAACCGAGCTCGGCATAGTAATGGAACGTAGACGAGTTTGATAGTACGCTCAGTGCTTCACTACAGTACCAACCTGCCTGTCCAAGTGCATCAGGCGTTCTGCATTGTCCACTCGCGTTTGACGATGATGCCAGACTGGTCGTGGGCCAGGCTTTCTCGGCTTTCTGTCGAAATATTGCCCGATCGTGGTTTTCCAGCTGAAACTGTGACCGAGTTTGGTCCCATATCAGAGAGAGCATGATCCTCATTGAGTCGTCGAAAAGCAGACTTGCTGCCTATGGTAGTGGTGTTGCCACTGGGATTACTGCCACCTTTCTTTGAGAACAGAAAGCCTATCCTCGTTCCCTTGAACAACGGTCGGAGCAAAGGAGCACAAGCTACCGAGATACCAATCGCTGGCTCCGTAAAGCTCCAGAGAACGGGGTATGCCGCTGTGTAGGTTATGTCCGCGTAGGAGACGGTGTGTAGAGCATATATCCTCAGACACGCAATCACCATAGTGCTGCAAAAATAATTAGCAGCAAAACTCAGATGAAGAATTCCGATCTGGGCACTCACAATACTCCAACGCCAAATATAGCAAACAACGCAATCTTGTTTCCAAGTGGAAGCTGCAGGTTGTAGATCATTGGAAGAGGAAGCACGAGGACCATCAGATCCACCAAAAGATCAAGGACTCCAATAGCAAGGAAGGCTGCCGGCTGATTGGCGCATTTCCCACCGGGAATGGTATTGTCCCAGTTGAAGGCGATAGGTGTGCATAGTACAAATGCTGTCAAAATGACCATGATAGCCCATGCGGCAATGAACGCAATGACAAACCAGGACCACTTGCGAAACTGAGGAATAGCAAATATTCGACTCAAAAAGAGGCAGATGGATATCTTGATGAGTCCTAACGTTGTACCGTAAAATACTTGCATGGCGACCAAGACCTAGTTGATGCTAGTTTAGCTAGGAATGAGTGTCGGGATCTTTGCATGTTCACTCACTTTCAGAAAATCCGTCACCTTATGAGGCACTTCCCATACATGATGACCCGCGCCTCCTATGACAACCTCTGCAACTATTAGCATCGGCAAATCCAGTGCAGAACAAGATCTATGTACCCAGGATTGAGCAAGTGGCCATGCCATAGATAGCGATCTACGCAAAGAATGTCAGGTGCTGTTTATGAAGGGCGTAAGTTAAAGATATGGGTAACGTTACCTGTGCCGCAATGATAAACCAGTCCTCGGCACAGAGTTTGGCCTTCTTCATCCTTTTTGCAATGATGCGAAGCACGAGGGAAACCGTAGAGGTGACAGTAAAGGTGATCACACAACCCACAATAGCCCTTGACCGGTCGGGCTGGAAGATTCCCGGCTCTTGACTTGGAGCCCCCATGATGTAGATTGTTGTGAGGCACGAAGTAACTATCTGAAGACACGCTGAAAGGATGAAAGGGTGGCGGGCCCCGATGCCTCGTGGGTGATAGCGTAGGTAATGATCTCGTGCGAACCGTTGTACTTGCTATTTGTTGAACTATCTCAACACGTTGCAGTGGCCCATTATGAGGCCGATCACTCGTCCGTGTGATAATATAATGTCTCCGTACCCGTCTCACTCAATGCGGCAGGCATTCTGCCCCTTCGATGTAACGAGTCTCCAAGTCCGATGCATAAACAACATCTCCGAAACTGGAAGGGTGACGCAACAGGATGGAGTGGGTTACACAACATAATCGGAGGTCGCAGTGCACTAGAAGCGGATGAGAATGCAATACAATTGGAGAGAACCATGCAATGTACAAATCCGTCCCTTAAAATGAGCAGATGAATGAGCCGTGGGATGGGATCATGGGTTCGGAGTATATGGCGGGAATTAGCCACTGATCCCTGAAGAATGAAAACGCCTGGTCACGGTGTCTTGGCCCTGCATGAAGGGCACTGATGCTCGGCAAGGCAAAGGCGCCGCAAAGACGCCCATTGGTCGAGGTAATATAATAACGCAGCAGATGCGATGATGATCTGCCGCTCCCGAACAGACAATTGACAGCATGCTCTGTGCAGCTTATCCGCGAAGGGGCGAGAACGCCTGGCCTTGGCATCTTAACGTGCAAGTCGTCGTTGCCATGGTCCGCCCTACCAGCCAATGGCCAATAGAGCAGATGAACAAATCGTGTGGCTATCAAAAGGAGTTGTATGTATCCAGATATGTACTGATCAATGGAGTCCGACGGCAAAGGATACCTTCTTAAAGACGACCCGGTCTCACTCCAGGACTGGCACATGGTAGCTGATGGTCGCCTCAGTTGACGATGATGCTACTCCTCTTTGGTGACAACTGTTTCGATTTCCATGCCTCGATTGCAGAACTCTACAAGCAATCCAGGGCGTCAATGCTACTGCGAGGTTTGTTGTTAGCATGCTCAGACACGCTCCAATACGGCCTGTCAGGGCTTCCTGCTGCCGAGAGAGAATATTTCGGGTCATTCGATAGTCTTTTGGAGCTGTCAGAGCTGTTCTCGTGCCGGCGCGATGAGGCAAAAGACAGTGCTGTGGCTACGGTGCTGCAGTGCGCATGCCAACTCGGCTGGCTGCTAGTGTTCGTCCCACCTACCTATGATGTCCAGTATCCAATACCAAAGCTGATGCAGTGACAGACGAATGGAGATGGGGAGTGGCCCAGCGTGCCCTGTCACCAAGGCCCATGCGTGTGCGGGCATCGGCACGGGCGTCTTGTCTGCCGTCGCAGCAGCCAGTGTCACGTCGGCTGCAGCGCTGCTCCAAGTGGCGCCGGCCGTTGTTTCGATTGCGCTCCGCCTGGGCATACATGCTTCACGACGCAGCCGCTCGCTGGAGGCGCCATCGTCGCTGTCGTGGGCCAGGCAGGTCGAGGGCCCGAATGTGCGTGGGCGTGTGTGCAGCGAGCTGGACGCCTTCCATACAGCTTCGGTGAGTCACGTGGCTGCGTCGCACGTGACTTAGACTGACTCGCGTGCAGGCCATCGCTCCGCATCGGCGCCTATACGTTGGCTCATCCGCCGGGCAGGACATCATCACCATCAACGGCCCGCCCTCGGTGCTGCAACTGTTCTTCGACACAAACGTTCCGTTTGGGACTCTCCAGACGCGGACCCTCCCGGCACGTGCTGCCTACCATGCCTCGCACCTCGCTCTCCCTCCCATCGATGCCATCCTGGGCGCGTCGGCGTTTCTGGACCTTCAAGTGCCGGAACACACCTTGGTTCTGGCCAGTCCTTCACCGACCGCTTTGACCGGTCCCCAGACAGTCAGAGTAGTCCTTGAACGGGTCATTCTGGAAGCCCTCTCCTCGCCCATCGATCTGGATGTTTTGGCACACGCACTAAAGCCGTTTCAGCCACTGGCAATAGGACCTATTGGGCAACACATTTCGAGCCCATTGGCGAGCACCTTGCGATCCTACCAGCCTCCTGTGTCTGCACTCCATAGCGCTCCTGCATCTGAACGGCAGACATCTACCTCTAATGACATAGCCATTGTTGGAATCTCTGGTCGGTTCCCTGGCGGCGATGACTTGGACGCCTTTTGGGATGTGCTCAGCAATGGCCTGGATATCCACAGAGAGGTGAGTGTCCCTTCAACTATCATCCCGCCCTCTCTTGTCTGATTGCTTATAGATACCTTCAAATCGCTTTGAACTAGCATCCCACTTTGATCCCACTGGCTCTCTCAAGAATAGCACATCGGTTCCCTATGGATGTTTCATCGATCATCCAGATTTATTTGACGCGAAACTGTTCAACATGTCTCCACGCGAGGCTGCACAGACCGACCCCATAGCGAGAGTTTTTTTGATGACAGTCCATGAAGCGCTCGAAATGTCCGGCTACCAACACGACCGGACCTCTGCCACGAATCACAGGAGGATTGCCGTGTACTTTGGCCAGACCAGCGATGATTACCGAGAGGTTAATGGGTCCCAGGATGTGGATACATTCTGGGTCACCGGAGGCATCCGCATGTTTGCTCCGGGCCGTGTCAATTATCACTATGGCTGGGAAGGGCCGAGTATGAGTGTTGACGCTGCCTGTTCTTCGAGCCACATGGCCATTCAACTTGCTTGTTCAGCTCTGATCTCTCGCGAATGCGACACGGCGGTTGCAGGAGGTGGTATGGTTATCACTAACCCTGATGGGTATGCTGGCCTTAGCCGTGGTGGATTTCTATCCAAAAATGGACCGTGTAAGCCTTTAGACTCCCAGGCGGACGGATATTGTCGGGCGGAAGCGGTAGGCACATTGGTCCTCAAGCGCTTGGGAGATGCAATAAAAGATCGCGACAATATTCAGGCAGTCATCAAGAGTATCAGTACCAACCACTCAGCCGATGCTCGTTCCATAACACATCCACACGCAGGGACACAGGAGAAATTACTTCGAAAGGTACTCCGAGATGCTGGGGTGGAACCATGCGATATCAATTATATCGAATTGCACGGTACTGGAACCCAGGCTGGCGACCTTCAAGAAACAACCTCTGTCGCTAACGTCTTTGGAAATACCCGCTCCTCCAACAGCCCGTTATATGTTGGGGCGCTCAAAGCCAATATTGGTCACTCTGAATCGGCTTCTGGGGTCAGCGCAGTGATCAAGACGATTTTGATGCTTCAAAAGAGCACAATACCACGGCACATTGGCATCAAGACCGCGCTAAATCCAGCGCTCCCAGATTTGCAATCGATGAATATACGCATTCCGATGGTCAATACATCTTTCCGACAATTTGACGATCAGAGCGACAGGCGTAGGATCATCGTCAACAACTTCAACGCGGCCGGAGGAAATACATGCTTACTATTAGAAGACATGCCCCGCACCTTGGCCACACGCAGCGACCCTAGAACGACACAGATCGTGACTATATCCGCTCGGACGTCCAAATCATTAATTCGGAATCTACAGAACATGGTTAGATATCTAACTACAAACGGCGACGCGAGACTGTGCGATATCGCATATACAACAACCGCGAGGCGTATGCACCATTCCTTTCGTACAGCTCATATCGCGTCATCAGCTAGCGAACTCGTCAGTCTGTTGAACAAGGAGATCATTAGATCTGAACGTGTGAACTCTACCAAGGCACCTGCAGTAGTCTTTATGTTTACCGGACAAGGATCGATTTTCGCTGGTATGGGGCATCAATTATTTGCGACTTCTACTGTGTTTCGGGAGAGCATACTCTCATCGGACTCGATTTGCCGCCATCTCGGATTCCCATCCTTCATGAAGCTTATTCAAGACCCCAATGTGGGGTTGGACCACTATACTACAGTTCAAGCACAATTGGGACAAGCAGCTTTGGAGATTGCTCTTGCCAGCGCTTGGGCATCTTGGGGAGTCAAGCCAACGGCTGTTGTAGGCCATAGTCTTGGTGAATATGTTGCGCTGTGCCTTGCTGAGGTCATCAGCATCACAGATATGTTTTACCTCGTTGGACATCGCGCTCTGCTAGTGCAGAAATATTGCCAGCAGGGTACGCATTCGATGCTCGCCGTTGCTATGGACGAATACGACGCACAACAATCTATCGCGGCGACGGGGTTGGATTCATGCGAGATCGTTTGCCTGAATGGCCCCACATCTACAACCATTACCGGACCGACGGCGGAGCTAAAATCACTGCATGAGCATCTGCGCCATCGCAACATCAGATTTACTATTATTGATGTTCCTTACGCATATCATTCTGTACAGGTACAGCAAATTATCCCTGAGTTCGAGGTCATTGCTCGTCAGGTTCATTACAGCGAACCCAAGCTGGACGTTATCTCCACTTTGCTTAGCCAAACTGTCAGAGACCATGGCGTCTTTGGTCCACAGTATCTCGCAAGGCAAGCTAGAGAGCCTGTCAACTTCCTCGGTGCAGTAAAGAGTTATGAGCGTGAATTTGGAAAGCATGATATGTTGTGGATCGAAATAGGCCCTCGGCCGACTTGCACTGCAATGGTACGATCCATTGTCAATATTTCTCCGAACAAACTAATTTCATCCATGCATCCTATGGAAGATCAATGGCGAACCTTGTCCGTGGGCCTCGCGGAAGCTTACAGAAGCGGGGCCAATATTGACTGGAATCAGTTCCACAAAGAGTACGAAGAGACTTTGCAGCTTCTGGATCTCCCGAAGTACGCATTCGACCTACAGAGCTACTGGATTCAATACGAAGGTGACTGGAACCGCCAAAAATCATCGTCCATCCAGGTTGCTCCTGTCGCTGAGTCTTCGTTCTCAAGCACCACGCTCCAGAAAATTGAGAGTGAAGTGTTATCAAACGGACAGAGAACCATCACCTTTTCATCCGACCTTAACGAACCCAATTTGAAGGACGCTATCAAGGGGCACCTTGTTGGTGGCTGCGCTCTATGCCCAAGTTCTGTGTATGCGGACATGGCCTACAGTGCAGCTAAATATGTTTGGAAGCAATCGCACCCAGGTCGGGAGGTTCCGGGCATAAACGTCTCCGGCATGAACATTCACTCTCCCATTATTTTGCGAGAACAGTCAAATCAACAGATTCGAATCACAGCAGTCCACGAGGAGGCTTCCACCATGATTCGGGTCACTTGTGGCCTATCTTCGAGCAACGACACCTCGGCCGAGTGCTCAGTATTCTACGAAGACTGTAATCAATGGGCGTCGAATTGGGAAGAACAGGCTTATTTTGTACACTCGGTGGCTGACCGGCTCAGAGCACAAGGAACGAACAACGGGTCTACTGAGCGATTTCTTCGAAAGACCGCCTACAGGATGTTTTCACGCCTCGTCGACTATGGTCCCACTTACCAGGGCATGGATGAAGTCTTCCTTGACGGTGACAAGCTGGAGGGATATGCCAAGATAAAACTTCAGCCGAAACCTGTTGCTGCCAAATTTGGTATTAATCCATATTGGATTGACAGCCTGGGTCACCTTTCCGGCTTCGTCATGCATGCCAGCTCGGACCATAGCCAAGTGTACATTTCGGAAGGATGGGAGAGCATGTGTTTGCTGACGCCTCTGTCTGAATCCATACCATACCACGCATACGTACGTATGCTTCCAGTTCGAGGGCCTGACCGGGTGGCGGGAAACGTATACATCCTATCTGAATGCAAAATAGTGGGTGTCTTCCAAGGAGTCAAATTCCGAGCTATGAAGGAGAAGGTTATGAAAATGGTTTTGGGAGTTCAGCCCGCCAGCAATACCAACGCTTCACCCGTCGATGGCGCAAAACTCCTACAGGTTTCATCTACAAGTTCTTATGCTTCTTCTGCGCCACCTGAGGATATACTGACACTTGTCGACTCATGTATCTGTTCCGAGACTGGGGTCGATGAAAACGAAATCACTGAGGAGACGTATCTCGCGGATCTGGGCATCGATTCGTTGCTTACGATGTCATTGCTTGCTAAGCTTCAAGAACTGGCCGATTTGAGTATTCCTAGTTCCGACTTCATGGCATTTGAGACAGTTGGAAATCTGAGGCAATATGTGAGAAAAGTGACTTGCACCCCTGATGCAACGGGCGTCAGCACCCCCGCTTCACCCCCTCTGTATACGCCAAAGCGTGTCACCTCGCTCAACCTACCTACACAAGCGCCGATTGCTTCGTCTGGAAGCATGACTGCGTACTCTGCCCGAGCCACTTCCGTTGAGCTGCAAAAACCCTCGGATTCCAAAGCAACGACAACACCGACATTTTTTCTCCTCCCCGATGGCTCTGGTTCCGCAACCTCATACCTTAACCTCAAGCTCGATCCTAGCATCCGCATTGTCGCGCTCAACAGTCCCTTCCTCCGCGATCCGGAGGCCTTCCCAGCCGACCTACGCTCAGTCAGCCAGATGTACGTCAGAGAAATTCTGGCGCGGCAGCCTGATGGCGATTATCTATTGGGTGGCTGGTCCATGGGCGCGGCCTATGCATATGAAGCTGCGAATCTGCTGGTCGCCATGGGAAAGCAAATCCGAGGGCTTGTCATGATTGATCCTTGTCCACTAAATCAAAGACCAATGACTGCTCAGACCTTGGCGGTGCTGGAACAGGTGGGCGTGTTGGATGAACTCGGCCAGGTAAGTGATGCGACACAAGCCATTGTTCGACGTCATTTCGAAGCCAGTACGAAGGCACTGGCCAAGTATACGCCAGGAGCACGTCGCGCGGATTTCACGGTCCTCATCGTGAGTGCGAGGAATACAGTACTAGAGCGGCTTGGCAAGAAAGAAGGACAGGAAATGTGGGATAGGTATCGAGAAGAGTGTGGGGATGATGAGGCGTGGCTGTTCTGGTCTCGGGAGGGCGATACGACATATGGGTGGGCTGGGATGTTTGACTCCGTTGTTCACGAGCAGATCAGTGGGGATCATTTTTCGATTATGAAACAGACTCAGGTATGTATTGAGAGAGTGAGCGCTCTTTCTCCATGGGAACATAGAGCTGACAGTGCTTTTAGGTCTACGCGCTAAACAAGACACTCAGTAATTTCTTTGCTGGGCTTGATTAAGGGATATACAAGTGAATTTGCCTTCGAAGTTAGCTGAGGTGTTGAGGAGACTGGTTAGTCTTCATCCCTCTCTCTCCGATGTAGTGAAGAGTTTGAGGCATTATCATTAGATCTACGAGACTATCGTCTTTTCACTACAAGTCGAGCAACTGGTGCAAGTAAGGGTAGATTGCCTGCGATTATCCCTAGGCCTGCCTCTATTAGCGTCCAGTACGTTATTGCTGCAAGGTAGTCTGTGTGTCTTAGTGTAGAAACGTGTACACAGAGGAAAAGGCGTACAGGTATCGAAATCAGGATCGCCCCTCTCGGCTAGAGGTCTCTTAGTGTTATGCTTAGTGAAGGAGCTACACTCAGCTCACCAGCTCTTCCCGTTTGAATATTGATAACAGTCCGGGATATACTGGCAGCTGTTGTTCTTACAGTAGGTAAGCATGTGGAGAGCGGCGATTCAACACCCACTTACATGATTCCCATACCAAATACACAACATATACCTATCTTTTTGTTCCAATTCCATGATAAGCGTAAAACTACACATCTATTAGTTTCGCGCCTTCGAGTATTGGGAGACGTTATTAGCTTACTGATCGGAATTGGTAGGCTAATAATAAGAACATCCGTAGCGACATCGATGTAGCACTAACTTAGGTACATGCGGATGTTCGGTAGAGGGGTCTCCTCTAGAGGTTTCGTCCATATACTGCTAAGAGGATGGTACTCAAAGAAGTTAGAAAAGAAGTACCCAACCGTCCATATATACGAGATAATTATCAAGGTCATAGATAGGGTATCGAAGAACCTAAACTGCCTCCTCCCGAAAACGCGACGGTAGAAAAGCAGTACTGATATCTTAGTAGGGCCGATAGCGAGGAGCTGCGACAGTCTGTTTCCAAATAAAGCCTAGCAATGGTTAGTCTGTTGCTGAACTGTGTGTGCTCCTGCTCATACCCTCATGTGAATCCAAAATTGCTCATCATACAGAACTTCACCCTTGTCGTTTCGCTTAAGACGTTTCCCAAGTCCTCCGTACGCGGTATCTTTTAGATGTAAGTACATGTAAGTTGAAGTCACTTCTCTAACAGATAACACACCTATGACCAACAATATGGCCATTATAATGCACCCAAGCTAAAGCAGTGTCAACCTTCGTCATTAGCGAGTATATTATATAGCATACCAGAGCCAAGACCATTGTCCAGTCATCGGATAGTAGGCGAGCCCCCCTTATCCGTCTCGTCCAGAATCGCAGACCACAGAATATCGCGGGGAAAAGCGTAAATACAGCCGCAAAGACATAATGCTTGTTGGGAGATTCTTGCATGATGGCAGCAGGAGTAGTTCGATCGCTGCATTGAATATCTTGGAACCATGTGCGGTATTTAGCGCCCAAAAAGGGCAACGGCCCCCAAGCTGTATCGATGACCATAACAATATAACATAACCTGTGGAACCATCGAAGTTCGCTCCCCGAAGTGTGGTGAGCTGCAGCTTATTTAGGCAAATGTCCCGCAAGCTCGTAGCATGGAAAACCATATTAATACATGAGTCGCGCCCACCATTCACTGCACATAATCCACTGCCTTCCTTTTAATTAGGTGGCCTATCTAGGATCCCTACCTCCGTTACATCTATAGCTCTCTCCTCCGACCACTTCTTCACCCTGTCAAAATTCACACACTTCCTTGGCACTGGATACTCCGTCTCCAGCCGACTCCCCGTTGAACTGTCCCACTGCAGCGATGAGAGCGTCACATCTGCCCGACACATGACGCCAAGACGCAGCCATTCGAGACAATGCTCAACATGCTCTTCTTCTTCTTCGAGTGCTGTTTGTGAGATGTTGGTATGGTAGTGTGAGCGGTGAATCCAGTGCTTGATTTTCTTCTGCGTGTTTCGTTAGTAGGAGACTGCGAAGGATGGAAAGAAGAAGGATGGAGACGTTTGAAGGTAATGAAGGCGGAGGTTACCAGACAGTGTAATTCGTGGTAGACGCCTAGTTGTGCGGCGTAACCGGAGCCATCCGATAGTTTGACAGACTGAGCGCGATATTGGGAGAAGTATTCTTCTGAAACACGGATGTTCATGCCTTTGTATATTAGCTTTCTCTTAGAGATAAATTGCTTGCTCACCTTTGAGCAACGCATGCCAAGCTGCGTCCAGTTGCGGACCGGGTCGCTGAGCAAACGGACTGGCGACAGAGCTGTATTTGGAAAAGTAGCGGAGTTCATAGCGCACTGCATTGTCGGCGGGTGCTTAGGGAGGGTATTAGAACGAAAAGCCCTTTGTTGAAAGTAAAGTGAGGGGATTGAGAAAGGACAACCTTACATTCTGGGTATCGACCAGGGGTTGGGGTGGTGTATGATGCTTGGTAGTAGGTGTATGTTGTTAGGAAAAGAAAAAGTACTTGGGTGAGAAGAAGTAGTGAAGTGAGGGCGTAAGGGCAAAGACGAGAGTTTTTGCTGGGGTTTTGCATAGTAATTTGGTGCTTCGAGGCGACGGCGTAGCGCGCGAGTGGTAAGTCTTAATCTGAATGTCGTAGCGTGGCATGCGAGACCAACTAGCTGCAACGAATCGCTCGAAAGTTTCGAAGAACGTGGCAGTGCGAACACGGAATTGCGTTTCTGACTCTTTGTAGACGTGTACAAGGATTGTATGCGCACCGTGACCATATATACACTCAGGGGTCACTAAATAGTCCCGGGACCGGAGAACGCCCGTTTTTGGGGGGCTCGACGCGTCATTTGCAAGCATATATCGAGCACACTGCATATAAGATATCACTCGCACAAAGAAGGCAACTTGTGCGTCCCATCATTGTGTTCCATAGGTACGGTTGTATTCAGTGCTATCTCCCAGAAATGTCGCTCTCCACTGATCTTTACGAACACCCCTGCTCCCTTAACCATGACCTTACTGAACTCAGGTCTCCGACAGATTCACGTAGCTAACCCGATGAGTTCACATCTTGCCTTCAATATCGCATTGTCTGTCTCAGGTCGACTCATCGTCCGCCTGGGCGAGCCATAGATTTCCAACATTCTCATCGGCATCAACGTCTAGAGGATTAGCACTGATCGAAATCTGAATAGTTGAGACTGACTGGTTGCAGCGTTTCCGGGCACCGGATTCGCCGAGATCATGACAGCAAAGCTCGTGATGAGGAAAATGAAGCTAATAAACGTCTTCATGATCTTGTTCGAGTCGTGATTTTGTAGATGCGTTGGTAAATGAAGGTCTCAGAAGAATGTTTGTTATCTGTTACAACAAAGTAAGAGAATGCGACGCCAGATCTATGTAGCTTTATATACCACCATCACGGTCTTGAGACGAGGTTCCATGCCGAATCAATACCCATGGCGACCATCCTGGTGTACACCATCTGCCTTCTATACCACAAGAATGGTACAGGTACCATGTACGTAGTACAGATATCATGTACATGGAGCGTCCTTCCACTTGCAGAATGATTGTCTCACTCCGATCATGTCACGGCGCATCACATGCGAACCTTGCCACTGCCTTCAAGACTGTGCCGCAGCGAATTCTGCAATCCAGTCGAGGCAGAACATTGTTTTGGCCCCCGGATATAAGTGGACAAGGCGATAGTCAAGACCTAGTGCGGAGCTTATCATTCGTGGTTCTGAGACCCCTTGCCAAGAGGGGCGAGACCGAATGGGTATCGCGGTGTCCGAAAATTGATGAATAGGTGTGGGACAAGCGCAAGGGGTAAGAGGGCACATTCGAGACATGCTGGTCAGGTAGGCAGTAGGAAAGTCTCGGAGCACATGCTAAGTGACGTGTTATGAGCGGCTGTCACAGCTATGCGCTGCGGCCCACTGTTGAGCACTGGCCATAACAAAGCCTCTTTTTCGCGCGTTCCGAGGTGTTCCTATCCGATCAGAAGAACAGGTTTCTATCACTCGTTCTCGAAATGAATCTAATGAAGAAAACATTGTATATTGGGTATACATGCTTCTACTGCTGCCGAACATGAGAAGAATCTACTACAGACGGATTGGACAAATCGACAGTTCTGCTATCAGCCCATGCTCTCAGTCTCTCCCAATTTACGCATTCGTTGTCACTGTTGACCTTGGAAAAAGGCCGGCCTTCGTGCCATACGAACGTGGCTAATGTTACATCTCCTCGGCACATCGCAGCCTCTCTCCAGTATTCGAGGCAGTGATCTATCATGTTCTTAGTGGAAACCACAAGAGCAAATCATAAAGCTTACCCATATGTGCTGTTTCTCGAGTCATCTCATCATCGGTCAGGTTGTGATAGTAGTAGTCAAAGTGAAGATGGCGTCTTATGCGTTTCTTCATGATTCAGAGTTAGTGATAACAATGCATCGTGATTCTCTGGACCACTTACTATGCAATGAAGCTCATGGAAGACCGTGAGCTCAGCCAGGAATCCAGAGCCGTCTTTCAATGCTAAAGATTTCTCCCCAAGTGCGTCAAGCTCGTCTCGAGTAAGTTTAATCGCCATCGCTATAATAGATTGTGAGCTCTGACAGAAATATTGTTCAAAATGACCTACGGCTCAACAGTTCACTCCAAGCTTGATCTAACTCAGGGCGAGGTAGGCCAGTGTATACATTTCCGTCAATATTGCGCCATAGTGTTTTACGCTCGTAGCTAATGGCGCTTTTTGCAGGTGCTGTCACCATTTAGCGCGTTCCTGTTGGTCAAGGCTATTGTTGCTGCAGCCAGACTTACAGTATATCAATTGGGGTCGAACACATGAGGATGCAGTCGAAGCGGAGTACTTCATCCACCATAAGATGTTTGATCCCACTAATGAAACGAATAACAACACTGTGAACCCGTGTATTCGGCCAAGTCGAGATCGGTTGTTTTCAATACGAAATGTTCCAACATTGGATGTACCTTCTTCCCAGTCTTCAAGCATAGGCTCAAGCTCCATTCGCTCTTCGTTTCTGGAATCCATTGCATCGAT